CCCCCCCCCCCCCCCCCCCCCCCCCCCCCCCCCCCCCCCCCCCCCCGCCCCCCCCGGTTCCGTTCAAAAATGGTCTGATATAGATAGAGTTCTGGCGAGTAAGGCAGGTTTGGGAGGGGGTTTCACAGGTGTTTTGGGCGGGGAGGGTTTTAATGACGGCGGGGAGGCCTTGTTTATTTCGCGTCTGCCATGTGATTCCAAGTTCGAGCGAGCTTGTAAAAAAGGAGGTCATTTCTTCCGTCATAGGTCGATCGATGTTGGAGGGTAATGGTGGAAAAGAAGGAGGAGATGCTGTACATAGTCTTGTTACAATGGCATTCCGGGTCATGAATTGAACGAGTCCTTGTATCACCCACCTGCTTGTTGATCCATCTACATAGTAAGACATATTCCATCATCCAGTCTATCCACTTATCCACGATGTTGTGCACCGACATCTGTGAACATCATCTCCAGATGCATCCATTTTCAGTGCAAACATGGAAGCCACTTGCTATGCTCTACATCTGATCAACAATCACTAAACTCTTTATCAAATTCAGCAGAAGATTCCGGAATTATTCAGGTACAGATATAAATCACAAGGGCTTTCAGGAACGGCTCACCCTCATGAAGGGGGTTATCAGGAAACACAACCTAGAGGCGCTACTGTGTCCCTTCCGCCTTGTACATCCCGTGTTTCTTAGGAAGATGACTCCAGACAAGGTCAAACGAGAGCGTGCGAAGGCTGAGGAGGAGCTTGTGGAGTACCTTATCGCTCTTGGAGCTTAACATGGAAGGGAGGTGATTCATACTATAGCTACGAAGGTTTATCTCGAGTAGTATGACTTGGTTTACACTTTCCTCACCACCACTATTCAAGGAGACGTCCTAGGTCTGCTATCAGCCATGAGGCTTTTTAGAGTCAGACACATGAAGCTGCCCAAGGCACTCTATGTCTGACAGAGCTCACGTCTACTCTGACGCCAAGAGTTTTCGAAGGTCACTGGTTGAGTTAGTTATGTAAATTGTTCCCCTGAGGCTGACAAATCCATTGCATGATGTGATCCTCAAAGGGTTCCGTGCAGACCGTGCTTGACGATCGTCTGGGGACCCTATTCCCCTGTGGAGAATACAACGTAGTAAGGCATTTAAGTGGTCCCGCAAAATGGATCGAAACGCTTCACATAAAGCTGGTGTTGTCATGAATTGCGACTGAGAATGACAGAATATTCGAGTGCCCAAACAATATGAATATTGATTAAGGGTTACGAGGGTGGGCATTTGCCTATCCAGGACTCGGTAGCTAGCTAGCTGTATCTCTATCATCAATGAAGTAGGCCCTAAGGCCTCAAAAGACTCTGTAGTCCGAAAACGAAACGATGCAGTATGATGCTGCTCGTGCTGCTCATGCGCAACCCTAACCCTTCAGCCTTCTCTCTCAAGGCGGCTCTCTCTATACTCCTTTAACAAGGAGGTTGGTTGTTTGTTTCGTGGGAATCTCTCTCGCTGGGAGGATTTTACGACGGTGCATACCACCATGTGTCATGTGTCGGTGCAATGCTTTCTCGCTGTGCATGGTGAAAAAAAAGGAAGCAAGAAGAGAAAAGAAAACACGGGAAAAGAAAGAAAAAAGTATCTTCCCGGGTGTTGTGTTGAGATCAACCCATCGATCGGATGTCATCCAAGTTGGCAAAGTCACACCGCACATCCCCACCATGCCAAACGCCACACACACAAAAACGCCCAATTGTCTTGTAACCCTCACATGCCCAGGAGGCTCATCTGCCTCCTCAGCGGGCTAGCGGCACTACTGCCCTCCTCACTGGCATAGCAGGCCGAGTCAGTGTCGATGTCCCAGCCCTCGTCGGCGTCATCCTTGCCGTCCTCGCTGACGTCCCCGCTGCAGCCCGCGTCGAACCCCTTCTGGGTCGCGGCCCGCACGTTCCAGCGCAGGGTGCGGGAGACCGAGTCGAACCACTCGGTGCCGGTCCGCACGACGGTCGGGAAGGGGTACTGCGACGCCGTGATGGTCACATGGTCGCCCTGCTTGAGCTCGACGCGGCCCTTGCCGTCAAAGGAGCAGTAGGCTGTTGCTCTGCTGTTGCGGGGAACGGTGACCCGTAGCAGCATGGTGTCTGAGAGAACCATTGGCCGGAAGGAGAGGGTGTGGGGGCATATCGGAGTAAGGAGGATGGCCGGTATGTCCGGGTGGACAAGCGAGCCACCTGCTGAAAGAGAGTATGCAGTGGATCCTGGATTTTAGGTTAGAATATCCTTCCTCGGGGAAATAAGGGGGGTTGGGAGGGGAGATATTGTGTGTTTGCTTACCAGTCGGAGTGGAGAAGATGCAGCCATCCGCCTGCACCACTGTGAGGAGCTCGTTGTCGCCGTATAGCTCCAAATTAGAGACATAGGGCGACGGGCCGCGGTCAATGACCAGCTCGTTCAGGACCTCAAACTGCTCGCCCTCCTGCAGGTCCTGGCCGGCACCGTCACGGTAGACCGTACAGGTAAATCGCATCCTCAGGTTGACACGCATGCCCTCATCGCCCAAGATGCGTTTTAGGTGGTCCTTGTATCTCTCGAATTCGAAGGTTGTCAGGAACCCTAGGCTCCCAAGACTGAAGGATAGAACAGGTGGGACAATGCGCTGGAAGAGCCATGATGTGAAGAGGACGGTTCCGTCACCTCCGAGCGTCAACACCAAGTCGAACTTCTCGGGCTGGCTCCAGCACAGGTCGGGGGTCCAATACTTGAGCATGGACTGGAAACGAGGGTTTTCGTCCGTGATGCCATTTGCATCGAAGCGCTTCGAGTTGCGCAGCTTAGCATCGACAAAGACGTTGACGCCGAGATCCGACCCGTAACGGGGGGTCCTGAGGAGCCACTGGGTCACCTCCCTGGTGAGGAGGACAAGCTGATTGTCGCGCGCCTTGGTGACAATCATGATATTTCTCACGGCACGCTTGATAGGCCGTCGCTGCAGCTGCTTGGATACCTCGCGCACGCCGGTCGCGGTCTGGACGAGGCGCGAGTGCGACATCCACTCGTCGTTCTTGATCTCCTCGAGCACCTTATCGATATCGACGGCATCCTCAAAGCGATTGTGGTAGAAGCAGGGGGATTGGAGCGAGGGAAAGGCGGTTGTCGGCGTCGCGGTACGGTTCTGCGCCTGGGCGAGATCGTTCAAGGCGTCGCACAGCTTCTGGGAAGACGATGTCGAGGGCCGATTGTCGGCGCCGGGACGGTGGGGTTGGTGAGCGGAGAGCATGCTGGGCAGAGACAGGGCTTCCGGTTTGTTGTGGCGGGCCACCGAGGCCAATGCTTTCAGAATAGTCTGTCGAGGGACAGAATCTATCGAGGCGTTCTTACGGTGGCCGTTCCCAGCGGGCGCCGCGGGCTTGAGGAAGGAAGTAGTGTCGTCAAGAGGGAAGCCAGATTGGCCTAGCGGGAGCGTGGCAAGGAAAGTGGGTTCTTGAGGCTGGACATCGGAGCGACCGGATCGAGCGAGGGCGGTGACGGTGTCGATGGAAAGGTTGTCCAGCGCGGGAGCGTCTTTAAGAGCGGCGCTCGAGCTCTTGGGTCGGTCTCGGTTAGCGGGCAAGGCGCTGTCAACTTCGTCGGAGAAGGGATTCTCCACAGGCGGGAATGGAAGACCACCCAGACTAGTGAGACCTCGGTGGATCATGGTGGGTGAGGATATTTGGCCGGGCATTACTATGTAGTAGGTATGGTGGGGTAATTTTCTTGTGAGTGGCTCGGCTGTGTTCCCTGGTTAAACGCAATTATCGGCAGGAGCGGCAGGTGCTGCAGGCTAACCCCCCGATTTAATCTGCCGAGTCCCTATGGAAACTCGACGAAGCCAACTTTCTGCGATCGACTCTTGTGTAGCCTGCACAAATATGCAGGTCGAGGTCCCAAGACTCGGTTTTATCGACGCCACTGGTTGCCGGGTCAGGTTTGGTTAAGTGAAGCAGTAGATTGGGTCTCAGCCAGGTGTGACCTCGATGTCCGGGAAGCGGCTTTCGCTGGAGGTTGGCAATGAATCTATCTAAGAGCCCTATCAAACTCGTCAGCGGATCCCCTCCCACATCGTCTATTGTTCGCACGGGCGGCCCGTTGATCAACCACGTCCGTGATGAAGTGCTAGCTTACCAGAGTTGGCTAGGACGGAAGAGCGGATGCTGGTTGTAGGAGGCAGCTAGTGGGAGGTTCTATTGGTACTGGTGACAGCTTGTTGTGATTCGGGGTGCAGGGAAGCTGCAGGCGGGTTGTCTAAGAACGGAGGTGATATCTCAATCTAGCCTGGCAATTCGACGCCTGATCTATTAATGTGATGTGATGCCGGAGGGATGAACGCAAGCAGAATGCAATAGTCGGTGTCTATTCGAGGGAAGGATATGCAGATGCAATGCGAGTGCGAGAAGAATCGAAGGTAAGAGGGTCGGGAGGCAGTACGACCAGATGGATACAGTCGGCTCTGGCTGGAGAGACGACGACCGAGGTAGGTATCCGTAGGTGGAATAGAAAAGGAAGAATTAAGATAGTTCCAAGAGAATCGAATGGCCAACAAACAGCTTCAGCTCAGCTCAGCTTGGAGGACGAAGAGGAGAGGGAAGGCGACAGGAAACAGAACACTGGGCAAAGGAAGAGGCAATTGCGAGAACTACCAGAGCTCTGCTTCAATGTCTGTCTGTCTGTCTGCCTGCCTCGACGAAGGGAAAGAGAGGGAGGGATGATGGGCTTGCACACAGAGAAAACCGGAGACCAGAGGGAAAGGGAGAGCTTCACGATCAACATGTCCCGGCCATTTAATAGTTAATACCTATCTTGGACAGCTCTTGATCGCCGGGGAGCTGCTGCATGGACCCTTGCCAACTGTGACGACCGGCACCAGCTTCCAGAAGCAGCGTAGGTGGGAGCTGGTGGGTACTTTTCTCGCTGCCCTCCGGCGCGAGTCCCGGCGAATCCCCAAACAGACCGGTACTTTGTCCTCTCTGGGGTTCGTCTCGGCGCAGGGGTTCAATTGTACAACACTTGATAGTGGGTTTGGGGATCATTGGCAGTCTCCAACCTTACTGGGGAGGTACTCCTGTTTCCGAACGTCGTGTCCAGTGGAGAACGTGGGGACGAAGGATCTGTAGCAACTGGGTAAGGTACTCAGTCGTAGGTAGTATACATACGCCATATGCGTACCTATGCGTAGGGAGGAAGCTCTAACTCCAACCCCAAGCTCCTCGAGTTGAGTCTCATCTTGGAGGCGAGAGGTGGGGACAAGGAGTCGATAGTGGGGCCGGCGTTGCCCCTTCTGGTTGTATCTGTGGCGTACGTGGAAATCACGGCTTGCCCCTGCTGGCAATTGTCAGGGCAGATACGTTACAAATGTACTTTGCACATGCTTCTTAACGGCGTGGCTAGGGGTGAAGCAAAGCAGAAAGAATAGATTTGGCAGGTCTCTAATACATAGTAGCTCTCTGCCCACCTCCTGACCTTGCGAAAGGAGACGTTGCAAGGAATCCACAATCCATGGCATCCCGCTGCCACTAGAGCGGTCCGCTGAAGCATAGTTGCTGATCCAAAGCTAGCAGCCGCATAAGGGTCTAAGCTTTCCCTCCTGCTGGAAACATTTGGGTCCGAGGCGGCGAATTGGAGGTCTTGCCTTTCTTCTCTACAGCTTCGTTCGACCCGCGCGGATCAGACAATCATTAGCCCTCTCGCGCGAATCAAGCACTTGGCAAGCTTGCAAGCGGCAGAGTGGAAGCTCCAACTATTGCCGTTTCGCCGAGGAGAAAGATTGTATTCCTACCTAAGCCAGGAACCAGCAAGCTTTCGCCTGTCGATCGCTAAACTCGCTGCTTGCCAGTCGCGCGTATAGGCCCATATCTCGTCACAAAATGCTCCTGTTCTCTAGCATGCTAGCCCAAGGTTCACCCGGTACAACGTGGTGTAGAACAAAGCCCCTTGACCAATAAATTAACAGACTTGGCCAGCTTCAAGGGTACCTGGAAATCCCTGTGTCGGAGGCCCATGGACGCCACTGAAGGTGGAAGTCGAGATGAAACAACGCCTCAACAGGCCCTTGCAATCCTACACACCCACGGTCGTGGAGACAGATCCACAACTGTCTGAGGCAGGGAGTTGGAGCTCGAGCTTATCTGCACACATCGTCAAGAGGCTGACGGCTGAAGGAATCCCCAAAGGAGGAAATCAGCCCACGCCAAGCGTCCCACTGCCGTAACAGCCGCTGATTGCATGTGTAGCCGCCTAGGATCCCCATGCCGTCCGTCTCGTGCTACCCGACTTTCGTCCGTTCGTTCCACGTCCAATCTACCAGGTCCTTGCAAAACGAAAACCTCGGCCTCGTCCTGACGCATCAGTGATGCAGACATCGGGATAAGCAGTATCATGCGAGAACCGCCGGCCGCCGGCCGTTTTCACCTTCATGTCTGCTGTGCAAGGACTCCCAGCCTCCCCAGGTAAGGTTTCGATACGCATTTCACTTCCAGTGGAGGTCGGCCGCGACCTTGGCCTCCATCGTAGACCGGAGGAAGTGCTGCATGTCTGGGCCGTCCCGCTTTGGCTCGTCCAGGATCATGTCGAGACCGGCCTTCTTGCCCGATTCGCAGCAGATCCTCTGGGCGGCGTCGTAAACATCGTCCCACTCCTTCATGGTGAACTCCCCTTCGCTCTCAGCAAGTAGCAGGCCGCCGTCAGAAGTAAAGGCGAGCACATGCACAGATGCCGCCGTTGCCAGCGCTTGTTGAGATGGCTCCACAACAATTCTCTCCGAGGCGCTCCTGGGAAGGATTGCCACAACAGCAGCGGTTGCGGTTGCTCCGAGCGGTACAGAAGCCGACAGAAGAGCTAAAACAGCCGTCTGTAGCAAAACTGGGATGACGGGTATATTCTGCGGAGATCGGTCAGTCAGCCGCCAGACGGAGTCAGGCCCGATTGACCTCGCTGAGCGAGAAAAAGACATCTCTTACCGTGCCCGCTTGGACGAGTTTAGGGGTCACATAGTCGTTCGCCGGGGTGTCTTCGATCTGAAGGACGATCTGGATGAGAGAGCGTGGAAAGTTCTTGACAAGAATGATACGTGAGAGCGAAGACTGCAACAGCGATTCCAGATGTCGTTCTCGCGTCCCTATATAGAAGAAAATAGAGTGAGCACATGGCTCTTGGGGTGGCACGATGTCGAAACTTCTTACCTCCGACCCCTGCTGCTGGTCGTACGATGACATCTACATGAGCTTCATACGCATGCTCATCCCGCCTCTGAGCTTCGATGGGGCCATTGACTGAAGCCGTCACAGTATATCCAGCATATGAGTACGTGGCGGAGCCGTCCGCTCGTGGGAGGACAGAGAGAGCCGCTTCGGGGTTAGCTGAAGCGGTCATCCTGCTGAGTTTCTGGAAATCTCTTAGGGGAGGAGAGTAGGTTTTGAGGCTCTGCAAAAGACCTTGCTGCAGCCCAAGTCGTCGATTTGAATTTGGTAGTAGTGTGGGATGCCCCGCAGTCTAGCGCATGCATATGCAGGTGGCGCGGGGCTGACTCACTAAATCGACACCACACGATCCGCTTTGGGGCAGGAACTTAAGATTCTCCATCCAGCCAAGTGTCTACCTACATATTGAGATGCTTACCTACTGCACCTACCTCTAGGACCCTTGAATGCCTTGCCACAAGAGATCGCAAAAGTTAGAAATCTAAGACCATTACTTCAGTTCTTTTTCGCTGATGCGTAGCCTGTTGCCTCTGCGGTTTCCTCAGTCTATTTGCACTAGGTATTAAGCAGGTAAGGTACCTTTGCTAGTCCATTTAGTCAGGCTAGGGGGCGAAGGGCGGGCATCTACGGATCCGTATCTAGGATCTACGTAGTACCTTGTCTAGGGTCCGCCACAAACGTCAGGCAAACATCGAACCATCGAGGAACCCTCACATCAACAAAATCGAATGAGAATATAGGAGTGCATCAACTATGGCCCCAGGGACTGCGACGCCTGGAAGTGAAGGACCACAGGTCCCCAGCATACCAAACTTGAAAGACCGCATTCCCAAGCTCGAGCCTCGCCGGCGACGTCAACCTTCAAATGCACTTCCAGTCCCCGAAACTCCTGCTCTTCCACCGCCCCCCAGCGCATCCACCCTGTCCTTCAAGGTTCCAAGCCGAAGGATCCTATCAACAAGGGACCACGATCTCTTCCTCTCCTCCCCGACCTATGACCTCATCGTCTCATGGGTCTTCAGCCTCTCCGAGTCCGTGGTAGACACGCCAATATCCGCAGTTGCCGATGATGATATTAGCGAACCCGTCAAGTCACTACTCGCCATCCTGGACGAGGCAGAGACTCTGTGCAAGGACTCACCTCCAGACGACCAGGCCGGCTCGAGGTTCGGCAACAAGACATTTCGCCTCTTCCTCGACAAGGTCAAGCAGTGCGCCCCGGCCTGGCACGACCGCCTCGGAGTCAGCAACCCCGATGCCGTGGCCGAGCTGTCCACCTACCTCAACCACTCCTTCGGGAACCGATCACGCATTGACTACGGCTCCGGCCACGAGCTGAACTTCGTCATCTGGCTGCTGTGCCTCTACCGGCTGTCCGTCGTCGGCCGCCCCGACTTCCGTGCCCTTGTCCTCCGCGTCTTCGCCCGCTACCTCGAGGTCATGCGCCTGGTCCAGTCCACCTACTACCTCGAGCCTGCCGGCTCGCACGGCGTCTGGGGCCTGGACGACTACCAGTTCCTCCCCTTCCTGTTCGGCGCCAGCCAGCTGCTGCACCACCCCTTCATCACCCCGCTGGCCATCCACCAGCAGCTGACGCTGGAGGAGTTCGGCGACGACTACCTATACCTGGGCCAGGTGGTCTTCGTCAACAGCACCAAGACGGTCCGCGGCCTACGATGGCACAGCCCGATGCTGGACGACATCAGCAGCGCCAAGGGGTGGGGCAAGGTCGAGGGCGGCATGCGCCGCATGTTCGCCGCCGAGGTCCTGCGCAAGCTGCCCGTCATGCAGCACTTCCTCTTCGGCTCGCTCGTCCCAGCCGCCGACGGCATGAGCGAGCATAACCCCGCCAACGTCAACGCCGCCGACGCCGACGCCCCGGCGGCGGACGAGTCCGACTCGGACGAGGACGGCGATGTCGACGTCTTCGACCGCGACGGTGTTAGGCACGTCCACCGGCCCAAGGGCTGGGGCGACTGCTGCGGCATCAAGGTCCCCAGCAGCATCGCTGCGGCGGAGGAGATGCGCAAGCGCGGGGGGGGCCAGCTGAGGAGGATCCCGTTCGACTAAAGACACTGAGGGGGGTCTGGTGGTTTGATTGTGTTCAAATCGAGAGGCATTTTCGGGAACGAACTTCCACCGTATGCGGTCACTACGGGTCTAGATTCCATAGACAACGAGCCGGCTTATCTTCCATTACTGTTGCAGCCCATCGTGCTACCAGATGCTGATATGGACACTCTTCAAGACCTAGTTGATACAAGCCCCTCCGCCGTCAGCCATCATCTCACTAGAGAATCGCCTCTGCAGAGACGGATTATCGGCCGCCTTGGACGTCATGTGCCTGCGAACATATGATTTCGTTATTGGTATTCGCAGGGATGTGAGGCGCCTAGGGCGTTCAGAGGTACAAAGGACGAGTAGAGGAACGGAAGAAGAGAAACTAACATAGGAGGAAGAGAGGTGGATGGAGGAGGAGGAAGAGAGGTGTAAGAGGAAGAGAGGTGGATGGAGGAGGAGGAGGAGAGTTGGATGGAGGAGGGGGAAGAGAGGTATAAGAGGAAGAGAGGTGGATGGAGGAGGAGGAAGAGAAATAGGAAGGAACTTGTTAATTCTGGTTTCTCTGGTTGGAGTTTGATTTAGGAAAGAGGCCTTCGTCTATCTTCCCCCTGAAGACAGGCTGGTAGACCTTCCTCCCTACCTACCTAATGAGGAAATACAAAATATGAATTAGTGGTTCTTGCCTTTCGGGGTCAGAATGAAGAAAGAGCACCCTCTAGCCACACCTCACCCTCCTTCATCTTAGGGAAAAGCTTGGTGATGTGTCAGACTATCGCTTGTCGGACGCCTTCTATCTCGTCAAGAATTGAAAATCTAGATACATCAGAATCACAGATTCCTCAGACTAAGGTAGGTAATGGCAAAGACAATCGTCGGCCTCTTGACTGAGGAACCTGGCTTGAGGGAAGGACAGCATCCGGTCGTAATCTGCTGGCGCTATGATAGACAAATCCGTAAAGCACCCATGCCATGTCGTCTGCATGATTGGTTCCAGTCGTGAGCCACTTTGTGGACACCGGCGATGGATTGAACGCGGACCCTCTGGAGCTGCCTCAAACTTCATGCCGAGATGACAGCCTGCGCAGCCCATCAGGAACGGGATCCTCTCCTCAAAGGTCAACAGGCAGGCCGCCGCGCCTTAGCCATACTCATCTTAGCATCGCCTTCCTCTCCTACATCAACGTTGTCTGATCTGCGCAGCCATTTCTTGGATGACACTACAACTGCCTGTATACGACACTACTACTGAGGACATAGGTTTATGGGTCTCTGAGTTCTCATGGTACCTACCTACCTAATATACCAGCTCCAATTTCGCAGTGGAGTTCTGTACCTTCCCCGATAATATATTAGAAAGCCCGCTGAGGACCCGGTTAGACCTCGCCGACGCACACGACACGCCCCTGAGCCGTTACGGCTCACCTACGTGCTTAGGCTACGACTACGACTACGACTACGGGCCTACCGAGTTGCTTGACTTGCTGAGCCGGCCTGGTCAATCAGAATGTATGGCCGCTCATATAGCGCAGCCGGAAATTCGAACAGCGACCTCACAGCTTTCGTTGATATCCACGAATTCCACCCACGTGCAGGCAGTACCCCTAAGCATATTTCTAGCGAATCAGAAAGCGAATATCACGTGCGCTCGCCAGGCCCGCGATCGTGAATAGCCTCATCACTTTGCACCTGCTTCCCTGCTCTTCCCCACGCCAATTGGTAGATCCGTCGGATGGAGGATGGAGTTTACAATTGCCGCCTTAAGGCGTTGGGGGTCAATGCACCTGAGTCAGCTCGAAAAGAAGTCGAATATCGACGCCCTCAGCATCAGCCAACGCCATTGTAGACTCAGGCGTAATGCTACCTATCTTTTGTCGTCAGCGTGCCCGCTCGTTCCTCAAACACTCAAGTCTCTTTGCTAGATAATGTTGGTACAGATATTAAGGAAGAAAAAAAATGCGCCACCCACCCGCCCTTAAGCGCTCCTTACACTGTCATTCTAAAATTCCGTTTTAGACCGGAGTCGAACGTAGGACCTCAAGGTTATGTTACTTACTAGTTGCCCACTGAACCAACAATGCCCGAAGGCGAGGAGTCTCTCGTCTTATCCTATCATAAGTATGTACATGACGGCATGTAATCACATGCTTTCTCATCTGGCGATGAACCATCCTCGATACCCCAAGATGGGCTGGCCCCTCACACAGCTTAGCTACCTTGGGTGGGATGCCGAGGGCACAGAAAGAAGACCGCCGACAGATGGGCTCGCCCTCGCGCCACGGCTACTTCCTGGGCCAGCAGTTGGTTCATGGCCTGGTAATGGGATAGCGAGGAGGCCAGTGGGCGGGAGGTTGGCGTCGCAAGGGGCGTGGGCGGGAGGAAGGCACCCTTTACCATTTGCCAAACGGGCCATCTAGATACGAGTGCATATAACGCACTGTGTGAAGGCTCTTGGAGAGCTATCCTACCTACCCGACGGGGGAACTGTCTTGGAACGATGTTGTAGCCGGCTTCGGGCTCCGGCAACCACTTAGAAGTCATGTCAAAGATGTCAAGACATCTTTGGCTTGGGACAGATGCCCATACCCCAGTGTTACTTTAGGACTGGATTGCTACCTGTGTGGCCAATAAAACGCGAATACCATACAACGAGCCAACACGCTTTCGCAGCGTCCCTAATGCCTATCGATAAATGCAGCTGCAGTGAGGGTATCAGAACGCATATCCATAGAACGCCGTCAATACACCCCCGATAATTCAGATGCCCACGTCCACTGTGGGGCAGAAGCCGGCCATGGATGCAATTCAAAGACCAAACCAACCCTGCGAATCAACGAAAACTAGCATGATCAGAAAAAGGGGCCGAACCCCCAACTTGCCATCCCACGGAGTTCCGCCTCTCGACACCAATCAGTCCTCCCAGATTGTCTCGAGGTCCAAATCGCCCCGCCTCTCAGCGCCGCACACGCTCCACCTCTTGCGCTTGTCCCTCGACCCGAAGCTGAGCGTCCGCCCACGGGTGGGGATGTCGAGGCTAGTCTTCGCCTTCGAGTCGCCGCCCTCTGCGGCATCGGCTGCGGCCTTGAGCTGTGCGATTCTCTCGGCTTCCAGGGCGGCTTCTTCGGCATCGGGGGAATCGGGGATCGTCTCCAAGCTAGAGATACTGGGGCTTCGTGATCGAGTCGATGTCGGAGTGGAAGGGACGGATGATGGGTACGCCGCTGCTAAGGCGTAGCTGCTCGACAGGTAGTCGTACGACTTGTAAGAAGGCGATGACGCCACGGAGGATGGGGGCGTCGGGAGAGAAGGTGGGGATCCGAGGCTCGGATGAGAAATATGGCGAAAAGGAGACGCGGGGCGTCGGAGGCGTTGGACTGGGGTAGCCGAAGACGGTCCTAGGCCGAGGTTTGGCGAGCTGCTCCTCTCGGGCGGTTTTCGATCGAGATCGTGAACAGAGACTCGAGTTGGGGAAGAAGGCGGGAAGGCTTCGTCCACTGGCTTTCTCGGGGTGCGTGCCCGGTTTGGTGAGGCTGATGGGCTCTGTAGGCGCAGCTGAGGCGAGTAGAGGATATGCCCAGCACCGTTGACCCCGGGGAGAGACTGAGTCCGTGCCATGGGAGGAGCCAGGCTAGCCATTGAGCGGGACCGCACATGGGAGCCAGACAGAGGAGAGGTAGTCCGGGGCCGAAACGGGAGCGACGGCGGCGGCGTCCAAGTACTGGGATTCGGAGAGGACATGGAGGGGTCTGTCGACCGGCGTAGTTCTGGTCGGGAAAGTGTTGAGGAGCTCTGGAGTCGAAGGCTCGGGAGAGGAGAAGGTTGGAACTCTTCCATTCTTTCGGTCTCTGGAACAGGTTCCATCGTGGCTTGTCTGTTCTCGGGAAGCCCGATTTGTCACCTTTCTGAGGAAGTCATGGGAGTGTTGACAAAATGTAGTCGGTAATGAAGAGGTGGCCGGAGGAGGGAGACCTGCGAGGTGGCGATGGCAAGATATGGAAAGGTCCCGCCTTATTGTTGACAGAGAGGCGCGGGATCAAATCATGTGCGACGTCGGCTGGTCTGCAGAGCGGGAGGCTGAGGAACAGCACGCAGCAGCTGAATGGTCGGGGAACGTATTGGGAGGGCAGGGTGATGAATATGCGAGGTCGAGCTGAGGGGAGCCTGGGCTAATGTTGTTTACCGAGCTCTGGGGAGAAAACACGGGAGTGGTAGGTTGATAAAGGTCCTCGGAGGCTCGTGTACCTTGTCCTATGATTGTCGGCTGGTAACTGGAATAGAAGCGGAGGAGGTTAGGTACGGAGTACTGTATTAAGAAGTCGAGAGGGATGGAGGTGAGGGGTGCTCCCACCAATCCACAATCTGTTGGGGGGCCAATAGGAATTGAGAATGGGTTAGCAAAAGCATATTGACTCGCTGCCCGCTGCAGCGGCTGCACAGGGGAAGGTTGGTCCCTTTAGATCACTAAAGATCCCGATGGAGAGACACTCTAGCCCGCCACCTTCCAGTGTAGGTAGGTAGCGCGGGACCCCGACACGCAACCATAATTCATGAAGATCCTAGGCGCCCTATTTTGCACCAATCGGTTACAGCGACAACATGCAAACCAGGAAGGAGGCTCGAATTGCAAACGCTAACAACATGGTAGCGCCTCAATTAACGCGGGGTTAGGAAACCCCAGGATTCGAGCCAGTTTGCAGTATGACTCGCAATGAGTCGCGGGAGGACACTCTAGTGGTAAACCCCTCACCTCAATGCCGCACCGACGGCACCTCAAAGCCATGAACGGAAGAGCCGGAGCGACGGTTTAGCAAGCCTGCCTGCCGAATGCCCGGCTGGGCCGTTCCAGCCCGGGGCCTCATCTTAGGTACGTGAGTTAATTCTCCTCAGCTTAGCAACCAGGGCGCAGGGCAAGGTGAACCAATCATGCATACCTACATGGGGAGGGAACCGGACGCGAAGTGGGCATAAGGGGCGGTCCATTGCATTGTTCAAAATCGTACGGATCCGTATAGTACCTTGCCTCGCCAGCTGAACTGTTCGCACCAACAGTGCTTTATGCATAAGGAGCTGCGACTTGTCTGTTTGCAGACCTGCTACTCTGGCTTGCACTTTCCAGCCCTTCTAGCTTTGCAGAACGCCTTCTTGACATCTTGTGCCTCAAGACTGAGCTTCGATTCATTTGCTTGTGGCTGCCACGTGGGCTTCATGCTACCATTACAGCCACTACATGTTGGTATGAATTTCCCTGGATTACGCACCAGAGACTCAAATTGGACGGTCGAATGCAACCAATCTAGTTGCCACTGATCCCTCACACGTTAAGCATGTCGCCTGACGGCAGTAGAGGCAGCTCCAGGGACAAGAAGATCGTAGAAGGGATCAGAATTGTTAGAAGGCGGATGACGGTTGGTCGGTTGGTCGGTCCTTGGAAAAGCGAGAGGGGGCGGTATCGTGACAGACCATTAGACCCAATTATTGCATGATGTAGCTCTGTGGTCGAAGATAGAGGATCCAAGCAAAGTTATGTAAATGGTAGTGTCTGGAATGAATACCGTTGTATAAAACTTGCGACCTACAGTTTGGGCACAACACTGACATGGCAATGTGTGGGATTGCTCCTTGGCCAGCACATGCTAAACATGATATGATTAATGCCTTCCGTGTCTTGTTTATCGGTCCAGAGAAACCCAGCCGGGTTTCTCTGAGATGGCACCAGCTCCCAGCTTCGAAAGATGGCTAGGTCAGGGGTATGTGTACATGGCCCACGCCATTCCGCAACGGAGAAACCAAGGGACGCCTCACCCAAAGAAAGGGTCCAACCCTTCTCATCCCAGAGAGGGCTAGAGAAGGGGTGCAACGGGGAACGTAAGAGCTATTTTACGGGATAGCGCTGTTATTCCGACGATCCAACAAGTAGAGGGATAACCTGGGAATGACAGCACGGGGCAACTAGCGCCATTGCCGGGTTCCGGTATACTATGTAAACGACTCAATTTCTTCAAGGATTTTCGCCGCAATTTGTTGCAACCAATTGGTGCCGAAGAGGAAAAAGATTAATAAGTGGCGGGGCTTATCCTTGATGTCATCAGGCGTAGCACTCTTTCGCCTTTCCCTATTCTCATTCCCCCGCCACCGTAACAAGTTCAAACAGCGCCAGCCAAGAGCGCCCAAAAAGCGTCCTCCGTACACACCCACTGGCTCAATCGGCTTAGACGTTCTCGGTATAGAGTTCTCGGTCCGGAGTACTAGCTTGCCTTTACTTTATGCAGCTGGCCTGTCACCGTAATCACCTTAATAATCGGCATCTTCAGCTAATATGGTAGGATAAGATGAGAAACTTTCGCCTTCGGGCATATATGTCGAGTGGGCAAACTGGTAAGTAATACCTAAGGTCCTACCTTCGATTCCAGTCTAAACGGATTTTTAGAATGACGGTGTAAAGAGCGCTTAAGGGCGGGAGGGTGGCGCATTTTTTTACCAATTTCATGTACATACCAAGATTAGTTGGCAAAGAGACTCGCGTCTTTTGGTACGGTCTCTTGGGGACGTGCAAAACCCTGCCCCACCACCAGCCCCTCATTTGAACTGGCGGGGCCAACTCACCGCCTTCAGATTTTGTCGAATGTCCTGGAATCTGAGGCAAAAACCGAAGATAGGAAGAAGGAAGGTCTTTGTTTGGAGTTGTGCCATCTTCTAGGAGGTAGCTAGGTAGGCATCTCAGTTCACACGGGAATACGGAGAACGCAGGCAGGATGGAGATATGTGCTGGAACGAGGCGTCCTTTTCTTTTGTGCTATCTGTCTACCTAATAGCTGCGGTCTCGCAGCAGTACGCCCAAAAGACTAGGGGTTCCGAAATTGATGGAAGTCCATTCAAGTCATGATTCTCTTCTTCGCGATCCTTCGACTTTTAAAATCGATCTTTAGGGTCCATCGATGATTTCTAGATGCCGCTCTTTGTAGAGAAGATGCAGTCTCCACGAACGCGACCCTCGTTGCCGATCCCAGCCCATGCTCGATTGCGTGAGCTGTTGCCACTTCCGTCTAAACAAATCAAAGGTCCTCCTCGTCATCCTCACCGGGGAGAGGCATGGCAGCGGCCTCGTTCATCTCCTTCCGGTATTGCTCGAGGAGAGCCTCGTCAACCTGGGCCTCGGGGGGAGCAAGAGCGGGGGCAGCGACGAATTCCTGACATAAGGAGATTAGTGAGCGTATTCGAGCCTGTGCCTGAAAATGTGTTACATACCAGGGTCGGGTTTCCGACAAGCTTGCGGGCCAACCAGAGGAAAGGCTTCTCGAAGTTGTAGTTCGACTTGGCGGAGATGTCATAGTACTGGAGATTCTTCTTGCGGTGGAAGGTGATGGTCTTTGCCTTGACTTTGCGCTCCTTCACATCGACCTTGTTACCGCAGAGGACGATGGGAATGTTCTCGCAGACACGGACGAGGTCGCCTGTGATCGGTTAGTAAGGATACCCCAAGGCGCGAACTAGGATAGGGTAATACATACGGTGCCAGTTAGGGACGTTCTTGTAGGTGATGCGGGAGGTCACATCGAACATGATGATGCCGCACTGGCCGTTGATGTAGTAGCCATCACGGAGACCACCAAACTTCTCCTGGCCAGCAGTATCCCAGACGTCGAACTGAATCTGACCGAAGTTCTGGTCCTAGTTAGCGATATTGCGACCTGACCAAGCTCAGATCTCCAGTCCTTACGGTAGTAAAACCAAGGGGGTGGACTTCGACACCAAGTGTGGCCATGTACTTCTTCTCGAATTCACCAGTCAAGTGGCGCTTGACGAATGTGGTCTGGAAACAAAATTGGCGGTGGTCAGCTTTCGAATACCCACATGAGAACCCCTCCCGGTAGGAGGAGGGGCCAAAAAGGCGCCGATGATTGTGATTATGACAGGAGAGTCAACATACCTTGCCCGTACCACCATCACCAACAAGGACCAGCTTGAAGGTCGGGACCTGTGCAGCCTCGGCCATGATCTCAGAATTGCTGGAGGTTGTGCGAAAAATGTAAACAAGGTCTGGAGGTTGGTCAGGAGATTAGCAGGCGCACAGCCGTAAAATTGTTGCAGAGCCAGGAAAAAGCCAGCTGAGAGAGGCGCGCAATGGCTTTTTATGTCCGGGGTTGGGTAAGGAGATAGGTACCTTCGCAGACGTTGGGCGTGAAGGATAGGTAGGTGAAAATCGGAAAGCAGGTTGCTGGGCTGGAAATGAAGATGCTGGTTTTGTATGGCGGGATGTCGTTTTCTGATTCCCAACAATATCACGTGCGACGTCAGGTGCAGTCATGGGGCGTTCTGGTTTGGGTACCACCAAGCTGGTTCTCGGGTCTACCATTCATTGGATTTTACTATGCAAAACTTCCTAATAATAAGCGCCTACCATTCTGTAATTGGTCGGTATTCTCCTGTCTCCCAGTCACTATCTACAGGTACTTGGATGCATTCCACAGGCACCCAGCAACCAAGTTCTAAGGTGATTAGTTTCATGACAGTCGGAGCATTCACTCCTTGTGTGCTGCTAACACGTCAAGGTTCTTTGTGTCCTGCAGCCTGTGCCCTGTTGTCTTTGTGAGGTTTCTTGCTGACCTTCTGGGCCAGATTCAGCAAGTAAGAGCGAGCCCATCACTATCCTGCCTTAGGTTGTTGACCAATAGATTCATCATTAACAACAGCCAGCCTTGGTTGCCTCCACTGCCTACTGCTGCCTGGCATGCGATAGATTTCATGCTTAGCCTCTCCCTGCCAGACATTCTCCCCCCTCCCCCCAGGTATTTTCAGAATGGCAAGATATGACAGCCAAGCATTCCTCTTCCACCCCAGTTACGCTTGGGTATCAGGGTCAACCGAAGCTCTTGTGGTCGGGTGGTCCCAGTGCCTCTAGAGATCTTGACGAGGATGTTTTGCTATGAACCATTAGTCGCAGTCGTGGACGATTATTCCTCGCAGTTGAAAGACGTGTATTACCCCTTCATTGCCTTGGACACATTCGCCAACCTTCGTTAGGTTATCGTGGTTGGACTTGTTGACATAGCCAAAAGCCCGTATCAGGTCTCCTGCCTTGAGACCTGCCGCGTCTGCAGGGCTATTATCGACGACGCTGTTCACCTTTGCAAAGGGCTCATCCAATACCTCGGGCACCGAATCCCTCAGCTCTGACATTCCTTGGTCGGGGACAGCGGGAACTTCCTCGTCTCCAAGGCTTGCAAAATGTTCGTGTAGATGCTTCTCGATGACCCCCATGAGGTCTTTATAATCGTTTCGGAGGTAGATGATTCGCGCTCTCGTGGTCCGAACTGCCGGTGTCAGCCCCTACCATCCGTCGATTCCAGAGGAAGAGGGTAGTACTTTGCGCAACATCGATATCAGCTCGGGGGAAGCCATCTGGCGTCAAAAGGCTCGTATGCATATCAACGCCGTGCTAAGTGGGCAGAGTAATGAGCCAACGTTTGAGCAGCAGTAAGAGGGCTGGGGGCACCATACAGAATCCAGCACGCTACTGAGAGCCTTCAGCTCGGCCTCCATGATATCCTTCTTCCTCTGAAGTTCCGCAAAGGTAAGATGCGCTGTTCCCCCATTTGTGACGCGCACAGAGGTTGGTCCCGAAGGGACCGTCGGTGCATGTAGGTTGTTCATGTTCAACGGCAATCACATGCTAGATAATCATATCGAGACTCGTCGCAACCGTCGGGTACGGTTCGTGGGGAGTTGGCAGGGAGACTGGGATTTCGCGGTTTAGCCAGCCATGAGTGACGACGCATCTAGCACAAGAAGCAAAAGAGCTCGAGAGGCAAGCTCTGGGCGGGGACCAGTTTGTTTGGCGGGGTAGTACCTACCAACAGGGGCTGGAGCTGCAGAGTTATCGGAACCTGGGAGCTTAAATTTCCCGATTGGCTGCCACCTAGGTAAGGTACGGATATAAGAAGGTGGCTTTTGATGGCCAGCCCATGACGGTTTGACAACCGACGGTTGATTGTGGAATCCAACTTTCAGATGCATCATCGATAATCAGAGGTATTCTACTTATGTAGGTAGGTATTGGCCACCTTTTCTGGCCCTCTCAGTCGGGCTCAGGTAAGCCTGGCCAGCGCCTGGCTCGACGCAGCAGACACGCTGTCCGTGGCGGCTGCTCTCAGGTCATCGCGTTTATTTCGGGGTCTCCTTTTCGTTTTCTAGGCATCCGATCGTTCTTGCCCTTGGTCTTCCATGTGCTTATTGTACGAGGTAGGTGGGAGTTTTGACGTAAGAGCCATTCTTTCCTTTGGATGGGGCCGCGAAGCTGCGATAGCCACATTCATTATCTCTTGGTGCAGTGTCTACACCACGTCACCATTCTAGCAACAAACGCCATGTTCTCTTCAATATGCATCTTTTCTTCCTTTTGTTGCTTGGCATCACGTTTTGAATCGACCGTCAGTCCCTGTTCATTACTGCATTGGAGCTCTTGAAAACTCTAGGAGTAGCTCCTTTATACCCCTATTTCTCGACTGCCTGCCGTGTTCTCCCACAATGACACTCGCCGAGTTCTCCCCCCTGCCACAGCACTCTTTATCGAATGTGTCTGAACTATCTTCTCCTGCCACTGTGGTTATCCCGGCTATACTCGACAAGAACGCTCGCGGCGAGACGGTTGAAAGATTTCATAATCCCGAACTTACTCCTAGCCTGGACGAAGTCGACATCGGGGGAGCGGGACCCATCACTCTTGGAGACTGCCAGCGCGCGGTAAATGAGCCGGATAAGCCGTTCCACCGTTGGATAAGAACTTTGCGTCGACGAGCTCTCCAGCGACAGGAGACGTCTGGCGTCTGTCACAGTCTCTCTCGTCACACCTCTCGAGGTAAACCCCCAGGGCATCGGCCACGGCATCACCGGAAGTCATCTACAGGCTCGTCCACTGCCTTTGTCACGACTATCAGAAGCGCGAGTGTTTCGCTCACCAGTGTCAATTTGATGGTACGGCCAAGGAGGACTACCGTGCGATCCTCCCAGGGCCATTCCAGAACGGATAGGAGCAGCAAAACCTCGATCACAGGGGCGCGGTTATCAGTCGACGGTACCTATGTGGACAGACCAATGGCCATGGGTCCAATGGCCATGGATCCAGACGTCACGGAGCGGTCGCTGCAAAGACGCCGCATCTTGGAAGAACTCATCAATACCGAGGAGGGCTATATTGGGGATGTACGGTTCCTGATGAACGTAAGTTACTCGTTCCCCTGCTATAAGTCTCGGCTTAGTTGGAACGGAACCTTAGGTCTACGTTACCATCCTTGCTTCCTTGCCTTCCCTCTCGACCGGGCTCCGATCCTCTATCAATCGCAACTTGACAGAAATCGTGGAACTCCACGAAGAAATCCTCGGTGACTTGCATCACGCTGTACCACACTCTGAATATACGCAAATCGAGTTTCCAGTGCAGCCCGCCAAGCCAAGCACCGCAGCCCTCGGCCACAGAAGATGGAGGAGTCTAGGTGCTGTTCCTGAAGAGAAGGATGACATGTCCTGGCTACAGGCTGTCCCCGGGATGACCGCCGACCCTCAGGTCGCAGCGGAGGTTGCCAAGGTCTTCGCAAAGAAGGTAAGGTGCACATGTTGTTCCTCGGTGTCCCCTGTGCCCTCTATATCCTGCAATGCATGGCTATTTGCTCCCCCTAACGTGGTATAGATGAGTCGATTCTTTGTATACGAAGAATACGGCGCTAAATATGAGCTGATGATCAAGGACGTTGCCTCGGCGCATCGAACAATACCGCGGTGGGAATCCTACCAGAAAGGCCTTGAAACCCTGGCTGCAGCCGTGGGCACAGCCAGCACCAAGGGAGACCGGTCCAAAAAGTCCCTCACCATCGGAGATCTCCTAGTCAAGGTGAGTCTCTCCTGCAAACGCCGTGCTCTCTTGGGGCCTGACACCTTCCAGCCTATTCAGCGGGTCTGCAAATACCCCTTGCTCTTTTCGGAGCTTCTAAAGTATACACCAGTGTGCGATTGTCCTCACTCTCACATGGAGATTGAGGACACCCTAGTCAGGGTTCGGGAAGCCACTGCGGAAATCAACCAGGCAACCAATGATGCCAGAATAAAGGCCACTCTAGAAAAGACGTGGGTCCTTCAAGACCGTCTTGTCTTTCCAGCCCAAGTTAGTTGCTTCTCCTAAGCTGAGGGTGATGTACTGACCGGCACAAGGTTCTTGATGCGACTTCGAAGAACCACGTTCGCTCGTTCGGCCACATTCGACTCTGCGGTGCCTTGCATGTCTGTTGGCAGACTAGAGAAGATGTTAGTGGAAGATACATGATCGCCCTCCTCTATCGAGACTGGCTGTGCCTGGCACTCGCTGGCAGGGTGGATCAGATGTACACAATCCAGGCCTGCATTAGTGTTAATAATATCAGGGTAGAGGCTGCTAATAATGGCCGAGGTAAGATATTCCACCTTCCACCCCCGATGCTAAAGTTGGAATGGCGTCTTCGAGCCATGCTGACACATGCAGGACTGCAATGCCATACAGCGCCCTACTCATGGAAGCTTGTGTTCATGTGCGACCACCAGCTGTACGAGATGATCATGACGGCGTGTACACCCACCGAGGAAGAAGCATGGCGGAGTCGACTCTCTCATCCTCCTGTGCCCCTGGATTTCCATACTCAGAAGCAGCCTACTCTGTTCAGCTCGCTCTTCCTGGACATTAGACCTCTTGGAACGGTTTTTGGAAAGCCAGGTTCGTCCTTGCTAGTCACGATTCGGAAGTGTCGACATCCGTTGACTCTGGCGTGTAGGAACAATTGCCAGAAGAATATCTATTCATCGCGCCACCACAGTTGGACCAAAATCTCCCATGTGCCAGGTCATACTGAAAAACACCAGTGTCGTGAAGAACTCAGCAAGCTCGACACCTAGAGTCCCTATCAACCGGTCTCAGTCCTTGTCGACCATAAACAGCCGGGTCCCCGTCATAGCGCCATCTCGGGGAGAAAGAGCTCGACTCGAAGCTCTCCTGTCAGACGTGTGGACACGCGACATCCTGCCGTTTCCCGGGATAACTGCCCGATCCAGGAGCGAGCATCTGGTCAGGGCATCGGCAACATCTATGATGAGGAAGCTGAGTGTCGCAAGCATTGCCAGCACCTTCACAAAGCGGACTCCCAGCACCGCCAGCTCGGCCATGTCCGCAGGGCAGTATACAGCTACAACTAGCTCAGGCCAGCCGAAAGACATGGGTGCCGCAGCAGCAGCCATGGATTACGAAACACACGACGGGTCCGGCAGGTCTCTCCTCTCAGAAGCCCCGGATGAGGGTGGAAGGCCGAGTCCCTCGGTGGCGGCGGTGGACTCTGAATGGGATGCCGATGTCCTGAAGACAGTTCGCTGTTTGGAGGCGATCAAAGTGCAAGGGGAGTGCCAAGAACAAGAGATGCCACCGGCCCTTCCGTCGCCACCGAAAGATAGCAGCAACAGTACGGGACCTCGGCGGCAGGACTCAATGGCACCTACACGGGGTTCCAAGGAGGAAGATGTATGCCCACCACCACATGCCAAGGCAAGGCCGCACAAGTTCCAGAGTCGGTGGGCGGCCAGAGTAGGGGCTCTGCATCGGCAGGTTGTGGTCCGGGTGATTCGCAGTGTCGTTCGTTGAGACAGCTTTACATGGTCGGAGGTATTGAGGGAGAGCGTTGCCCCGTCGTTAAGTAGGTGAATGTCAAGATACCCTCTTCATTGCGACTGCCAGCTGGTTACATTATCTTTTCTTTCCTTGCTTACTTGATGGCTCTCTTTCTTTCTGTTTCTTTCTCGGACTCTCTCGTTCTCTTACATGCTTGCATTTGCCAGAAGCCTGCCCAGCCTCCACTCCACCTCCACATAGACTAGTATAGACAACCCAATTCAGAAGCGAGCCCAGTCAACCGAGCAGTTTGCGCATAGTATGAAATTAGGTAGGCCTTGCCCCATACAGGTGGCGCGTCTTCAAAAGTAGCGCGGCTGAGTCCGCCCAGAGCTTGGCGATGGTGTGGATCCAGATCTACCCTGTACACTACAGCATCCTCCGAGCAATATATCCCATTTCCAACTTTTCCGTGGGCGCAATCATGCCCGCGGCTACTGGCTTCTCTGCCTCGTGTATGCACCAATGCACCAATGCATCAATGCAGTGTGATGATGTACAGTACTACGAAGGATGGAATGGAGCCCATTGCTATCCTTTTCCGTAGGTAATGGCGTGAAAACCAATTCTGGAGGTACCTACACTAGTTACGTACATGCCAAGGTACTTGCGCAGCACTCAACTTATGATTACAAGGTGGGGCCCGCTTGGCCAGCTCTCAGCACATATGACGTAGCCATCATGAGCTCATCCCCCTCTCGCTGAATAGCTCAAGAACCAGCTTTAAAAGGCCGGAAGCCCCAGGCACGAGATTCATTCTTCTCTTAATATCACAGAGTAACTCTACCATAAATACAAAGTCATCAAGATATCCAATTCGCGGTAAATACGCAACTACAGTACCGTCAATAACAAACACAAACACTCAACCCCCAAAACTACCAACAATGGCTCGCGGCGAGACTACCCAGACCAAGGTCCACTTCAAGGGAAGCAACGATGACTTCGTCGTCTTCCTGGAGAGTGAGGAGCAATACAACAAGTGGCAGAAGGACAGGAGCATCCCTCTTGCACAGGTCGTCTCCGCCTTCAAGATCTTCACAACAAACCGGTGAGTCCGCTTCATCTATCTATCTGGCTTCGCCCAACCTCCCGAGTCTCGCTAACCCAGTCCGACAGACAAGGTGCCCAGGGCCCTTATATGGGGGCATCCCAGGCTGATCTGGAGAACGAGTTCGGTACCCACGTGGACGATGACGTGATCATACAGATCCTGGAGAAGGGCAATATCCAGCAGTCTCAGGTAAGCAAGCCCACATACACATAACTTCCTTTGGTTCCCCCCCCCAAAAAAAAGACAAAAATTGGAAACTGACCGCCCCTCGCCTTTTGTAGTTCCCCGAACGCCAGGGTCACAAGAACGAGGCGCAACACGAGCGAGTCATGAATCACTAGAGGTCTTCAGCTAGTCGCCAGATACGGCGTCGGGGCTCTTTGGCCGGGCCGGCTTCGGGCGGTGGTGCCGTTGAGAGGCGGGAGTGGGGCCATGAATGGATGGGACGACGAGCAGTTTTGTTGGAAGGACCAACGGAGCGGTTCGGGTTCGGCATTTTGAGCCTCACTCGGCAGATGTGGGTGGGTTATTCGGCATGGGAGCCGTTGGCGCGTGCGTTTTTGATTGTTCGTTTTATTTATTTTCGGCGCCGCTCGGTGGGGAATGGGGGATTCGAGAAAGCAATGACCTCTCTGAAAGGTTACAGTATGGAGTAGAGATTACCTCCTACCAACCAACAAATCAGCGCTGAGAAGCGGCCTGAAAGATTAGTTAGGTCTGTCTGCTGCAATGGCAACATCTTTCTCAAACTGGCAGCAGGAACTCTTTGCGGTTTTCCGTGGAGCATGTGCATTTTGGTTGTGAAACGACTGCGCGGTTGCCGCCGCAACAGCGTCTCGGACCAAGATTTGTTTCGTAAGGGTTTCGAAACTCGACCCATGCCCGCCCTAACATAAACTCATCAGAGCGAAATGACAAGGCCAAAAAAAAGAAAGGGGACTCTTGGCGACTGTGGCATTGACTAATGTAATTATTCAATGCGAAGGGCTCGGCTCTCGTTGAAACGGGCTGAACGCCTCTGAACTAGGTAGGGTATGAAAAGTGTAGAATCGCATTCATTCATTCGAGGTCGTCACTCAAGAAAACACCTCCTGTTTGCACAGCCCTTCTCTGTCCACAACCCAAGTAATTGGGCCCGCGCCTCGCTCGCCCGGCCTGGTATCACCGTAAATGCTGATTTTGAGAGATATGTCCAAAGGATCTGTGCGATTAATACAATTCCTGGCCTCCCCGATTGAGGACCACTCCGCCCTCATCCGTGCCCCTCCCCACCTGCTGCTTCTGCTCCATCAAGCATCAGTCCCTCCTCATGCCCCTCACCGTCCCAAACACAACACCCCTTGGACACATTGCCCCCTTCCCTTTGCCGCCTCGCCCGGTCGTAGAAGTGGATCGTCAAATCACGAACACGGGGTGCGATAAAAGAATGTATGTAGGCCATGCTGCGCGCGCGAAGAATATAGGCTGTAATAGATATGAAGGGTTGGGAAAGGCCGGCTGAGAAGTAGAATGTGTTCGGGAGTGTTGCCGGCCGTCATCGGTGTAAGGGGAAGATTCCACCTTTCAAGGTCCCTTCCCCACCCAAAGAAAAACCCCCCAACCCCCCAACTCCCTCGCCCTCGGGATCGAATCGAGGAAGCGAACCTCTCCCTGACCGGGGGGAAGGCGAGAGGGTGATATGTCATACTAGGGTGCTGAAGAGGGGGTGGGGGGGAAAAACCATTGGAACCTATGTGCGTACTGCTCGTCCGCGTTGGGGGAGAGTCCAAGGCTTGGCACAGACGATCTGGAAATCGGATGTCAACGGTGCTGTTCAGTAGCGATGGGGTGGGGAGCAGTTGGGACAACTCCAACTGGGATGGTTTTACTAACCTCGCCTTCGCTGTAGGCCCAGAAATACGCGACCAGTGCAACGACGTAGTAGAGCGCGGCGTTGGTCCCTTGGTAGATGAGGGCGGCGGACAGAGCGACGAGCGGCAGGGCGGCCAGGCGGGCCTCGATGCTGCGGTGGATGCCGGATCCGGCGATGAAGCCCAGCGGCCATTCCCACGCCAGCAAAAAGAGGCCTGATAGCAGGTTGATGATCTGCAGGATCGGTATCGGCTTTACTGCGGGGTCCAGGCTCCTCGTGAGGAAGTCCCAGAAAATCTTGGGCCAGAAAAAGCCCTCGATAGCAGCAGCGATTTGGTCTGTCGGACTTGGTTAGCGACTAGTTCCATCCCCCCTGGAAATCCTCGCTCGAACTGGTTGGACCTACAGGTTGCCGCGCTCAGGGTGATGAGCCTCGCCCAGTGGTTCTTGATAAGCCTTCCCATAGTTTCTTGCTAGTCGGTCGACTTTGATTTCGAGATGATGGATTCGCGGTGGTGAGTTCCTTCTTCGGTCCTTGCTGGCCACACGAGATTGCTCTTTCCCTTCTCTCTTGCCGTGTCAAGCACGCACGCTTTTAAATGATGCCTTGCAATATATCGGACCGTTCCTGTCAGGTATGCTCCCAAATAACCAAATGTGTCGAGACCGGCGAACAACTAGCTCCGCGGGAACCAAGTACGAAAGACGCTAGGTCGAAGAGAAAGGAAGAGAATAGCAATGCAAAGTGGTGAACGTCGAAAAGAAGGCAAGTATCCGGACCTGCGGCTGGGAGGAGTGTTGACGCAAAAGTGTCGATATGAAAGAAGGCTATCGACCGAGTGCACAGCGCCGGCGAAAGAAAGGAAGGGAGAGAAGGCGGACACGGAGCGAGTAGAAGACCAAGGCTGTGCCGACTAATATTGGGTCGACAGAGAGGCGGAACGGAGGTGGTACTTGCCCAGAGGGCAGCACCCGAGGCCGGGGAGGGATGTGTATCAGACTGGGTGGAGCGTGTCGGATGTTTCTGGCTCGACCCTAGCGTGATATCGTTCGTGATCCAGGTTCTAGTAATCTGATCTATGATGACAGCTGGCATCCGAGCGGCATGAAGCTGTTTCTAACGAGGCTTTACCCTGCTGAGGACGAGGACGGGCAGTGTGGGCAGGGGTGGGTGAGAGATGAGGGACCACTGTTACTGGACGGGCATGCGATCGTGGGTAAATCGGATGGCGGTGTTTGAAGCGGTCGCCAAACAGGGCGCAGTTGTCAGGGCGGAGGGAACAGGCCAGGTATTGAGCCCCTTACGCATTGAACGACGCCTGAAGATCAGACAAGGCGATGGCCGTCAAGGGGGGAGAGGTCTGAGGCAGGGTGGAGTTTTAGCATATGAGAAGGGATGCAAGCTGGATCTTCAGACACTCGGGACGCATGCGAGTTTAAGAACTGACAGGGAAGGGTGGGGACAGTGGGACATATGTATGAGCGGAGCGGCCCTAAAACATGTGGACAGGAAACTACACGACAAGCCAAGCAGGCCATGGAAGGAACAAGCGAGCAGCAAGCCATGCGGAGAGGTCTCGTCTCTTGAACGGACGACTTTTGAGCCATTCCCCCGCCTCCCGCCATGGGTGGCTGAGGATCTAGTGTAAAAGTTCCCTCATGCCCTACACTACATGGTCCGCAACCGGGGCATTTGACCCAATCGAGATTAGAAGCAGCTCGGGTCGGATCACGGTCTGCCTGCCCAGAAACATTTACCAATGGCGAGCCAGGAAAACAAGAATGCAATGTTCTGTCTATTGGCTTGGTGCGGTTAAGCACAGGGTCATATTGGGCAAGTATTGGGCTGCAGGAGCGGGTGGTGAAATGGATGGAGCTATTGAGTGTCGTCGAGAGAATATGAATAGAAAGGCTTAAGCCGTTGAGGCCATTGGACAAGCCTCGGCGGTTAGAGTTTGAAAGAGGCCAATCAGGTGCCAGCCTCGTGTGGTCTCTCTGCAGCGGCGTGGCAGGGATCCTCTCCTGCAGGTGAAGTTGCAGGGGCACGATTTAGCGTCGTGAGCCCTGGAGTAGGTACCTAGGTACTCCATGTCACACGGGGATCACAAGGAAAGTACCGATCCCAAGAGGAGTTGCTTGCGCCGTCGCCAACTCAACAGGACTTCTCTTCAGAGCTACCGGGCAATCCTTGGAGGTAATCTCCAAGGCATCAGGTTCGAGACGGACGATCAGGCTGGCCTCAAACGGGCGTCTTTGGCGATGTCCCCTGATGAAGCAGCTGCTGTTTGAGAACGATACTTCGTGTCTGGGCGGGGTCCAGGGTTTGACGGGGGTGTGGCCGGGGGGTGGAGACACTGGGCGAAAGCGGAACGAATCCAACGAGCATGCTTCCCGCGCGGTCCGTGCTCTCAATATCCAGTGCATTCACCTTGCGCATACCTAAAGTTACGTAGGTAGCATCCCCCATGCCATTAGGCTTGCAGGTGGTTATCTCATCAAGGTACCTACCTACTGTATGTACTGTACCTACCTGACCTTCCCGTCAGCTTGGAGTGATATTCCAGGTCCTCAACCACATGCTGTTGGCTTGCCAGAAAACGGTGGTTCCTATGTAAGGTTGGTCCCGACAATAAGGAACGAGGTCTCACTCGTGAGCCTTGCATCTCTCCCACGCGGCAATTCCAGACGCCAAGGACAGGAGAAGTCCCATATGAGTTCACCGCTGAACCTAAAGTGTAAATTCTTTTGGGACAACCATTCCCCCAAGTTCCCCAGCCATCCAGCGACGGTGAACTTGGCATGCTACCCTATTGGCGCCTTTGGGGGGCCAGTGGTTCGAAGGCAATGGATGAGTGAGGGCCATGTATGAATCCCGTACATTAGCGTCAGCGCTCCCATATGGTGCATGTTGAGATCATGCGACTTATCAGTGAGCGACGAGTCGATGACTAGTTTGCCAGGGGTACTTGCTTCACGTGGGCGCTGGAGGAATAACGCCACACCTGGAGAGGAACCAAATCCCACGAGGATCCCCGCCGCACACTATCTGTCGGACTTCACGAACATAATCATTAGCCGGCCGCCGTATCGAGCCATGCACACACATGTAGATCAAGAGCTGGCCAAGTGAGATGATAGGTCCTCGATCGATTGCCAGGCACTAGTGCAATCAATAATTAATTGTGAATGCCAGACTTCTATCACGGATGGCTAGACGATGACCTGCTCTAGGCTGAGATACGGATAGGATACAGTTCGAACGTCATGTCAAGGCTTTCTCTCCTCATACCCAGTGTTTGGTACTCGTCAGGCTTGAACATCGGCGGGGTGGCTCTTTCGGGGTTCGCCCCCGAGTCAGGGACTTATATTCGCAAATCGACCGATTCTTACAACGCCGCGTTACACAGGCGGAGCCGGGGATCTCTAACTCTCCACCCCGCTCGAGAACTCCCGCCCCGGGTCTCCACATCCCCCAGGTTTTATTTTTAACTTGCAGGATGACCACCTCACACTCGCATCAAGGCTCGCTGATACTTATCAGGTGGTCGACAGCACCCTACCATATCGCCCCCTTCTAACCTGACAGGCCGCCTCGTTGCCAGAAGGACTGGGCAGTAATGGCCCCTGCTACCGACGAAATGCGCGGGGATATTATTGCTCCCAACCTGTTGGGCTCAACCTTCTGGTTTCGGGCGCCCAGTGTTCTCGCTGAGCTGGCTCTGACTCTGGACCTCACTCCCACTCTGGCTCTCACTCTGAGCAGCCTTATCGGCATGTCTGGATTGGTTGGTATTTGATAGTGAGTCTGGCTAACGAGGGCGGTTACCTCCCGACATGTGGGCCAAAACGCCACATCACACATCACTGGCAGTATTTCATTACGACTTTGTTACTGAGAACCTGTCTCGACTGCCTCAGATCAAGTATCATCACTGGCAATATCTGTTTACGACTTTGTTCCCCCGTGGTGTGTGGGAGACAAGAAACGGCCGGAGGTTCTTCTTGGGCACTCGAGCTTTTATATGTGTCGGCCCAAGGCAGCAAGCTTCACACTGCCCCCCGAACTTTGAGCTTGTTCTCTCTCTGACTCGCACTCGAACTCGCCACCCGGGACGCATAACTAAGGATGGTTATAGCTTAAATATTGAGTGGTTGAATTAGATTGATCGGTGGAAGGGATAATAACACACTTCTATCAGTACAGCTGCAAATGGTGGCAAGCAACATCAAAATACTTCGATCCTGGAGAAGCTTCTCGAACACTCTGAAGGTTTGCCCGTTCACTATCCCGCCCAATGGCTCCCACTGGACGATGCCACTGTCAGAATATACTATGTAGAGGTGAGCGTGTCCTTCGTATTACTCGATCCACATGTTTCCCTCCTGTGGCAGATCATTCTGCAGCTTCGTCGCCCATGCAGAAACGAATGACACGTTCTGCGTCGGCCCCAACGTAGTCTTGGAGAATCATTTGCCCCTCTGGCTTCGTTGCCTTGTCTAGAAGATCACTGAAGCTTGAATTGATGTCGCTAAGGACATTAGTCGCGTGCGGTGAGAGCGGGGGCCCGAGAGCACAATGTGGAAGAAGGGCTTGTGGGGTGGAGCCGGGAGGGCAAGGCAACGAAGGCTTGGTAGCGGTGAGCCGACTTGCGAATGAGAGGAGGGTGTCTGGGAGATCATCCACTGATGTAAGTGGTATAATTGGCATGGCGAACTTGTCCATCATGCTTTTTCTCTAGGTCAGCCCCTGGGCGATCTCACGAGGTCCCAAAGGGGTGGTATAGGTATACCTGATCTGGAGAGTCATGTACGGCGCCAATCCATGGTCTTCACCGTCCCCTTGCAGCAAGAAGACGACGGCGCAGTTACAACCCCCCTCTAAATGGTACAGTCTCTCTATCCTCTGCCAAGCATCGGACATTCCTACATCAACTGCTGACAGAAGGATGAAGCGGAATAAAACCTCGCCCTCCTCTCCAGTTGTGGATATAGGAATAGCGACATCATGCGTCCCGAGCGTGCACTCTACGACATGGTTAGCCATCGATAGCATTCCTACCAAGCCCTTGTTGCTTCCTGATAATTCCATACCTTTCCAACTTCGTGGCCTCTTTTGGAGAAAGGCGGGAGCCGCAGCTGCCCATCCCTGGCGCTTGCGGAGACTCGAGCAGAACATCTGGCAGGGAGCCGATCATGCGTGAAGTTTATGTATTCTATGGCGTCTATCCAGGTAAGTAGTATCTATGAGAAGATCGGGAGTTGATATAATGCTAAGAAAGGATGAAAAAAAGAAGTGGATTGAGAGGAGTTCCCTAACTGCCTTTCAGCAACACCCCTGGCTCGTTCTTTCCTTGTTCCGACTTTCCCTATCCCAATACTTTCAGATATGGGTACCCCGAGGTACCGAAGTAGCCAACCGAAGACCGAAACACCCCACGCTATGTCTATAATAGTCCCAAGATCAATATCTACAAGACATCGGTATAATACATATAAGTTGACCGACAGAATTCCGAGCAGTCTCCGCATGACTAGTTTATAGCTGCCTTCTAGCCGGCCCATCGACGCCCAAATGGCCCCTGGCAGTAACCCAGAAGCAGGGCAGCTGGCAGTGGTTGGTATGTCACCATGGGTCAGTACTCTACCAAGACCCCTTAACCACACCAATGCTTGGCCGTTTTTCGACCCGCACTCTCCATCAACCAAAAGCAAGTGCCACGGATTCTGTACGAGAGCCAATAGAAACAACAGCTCTCGCAGAAATCGGGGCACGTACTTAGGAGGATGGGGTGGGAAGCAGTGGCTTTTTGGTCTTGGGATCATGGAAAGCCCGCAGGGCGACCTCGATGGCCTCGAGGCGACTTCGTTGCCGCTTCTCAGCCTCCTCGAGCTCGTCCTCCCTCCTCTTGAGATCGTCAAGAACTTCGTTGAGTTCTCTTATCCTCTCCAGGTTCGCATCTGGTTTTTGTGACGATCGCTGGTACTCAAAGATGACGAGCCCGCCTGCGACAATCAGGATGAAGGCATCGCCAATAACGTCTGCGAAAAGGTCCACAGCCTTGGCTTCCGGCAGCGGCCTGAACCTCCTCCGCCATATGCTCCTTGGAGCTGCTATTGTCGGGTGTGATTCCTTCGCCGTCGTTCCGTACTTTGCCCTCAACTCCTCTTCCCTGTCTATCTGCTCCTTTGTCTTGACGGTCGGTGCCTCAGCCTTTTCCTTGGCTTTTATTTCCGCCTCGGTGTTCCGCAGCGTCGCAACAGACAGCCGCATGTTCAGTTGGTGTATCATCTGCCCGTATTTGGCCGCAAAACCCCTGAATCTCGCGTGTTCGTGCGCCTGGTGCTTGATTTGGTTCTGCAAGCAGGACCATGTCAGCGGGAACCCTTCCGCGCGGGAGTTCAGAAAGACCTACCGCGCCATATTTGGAGATATGCCGCACAAAAAGTGAAGCGAGTTTGAAAAGCGGAAGGTGGACCATTGTATCAGTGTGATACCTCTGCCCTTCAAATCGTCAGGGAGGCTCTGGCTAGCGCTCTCGCGAACTGGACAGACAACTGTCTCATTCAACTCCAATGAGGCTCATTGTTTGCGACAGTAGATATGGAATTCTCCTAGATATCAGCAGGAGCAGTGTCAGGTAACAAGCGCATCTATCCACTGATGTTCGCTGACTCACTGAGCCGACGTTATTCAAACCCGGCGACCGTGGGGAAAGACCCATCGAAATTCCGGCCAATAAACTGGAGTGGGTTCGGTGAGCTCCTAGACCCCTGTCTGAAGCTACCTGGTTGCCCTGCCGACCCGCCTAAAAAAGTCTAAACAAATCAACACTAGTCACCGCCAGTCAATGCACCTCCTCAACCACATGAAGCAAATCTACGTAGTAGCGCTTCGCGAATGTGACAATTTCCTTCTGCGGCACCCAGGAAACCTCCCTGAAATACCATTATTTGCTTGCATCTTGCTTTGGCCGAAAGTTGAGCAGTAAGTGAGCGATTCCATTGTTCCGCCCCAACACAATCTGAAACGACACGGTTTTTGGAGAACTTGGACGGTACATTCCTTTTGGCGACTTCTTTGACGAGGAACACCCAGTGGGAGGTAATAAAGTGTCAATTGATTCTAACACGGAGTCACTAGGAGTATCTGGCAACCGCGTTCAAAGTCGATAATCCACCGCCCCGTCACGCATCACGCTGTTCACTTGGGCATCTCGTGAACAGCGACTTTAAAGCTAGCCACTCCCGACTTCCACTCCTGTCAGATATTTTGGCCTATGAAACGCGGGAAGGATGGGTGTTAAGGGCGTCGACATGGAGGCCCTATCGCCAAGAGATGCGAATGCTCTGCGGCCTCGGACTAACGACCTGAAGCCAAAAACAACTGCGCAGGTGAAGCCGGCCAAGGAGAAAGATCACCCTCCTCCGCCTCCGAACAATGTCACCGAGCCACCATGCATCGACCGCAGGGAGGGCGCTGTCTACCAGGTTGGCAAGCTTCTTGGGAAAGGAGGCTTCGCCATTTGTTACGAGGGGAAGTTGGCTGCGACATCAAAGCGATATGCGCTGAAGATTGTCAAGAGTCAGATGCCGCTTAAGATGGAGCAGAAGGTTAGCACCAGCGCCGTTTCCTTGACCACTGCATTCTACAGTACCAATACTGACAATCGCCCAATCTAGTTCCAAACCGAGCTCCAGATCCACTCAAAGATGAAGCAGCAAAACATCGTCCAGTTCCACAGGGCGTTCTCATTTGAAAACTGCACCTATCTCGTCCTAGAGCTGTGTCCGAATGGGTCTCTTATGGATATGGTCAAACGGCGAAAGGGCCTGACGGAACCCGAGGTCCGATTCTATTCCGTCCAGATTGCCGGCGCTATCAAGTACATGCACAGCAAGGGAATCATCCACCGTGACCTAAAGATGGGCAACATTTTCCTGGACAAGCACATGAATGCCAAGATTGGGGACTTTGGGCTGGCTGCATTGCTTGTCACTGGCAAGGATATGCACACGATTCGGAGAACTACCTTGTGCGGGACTCCGAACTATATCGCCCCTGAGATCCTCGAGAAAGGCAAGAAAGGCCACGACCACATGGTTGACATCTGGAGTTTGGGTATTATCATGTTCGTGGATCACTCTTCCCCCTCCCCCCTCTGATACTTTTGCCCCAAGAGACTAACCTACACTGCCCAGGTTTGCGATGCTCACCTCAAAGCCTCCGTTCCAGTCTTCCACGACCGACGAGATATACCGTCGTGCAAGAGAGCGAGACTACGAGTGGCCGATAGCAGAAACTGCGCAGAAGTACGTCAGCCAGGAGGCCAAGGAGCTCGTAGCCAGAATGCTCCAGGACGCAGACATGAGGCCTAGCCCAGACGAGATTATCGAAGATGACTTCTTCGTCTGCGGCTACATGCCTGTCCCGTCGGATATTACATCAAAACTCCGCGACTGCCCACCAGAGAATCCGGCCTTCTACGAGCGCGCTACGAATGCCCAGATGATGGACCAGAACCGCCGCAACCTGGAAGAGATGTGCTGTGAATGTGGTGTTGGACCATGGGGCGGGTCCCAACTGGTGCTTAAAAAGATATGGAGGGAGTGCGCCGAGGAGGAACAATATGGCCTCACCCCAGCCATTCCTCTCGCCAAGGGCATTGTGTACAGGCCTTTGGACGACGTTCGGAACGAACAAAGACTTCAAAGCCGACTCGCAGTCCAGCAGCCCCAACCGCAGCCTCAATCGTCCCAGCTGGGAGACCGATCTGAGGAGCTGAGCAACTTATCCCAAAGTGCGTTCCCACCGAAGGCACCGTCAGGGCTTCTTCGAGCGCCGCCCCAGAGCTTCGCAGCGCAACAGCGAGCACAGAACAAACCAGCATCAACGTTCGGGATTCTCCGGACCCAGACGGTGGCTGAGCCCGTGTCCAGGGATGCTGGCACTTTACGCGCGCGGACGAGGCGTGAACCGGCGGTCGAGGAGAAGACCGATGCGCCTGCACCTACATCCAGGGGCATAGCCCGCACCCTTCGGAATCACCTCTCATCCAGAGCTCGAGTACCTTCAGACGGACCCGCCACGCAGTCGGTTCAACAACAGAGCTCCTCGAAGGAGAAGGCCAAGGAAGAACGAACTACTCTGTTCAGTCCCTCGGAGTATAAAGAAGACGTGCCGGGCACACGGCCCGACGTGGTTCTAGACCGACTGCGAAAGCTTCAGGCAGAGCTCGAACGCGCACTCAACGCGCGCTCTATGGCGATATTGTCTTCGAAGGACAAAACACCGTCGCCGCCTCATATCGTCGTGAAATGGGTTGACTACACAAACAAGTTCGGCCTGGGATACATCCTGAACGACGGAAGTGTAGGGTGCATCCTCCGGAACATCCCCACACAAGAAGGGACCAAGAGTGGACTGCTGCCGCCAGCATGCATGCTCGTCCGCGGAGCGGAACGACACTGTTTACGAAAGGATGACCCATCCTACACAGACAGGCATCAGATCGTCCCCATGACGGAGGGAATATACTTCTACGAGAACAACGGCGAGGAGGGTCTTTCTCGTGTGCGAGTCACGCCTGAGATGTTCAGAATACCAATGAATTCTGACGGCACGGTCGGCAAACTGTCGGCCGGCAAGGATATCTACGATCACCGCAAACGAGAGCGAATCGTGCTCTGGAAGAAGTTCGCCAATTACATGATCGCGTACGGACGGGAAATCGAAGGACCAGAACAGGCAGATGAGCAGGCACTTCAGGTGCCAACCATCACGGATCCTACTGCCGCTCCGAGCGATATCGTCACCTTTTATCAACGATTCGGGGACGTCGGCTGTTGGATGTTCTGCGATGGGCACATGCAGGTAGGTTCCACTGACACAACGATCTCCATGATATATTTACCAGAGACGGGGAAAGGGAAGAAGAAGAAAAGAAAAGAAAAGAAAGGCTAACATCTCGACCACAGTTCAACTTCCCCGATCATACCAAGATCGTCCTAGACTCGACCGGAACATGGTGCCACTTCTGGCACCTCCCCCAAGAAGCAGCGAAGCGGCTCGAGGAGACGGGGTCGCTGGACGAGTCGGCGCTGGATAACAGGACGGTGCTCTCGTATCCGGTGCAGACGCTCCTCAACTTCTCGACGGTGCCGAAGCAGCCGGTGCAGCGGGCGGGCGGCAGCCGCAGCGCCAGCGCCACGACGCGGCGGCGGCCCGAGATCAGCCCGGAGCTGCGGGGCATACCGGCGGCGAACCAGTTCCGGCGCAAGGTCGAGTTCGTGCGCGACGTGATGCGCGAGTGGAGCGCCAACGGCGGCGTGGGCAACAGCGACATGAGCCGCGCCGGCCGCCTGCGGTGGACGGGCGTCCGCGAGACCCGCAACGTCGCCATACCGGCCAAGCACGTCTGGGTCAGCATCGGCGCCCGATGGGGGGACGAGCGCCTGTCGGCGTACGTGGACCCGCGGAACCCGGCGGAGCTGGGGCCGGATATCGACGAGGGGAAGAAGCAGGGTAAATAATTAAAGGGGGTGTGGGGGGCGTGTGTGACTGCACACGACGGGCGAGGAGACAGGAGCCAGGCGCTTGCTCATGAGGAGTTCCGGAGTACTCGGAAGAGAATCGGCTGGTACGACTTCATGAATGCGATGAAACTTGGATTCGTTTTTTCGGTTTTCTTTTTTAACCTTTTTTTCGTTTTTCTTTTTACCCTTCCCCCCTGCCTTCGAGAGCGCGGAGGTTGTGTGTGTGTGTGAGTGTGTGTTCCATCCCAGGTATAGCAGCGCCTTGGAGTCGCAACTTCCTCCGGATTCATGGTCTCGAAGTGTCTGAAATTGATGTCTATATAAAGATGCGAGTGTGGTGGTTTAGCAGGCTGGTGGAGTTCTCTTTTCTTTTCTCTCTCTCTCTCTCTCTCTCTCTCTCTCTCTCTCTCTCTCTCTCTCTCCCTGTCGTTCGTTCCCTAGCACATTCCCATTTCCGTTGATGGCATGGCGTAGGTGAGCATGGCACTTATTTATCTACCTAGCTACCTAGTCAACTACACCCTTCTCGAAGGTGAGGGGACTCTGTCTTTCGCTCCCCATATGGGATGCGCTAGACATTTTAATAGTGGAACGGAATGTCTCTTGAATGAGCAAATGAACGAGTCGCTTTGTACGGATATCTGTCTCGCGAAAAGTATGACGGGGCTCCCGCAACGCTGATCCAGGCCAACGGGCTGTTTGACTGTGCAAGACTTACCCAGCAATAAAGAGACTTGGGAATGGTACGGCAACCCCGAATGGTTCTTGTGTGTTCAATTCCTCCTGGGTATGCTGCTGTGAGTGTAGAAAGGAGCCGACGCTCACGCGAGATTCAAATGGCAAGATATTCCCTGATGCCCCGGAGGCCAATAGCATAGTTGCTCAATGGTTGTTGGACTTGATGATAATATCGCGGGAACGGATAGGTGGGGAGAACAATAGGTAAGGGGTAAAAGGGGGTTGAGGAGTCTTAGAGTCACAGAAAGAAAGTATCTCGGGCATTCTGTAAGCGTCTATGGGGGCAATGGCATATATGTCGATACCTGAACTAAACTTGCTCGAATCCTCTGGACACACCCATTGTTCGACTTGTCACAAGGCAGTCGGGGCTCACAGGAGAATGGGCATCGACACGATAGATATTACGCACGGCAAGGTCAAACAAAGCTCATGAGACGACCGGCCTCAGGTGCATCATCAATGGTGATAGTAAGCATGTTCATGGTCTACCTAGGATGATTCTACCTTGCGCCCGTGTAAAAAAAGATGAATGACCAACAAAATCGCTCGAGGGCCTCAGCCACTAACGAGGAGAACCGACCAAAAGCAAAAGCAAAAGAGAGAGAAAAAGGAAAACAGGCAGGCGCCGAGGATGATGGGGAGGGGGGCTCGCGATGGAGCCATATTATTATCTTCGGGAATGTACACAAGCCAACTGAATTCGCAACGGTCGTTTTCCCATAACGCCTGGTTAGCGCGAGGGGAGGGGGGTCTCCCAAGGAGTGTTGGACCGCCCCCCGTCGTCCTCCCGCAATGCAAATGCAACACGACAGAATCAAACAATCAACAACGTCCCACCCGGTCGGACGCACTAAAGGAAACAGGATGGATGCCGAACACGCAATATGAGCCGCTGGCGAGTATGAACTATCGGGGAACCGTTGGCGATAGACGTCGCTTTATCGTCCCCCCCTTCCGCTCCCCCACCGCTGGATTTTTTTCTTATTTCTCTTTTTCAAATTGTGTATCTGGAGGACATGGCCGCTGGCGCGCTGGTGGGAGTGGGAAATAAAACCATTTCGATCTGCAGTCCCGGACGCCCGTGCAAAATGGGAGAAGGTTGGTAAGAGTGCAGATCTGATGATGCTAAAAAGAAAGAGTCTCGACGTGTATCCAGGATCGGGAGAGTTCGCGTGGCAAGGAACCAGCAGGGCTAAAGGGTTAGGTTCCACAACCACCGACCTGTCGCGACCGTCCATTACCTCCTCAGGCGGCTCGATTCGTCGGCCAGGGCGCCGACACCTCACATTATAACGCACTCCTTGTCGTCCTTTCCTCCCTCCGCCTTCTTAATCTTGCCGTTCCGAGGAGGGCCGACATCCATCGGAGTACCGCCACTGGCGGCAGCCCTGATTACAGCCAACCGTTGCCTGGCGCGGTCGTCGCCTGCGTCCGCAGCCTTGACGTACCAGACGTTGGCTTCGAGCATGTCGCGCCGGCACCCAATACCCATTTCTGTAAAGTAGCCAACTGCATACTGAGCCTTGACATAGCCTGGCGAGAGAGAGGGTGTTAGAAAAAAATTATCTCCTGAATGTGGGACGGACCATTCAGGCTCCGGATTCACAGGAGAATTGTCCCCCAAAAAGAGATAACGTACCAAGCTCGGCCGAGCGATGGGCCCACTCATAAGCCTCCTCCTCATCTTTCTCAAGGAGCGGTTCTGCTCCAACCATGTACCAGGCGCAGAGACCCATCATCGCGCCTGCGTGGCCACGCTCCGCAGCGCCCGTGTAGAAGTGTACGCTCAGGGCCGGATCATGGGGACAGTTCAACCTGCCGTGCTCATACGCATCGCCCATCCGGTAGTTCGCTTCCGCGTGACCCAGGTCGGCGGCTTGGGTGAAGAGCTCGGCGGCGTAGCTCTCATCTTGAAATATGTCGTCTCCGTAGCCCGTCTCGTACAGGCAGCCGAGGTGGTAGGGAGCGGCGTTGTATATTGCGTCGGCCGATTCTGCCGCGAGCTTGAGCCACTTGATGCCTTCCCTGTACCGCTTTTCCCCCAGGTCGCCGGACAAGCACGCCTTCCCAAGCCTGGTCATAGCACCCGGGTGCCTCTTGGACGCTGCTGTGCGTAGGAAGAGGACGGCTTTCGCGGGGTCCTTGCGGCAGCCCCAGCCAAACTCGTAACATAGCGCGGCGCGGTAGGCAGACTCAGCGTGGCCGTGTTTCGCAGCAAGGACGAAGAGGGGAAATGCCGCGTTGTAATCCTCCTTGCCCTTGCTGAACAGACCCGAGGCGTAACCGTCGGCGAGGTAGTACTGCGCGAACGGGTAACCATTGCTGGACAGTTTCTGGAGAATGGCGCGGGCCTCGCGAACCAAGTCGAGGGGCGAGGAACCGCTGTTCTCGACAAGCGGGCTCTGCCGACCCTTGGCGGGACTGCTCCTTTTACGGTGGTCGTCGAAATTCAAGCCCTGCTCTTGTGCTGTGGCGATCAAGAAAACGGCGAAAGAATATTGAATAGAGACGTCGTTGGTCTTCTTCACATTCAGTCTGTACATCTCTAGTGTCTTCTGGGTGCTGAGGAGAGATGCGTTCGTCCCGACGACATTGCGCAGCTGCGAATTGTCGAGCGTGATGGGCGCGGGCGCGGGTTGCGGATACGGCACATTGAGCAGTTCGGCGTACGATGAGGGACGAATGTCGGGGGATCTTCGTGAGTGGGCAGACGGCGCTCTGACGTGGGAGCCCCCATAAAACCCAGGGGACCGACCGCGAGGTCCGATATCAGAGTATACCGAATAGGCAGATCGGGGGCGGGGAAGCGAGGTTCTTCCGCCCAAGTGAGAGTTGGGAGTCAAGTGGCGGTTGATACTTGCAGGATGCTCAGTGAGGTCGGGGTTGGACTGTGTTCTGGCCTCTTGGAGGGCTGAGATGCTCGAGGCCCGCGGTAGAAACGCCTGGTGATGGTATTGGAGCTGAGGGACAGGCTGGTTTGGCTCCTCGATTATGGAGCTCTCGGGAGAAGCATTCTCCTGGCTATCGGGGGCCTCGTTCACCCCCGATATTGAGCTTGCACTTGTAGTGGCTGACGACTCTGCTGAAGCCTGCTGTTGGCCGGTGCTCGTTGTCGTGTCGGTGTCCCGGCTATGCCTGTGCACCTCTTGCGCTTTCGACTCCCCACTGATACTGGCATCTTCCGGCTCCGGACTGGCTATGCTGTCTCTCAGAGAAGGCTCCAGGGACCGCGGTTCAGGGGTCGGGAGGGCATTGTCACGTCCCTTCGGGGTGGTGCGGATGCTGCCTCCCCAGCCTGGCAGAGCCTGCTGCTGAGGCTGTGCTATCACGGGAGTATGTGGTGGAGGCGTTGGAGCTTGCGGCGTTTTGGGCAGTGGGCGTTCGGGGATACTGGGGGCCATGACACTCGGAAGGAAGTCGTCTGTCTCGATGCTCACGTTCGACGGCTGTGGCCAGTGCTCAGGGTGGAATTCCACCTTGACCGGCGATAGAGGCGGCTGGCGTAACCTCGGAGACCCGCCTAAAGGAACGCTCGGCAGAGTCTTCCCACTGTCTTCCCAGTCGCATTGGTCCGGGCTGAGGTCATGCAGCGGGATGGGTTTCCGGCGAATTGTGCCATTTGATGACGATTGCCTTCGCGGCGAAGTTGTCACGGCGGCCATGGTGGCTGGAAGTGGCCCGACCGGGTTGTTCAGTTCGGCACCCAGCTGGCCGAGTCAAGCTGGCCGTTGGGCCGGGCAGGACAGGTGGGCGGAACGGTAGGCAGCGGCGCTGAACCGTGAGGGGGAGGGGGGAGGGAAACGACGTTATTGCAATTGCTTCGCTGTCATGTACATCTGGGCGTGCTTTGATGTTGCAGTTGCCTTTGTGAGTTGCTTTGTATCAGTTCAAGGGAAGAGAAGACGTCTACTCCTCGAGCCAGAGATTGAGCGGAGGGGAAGTTGTCGGAATACGGCTGGTTTAGCGAGCGACAGGGCCACGGCGAAGGCGTGGGACCGGACAAATGAATTAAGACTAACAGAGGTGCAACGATGTAGTTAGAGGAGCTCTATTCAACAGCCACGATACGATGGGCGAGTGAGGATTAAGATCGTGGCTTTGCAGGCACGAAACAACGAAACAGAAGAGGTGAGGTTGGGACTTCTCGCTTCACGTAACGCCCAGCAGGGTGGTGGAGTGAACCTCTGGGAGGGCGGCTTATACCTTCTAACTGCGTATAGCCTGTTATGGAATAAAAGAGGGATGGCGGACACGGCCAGCCCCTAGTTAAAGGAGAGGGGCCAAGAGCGAGTGGGAATGCGATGACGAAGAATGGAAACAGAAAACAGAAAAGAGACGGACTAGCTGCCTACCTTACTTAGGTCTTCTCCCAACGCTAAGCCTCTCGAACTAGGTAACTTGCACTCTTCCAATCTTGCACTTTTCACTATTTCCGAGTCCCTTTCTACTGCGATGAGAACTACCTATGCGATGAGAAAGTTCTGCGAGGATGCTGCGCGGATGGCACGAGGAGGGCAGCAACAAGCAGCAACGAGCTGCAACGAGCTGCAAAAACGAGAAGCCACAACCTACCTACCTACCTACATAGCTGCACTTCCAACAGTAACCTCCTGCCTACCATAGTAACAGGCGCACATCTTGGCGGAATCGAGATGCGCAGCGTATGCACGCTGCACGGTCCCCAAAACTCTCAATTGTATCCGCAAGTCCCTGCGAAACCTCGAGCGCTGCTCGGTTTGTGCGGGAACGGAATACACTGCGAGACTACTGACGTGGAGGGGTATCCTGTGCGACGAAGGAGTTCCTTTCGAGTACCAGTACATAATTCCCGATCCACGAACCCCACTATTCCCACAATCTGCCAGGGCAAGGAAGGTTCCATATCCACAACCACTCCACCCAGCAGTTCAACACGAGGGGATCCCTGATCTCCCGATTTGCGAGCCTAAAATTCCCTTTCTAGTCTTGGCAAGGGAGGCCCTGATCGGGTGCCCATCTACCGCCCATCATGGCCGTCGCCATTCAGGCCGGAAATGTCGTCGGCGAATCCGCCCTACCAACGAGATCCTCCCTCTCCCTGACTGTGAACTTTGCAGATGCACAACACGGGGTTTCCAAAACAAGGTTCTGGCGCTTACGCCCCGTGTGCATTGCCCAGCTTTCGTATGCAGACTGTATACGCAATACATACCTACTCCATGATAACAAGGTAGGTAGGTAGTTATATATTACGAGGGGCGACACGAGCGCCGCTGGGGCAGGTGACCCCGAGATCCCATGTGGGGAATGACTTCGTAAAACTCATTCATTGCTGAGCGATCCCGAGACCTGCCTTGAAAACGAGCCTTGCACCCATATGGTGCTGCTTGGAGAGGAATTAGGTGGTTCCCGCATTGCTTTCCAAATGGAGGCTGTTTTGCACAGAGTACAGTGTGGCGTCTGGGGGCTGAAGTCTGGACCCATCAGCCTCCTGCTTGTCATCCATGTTAGCTAGTAGCTGCAGTCAGTGCAAGCCATAAGCTAGGTCGCATTACTAGTTGCTATGGTTCGACATCTATTCCTGGACTTCGTCAGCTTCAGTCAGCTCAGCGCACAGTCATCGGTGCCATGGCAAGCAAAACTTGCGAGCATCTGCTTGAAACCTTATTGGAGGTCGCATTCAACACTCAGGCCCAGCTCCCTTGGCCAGTAACAACAGTGTCCTTGTCTTGTGACCGACCTCTTTTTTATTATTTATTATTAGGGGTCGCCTCCCCGATGCTACCTGTGCGGACAATATTCGTAACGACCTACGGACACTACGTCGGTAGTGATGTAAGGGACGACCCTGTGGGATCTGCGCGGCCATCGGCTCCCTTCTCTACCATATCCGGCCCAGCGTGATATTGATTTCTTGTTGCCAATCGACAACCTCAATGTTGGGATGGAGCGGAATTGCATAACCGCTCGCTCGCCAGCCCCGCACCTCATAGACAACCGATATACCTTTTCTAGCCTCACTGCAAGGTTGCCTGTCAAGTCTGTCATCCATCATTGACGTTTTGGCCTTGGTGTCACCGTCACTTATTGCGGTCCTCGCAAAGAAAAAAAAGAACTAATCGGCTCTTCGTGCCGTCCCAAGGAGAGAAAGAAGGGCCTTGTGAGCCTGGTGAAAGAACAGAGGAATGGAAGTCGGTCCACCAACTCCACAGTCAAGCCCACACCTTTCGAGTGGCGCCGATCCCAAGGTAGGGATAGGTTTGAAGTAAGAACGGTACTGTCGAGTATCGAAGGGTAGCGGTACATTTGATAATAATATGAGTCCACTTGCGCCATTGCTAGCGTCGTCCCTTAGTGTGCTCGTATTTGGTAACGGGTGTGCACCATCTGCGTTGCTAGGCCAAGCCAGATCCATCCTCTTGCCCTGTTTCCTTCCTTTTCTTTTGTTTTTCTTTTTGGCTTTGCATGGGTCCTGCGTATTTTAAATTGCATGTCGAGGCGCTGAGGCGCTCTAGCGTAACTCCCTCACTGCTCTAGTTTGGAAGGGGAATCGGGCCATCAGCCTCAAGCCCTCTCTGGTTCTCACATAAGATTACCATCATCCCACCTTGCATTGGAGGGCGACAAGGGGCGACACGACTGCAAACAGAACGGGTCATGATGTTGGTGCCAGTCGACTGCTGATCCTGATGGCGAAAGTCAGACCTTGTTAAACTAACCTGGTCACAAACCGAGTTACTCAAGATCCGGCCTCGCCATGACGTATCACACAAGTGCACCGCTTCGCAAGGCGGATCTGCCGTGATATCTTCTGCGTAACTGCCGGGGGTCGCGCCTCTCATATCAACAAGTGGATATATACCAGACATTGGACGACTGGAACGAGGGAGACACCAGGCGCGAACTCAGATGGCTCCTGGAAGGGTGTCAGGACGGTGGCTAGAGGGGCCCAGAGGGGGCCAGGAGTTCCCGCAAGCGGTATCTCGTTTTGTTTTCCCTAGCCAGGAACCAGCCCCAAAGTTTGTGCTTGTCCTGGAAACCTGACGCTATTTAGAGGGTATTTCCGGGACCAGAGACTCTCGTGGGGGGTTGGATGTGCGAGACTTGGTCGGCGTCGTGCATGCTCCGCGTGCGAGAGAATATAGCCTCATTGCTGTGAAACGGCAAGGAGCACCGGGGAAGCTCTGCCACGCTCTCTGAATTTCTAGACCTTCTTGCTTCTGCGTAATAACAGCAGCTCTTATTGACCTTGGCTGGATCTCGTTGGAGGAATTGTCTCAGAAAAAAACAGGGCCAGAAGCGAGTGACGGCCTGTGTGTGGTCTTGCAATCATCTGCTGATTCAGATCGGTGACGTTGCGGGAGATATCTGCCTCCTATATTATCCCCGTGCTTCTGTAACACGGCTGTCGAGTCTTTTGTCGGGATGCCCAAATGTAAAGTATCCACCGGGCCATCCCGAGTTTCTCCACCTCAAAAACAGGGAGTGGCGGGGTTTCTGGTAGAGATTGGGATGGGTCACGTTCCAGGGCAACCCCTGCCAATACCTGGTTTTGCCAGCTGACACTCTTACATAGCAGTGTACTTCGTACGTCCCCAGCCATCTCATGGAAGAAAACCGTGTACGGCTTCAGGCTCGCTATTCAAAGCTAATAATTGTTTCATAGCAAAAGCTACTACCGAAGTTACCTTACCTACTTACTCAACACAAGCAATACCAAGGGTGGACCGTAGGCAATTATAGTTGTGATGCGTGTATCTTTGTAAGAGTCGGGCCGCCGATTGAACGCGTGCTCTCGTGTCACTCACACGTGTCTCTAAAACAGGGGTAACTTCATACGAATCTTTTCTAATTAGCAATTATCCTGTGATGTCACTCAGGGGCCCTCAGCCAGGAAGGGAGGCTGGAATTGTGAGATTATCCTGGCTTCGTAGACCCTACTCAGTGAATATACACCAGCACAGTAGCTATGCTGCTATTCCCTTCCATACCTCTCAACCTCTGTAGACGCATAAGGGGCTTGCCAGTTTTGCCACTAAAACCCGCTGTGCACGGCTCTTATTGGTGATGGGCAAATACGAATAGGTAGACCTAGCAGTAGGCAGAGAAATGTAGAAGAATCTTCCCTTCTGTCCGCTTGTCTCTTCTTTGCTTCACCCCTTCCCAGCCATTGCAGCCATCATTCGTTTTGTGGCCATCGCCCGATCATCAATCGTTTGCTTGACCTTCTGTTTGGTCGTAGAGTTTTCTTAATTCTTTTTTTTTTGGGTCAGCCAGCTTGCATCGATGTCGGCGGAGCGATCGCAGGACCTGCAACCCATCATCAGCCGACGCTTTTCTCTCGTTTATTGCCCTTGAAACCACTCCTGCGCCGGTCCCGTCCCAAGTGTCCAGCCGCCTCAGAAACATACCGACCGACACAGGACAGCCAAGCAAGCACCCACTGCATCTACCGACCCGAATTTAAACGTTCCCTTCCAATTCCCAGACTCATCTTCCGCCGACTGGGGTCCAAAGAGCACTGCGGCTCTTCATTTGCATGCCCCGTGCTGCACTGTTGCAACTGTTCCGTTGGTTGGACCTGCTTCCTTTTTGGGACAGGTTTTTAGTCCGCCGTCCACCACCGTCTCGTTGCCCAGCGTTACTCCCGTCTTTCACCTAAGGAACCCCTCGCCTATAGCAGGGACAGCCGCCCCCCTCTTGGATCGGCTCAAAATCTGCTAGTCACGCATTCCCCTGCCGTAACCTAACATCTGTTCCTGTAAGGCACCCAACCTTCGACCCTCCAAACAATAACACAATCCCTACTCGGCATGGCATTGCGATTGCTGTCTGGCTGAGCGCTTTTCTACACGTACCTCGCTATTCCACTGCACTTTCTTTCCCTTGCGGCATCAGCTCCTACCATCCCTTACTGCCTGTCCACGCCGCGAACCCCAACTTCGTCGGGCCCTTGCGAGAAAAGGGTGAATTTGCCCTTATGCGCTGCTACTTTCTTCACTGGCCGCCCCACGGGAGAACATCGCTGACCTCGTAACTCTTCGTAGGACCATGTCTCTTCCCGAGAGGCCGGGCGCGACCCCGACATTCGAGCAGAGAAATGCCTACCGACACTCGCCCTCGCGGCGCCACCGCCCTGCGGACGTCGAAGCAGGCGGTTATCGTCCTGTCATTGCAGGACAGGCACTTCATCAACGTGGGCCATCAGCCACCTCTTTCGCCGAGACCATAACATCTCCTAATGCGACCACAGAGAGGCTCCCGCTTTCCCCGTCCCCAGACCACATTCCGTCCGCCGAACAGTCGTTTCAAAGGAAAAGGAGCCTCATCAGGCCGGAGCGGAAGAGGATCGGGAAAGACCATCCAAATTATCACTACATGAAACATGCCGCCAACATGGAAACCCTTCCTTCGTCCACCGGTAATGATCCCATACTCGAGGACCTCGAAGGAACTACAGAACACTCGGTATCGGCCGCCGGAGACATTGCCTCGGAGCCCTCTCCGTCGCGGGAACGCCCAGGCAGGCAAACCAGCGGCCATATCGAGAAGTCGAGCCGCGAAAAACGGAGACAGCCCGGACGGGGAAAGTCGAGCAAGATCACCAAGGAATCGAGGCACCACCGAGCACAGACGGAGCAGATACGGCCACCAAGCTTCTGGAACGTCTACTGTGCCATTGTGACATTCTGGTGCCCCGACTTTATCCTCAAATGTTTCGGCAAGGTGTCAAAGGCGCAGCAGCGGGCATGGAGGGAAAAGATGGGCCTGATCAGCATCATCTTGTTCATCATGGGCTTCGTCGGTTTCTTGACATTCGGGTTCAACCAGGCGGTCTGCGGAAGCCCTCCTCTCCGGCTGCGGGTCAACGAGGTCACCGATGGATTCATGATCTTCCACGGGTCAGCCTACAATCTCGACGACGCCCGTCACCCCGTTGCCGAGGGTATTCCAAGAAATTCGAGGGGCGAGCTTCCTGTCATCGCCTACGACATCCCTGGGAATAACGGGGGCAAGGATGGAAGCTTCCTCTTTCAAAACGTGAATGGAAAGTGCAAAGGGCTCATTAACAAGGCTGCAAACTCAGATGTTCCCAGTAACTCGAACGGGGACCTGGCGTGGTACTTTCCCTGCACCACCTTCAGGCAAGATGGGTCCACCCAGCCAAACCTTACCATTCCATACTACCTTGGATATGCCTGCCACACTTCACAGACGGCTCGCAATGCATTCTATCTGGAGCTCAGCGGTGCCGCCGACGTGTACTTCACATGGGACGATATTCGCAACAACTCGCGCAACCTGGTCGTCTATTCCGGCAATGTCCTGGACCTAGATCTCCTCTACTGGTTTAATGAGTCGCAGGTGTCGATTCCCAACCGGTTCAAGGAGCTGAGGGACAAGGGCACGCCTGCCAACCAGGCTATTCGTGGCCGTGATATCACCCGGGTTTTCCAGTCCTCGGGTGATAAGAGGTCTGCCGAATGCTTCGAGGAAATCATCAAAGTAGGCACCGTTGACACCGATACTGTGGGATGCATTGCGTCAAAGGTCGTCCTCTACGTCTCGCTGGTGCTCATCCTCTCCGTCGTCGTCGCGAGATTTTCCCTGGCTCTCATCTTCCAGTGGTTTATCAGCAAGACCTACGCCGCTGCGAAGACGTCCCAGACGTCCGACAAGAGGAAGCGGAATCGGCAGATCGAGGACTGGTCTGAGGACATCTACCGAGCTCCTATCCGCATGCCGGGGGACGTGGGAAGCAGCGTCAATGGCTCGGACCGCATAAGCAAGCGCAACTCGTTCCTCCCTACCACGTCGCGCTTCTCGACAGTCTACGGCACCGATCGCGGATCTCGCAGGTCCGCCTTGCCCACCACCATGGCAACCCAGAGCACAGCCGGCCAGCTCCTTCATCCCAACTCCATGTACAGGCAAGGGAACGATAGCCGCAGCAGCTTCCTGAAGTCGGACCCGTACTCTACCAGCGCTAGCCCCACTGACGGACCAGGTCCGGCTGGCTTCATTCACGAGGCTGTCGTACCCCAGCCGCCTTCTGACTGGATGCCGTTCGGCTACCCCCTAGCACACACCATCTGTCTCGTCACGGCGTACTCTGAAGGAGAACTAGGTATCCGCTCAACCTTGGATTCGGTGGCCATGACCGACTACCCCAACAGCCACAAGGTCCTCCTCGTTATCTGCGACGGCATCATCAAGGGCAGGGGCGAGTCCATGTCGACGCCGGACATTGTTTTGGGCATGATGAAGGACCACACCATTCTCCCGGAGGAGGTGGCGGCATTCTCGTACGTGGCAGTTGCTAGCGGATCGAAGCGCCACAACATGGCCAAGGTCTACTCGGGCTTCTACGACTACGGCGCCAAGTCCAACATCCCGCTCGACAAGCAGCAGAGGGTGCCCATGATGGTGGTCGTCAAATGCGGCACTCCCGACGAGGTGATGAAGTCCAAGCCCGGCAACCGAGGCAAGCGAGACAGCCAGATCATCCTCATGTCCTTCCTCCAGAAGGTCATGTTTGATGAACGCATGACGGAGCTCGAGTTTGAGATGTTCAACGGCCTGTGGAAGGTAACTGGGATATCTCCCGACTTTTATGAGATGGTCCTCATGGTGGACGCCGACACCAACGTCTTCCCCGACAGCCTGACACACATGATCTCTGCCATGGTTAAAGATCCCGATATCATGGGCCTCTGCGGCGAGACCAAGATTGCGAACAAGAGAGCTAGCTGGGTCTCGGCCATCCAAGTCTTTGAATATTTCATCTCGCATCATCTCTCCAAATCCTTCGAGTCGGTCTTCGGAGGTGTCACCTGCCTGCCCGGCTGCTTCTGCATGTACCGCATCAAGGCTCCCAAGGGGGCTCAGAACTACTGGGTCCCGATCCTGGCCAATCCCGATGTCGTCGAACACTACTCGGAGAACGTCGTCGACACGCTGCACAAGAAGAACCTTCTGCTGCTCGGCGAAGATCGATTCCTGTCTACTCTGATGTTGCGGACCTTCCCCAAGCGTAAGCAGGTGTTCGTGCCGCAGGCCGTCTGCAAGACGACCGTGCCGGACAGCTTCAGCGTCCTCCTCTCTCAGCGACGACGGTGGATCAACTCGACCATCCACAATCTCATGGAGCTCGTCCTGGTCAGAGATCTCTGCGGTACCTTCTGCTTCAGCATGCAGTTCATCGTGTTTATCGAGTTGATCGGCACCCTGGTACTGCCCGCCGCCATCGCCTTCACCTTCTATGTTGGTATGTATTATTGTTGCCTCTCTGTCGCCGCTGATTTCCCCGACCTCACCAGCTACTAACCTTGTTTATCCAGTCATCATCTCCATCATCCACTCGCCACCCCAGATCATCCCGCTCGTCCTACTCGGCCTCATTCTCGGTCTTCCAGCGGTCCTCATTGTCGTCACTGCCCACTCGTGGTCATACGTCATGTGGATGGCCATCTACCTGCTCTCCCTGCCAATATGGAACTTCGTCTTGCCAGCCTACTCTTTCTGGAAGTTTGACGACTTCTCGTGGGGCGAGACGCGCAAGACGGCTGGCGAGAAGACCAAGAAGGCGGGTATCGAGTACGAAGGCGAATTCGACAGCAGCAAGATCACGATGAAGCGATGGGCCGAGTTCGAGCGGGACAGGCGGGCGCGGGCCACTTACTGGGGCCTGAAGGACAACGCGGGAGGCGGCAGTCATATTTATTCTCAGCCTGCTGGCCATCAGCATTACGACGAGTACTACTCGGACGCATAGGTTATGGCCGAAGGGGCTGCCATGGTTCTTACCGAGGGCGAACGTGTGTGAGGTACGGGGGAGGGTCGAAAGAAAATAATAATTCATTCGGAGATTCTTTTAATTTTGCACGAGGGAGACGGGGGCGACCGGTTCTAGTTGGCGATGGCCTGGCTTGGGGTTCCCTTGGCTTATCGTTCCTACTTTCTCCTTTGTATATATGGATGTGTCTACATTGGCCGCCATGCTAAGAGCCAGTGTAGAGGGGAAGCGAGAGCATTAGGCAGGCGCACTTCTTGGGAGTTATTCTTTGGTCTTAGGAGTCTTTGTAGATAAGGTAACCCGGTACTAAGATACATACCTAGGTAGCTATACTAATTGTCACGCTGTTCTTATGAATATGAATTGGAGGATCGTATCCCAAGCACTTATATTATAATATAGGTTGTCTTAGGTAGGTACCTCTAGTTCAAAGGGCTCTCTCTCTCTCCTACCTCAGGCCCAGTTTACGAATGAGTTCCCATTTCCCAGACTGCTGAGTAAGTGTCAGACGTTCCAAGGGGCTGCTTGTGTAAGCTGCCGAGGGCTGCGGGGTGGCCGGAGTTCAGTGTAACTTGCACCGGGCCTCCTGTGGGGAGCATTAAGCGCCTTTCCGTGGTTCGATGGATTCCAGCAAAAGATGGGGAACACGATACCTCCCCCAAAGAAACCCTCCCCCCAAGGTAACGCCCCTCCCACAGGGTAGGTACTGTACCAAGGAAGGAAGTTACCTATGGGAAGTTGGAATAAAGAACACAAACCCCTTTCTCTTTCTCACCGGTTCTCGTGCGCCCCCTCGGGAGAAGGGCCCGCCATTGGACGGCCGTGGGGAACGGTGTGGGGTGGGAGGGATGAGCCCCCCCCCTTTCGAGCACTTGCAGCCTTTCCGCGCCGTTAACGACGTTCTCGGTTGGAGGAAGGGATCGAAAATGGGGCAGCCTCGGGGGTGCTAGCCTACTAACGAATGTGACACATCACAATGCGTCTGGTCGAGTCCCTGCTGTCATTGCACTGGAGGCTGACCTTGTAAATGTCTCTCTCAATGGGGGATGGTCTCAGGGCTGCGACTAGACAGGTACAGTACCTTGGGTCTTCCCTTGCTGAAGAGGGTTCGGAAGGCTGGAGGATAGGTAGGTTATTAAGGTAGCATCCATAGTAATGTCCAATAACTAAGTGATACACCAGGTACCTCGGTTCCTCGGTACTATGGAAGTTATGTCTAGTATGGATACTACCGTCGTAACTGAGAAGTGACTGATGCTATCAGCCGTTGGAGGACGAGCGCCTCCAAATGGGTGGAGAATTACGGATACCTAAAGTCAAAAATTAAGGTAAGACGAGTCAACTTGCCAATGGCCCCACTTACGTACCTACCTCCATACTTCCTGTACGACGGGCAGACCCGACATCAGATAGGACGGTTCGTTCCTCCAAGATCAAACTCCCGTCAGGAAAGACTGAAGGTCAACTGAAGCTACGTGCATTGCCGCGGCTTTGATTTCCGTCAACTTGGGTGCGGGACCACCTGCCTCGTCCCGCATTAGCAGCAACTGTTTGCCGACAACTTGCTGAGCGGCAAGACCCGCCCCCTCTCCCGACATCCAACCTTGGTCTCCGGTCCTTGGTCCCCTAGTCCCGGCACTGTGGGGAGTGGCAAGGCGAGGTCAAAGATCAAGCAAGCTCCTGGCTCCGACGCCTAGGGAGAGACAGAAATCCATTTGTTTCTTCCCGTTCCTCGGTGTGCGCTCTCGCTCTGCGATGCGCGTCAGGCTTGCTCACAAGGATTAACCAACCTTGACTGCTTGCCCACCATGGGCCCCGAATTTCTATCCTCTCGAGGCGATCGCCGGCATCGCCAACCCCAAGACGGCGACAGTTTCGAGGACCCCGTCGAGTCGGGCCCTTCTGCCGCACTCGCACCCGCAGCCGAAGAGACTGACGACACCTTGATGACCTATGCTGACGACGAGCGAGAAGAGGGCCAGGAGGGTGAGGAAGACGATGAAGACGATGAAGACGATGAAGACGATGAGGAGGACGACGAGGACGATACTGCCGACGTCTGCTGTGGCCACCACAACCACCACCACAATCCGCACCATCACCTCCACCAACAATCCTTTTGCCACGACTTTCCGGAGCTCTACGATTCCGATCCATATCCATCTGACGACCTCGACATGTCAGACGACGGTGGCGCTCCGCTGGTAAACTACCTCGACACTGCCAGCCTTCTCACCAACGACATCAACATGAGCGCCAGCTTTTTCGGGAACGGCTACGGGTACGATCTCTGGAGCGGTTCCAACGTCCCCGGCGCATTTTCTCAAGCGGGAAGCCAGGATCAGGATACAGCCGTTCAGGATGACGGGTCCGTATCGGACGATTCATTACCTGCGGAACTGACAAGCAACTTCACAAACCCTGCCTTCCCCTTACAACAAGCCCCACCAGATCCGGCACCGCCGCCGCCGCCGCCGCAGTTCGAGCAATTCTTATTCGACTCTGAGCCTGACTCTTTCATAATGTGGTTCCCGGGCGGGCATCCTGTTGCCTTGAGCAATCCAAATCCGAACACGCTTGGGCCGGGAAACTACGGCCTGGTGGATTTCCTCAAACATTGGGCTGGACAGAGCCCAGGCTTGCAAGGACTGAGCAGAGAACGGGGGAGGTTCCCATGGATGGGGAAGATCAACGACCAGAATAAGACACACCTGACTCACGTCCAGTACGCCGACCTGGAAGGGGATCAATGCGACTTTCAGGGGATGGACTGGGAGGACTTGGGGGTTACGCGGAAGGAAGCGCGGGAGCGCCGCCTACTTACCTACACCAACTACGTCAATAAAGCAGGCTCCGACAGGTGGAGTGTGAGTAGTTCCCCGGGTTCCCCGCTACACCCTCACTCTTGCGCCGTGGTCCAGACAAAGGACTAACCAGCTGCCATAGCCCCATTTGCCAGACGTGAGCCTACCGCGGACGGATAGCTTCTTCCGATTCCGTCGCATGGACATCAGGCGGAACGTCCACCTCTCCCACTTCCAGCTGCGAAATGTGCTGGCAAGTGCATCTGGCACTCAGGCGTTCTACACGGGAAACGGCGTCGTCCACAAGTTTAACCCCGTCTCCGGCGAGGGAAAGACGGTCATGAGGTTGGGTGACATGCCGGCTTCCCAGATCTCGACGCTCGCGGCCGAACATGATGTTCTGATAGCCGGTGGCTTCACTGGCGAATATCTTCTTCGCCGTCTCGATGCCGGCGACAATGACGATGCGGCCTGTCACGAGGGAACCATCACCAGCCACATCAGCGGCATCACGAACCACGTGCAGATCCACCAGGCGCGGCAGTCGTCCTCCCCGAGAGCCGCGTTTGCCTCGAATGACATGTGCTTCCGAGTGATGGACGTCAATACCGAGACATTCTTGTCCTGCGAGGCGTTTGATTACCCGCTCAACTGCACTGCTCTATCGCCGGACCGGCGTCTCCGGGTCATGGTCGGCGACCACCAGAACGTCCTGATCACGGCCGCCGAATCCAGCTGCGGCCAAGGCAGACCGGAGATTGTGCAAGAGCTCGGCGGCCACCGCGATTACGGCTTCGCGTGCGACTGGGCGGACGACGGCTGGACGATAGCCACGGGGTTCCAGGACAGGTCAGTCAAGATATGGGACGCCCGCCGGTGGACCAACAGCTCGGGCGTCGCGACGCCGCTATGCACGCTCCGGACGGAAATGGCCGGGGTCCGGAGCCTGCGCTTCTCGCCGGTGGGGAGCGGGAAGCGCGTGCTCGTGGCGGCGGAGGAGGCGGACTTTGTCAGCATCATCGACGCCCAGACCTTCGGCTCGAGACAGACGGTGGACATATTCGGCGAGATCGGCGGGATCACGTTCAGCAACTCGGGCCAGGACCTGATGGTGCTGTGCTGCGACCGCGTGCGCGGCGGGCTCGTGCAGCTCGAGAGGTGTGGGCTCGGGGCCGAGGCGAGCTGGGACGCCGACGAGGAGCTGCTGGGCCGCCGGGAGCAGTGGTGGCGGAGGGGCGGCACCTACGACTGGCCGCGGTCCGAGTTCACCGAGGAGAAGAGGACCCGGGAGTCGGTGACGAGGAGGCGGAGGAAGGGCGCCGCCCTGGACGCCATGGAGCCGTTTTGAAGGGGTTCCATTGACGTCGGTTTTTTCTCTCTCTCGAGACTTTGCAGCCTATATAGCCGGAGCTGTGGGTTAACTGAACCGGTATTACTGACTAGTTGGCTGAAAGGAAGGATGGATGGATGGGATGGGATGGGATGGATAGGTGGCGTTTTGGTGCATCTTGAGAGCATATCCCATACTAGGCCTCTGATTCCCCGAACCTTTTTGCTTTTTTTTCTCTTTTCTTTCTCTTCATCCCCGGCATCTGCATTCGCTGCTCAGCGGTCTGTCGTTACATAGTGGTCTCATCTGACACCAGATACTCGTCCGGCAGGCGGAAACTGGTTGGTATCATGGTTCGTTTGTTTTGCTGCACTTCAATGGACATTCTGAAGTCCAGGCATTGGGACAGGGGACCTGGAATACCTCAGGACAAGTTTGGTTCTGTCGTTTCTCATGCATATAAAGATATCCAAGCTCGCGAACGAGGTCCACACTCACACTCGAGCATCTCTGGCATGTACTTACCTGCATTACTGTTTTTGTGGCTTGAAGGAGGCGTGGAATATACGAGGGAATGGGCAACAGATTCTGGTGGTACGCAGTTAATATACCAGACTGGTACCCAGGGATACATATATACCTACATACCCCTCTTCCTGGGTTGGTCACTCGCTCGTTTCACGCTCGACGAGCCGGAAGAGAGAGGCTTGAATCGAATCGAGGCCACGTGCCTACTTCCCCGATCTAGGTGTCTCTCCTTTATATCTCGCCATGTGACTATGCTTAAGATCCAGACCAGCAGGCCTGCCTTAGCCCCCAATCCACTCTTTTTTCTACGCTCATTCCAACACACAGACACACCCTCAAGGTTGATAGTGCTAGCGGGGTCTGATTGAAAGGCCATGGATGGTACGGGCCTTCGCTTTACACAATTCTGCTCGCTAGAGTACGTCAGCTTGCGGCTGCCATGTGGTTGAGTCGCTCAGACTTGCTGAGGAACTGCGGTGGGAAAAGGGGTTGTGGTTTTCTACTAGGCAGAATCTCTATACCAAACACCAGAAAGTACGGACGCGGTGCCTCGGACCTCAAGGAGATGGGGATGTTTTGCTCGGTCTCACCACGTTCTTGACACCAAACGATGAAAAACAATACTGGTTGTTGTTGTTGTCGCGGAACTATTTCCGGGGATGATCGGTTCGGTTCACTCAGGGTCCTATAGTGGTGACTCACATTGCCATAACATTCCACTCAAGGATAGCCCCTTCTGCGGAATGCAAGAGTGGAGTGGTCGATTCCTTCCTGTCTTTGCCGCAATACCTTATCCGCGTGATACCGTATCCGTACATGTGCATATTATCGTCAGCTACGACGGCATGCCGGACACCCCTATAGACGGCCCCCATCATAAGGGGGATGAAGGTAGTTATGGAACGCTGCTTGCATACTCAAAGTAGGTACGTAGGCACTAATAAATTACAACATTATGAATCAGATGCTATTTCACAGACCCGTTTGTTTGTTCAACGTTTGGCACCCAAATCCATCATGATCAATCGGATACCTGATTGCGAGGCCATCCCCCGAGACCCAGCCCGCGACGTCCTTCCCGGTGCAGCCATCGCCGACTGCACCAGGGGGTATGGATGGACAGCCGCCGCGGACAGAGTCTTGAGGGGCCAAAAAGGCATCATATAAATACTGCCAACGAAAAAACCCGACCATAATCTGGCCCGTCAGCTACGGAGGTCGGACTTGTCTCTCACACCCTAGTCTTCGGCGAAATCTAGGCGCCGAAGAGCTGGCCACAGCCCCAGTGCTGCTCGCACTGGCAGTCGCCGGGCTTCTTCCAGTGGTCGTCGCCGAAGCTGAAGAAGACGACCTTGTGGCCGACGGCCTTCTTGATAGAGGTGATGGCGGCGGCCTGCTGCTGGTAGCCGGCGCAGGCCTTGCCGATGCAGTTGCCGGCGGACGGCCAGCCCGACTCCATGACGTAGCCCTCCTTGCCGCAGACCTGCTCAACGATCTTGAGCTGGCCGGCGACGAACTCGCCGGCGGCCTGGGGCAGGGTGTGGTCGTTGAAGTAGGCGTGGGCGTTGGTGCCGACGACGTCGATGAGGGCGCAGATGGGCTGGACGTTCATGCCGACCCAGGCCGAGACGACGTCGGTGGTGGTGCAGGGGCCGCGGTAGCCGACCGAGCCGAGCTCGCTCTTGACGTGGGTGATGAGCTGCGCGAGCTGCGGGACGGTGCAGAAGCCGTTGAACAGGGCCTCGTTGCCGACGACCAGGAGCTCGACGAGGTCCCACTGGGCCCAGCTCTTGATAGCGGCGACCTGCTCGGCGACGTCGGGCGAGCCGTTGTCGCAGCCGACCTCGCCGATGAAGACGCCGATGATCATCTTGACGCCGGCGGCGCGGCACGCGGCGCCGACGTTGGGGAGCGTGTCGCAGTCGGTCGAGTAGACGCGCACGGTGCTGAAGCCGGCGTTCTTGATCTTCCGGATGTCCTGCATGACCGCACCGGCGCTCTTGCACTCACCCCCTTCGGTGTAGGGGGTGTAGGTGATGGCCCACTGGTCGCCACCCGAGCCGAGCTTGGGCGGTTGGGTGGGCTTGGTCACAGACTTGGACTTGGTCTTGCTGGGCTTCTGGACGGCGTAGGTCTCGGTGGGGGCGACCGGGACAGGGGTCGGGCTGGTGAAGGGGCAGTAGATGACGACGTTGGTCTCGGTGATCGTGGTCACGACAGCGGGAGCGGTGTAAGTGCCGGGGCTGTAGGACGTGACGACGGGGACGACGACGACAGTCTCCTCGACGGTGACAACAGTGGTGATGGGGGCGATCGTGTAGGTGCCGGGGGTGGGGCAGACGTAGGTGGTCGTCTCGATAACGCTGGTGACAACGTTGCCCTCGGTCTTTGTGGTAGCATACGGGCAGACGATGGTAGTGGCAGTCTCAACAACAGTGGTCACTCCTCCGAGGGTGTGTGTGCCGCTGGGAACCAGGGTTGTCGAGGCACCGCACACTGTCGTGGTCTCGGTCACCACCACGGTCGTGGCTGGGAATGTGTAAGTGCCGGGAGTCGGGCAGGTCTGGGCGATCGGCGTCGGGACGGTTATGGGGCCCTCGTATGTTGTCACCGGTACGTATGTCGGAGTCGGCTCTACAGGAACGTAGGTCGAAGGAGGAGCAGGAGGGGTGTAGACTTGGATGGGGTCAGTTAGTCTGAATGGGGGGTATCCGGCCAGGCTTGGGGCGTCTATTTTGTTCACATACGGGTTGGCTCGCCGGTGACGGTGGTGTAGATGGTTGTGCAGCCGGGAACACAGACTTCGCTCTCATTATACCCCCTCTTGACGGCCTTGAACAGGTCGTGGGCGTGGCGATGGTTGTGGCCAGCACTCACACCTCCAGTGAGAACCGCAGCCGCAGCTGCTACAATCGTCGCCTTCATGACTCCTAACGTTGCCAAAAGCTAATCGATTCGATTTTGTTTTCTGTGTATATCCAATCACAAGGAACGAACGCCCGCTGAAAGAGTGAAGCGGTGGTGAGGAAGGAGGTAGGTAACGAATGACGGAAGGGGAAGATGCGTCCTATATCAACAGCATCAGGAGGGAGGCGGTAAGGTCAGGAAAGGGAGGAGGAACGCAAGGACCAAGAAAAAGAGACAGGCTGGTGATATTATTAGTCTAATTGTGGTTTTCACAGAGTAGCACCGAGGGGGGGCTCCCCATCCAGGGCCTGGGATGGGTACGGCGCGCCGTCCTTTCCCCCCTTGTCCCCCTTGTCTTGGCCCTGCTGGACGGTGGAGCTCAATCAGACCGTCAACTGGATGGCAAACAGACTAACAGAGACACGACGACGGGGATCATGGCGATGGACTGTCTCCACGTTCCATCTCAAGCGGACTTCGGAGCCACTCGGCTTCAGGCTGGATCGCCCTGCTCTTGCATCTTGGACAGGCGCCATCTCATTACCTGGAAAGAGGCCAATTACCAGAAATGATGGAGTTGGGGGGCGCGCACAGAGGACTCGAGCCGCTGGCTGACGGGATTGGCTAGCCGGCCTTGGTAGTGTCTCTTTCCGACTCGTGGTTGGCTGGCGTGTCTCGAGGGAAAATTAGTTAAGCGACATTAGCACAACGTTAGTCGACAACTCCTTCCATGAATGCCCAGCTAGACTAATAAAAGCCTGGTCAACCGTCGAATTCCCCTGGATTTGCATCCTTGTAATGTTGTTTATCGTGTGCGTAATCTGTATCCGTATGTACGTACATATATTTTAGGTAGTTCTTATGCCTCCCGATTTGCCAGGGCCCAGCCAGGTCGGATTCTTCACAGTCGTCTGTGCGGACGAAGGAACTCGAGAATGAGTGTCTTCTTCTACTCATTACTTCAATTCATGGGTCTCCAGCGAAGAAACTAGCCTCAACTTCCCGAGTCACCCGGGTTGCCAGCTGGCCGAGTTCCTTGGCTGACAGGTTCCGCGCTGCTCATCACGGTCGACCCATCTCAAAGCGGCTGGTGAGGCCGGTCGATTAAGAGTGGCCCTGTACGGTCTGTACCTGCATTTTGCAGGGCCGCCATCCAGGAACGGTGTTAGCCGGCCCCTGGTGGCTGCGGTGGATACCACCTTATCCCAGAGCTTCCCCGCATAAACCGTAAATTGTGCAAATCTTGAACCTGTGCTGGCCTTGCTGGCCTTGTTGATGAACTTTGACGCTACGATTTCAGCTGCATCTGGGCTGGCTTGTTGATCTGATCACTTCCCCTGTCGCCAGTATCGATTCTCACAGGCTATTCTCATACGCTCATACCTCATCGTAGAGCTCTCCGCTCCCAAATCCGGTTGATCTAGTGTGGTCTAGGTCTGTGGCGTATGTGTGGGCGTGCTTGTTTATACTTTACACAGCCTCAGCCTCAGGGACAGGAAGACGAAGGAAGTCAGTTCCACTTCGGGAAGCTGGCTTCCAGCTCGTATCCCTAAGTGGTTGGTGCGACCACCCGATGCGCCCAATTCAGAGGCAGCCATGTAGGACATGTCAACAGAAAGCGACAACAAGGGGTTTGACGACTCCACTGTCTCCTGAGTTCCCTGTAAGCCGAGATCGACAAAACAACAATTAATGTCTTTTGCCGTATGCGTAGCCATGATTGCCAAGAGATCTAGAATCTAGAACGCGTGCCAATCTAACTTCCGGCCCGCGCCAGGCATGGGCAACAATGAAACAAACACACCGAGTTCCGAACCCTAACCCTGGACATCTTCAGCCACAATGGTATCCACGCAGCCTGGTTTCACAGGGATCTATGATTGGGCACAGAATAGGTTGAACGCCACAAGCAACCAGGCTGAGAGAACTTCTTCAAATAGGAAGCCTCGAGACATCCCAGTCATAGCCTCGCACACGAGGACGAATTGGCGCGATGCTGCAACTGAAGAGTCCTCCCTATGTGTGTTGGATATGTCTCTCTGGGAAGAGGCTCTCTGGCTCGTCTGTCCGCATACTTCCTGGACGCCTGTCGGCAGCTCAGTCCTTTAGGCCAATAGCTCATCCAACAGTCGCTGCAAGGGCTGCAAGGGCATGTATGGTCCTGCTCTGGCCGGCCTCCTTTATCAACCCGCCTCGAGCTGTGTGGCTGACTCTTTATAGACTCTAGCCACAGTTCAGCACTCAGACAAACCGTCCCTTCCGCAGGACCCGTTTTCAAATGCTATCTCCGACCAAAAGCCCTCCGAGCATGTTAACATCCGGGACCGCCTCCGGGCCTGGGAGGCGGAGAACCCAGAACCTGCTCAGCTGATTCCGAGAGATCATCAAGAGTCGGGAGCCGCAGCGGATTACATGCCGCAAAGCCAAAGCCCGTTCATGGTGGAGGTCGAGACCGACTCAGATGCACAAGACTTCAACCAACATCTCTATGACGGCGACGACCTGGTTGATCTACGGTCCAATGCGGCGGTCCTCCAAGCCGGTGACTTGGTCGAGATAAGGTGGGGAGAAAGACGCTGTCATAAATACCCTTCTCCTGGCTGACGAGACCTCGCAGCTCAAGCGCATGGCGGATACAGCTGCTGGCCGTTTGCCTCGGTGAATTTAACGGTTACCAGCATTTCTACACGAACACTGGTAAATGGTTTACCACTCATGGCGTCCGGACACTCTTCACGGTCAAGGGCTTTGCCGACGCATCTGAAATCGGACCAGTGGCCGATTCCTTGCCGTCAAAATCAGCATCCGTGGGACTGTTGAATATTCTCCAGGATCTGAAGGCCGGTCCCTCGCGCCATGTTGGCGCCGGTTTGATCCGGAAGATGAACTCGTTCCTCGATGACACGCGCTTCATCTACCAATCCAACGCGGGAAAACTCGACAATGCGTTCCGATACCTCGGGGGGGATGAGAAGTCCATGGCCTTGGCCGACATTGCCGGTGTCTTGCTTCACAAGGGGTTTAAGAAGAGGGACAGGTTCACACCGGCAGCATTGTATGCTGTGCACAGGGCTCTTCTGTTAGACGATGTCGGATTCCGTCCCGCAAGCCGCGTCGACCATACTCAAACCTATCTCTTCGAGATCACTTCCGAGGCTGACGTCAAGACCATCGACAAAGTCGAGATGCTTGTGCAGAAGCATTACGAGCAATCCGTCTCTAACAGGGGCAAATGGTCCGACGACGAGCTGGAAGCCTCCGTTTTTGGCGGGTTCCTGCTCAAAGCTCGTAAGGCCATTGACGACGGCCGTCGCAGCAGGATGTGGTCCCCTCACGGAACACTGAGGACGTCATCGATTCCCGCCTCCCCGATCCTCCCCGGCTGGACCGATTTGGATCTCGAGCTCATCCAATTCATGCACATGTGGGCTGCGTCGGAAAAGTTCGGCAGCTCATCGCAGCGCCACTGGATTGGATCAGCCATTCTACGGGCTCTAGGCCGGTATCAGGATTGCGAGTACCTGGACCAGGCCGTCGCATGGACATTTCTCCAAGAAATCGGTTGGGTCAAGCCGTGGGAGATCCAAGCTCGTTATAGACTCCGACTTACTGGTGTACAACTCGAACGTGGCGGAGGGGTAAAGACCACCGAGGGGGCTTTGGTGAAGTCGCTACTTAAGCCCGATATTTTCAGTGGCCGTAGGAAAGACTTTGCTAAGACCCGGGTATTCTGCATCGATGCTGAGAGCGCCTCGGATATCGACGACGGCGTCTCACTTGAGCCCACCGAAACTCCCGGGGAGTATTGGATCCACGTACACGTCGCCGACCCTACCTCGTCTATCCGTGTTGACAGCCCTTTGGCAAACCAAGCCGCTCTTGTCCCCCAAACGGTCTATCTCCCAGGGCACTTCAGTCGTATGCTTGACAACGACATTATTAGGAAGAAATTCTCCTTGGCCGCGGGGCGGCCTTCTCTCACTTTCAGTGCGAAAGTGAACACCCAAGGCGCCTTGCTGGACTACAAAATTACCCCGGCTTTCTTGCGAAATGTCACATACATCACCGGCGACGCGGTTTCTGCAGCCTGTGGCGAGGAATCGCCACAAGAGGCTTGCCCTCGTGAGGTATTCGCCGTGGGGAAAGCGTCTGCCACAAAACTGCCGCCCAACAGACATATGACCAAGGCCGAGGACCTATCCGCCAAGGACATCGATGACCTCCAGACTCTGTCGCGCCTAGCCAAGGCCATCCGAGGTAATCGCCTCGATAAGGGCGCCATGCCCACCTATCTCCCAACTCCGTCGGTTACCGTCTCTTTTCAGGGTGTGGAGGTAAACAAGTCTCCCGACGGCTTCATGCGCTGCTCCGGTGACCCGTATATTAAGATCGCGTACGATTCATCAAGGGGCAACCCCATCGTCGATGGCACGATGCAGCTGGCAGGCGAGGTCGCCGCGCGGTGGTGCCACGAACGGGGAATCCCCATCCCTTATAGGGTCCAGCCGCGAGCCGCCCAGAACATGGACCTCCTCCGCAAATTCACGCGGGAGGTCTTCTATCCGCAGCTCGCCAGCGGCCAGCGGCCGAGCGAGGAGAACTGGCAAGTCATACGCACGCTGAGCGGCGGGTACGACATCTCCACCACGCCGACGCCGCACTTCACCATGGGCATCGACATGTACACCAAGGTCACGTCGCCGCTCCGGCGCTACGCGGACATGCTCGTCCACTGGCAGATCCAGGGGGCGCTGCTGGAGGAGGAGCGGCGTGGCGGGTCGCTCGTGGGCAACACGGACGACAGCTTCCTGCCGTTCGGGCGCGAGGAGCTGGAGCAGCAGGTGTTCCCCATGCTTCGGGTGCGGGAGCGGCACGCCGTGCTGCTGGACCGGTCCCAGGGGACGGGCGAGTGGATGCTGCAGGCGCTGGTGCGGGCGTGGAGGTTCGGCGACGCCGTCACCGAGGGCGCCGCGCTGCCGCCGACCTTCCGCTTCACCGTCGCCGACGTGGTCGAGAAGAGGGTGCTCAAGGGCAGGCTCGACTGGTTCGACCGCCCCGCCCTGATGCAGGCCGAGGGCCTGGTCGGCGCGGGCGAGGGCGGCGCGTCCATGAGGATAGCGGACGTCAACGTCGGGGATGTCTTTGAGGTCGAGCTGAGCGACGTTGTTGTCTGTAAGAGGAGGATCCTCGTCAAGGCGCTGAGGAGGGTCGAGAACATGGGGGGCATGATCTCCAGAGCCCCGTCCGCATGAGGGTAGTGTTAAGATAATAATGTTGTTTCTCTAGTTACCCCCGGATATAAAGGAATGTACGGATGTACGATAGTCCCAATTCTGGTCGATGGCTCTAGGGACGAGCTGCGACGGACTTTATAGAATCATAAATGGTGACCCCTTAAGGCCCCTTTCCAAACACATGGCGTTTATGCTTTGCAGGCCAGCTGAACCGGATAGAAGCGAGAATGTAGAGAAGACAACAAGGCCGGACGCATCGTGGTATCATTTCAATATCATATTGTACACGCCAATCAGCTAAGCTAGCTCCCCCGCAAACCAAGTCCTAAAAGGCCACCAGGACCACCGAAAAAGCCAAGCATCCTGCAGGATTGCAAGCCAAACAAGCACACACCCCTCTTACAACCCCGCAAGCACGCTCTGGATGCCGACGGTGCTCGAGTCCTCCCTCCGCTGCACAAACGCCTTGAAGTCGGCCTTCTGCAGCTTCTTCCCGGGGCCGGGCGGCCCCGAGCCCAGGTTCCGGGACCTCTCCCTGAGGGCCTCGGGCCCGATGATGAAGAGGTAGCCGATCTCGGTCAGGACCTCGACTATGCCCTCGACCTCGCGGGCGAGCGGCCACCCCTTCATGGTGGAGACGTACTTTGCGATGTCCTTGGTCATCATGAGTCCGCCCGTGGCGTTGACCTGGAACTTCTTGAAGTGCTCAAAGAGCAGCGCGTGCACGGCGAGGGCGAGCTCGCCGCTGAACATCTCGAGGTTGCGGCCGTCTACCGCCTGGCCCGACGCGGCGGCGACCTTGTCCAGGAAGGTGCAGATGGCCAGGCAGGTGGGCGTCTGCAGGGAGTCGACGACGCTCTCGAGGTCCGTGTCCTTGGGCCGGAAGTCGGCCTTCTTCTGCTGGGAGAGGGACCTGTTGACGTAGTTGAGGGCCACGTCCATGGTGCTCCGCATGACGCTGTTTGTCTTCTTCTCCGTCGCCCCGAGGGCCATCTTGGTCTGGGCCTCCATGTTCCTGCGCACCGTCGCGTTCCCCTCGGCCAGACGGATGAGCACCGTCGTGATGAAGCGAGACATGATATTGGTGATGGTGACGGCCGGGCGTATCGAGGGCAGGTATGACAGGTCGGGCTCGGTTTTGATGTTCTCCTGCGCCGTGGCCGCATCCAGCGCGGCGTCGAGGGCGGTCTCGACATAGACCTGGCCCATGGTCGTGAGGAGGAAGTTGAGAAGGACGCTGACATCCTTGGGCGTCTCGCTGGCACTGCCCAGTTCCAGTGCTCTCCGGACGCTTTCGGCCAACCAAGTCATCATCCTCTTCGCATTTGCGGTGCTGAGGACGCCGTCCTCGTCCGACACCTCGATATCGTTCTTGTTGTTGCTGTTGTCCTTCAAGCCGGCAACGCGCAGCATCATGGCTTTCTGGGTGGCCGTCAGGTCCGACGAGTCTAGTCGCTCCATATAAGCGTCCTTCGCCGAGGCCAGCATCTGATTCCCTTGCTGTGCGATTGCCGCCATAAATCCCGTCGGCGCCCTTTTCCTCCGCGAGTGGTAGATGGTGAATTTGAAGAGGAGCGAGCTGTACAATTCCTCCAAGCTTCTCCTCTCCCTATCGATATACGACGTTCCGACAAGATACGGAACAAATAACTCTTCCAGCTGCTGGTCCAGGGTCTGGGAGATCTGGGCCGAGACGGGCTCGGGGTGTTCTGTGAGACCGTGTGCCTTTAGATCCTCGACCAAGGCACTTATATAACTGCGAGATGCGTGCAGAGATCGAAGGAAGGCCAGCGAAGACACCGTGGTGGCCTTCTCCAGAACCATCTCGAGCCGCTGTTGAATTGATTGCTGGAATACTCGCTGGATAAACTTGCCCAAGACGGTTTCAGCAAAAGGGAAGGCTCGCTTGATGATGAAGGACTCCTCCTGCATGACAATCTTGACTTCGTCAATGAGGGACTGCAGACTGGGCTCAACTCCCGGTGGCTCCGCATCCGGGTCAGTCAGTTGATCCCACATCTCACCGTCGGTCGTCACTTCGTCCGTGATGAGCTGATCCCTGTCGATGAAGAACTGGTGCTGGTTGACAAAAACAGCGATGACACTAGCCCCCCCATTGAAATCGTGCAGTACCTTGGCGCACTCCATCATGTCGTCAAAGTTCTGACGCCTATAGCTGTTGTTGAATTGTTTCAGGAGGTCCTGCTCGAGGGTTTCGCAGAACTTCTCCAACACCTCGCGAGTGTTATGCTTCCTCGATGTACCAGTCACGCCGTTAGTGATCCCATTACCTCGGAAGCCATTTGTCTGCCCCCATGACGTGGGGTCTAGTCTTTGGCTGATGCGTGTCAACTGGCGGGCAATGACAGCACAGCGAACTTTATTCTCGGCCCCGCCTTGGCGCTGAATATCCTCGAGGGACGTGAGTTTGCCCGTGTCGCTGACCTCAACCCAGCACTGGATGAGGAAGTTTGCGTCCCGCGCCCTCCTCCTCTTCCTGTCCAGCTCCTCGAGCTTCTCTCCGATCTGCACAGCGATGTTTCCCCCTTCATCTGACCGGTTGCCCCTTTCAAAACCACCGATGGTGGTGCTTTGCTCATTCAAAGACAGGTCAAGGGCCTCGAATTGGGCCATCGACTGGTCAAGTTTGCGGCCGAGCGTGTCGAGGGTCTGATCATGCTGGATTTCCGCGCGACGGACCTGGGACAGCAACTCGGATTCGTTCTCCTGGAGTTCCTCCGACAGAACCCCTAATTGTGCCAGAGCATCTAGACGGCCAAGAACCATCAGCATCACTGTTACAGCCGACAGTCATCGAAAGACGGGGGGGGGGGCATTACTTTCAAATGTCCGTATTAGTGGCTTTGGGTCGAATGCTTGCTGAGCTGGACCGGACCGACGGTTGGCTGGCACAGCTGTCTCTGCCAGGGAATCGACGAAATCGCGGACAATAAAATCCTTGTTGGAGAAGTCTTCTAGGGTGAAACTTGGGCCCTTGGGAAACAAGGCCCTAGAGCCGCCAGATGCAGCCCGTTCCATCGCATCGGTGGTGGCCAGCTAGTTGACCCACGGAGACACATCCAACGTCAATTTGCATTGATGATGGAAGCAGAGGTTGGCTGGCCAATGTTTGTGTACTTGGTGTTGCGCGCCGCAGCTAATGACCTTGGTAGCATACGCCGTCGTGCATAATCGGCGAGGAGCACAAAGGTTATCTCGGTTTAATCGGGTTCCTATTTCGAGTACGACTGCCAATCGCGACTCGAGGTGATTGATGAGGCTGATGAGGCTCACAGGGACGGCGTGGCCCGTGGCCCGTGGCCCGCGGCTTGGTCCGTGCATGCCATCTCCTTGTGTTCCGTGGCTGACATTGCATGCTGACGGAGGCCAAGAATGCTGGTACGCATCCTGCTGACAGCTTCTGTCCTTTCATTCCACCACAAGAGCAAAATAAGATACTGAAGATTTCTCTAAGCTGTGCGGTATTCAGCAGCTTGCATGCCATCCTACCTGCCAATTTCCCTTCAAGACATTTCACCAAGTCATGCCAATCAGTCGGCGGGACGTCGAAACCTACCGCCGCGATGAGAAGTTTGGCCATAAGTTGCTTACTCCGGAGGAGCGGAGGAAGCTTTTAAAGGTGTGTTGGCATTATTGCACAACTGCATCGATTGGATAACCACCATGTCATTGGACAAACAAGCTGACAAGCGGCTCTCCCAGCCATATCTGCCGCCGCCGAAGCGCGCGCAGCCAAGTAGAGAGGCGAGCAAATCGAGATTTGGCCTTCGCCGCTTCATGCGCAGCCAACTGCATATTCTCGTCTACATCATCATTCATGCCGTCTTCTCGCTATACATTCGGACTCGCCAGGCATACCACGCTGTCACTGACAGGATATACTCCGTCCTCTACTACCACCACCGGACGCCAGAGTTGATCGAGCGCGATGTGAAGGGACTGAGCAGACTGCCTCAGCATCTGAGTGTCATTCTGGAGTTAGAAGATAATGGCCGGGGCGGTGCGGAGCTGGAACGACTGGTCAACGAGGCCGCAGATATATCGGCGTGGTGCGCCAGCGCCGGCATTCCTCGACTTTCCATCTATGAGAAGACGGGTCAGTACATCCAGGGCTTTATCGCGGTCCCGCCATAGCTGACACATGATACGCAGGTGTCCTCAAGGCCTACCTCCCCGAGACCCACCGGGCTATCACCCAGAAACTGGCCGCCTACTTTGGTCCGAACTCCCCGGCTTTGGCGGTGCATGCTCCGCATACACCGTCCGTTGAATCAGGTTCTTCTCCGCCCGCGGCTCATATCAACACCCCCGACTCGAAACACCTATCGGTGATGCTTCTGGCTGCAGAGGATGGGCGGGACTCCATTGTGGACCTCACCAAGACCCTGGCAGAGATGGCGCAACGATCTAAGATATTCCCCGCCGACATCAGCTTGGAGTTAGTGGACGCTGAGCTGAGTGAGAGCGTGATGGGCGAGCCCGACCTTCTTATCCTCTTCGGGCCCCACATTGAGTTGTCGGGCTATCCCCCTTGGCAGATTCGTCTCACCGAGATCTTCCACGTCCCGGACAACCAAGGCGTTGGGTACCAGGTGTTCTACCGCGCCTTGTGCAATTTTGCAAGGGCGCAAATGCGCCTTGGGAGATAGACTGGGATAGAACCCCCTATGTATAGCATGATTCACGTCACCCGTAGTGCTGGCTAGATATACCTTCTCAGAACCTCAACCATTGTGTCTCACTGGCTGGTTCATTTGCCAAACTTCCCGGCTCTGTAAGTGTATTAGGCATCTTTTAACCCTACTTTTGACCAAAGTTTCCCCATAAGCGATTCTCCCTCTGTCCTTCTCGTTCCAGCTGGTGAGAGAGGCTATGTTCAGCAGTTATGGAACCTGTGACGATGTGCTGTTATTGCGCCACACCGGTTCAGCCTTGCGTTGCTGCGCCACACTATGTCAGCCCAGATATGGTTCAGCCTTGTTTGTGGAAAAGGGCAAAAAAAAGTACTGCCTTATGACTCTTGTCTTGACATAAGGTGTGTTCCGACTTCCGCTCGCGATTTCCCGCTTCATCTTGGCTAATAATGGCCCTCCAAGATGATCAAGCCTGCAGGGAGTCGGGGGAAGAAATGAGCCTCTTGAGCGTCCCCGTCGTCCGGTCCGCTTCTGGAGGCGCCGCCCTCAACCGCGCGCTCTTCTCCAAGAAGATAGGCCTCGCGGCGGCGACGGTGAAGGATGCGAAGAACATTGGAAAGTACCGCCAGGCCCTCCAAAGTGGTGGGGAGATATTGCGCGCGGAGCGCTTGTCGGCCGTCGCGCCCGATCCCGACAAGGACCTTGCCGCTCGGGGGCGAAAGTGTCTCCTTTTGAGGCCCGGAATCAGAGCTGATGGTGGGTTTCGCCTATTTTGTGTGGGCATTGAAGATTCTCATCTTGCTGATGTGAATAATTAACTAGACTCGGGAACCTGGGGGCCGGTTCTCAAGGAGGGAGTACAAAAGGAGGACCTAGGAGTTGTCCCTTACGAACTCGCGCTTGACTATGACTACTGGACCTATTGTAAGAGGTGCCTTCCGTGCAGGCAGATGCCGAATAATCCGTTGACATTCCTCTGCAGACGATGTCATGGCCTCCATCTTACCAGAGGAGTTTCATGACGATATTCCCAATGGTTTCAACACGGTCGGCCACGTAGGTGTGTTAGACATGCCTAGACGTGCAGAGGGAACTCGTTTACTGACGGCGTCGCAGCGCATCTCAATCTCCGGGACCGCTTTCGTCCCTATAAAAAGCTGGTAGGGGAGGTGCTTGTGGACAAGAACCCCCAGATACGGACGGTAATAAACAAGATCGATAATGTCGGCACGGAATCCGAGTATCGGACGTTCGAGTACGAGGTCCTAGCGGGCCCAGATGACTTGGACGTCGAGGTCATGGAAGGTGGTTGTGTGTTCAGGTTTAATTACGCCAAGGTCTATTGGAACAGCAAGCTCGAGACGGAACACCGGAGGATCATCAACCTCTTCAAGCCCGGAGAAGTCGTATGCGATGTCATGGCAGGCATTGGGCCCTTCGCGGTCCCGGCAGGGAAAAACGGAGTGTTCGTCTGGGCGAACGACAAGAACCCAGAAAGCCACTTCTATCTCAAAAAAGCGATCGAGGCTAACAAGGTAAGGAGATGAGGCTCAACATCCATCCAGAGGTCGGAAGTGACATGGCATTTATTAAGGCACGTCCCAGGTTTCGCAATTCGTCCGACCCTTTAACGAAGATGGCCGAACGTTCATCAGGGACGCCGCGGATGCCGTCCTCGAGGCCTCACGCAATGGTGAAGGTGCAGTGCTACCCCCCAAGCGCAGCCCAAGAATGGCACTACCCGTGGCCCCTGAGCCGAGGCGGGTGCCACTCCCACCGACGATCTCTCACTTCGTCATGAATCTCCCGGCCTCAGCCATTACCTTCCTGGGGAGTTTTAAGGGAGTGTATTCGGGCAGTGAGGCTCTGTTCGCCCCGAAGACGGGGACGAAACCCCCCCTGGTCCACGTGCACTGCTTCGCCTTGAAAAGCGACGACAGCGTGCCGCTGATCGATATTTGTGAGAGGATATCGAAGGAGATAGGGGTAACAATGAAGCCCGGAGACCCGGAGGTCGAGGGTGAGGTGGGCATACACGATGTCCGGGACGTCGCCCCAGCGAAGCGTATGTTCTGCGCTACATTCCGGTTGCCCGCCGAGGTCGCGTTTGCTCCGAGGGAATGAGCAAATCGGCGTGCTCTGGGTTTACATTGCAGTCAGGAGGAATAATGTGATCCTCTCCAGACGTGGCCTTTTCCGGAAACGAACCCCCGCAAATCAAGCAATGGGGGTGGCTTCAGTCAAGAATGCATCTGTCAACAAGTAGCTGCAGGCAATGTCCGCATTGCCGTATGTGCCGCTTGTCCGGGGGGACTTGTCGTCCGTCGACCGGATAAGTCTCCGGAAGCCGCGGAAGCTGGCAAGACCTATTGAGAGACATGCAAATCACCGTTAGATTGACAATGGCAGTGAATTGACCCCCGCGCAACTTAAAACCCACGCCCCTTGCAGCCCACTGGCACTGGCACTGGCACTGGCACTGGCACTGGCCAGGCTCCTTGGATGCGCCACGACATTCTTACACAAATATGGTCGATGTGCTGCGAATTCTGGCGATCGCTGGATAGTTCCACGTTTCCCCCCTTCTTGTGTGTTTGTGGCTGCATGCCTGTTGAATTGCCATGCAGCAGCCAGGGACGGGATGCGTGCTATCAGGGAACCCGAACGGCCGAGAAACTGCCTGATGAAGAAAGCACGTATGCCAGCATGGCATGGAAGTGGAGAAGGGGCGCCCTCGTTCGTATGTATCGCGATTTGTTACCAGGACGCCTCTTTAAATCGTCGAGGTCGGATTGGCAAACCACACGAGGGGGCTTGGTGTCATCGGTGTGGAGCGACACAGCGCCTAGTGGCTTACATGCTGCGATGCAACCCTAGAAACAACTCTCGGTCTGTCACTCTGCACACCTTCGGCTACCGGGTCGGATATTTCCAGAGTAGAGGCATTCCCAGAGCAGCAACAACAACAACAACAACAACAACAACAACAACAGAAGCACCAGACGGGGTCATCAAACAACGATGGACTTAAAGCTCCGGACACGCTGCACGCTATTATACGATGGGATTGTGCATTTATTGTGACCAATGGATTGTCGCGGAGGAGACAGCAGGGCAGGGCAATGGCGAAGGATTGCTGCAGATATGAGGAGGGCTCGGCATCCTGGCATCCCCCTCTTGTTATCAGCGGTGTAAATGCGAAGCCTCTGTGGTCGCTTTGATAGGTTTGACAAGCTGATAGGGCAGTGCTCTACTGCCAGGAAAAGGTCCTCGATAACGACGATAGATCCCAGGTTACGTTGGCTTTCGCTGGGTGCGTGGGGCATAGAAGCTCCGCTTCGCTAATGTGAACAACACTCTATCGTACGTATTAATCCTTCCTCGATTCGACCAATGGCCGGCACATACGGCGACACTTGGGTGCTCGGGGAGAAGGTCTAGACGACACCTTCAGGCTCTCAACCAGTGAGCCAAATCATTGGAGCATGGCGTTTCGAATTAGCGCTTGTGGGTACATGTATTTGCCGTCAATTGCAGCGTACATGGTGTTAGGTATGCAACGGAGCCCTTCCGCGAGACAATTGGGCGAGGCTAAGGTGTCTGGACTCATACACTAAGTGTAAATACCACCGCACAGCTACCCCACCGGGCCCATTCCATGATGTCTACGATCTCGTTACTGCAGAGTAGAGAGTGATTGGCAGCCTTCGCATGCTAGTGCAACGGCTGCCAGGGTGCCGGGGGGGGGGGGGGTTTCAATCGATAAGATCGAGCTGTTTCAAGGCCACCTCCCCTGTTGTGTACTACACCGGCTAGCATGGCGTCAATATACGCCGCATGTATGTCGACGGTTTAGAAAATCAAGGTTTGGATAGGTACAATGGCGGTCGAGACCCAGCACATTCGTTGGTGCCGCATAAATGACTGGTCACTTTGTGGCTGATGGGCGTGCGTTAAAACCCAATTGCTAGGCGTATACAAATTAAAGACGGCCCCAAGGGTGGGGTTAAACTCCTTGGTTGGGGGGCTTTCCATCTTTCATCGATCTGGACCAGGACCCAAGGCCTTTCGCAATTGCACATACTTGCGCGTCTGTGACATGGCAATGTAACCCTGCCGCTCCTATTAAAGGAACCTCGCCATATCAGACAGGCTTCGCAAATTCTGCGTTGGAATCGTCATTCTGAGGTAATCTCTCCAAAAGTCGAAGCTCTTGGTAAATTCCGTCTTTTCCGTGCCGAGAACACGAGCAACAACTCACTTGTTGGTCCGGATGCACTGGTGTTTCGTGGGCGCCGAGGAGATAGCACTCAATCCCAAGGTTTCTTCTCCTATCCCTATTCGTATCCTTAATCAGGCTGATGGCATCCATGGCATCAACCGGGAGCAATTGGAGGGCAGCACTGCATGTATACATGTTCAAATAGGTACACAATCTTGACATCATATCCTATCACCAACAACGACGCAGCGCTAGATAGGACCAAGAACCAGAGTCTGAAGCTTCAGGAGCCACTGATAACCCTCAGAGAACCCACATAGCTGCCGAAGCTCCTCGGACGATCTGGGGTTGTCTTCTGTTCACGGTGGCGAGACGACTCCGCCCCTGTCCAGCCGTACCAAGCACCTGCTATTCAGGAACCCGATATTCAGAGTTTTCTGTATCTTAAGAGTGGGGTTCAAAGTTCGTCGACTTGCTATATTGGGCGTTCTGCTTCCTGACTTGCAGACGCCAGAGCTCCTGTCGATCGCGGACGTTGCATGCTCGCCATCTCTTCGCTACATATATATGCGTATATCAGCAGCTATGTAACCAGTCCCACAAGTTTATGAGCTCGATATCGGGGAGGAGGTTGAGTATGGCAGCGTAAACTTATTGATCTTGGCACCTTGATGTCAACTATTACGGCCCTATGCGTATTGGCTATCACGACCTTGCAGGTACGTAACAGACCACGGAGGGAGCACATAAAAGGAGGAAATGTACAGTACCATAAATACATCTCACCTATGCGTAGGTATTCTACAGATTGAAAGGGGCGCTGTTGAGCCTCCAACTTGACATGTTTGCTTTTTTCTCGGTAGGCATTTCTATGAGAAGCTGGCCGAATATTGCCCGAGACCTTTGTATCAAACTGGGCTGATTACCTACGCCTTGACCCCGAATGAAGGGAGGTTACGCTGCCGCCAAGCGGAGGCGTGAATTAGGGGCCGCCTAGAGACGGGTCTAGTATCGTATAAACTTGACATCTTATAACGCGATGTACTTGTATTCTTTGTTCTCCTGGCTGAGTCCAGACATCTCCGCGCGGCATTCTCCAGTTTCCTGGCGAGACTCCTTGGACTACCCCCCCCCCCCCCCCCTTGGCTAATTAAAACCTTGGAGGATTTACTGTTGCGCATGGGAAAAGGTTCTAGAGCGTCCCTGCACCAATCACGCGTGCTTTGGTCAACACGCTACCACATTCTTTGCTGACCCTTGTTGAAAAGCATTGGAACACCAATCAGTAGCGCACCTACTACCGCAGAAGCAGGTGTAGTGTACACTAGTATATTTGCCTCGCAGCTCTGGCACCACGAGGCAACTTCACACGAAGTTCAGTCCCGCAAGTCCGACCAGTGTAGAGGTATGAAAAGCTAAAAGTTGAGACCGAGGAAAGAAGCTTGAGGCCCTTCTGTCCGACGCCTGCCCATCGCCACCAAGCTCCAGCAGGAAATTGGAATTTCCGCCGGGACGGGGCGGGAATAATCGGCCAGGCCTTTTTTAGGTATGGAGCCCGGGGTAGGAATTTAGTGTAGAATACGCCATGCGTGCAGCTAAAACTGTGGATTCATCCGAGGGGAGGCCGTGACCTAATTATAAACGGCCTGAGTTAGCTTTTCTAGGCCCTTCTTTGAGGTCGGATTATCTGGACTCTGGGGTTGTTTCGACTCTGCACGCGCCTGGACTCCGACTCTGGACTCTCTCAATGGACTCTGGAAACCGAGGTTGCTTAGCAGAGGCACCTCTTGTAGTCTTACACAACTGCGTCGTCCCCTTGGGATATGGACGGCATGAAAGGGGGGGGGTAGGATGCACGAATAGGTATTTACCGTACCACAAGGTCAGAGCCGCAGGGAAGAACCTGGCTGAGGCCGAGGCCAAGACATAGAATGAGCCCCAGCTTGTCTCAATTCCCCAGATCAGGAACACACACTCGAGTCTCGAAGGGTCAACGCTCAAATGAAGGGGAAGTTATAGGTGCCTGGATCTCCTTACTAGGTGCCCGTCTAACAAGGTGCTTGCTGGGCGGTCTATATTTACGAAACCAGATATGCGTGTACCTGCCTGCATAAACATCACTAGGGTTGGACATACAATATAGTGCCAAGTAAGAGATATCGCTCCGGCCCTATTGTCATGCTCCTAGAGCGTGCTAAAAGAAGAAAAAAAATCCGCTTCCGGAAAGCCCAGATAAAAGGTCAAACTTTTACGAAGATAGGCCCGTTGACGACTCCCCAATTTTCTCCTCGGTAGGGAGATACCGCCACCCGCCACCTCCCCACGGCTCCGGCTCCCGTTGATCGCATTTTTGCATTTTTGCATTTGCTTCTTTCTTTATCTTGCACTGTATAGTTTGTACTTACGGGTACGCAGTATTTCCTTTTAATCACATATACGGCTTCCACTGCCTCTCAATGCCCTCAGTTTATTGACTTCATGAGTCTCGGTCTTTAATCTAACAGCCAAACCTGTCTTGCTGTTGTTTCTAGACATCGATCAGCATTCCGCAATCAGTGGGGGGTTCTTTTCAAGTTCCTTTGTCGTGAAGACAGAAACGTCCAAGTCAATCACTATCGGAACCGGAGTGTTACAGTACCTGAGTTGAAGTTTGTCTTTTCTTGCCTTGCTTGCATCTCTCTCCTCCCTTTTAACACAGTGCCTGCATCCTCCTGGCGAGAACCATGGCTTTGGGCAAATGGGACGTCGCGCCAATTGTGGCTCCCTGCACTCCACACATTTCGCTAGACATCTGCCCAGTGGGGACGCTTGGATGACAGTCCAGCTGCACCTGCAAGCCAAGTAGTGTACTTGTCTGCCGGTCAGGAGTAAAATTCCAGATGGATGCAGTGCGAGCACGCTTGCATTGCTACATACATATATGCATACATTCGTCCATACATACCTAATGCGGGCAGTGTGTACATCCAACCCGCACTTGTCGATCCATCACGTTCTGCATGTCTCTCGATCACGACACCAAACACCACCACAGAACCCCCATCCTATCCTACACCCCCTCCCAAAGTGTCCCACGCACACCCGCCCACACCAGCCAAGCCTGTCTCCCCCCTGGCCAGCTCTCAGGCCCCTCTCTCTCCACTCATCCGGGATCTTATCCCAGTCCCCGGCTTTGGCATTTGGGACTTCTCATCCGCTTAATTAACACCAACACACCTCAGCCCTCCGATGAGCCGGGACACTTATCCGCACTTCTTGTCATTCTGCATATCTGCTTTCTTCGCCGAATGATCTTCTCCCTACACCACCTCTTATCTCGATTCGCAGCCCCTTTTACGACAGGTCTAATCCCACCAGCTGCAGACCTCGATAACCGATTCACCTCGGTCTCGTCCCTCGTCACCGCCTTTGTCCCGCACATCCCCCCAAAAGACTCGCAACCACCGATCTCTAGAATCCGAATCGAGATTGTGGCGACAAAACAACGATAAAAACCCCCAACTAATCCCGACCCCTCCACCAACATCAACACACCATCCTGTCTATCAGTCTCTGCAATTTCTCGCGGACAAACTCGACGACACGCGCGGCATCGGCCTCCCAGACGCCTATGACGGTCTTGTGCATGCCCGCTTGGTTGAAGTTGGATTGATGGTTATTTTGGACGCCCAGTCCTTACAATCATCGGGTTCCTTCTGCTCAGCATGGCGGTTGTCCTCTCCTCGGAGGAGAACAGTTATTTCTCTTCAAGTTTGCGACGCTCATATTCCCAGCCGAACTTTGTCACTCAACATACGGGATACCCCTCCGCGTCACCTTCCAAACAAAGCGAATTCTACCATCAGTCAGCGAAGCCCTTTGAGGACTCGACCCCTTCTTCTGCCCCGTCATCCCCTCGCACGCTTCACGTCGAGTCCGCCGACCTTTCCTGCTCTTCCACGCCCGCAAGCAACTTCTCCTTGCCGCCGTCTGACTGCGACGAATCGGTGATTTTCGGGACTGAACAAGACGACGACGACGACGAGCAGATAATATTGCCGCAGTACGACGACGTGGGGTTCACCAGTCACCACCTCGACGACTTGGATCCTCCTCCCAGTCCAAGGACCAGTGACTCATACGTTTCATCCCCAAACGACCAGGAGACGTCGACGAGCACATCCAGGCCCGAGTCTCCAGGACCGCTCGAGAGAGCCGAAGATGATATAGCGGTCCGGGCCCTGCCGTCACGGCATGTTGACTACCTGTCACACAATTGGAAGGAAGAGGATATCTGGTCGTCATGGAAGCTCATCGTCTCGAGGAGAGGGGACTACAGCAACTCTGCCCGCCTTGAGAATGCCTCCTGGAGGACGTGGATGAAATCAAAGAACAAGCTGAGGACCGTGTCCCCAGAAACTCTCAACTGGTACGTACCGAGAACCGAAATAAAATGATGACCTGTCGGCGACGTGCGAGATGCTAACGTAAACCAGGCTCAAAGATTGCGATGTCACCTGGCTTTACGGGCCTCTACAACCCGGGAGTGCGAGCCTTAAGTCTAACCGTGGCGACTCAAAAGGTTCTAGGCTGTACGAGTCAAGTTCCCTCATCAAGAAGCCGATATTAAAAAAGAGGAGCATGTCGGAGCTCATGCTTCAAAGATCGCTGTCCACATCATCCTTGGTGAAGCAAGCCGCTGCTGCCGTGCAAGCTCAGCAGAAAGAGGGAGGAAAGAGAGCTGGAGGGCGGCCGGGCCTCGAGCGTGCCGTCACTGATTCCGTCACGTACCCCTTCGCCCCTCTAGGAACTAGTCAGGACAACGACTTCCTCGTGCCGTCCTTTGCATCGTCCGGCTTTGTTTCACCGAGTGGCGAGCGGAGGCATATCCACTTTAACGAGCAGGTTGCGCAGTGCATAGCCGTCGACATCAAGGGCGACGATGACGATGACGACGTGGATATGGACCGCTTTGCCTATGGTAGCGATTCGGATGATGGCGCAATCATGATGAAGAAGACTATACCTAAGAAGAGACGGCCGATTTTGAAGAGGGCGAAGAGCAGTAACAACAACGGAGAGAGCAAGACGATCGCAATGCTGCCCTCGACCACGTTGAAATACCGCGTGGACACGCCGGAGCCCATGGAGACGGCCATGAAGCATAGCACCGGAGTGTACAGGAGCCCGGCCATATCTCCATCGTCGTCGCAGGAGACCCTACGACCATCGAAGCCTTCTGGCAGGTTATTCATTACCGATGACGACGATGACGACGAGGAAACACAAGACGATGGGCCCACGTTAGGCTGGCGGTCCCCGACCAAATTCGGCGAAACCTCCACAGGCCTCTCCCGATCGGTCTCATCAAGCAGTCTCAGTGCAGAGCCTTCGGGAATGCGCCGTACCGCATCCGGCATGCTTATGCCGTACGAAGAAGGCGAGCCAGCCTCGGCCCACGATGGCATATTCGGCCGGGTCATTGATACGGTAAATACGGCCCGGGATATCGCCCACGTTATCTGGAACGTGGGCTGGAGGAGATGAGGCCGTCTGGTAGACCATTTCATGTTAACGAAACTTTTCCCCAGACGGAGGCGACTTACGGCTATACCCGTCGGCACCGGCGCAATACGCGAACATTGGAATCGGTTTCAAAACGTGTACGGTGAGGCAGCCAGAGTAGGGGAAAAGGCCACTTTTGGGAGAAGGTCGTCTTGCAAGTGGCAGTGCAGCACAATCCTCACTCAGTTGGTCCCAACTATTTTCGGGTCCTTCTTCGAGTGCTCGACATGCGGACGACACGCATACCTTCTTTTCCTTTTCGTTTTCTTCAGAAGCATTTGCTAGGGCGTTCAGGGAGGCGTGATTTCGTCTCTTATCATGATTTTACCATGCTCGGCTCCGGGTCTTGTCATCCTGCCGGCGATTGGGGGTTTTGGCTTCCGGGGCGAAGGTGTCCGGACGGCGGTTTACAAAACACGACAGAGGGCACAACTTTGGCATTTGGTGGTTGGTCAATTCAGGCGTATGGTCCGCGGTCCTTCAGGTGTGAAACCGCCTTTTACGGTCGGGAAGTTGATCACCGGTGGGGGAAGGTTGGGGGGGGGGGGGATATCGGGCAACACAAAAGCGGGAGAAAAGTAATGAATGGGGTCTTAGAGTTAGAAGAGCCAGAGAGCCAGGTCATGTAAAGTACCATAGCCCTGAGCGGCGTTCCAGTGTCAGGAAATCTTATCTTTGGAGATAGGCCTGCCCTGGTTTAGGGAGCATCCCATATGCGGGGTTTCAGAAACATCAAACATCAAACCTTCCAAAGCAACATTTTCTCCAATCGAGGGAGCGGACTGGTCCAGCACATAGAGCCCGATAGGGACATCTGCTTGTGTTCTTTGAATCGTCCCTGTGACTGTTTTCTGCCCATCCTACCATCCTCTGAAGTTGAGGCCCGTGCCAACCCACAAAGTTGGCCTGTGCTGCGCGAGGTGCAGATTCAGGCGCTAAGGCAGCTAGATGGGCCGAGCTCCCTGCAACGCGTGCTCGGAGCTGCCTTGAGCTTTCCATGAGCAACGCAAGCCAATATCATCGTTATTTTCAGGCCATTCCAACTTCCTCTTCAACGATTGTATCAACTCTGGGGTTTTCCGCTTTTTATTTCCTCTTTCAAGACACACTCCCTTTCCGACCGTAATCTATTTTCCCGGCCATCGAGATGGATACCCTCGTGGCTCGATACAGCCGCCCGGCATACCAACAGAATGAGCCATTCCCAGAAGAGGACCAGCATGATTTCGTCGACTCCGTCCCCAGCTTATCGCTGAAGTTTGCCATGCCACCCGTAGCACATGTGAGTCTCCCCGGCCACCGTGCCCAAGCAAGCAATGAGCTCGTCTAGAGACATCCCCCCGAAGAAGCTCCAAGAAAGCCTAACTCATCGTCCTTCCCCCGTGCTAGCCCTCGGCCTGGCTCCGCGCCGCGACAGACGACCGGTCGAACCCTCAATGCCCTATCAAGATTGCTCATGGTACGACGACGCTGGCGTTCCGGTTCCAGGGCGGCATCATCGTGGCGACGGACTCGCGGGCCACGGCGGGCAGCTGGATCGCGTCGCAGACGGTCAAGAAGGTGATTGAGATCAACAGCTGCCTGCTGGGCACCATGGCGGGCGGCGCGGCCGACTGCCAGTACTGGCTGGCCTGGCTGGGCATGCAGTGCCGGCTGCACGAGCTGCGGCACAAGCGCCGCATCAGCGTGGCGGCGGCCAGCAAGATCCTCGCCAACCTGGTGTACCGGTACAAGGGGAGGGGCCTGAGCATGGGCACCATGTGCGCGGGCGTGACGCCCGAGGAGGGCCCCGCGCTCTACTACGTCGACTCGGACGGCACGCGGCTGGCGGGCAACCTGTTCTGCGTCGGGTCGGGCCAGACGTTCGCGTACGGCGTCCTCGACGCCGAGTACAAGTACGACCTGAGCGTCGAGGAGGCGCTCGAGCTCGGCAGCAGGAGCATCCTGGCCGCCACCCACAGGGACGCCTACTCGGGCGGCTTCATCAACCTCTACCACGTCAAGGAGGAGGGCTGGGTCAAGCACGGCTTCAGCGACACGAACCCCATATTCTGGAAGACCAAGCTTGAGAAGGGGGAGTTCACCAACGTCACCAGCGATCTCTCCGAGAGAGTTTAGATGTGTGTCGGGAGGGGCCGGGGTTACAGCGGAGAATCAAAGTTTGGTCGGGAAAGTAGACGGGACGACTAGACTTGGGACGAGGGGGACCAGAAGAGCTTGTAGGAACTGTCACAATAGCGGAGACGGGTTGGCTCGGTATCGGACTGGCGAAAGAGGCATATGCTACTTGGAGGCTATGTAATTTGTACAACAGGGCTAATCCGAAGTTGCAGTCTGCATTGACGTTTCTATTCCCGTCTAAACCATGTGAATGAATTCTCATCTCCATTCCCTTTTGTTTGCCTACTCGTACAGTGATAAAAATGCGCGTCGGGGTATATCTCCAGAACAATTTGCCAATCCTCAACTCAAGCCCACCCACCCCTACAACCTATACTCCGGTCCCTCCCCTCCTCACCCACCCATCAGCCCCAAGGATCCCTCCCCCCTCGCTCTCCGGGTCCAGCGACCACTTCCTCACCGCCAAGACGGACAACTCCGACTCCCAACCCGCCGCCCACATCTCCAACCCAGCCCACGCGATCATGGCCGCATTGTCGGTGCACAGCGCCGGAGGCGGCGCGGTGACGCGCACCCCCCCGTGGCCCCGCGCGTCCAGCGACGAGCGGAGGACGCGCATCAGGAACCGGTTGCTGGCGACGCCGCCGCTGACGACGAGGTCGCGGGCGGCCGACACCTCGTCGCGCAGCCCGGGCGGCAGCGCGGCGCCGCGCGGCGAGAGGCAGAGCAGGAGGCGGCTCGCCAGGTGCTCGAAGGCTAGGCGCATGGTGGCGCGGGCGAGGGCGCGGCGGGCGGGCAGGTAGGAGGTGGAGGATGATGGGGGAAGGGTGGAGGCGGCGCGGGTTACTTGGGTGCCGAAGCCGGTTAGGTTGTAGACTAGGGCGCGGGTGGTGGAGAGGGGGGGCGTGAGGGTTGGGCCGTGGAGGGTGGGGAGGGGGAGGATCTCGTCGCGGCGGTGGAGGGGTGGGGTGTAGTCGTAGTCGTAGTCGGAGGCGGAGTCGTCCTGGTTGGGTTTGTTGGTAGGAAGGGGAGGAGCATCCGGGAAGGCGAAGGATTCCAGGGCCGCGCCGTACATGGTGTCCGGCACGGCGGCGAGCACCTCTGGCGGCAGGATCTCGCGCGCGCACTTGTCGAGCATGTCGCCGATCGCCAGGTTGCCGGCGTCGGGGACGAGGATCTTGTGCGAGCACAGGCTGCGCGAGAGGACCAGCATCGTGTGGCCGCCGCTAACGAGGAGGGACAGGAATGGGAACGCGGGCCGGTGACCGCCATCGGGGACCCCGGCTGCATCCCGGCCCTCGGGGCTGCTGGGGTCGGAAACACCGCCCTCTCCAGCTCCGCCTCCCGCTTCGGGCCAGTCCCTCCGCCCGAGCTCCAGCGCCGAGACCAGCCGCGGCGTGAGGGCGTGCGCCTGCATGTGGTTGACCGCCAGCAGGGGCACGCCCCAGGCGACAGCGAGGCCCTTTGCGGTGGCGAGCCCGGTCGCCAGGTTAGCCAGCATGCCGGGCCCGCGGGTGACGGTGACGAAGTCGGGCGGGGCGCCGCCGCGCGGGAGGTGCGGCAGGGCGTCGCGGACCAGGCCGGCGAGGTGCGCCGTGTGCGACGCCACCGCCGTCGAAGGGTGCACGCCGCCATAGGCGCGATTATCGCTTGTGATCTTGGCGTTGAAGTGCAGCCGAGCGGCGCCAGTGGTGGGGTGCTGCTCCAGCACGGCCACGCAGGTGTCGTCACATGAGGTCTCGATGGCGAGGGTCACTAGGTGGCGCCGGGATGGGGCGGCACGTCGCCATTGCCCATGGCTGGATAGGTGACGGCTGGGTGATGAGAGCCTTAGGCGGGAGCTCTGGCGAGAAACCAACGCCTGGGAGGCTCGAGCTGCCGGCCCATTCGAGTTGATCTGAGAAAGCAATGATCTCATCAAGGATTAGAGTTGAGGCCGAGATGGGAATATTGCCTATGACACCCCTGACAGTGGCACGGTGAATGGGTGGTGATGGTCAAAATGCGATGTGCCCCGCCATCCAATCAGGACCCTGGTCTTAGAGGGGCCGTTGTTCCTCGACCACGACACACCTCACCTCAATCCTACCTACCTACCTAACCCTACCTACCTACCTAAGATGTCAGTCTGAATGCGACGTACGGAGTACACATGGTTGGTTCAAGGCACGGGCCAAACGGCTGTCCACCCAAGGAAGCAACACACCAGCAAAACAGACCTCATTTCAAAACCCTATCCAGGAACCAACGTCACCAACGAAAAAGGGCCATTCACTCATCAGGCCTCATTTCAAAACCCTGTCAAGGAGCCTACATAACCTCTACACATTCGACATGAGTAAAGCTGCGATCTGTTTTTCAGCCCCAGAGATTGACGCGTCGCTTTGGAAGAAAGCACAAGAGCACAATGACCAATTGACCACGGCTGAGCGGATCCAGCTTCTCAAGCGTCTTGACGTCTTTGACCTTGCTTGCGCCTATCCGGACCGCCTCACAGTTGCCCAGCAATACCAGGTTCTCGGCTGGCCTAAGCCAGAGGTCGTCAGCGAGAATATCCGGGTTGTGATGGATGGCGCCTGGTCGACTGTCGAGGAAGTATACGCGCAGGTGCGCGCCGACCCCAAGGCAGTACCCTTCGAAGTGCTCCAACAGCTATTCCACGAATTCCGGGCCCGGGACATCACGGCCCACACGGACGCCATTGCGCAGCGCTTCCGGGAAAGCGCTTTCACAGTGAGGGACCCGCCCCAAGGGCCTGCCATCACCGCCGCGGTTGAAATCGTTGCCGATAGGCAGGGGTGGGGAGAGATTGCCGATGCAATGCAAGACACTTGGCTTACACCAGAGTCTCGCGACGAGCGCGTGCGACGAGATAGGGTGGTTCTTGAAGGTCTGAGTAGGGCCGTCCTTCAGGCCACCCGCGAACCAGGACTGGCTGCCTTGGCAAGGGAAATGAATGAGATAGCAGAGGAGAGGGAGCGATTGAAGGGTCAGATGCTAGAGATGATACGCAAGGAAGAAGCTGCCCTCAACGTAACCAAATGAAAGAATTCGAGAGATTTTTTGACAAGGAGTGCAACCAACCACATTATATCTATTTCTCTCACACGCGGCGGCATAACCTGCATCGAGATCTGGGGCACACAAGCGCACCGAAGGGCCCCCCTCGACCCCCTCACCGACCCCGTCCTCAACAACATGGTCAAGCACCGCCACGGCAACGCCCGGCAGCGCCGCCTCCCCCACGGCATCCTTATTCTCCTACGGCTGCTACACCGAGGCCACCCCCAAGCGAGCCCTGAGCGCCGACTCCTACACCGACTTCGACGACATGACGACCCAGACTTGCTTCGACTTCTGCGTGACCGAAAATGGCAGGGCCCTCTTCGGCCTCGAGTACGGCGGCGAGTGCTACTGCGGCGACGCCCTCGCGACCGGCTCGGCGCCCACCTTCTCGTCCTCGTGCTCCGTCCCCTGCCCGGCGCACCCGACTCGGAGACCTGCGGCGGCGGCAACCGGCTGAGCCTGCACGGCACGGGCCCCGACCCGCCCGCCGCCGCGCTGCCCCCCGGGCTGCCGCCCGTGACGACCTTCCAGTACCTGGGCTGCTTCAGGGAGCCGGACGGCACGCGCGCCCTGGCGGGGCCGACCGCGGCGGACGGCACGGCGATGACGGTCGAGTCGTGTGGGAACTTCTGCTTGTATGGCAGGTTTCTGATGTTTGGGGCCGAGTATGCGAGCGAGTGCTACTGCGGTTCTGAGCTTGATTCTGGGTCTGGGATGGCGCCCGAGGAGGATTGCGGTGTCCCATGTAGTGGTGACCCTACGCAGATGTGCGGAGGGGGCAATCGCATAAGCTTGTACACATGGGCGGAGTGAAAGGGGTGAAGGCTGGGGCAATCTTGCCAGAATTACATCTCAGCCGGGATGGCAGTCAAAAGCCGAGTGAGTCGTATGTGAGAAAAATCAAATATTAGGGTAGTTATAGACACTATTATGCTAATATTTCCCTCTAATGCAAGTTACGTGACGATGCTGCAGATGAAAAAAAATCCCTGGCCCCATTGCCATCACATCCATCTCACCACCCCCTCACAGTTCCGGGCACATCACCAAAGCCACACACTCCGACCAACCCTCCCTTCACTGCCCGTTCTGCACAATAAAGTTCGTATACTCGCACTTACACCCGCCCGTCCCCCCATCGAACCCCCCAAGGCTCGGGTCCGCGGAGGCGTCGGGAGGGTTGATCCACGGCCCGTTGAAGCCCAGGTTGTACAGGATCACGTTCTCGTCGCCGAGGTGGCTGGTGTCGATGCGCTGGCGGTCGTCGACGGGGTACCACACGGTGCCCTTGCGCCTGGCGTCGCCGCCGTGCTTGTCCAGCGTGACCGTCACCGGGTAGGGGAGCGTGCCGGGGCGGCTCGTCGTCGTCGTCGTCGGGTTGTCGGCCCCTCCGCCCACCAGCCGCGTGATGCCGCTCATCCTCGTCCAGATCTCGACCTTGAACCGCGTCTGGCCCCACACCACCTGGAAGTTTGCCTCGGTCTCGAGGGCCCCGCCGTTGAGGTCCGCGGGGACCTCGCCCTGGCCTGCCGTGCTCTGGTCCAGCGCCGATTTCGACTTGACGTAGATGGACTTGTCGTAGTAGCTGTAGAAGCCGTAGTGCTCGGTCGGCAGCCCCCGGTCGTAGAGGCGCAGGGGCTGCTGGGTGGGGAGGGGGAATAGCGTGGCAGGGGCTCCCGTGCCGTTCAGGTACCGGTCGGGAGCTGGGAAGTTGGACACGTTGTACACAAATCGCCGCTCGAGTACATCCGGACCTACCGACTCGTTGACCGATCTCAGGAGGCTGATGTAGAACGGTGTCGGTTCCCCGGCTTTCTGGTCGGACTGGATCCCATCTGTCGTGTTCCCCAGGAACCACATCTCCCGGAACGAGGGGGGGGCCGGGTCCGGCGCGAACTTGGAGTCAGATCGCTGCGAAGCCCTGCGGAGGAGCGCCCGGGCTCGTCGAGCTGCTGTGCCGCGGGCCTTGTGCGCACCACCTGCGCGTGGAGGCGCTTCGTTGGGGACATTCCATTTCTGGCTGCTGCTATTGTCGAACTGGATCTGGAAGATGAACTTTGGCTGGGTCGGCCGGAAAGGAGCCGCTGCATCAGCCTGCTCCTTGGGCAGGGAGCAACTCCAGAGTGTTGACGGCTGAATACACGCCGTAACCGCCTGCGAGTTGTCGGGCCCTACCACCGTAAGGACGCCGGTAGGTATCGGCGGGAAGGCAGTAAGATTTAGCCACTGATCGCTCGGGCCGGGGTCTGACCGCCGTGGATGAGCCAGTGTCACGACCAGGACGACGATGAGAATTATCGAAGCGATGACGCCCGCAGCGACGCCGAGGCACATCCTCCTCCGCTTCCTCCCCTCGCGCCCCGGGCGACCATAGCAGCCGTTTGCGGGTATGCAACCGCGACCCTTCCACAAGCCGCCGACCTTCCTGGCCACGGCATCTTCCTTCTCGTGGCGGCGACGTTGCCGCTCGGCCTTTTGACGCGGACCTCTCCCCGCGACTTCAAAGTAGTGATCTCCAGGAACGAAAGATCCGAGTGGTCGGTTGGGCAGTGGCCCAGCACCAGCGCCTACTTCTCGAGGTGGGGGCGTGAGTGGAACATCTGTCATGGTAATAGCGCCTTGGGAGGTCATTGTCCCAGCCAGACCCGGCGACATGGGCCCAGGAGAAGGGGCCGATAATGTGTTCAACGGATGCCCGGGAGGAAACACGGCCCGGTATCGAACCTGTTGTTCATTAGACGGCGGAGAGTACGGCGGAGGTTCCTCGCCCGGATATTGAGGCTCCTCTGCGAGTACCAGGCCCTTCTCAGACCGAGGTTCTGGTCGGCTGGAACCTTGCCTTGAGCGCGAGGAGGCAATAGTCGGCGACGATGCTCCAACAACTAACTCGGGAGTAACCCGCCTTTGGGGAACCTCTTGGGTTACAATCGACAAAGGGCCGGGAACCTTCCCAGAGGGCAGTGGTTCCTTCGCGGGTGAACCCTTCCAGAATATACTGGCCGGGCTGTGGCCAGGGCCAATAGTATCCGGAGACGTTGTAAAAGGGGTCGACGGGGTAAAAGGTGACGTGACCGCATCCCACCACCCTCGGGACCGTCGAATCGTAGTAGCGGGTGACTGGGTCTTCCCCCCTGCTCCGAGTGATTTATGAGTCGCTACTGGGCTTCCGTCTTCCTCGAAGAGCGTGACTGGTGTCCCTGCGTCCTCGTCCTCGTCATCGTCGGCAAGAGTAGTGGCCCTACTTCTCCCTTTCAGATTCGATGGAAGAGGCGGCATAGGAGGAACGTTGTCTTGCTGGCCCCCCCTGTTAGGTTGGGAGTAAATGCTCGATGTCGCAGCCGAGGCCTGAAACGGGGAGTAGCCGTCTTCCGTGTCAGGCGACCAGACGGACTGTTGCTGTTGGTGCTGTTGTGTAAATTGGATGGCTGTTATTGGAAGGTTATGAGGGTAATCGTAAGGTTGGATGATGGGGAAGTCGTCTGGGGTTCGCACGATAGCCGTTTGGGGACTAATGTCCGCGTGCGAGCCCTCTGGCAAGGCGAAGCCAATCACGATAGGCCTGTCGTTGGGCGACAGATCCTGTCCGACGGGAGTGCGCACGGTTTTCGGCATGGCTGCTTTGCCTTTGGATGCCTGCGATGGCTTCCTCCTCAACCAATGGAAGCTGCCGACGGTCGAGGTAGATGGCTCGCCTTCCAGGGCTTTGAGGGCTGCGGCATCCACGAACCTGCCCCTCCTAGACTCTGCTGTTTCGAAACCGGGCTTCATCTGGAAAGCAATATGATCCGGGCGAAATTTGGACATGTCCGTCTCCAGCTTTATGCCTGCCTTGGCGTTTTGGGCTTTCTGTCGACGGCGGGATTTTAGGCGCGAGAGGGCGGAGGGGCGGGTGGTAGAGACACGCGGCTGCGTTATCCTCGTCGACTTTGTCGTGGATTTTGATGGGTTCTCGGCAGTGGACTCGAGGAGAGAGTCATCTCCGTTGTAGAAGACAGTGACGGGGCCATCGTCCTCCCAGTCCTCCCAGTCTTCCCGCTGCCTGCTATCCGCGGAGTGATCAAACGTGGTGTCGAAAGGGTGGTTTCGTTGGGACTTGAGATCGTCCATTTTGCTTCAGTTACCGGAAGGTGGTTGAAGGCGGTTGAAGGTGCAAGGAAGATGAGTAGAGTCGTGTCTCCCAGCACAGATGCTCCCCAGTTCAAACGAGTGATTAACCTGAACAGCGTCTTTGTCTGGGCTCAAGGGAGAGACATGGTTCTCAAAATAGGTAGGGTAGGGACCGACTGAGAACAGAGTGAAAGGAAAGCAAGGGGGCAAGCTATTTCCTCCAAAGGACAATGGGCCAGCCTATTGAATCAATAGGAGTGAATAACTGGCAAGAACAAGAATGACAAGAAAGAGACGGATCCAAGAGACAAAGAAAATGACGAAGTCACGAAGGTGACAACCAGTTTCCGAGGCAAACCAGGTAATGACCAGGCAAACTTCCAAATCCTACCTTGGCCTAATATTAACTCATTCCCTCTGACGCCCTGAGCAGCTCTGAGTGGTTGGTTGAAGGCCCGGCCAGCCTCAGCCAGATCTCCCCCATGTTTGCCGAATAGGGATTCGCTGGCTAGAGTCTTGTCCTCGGTGGAGAGACAACGCACTCGCGGTCTTCCAGCCTCTCAGCAGCAGATGTGGTGGCATCTTGGCGCAGAGCAAGTATGAAATAAGCGCCGCCAATATGAGAGGTTAGATGGATTGGTCAATTGGCTGTGGGCTTCCGCCCGGCGGTTTGGTGCCCCCGTTGATTGGGTGGTTGTCGCAGGCGCCCTCGTCCAATTGATCTGATGAGTCGGCTGCTTCAAAATGGATCTTCCGGAAAACCCCTGTTGATTGCGGATCCCTGATTCCCTGAGAACAAACATGACCAGCAACTTGCGAGTGGGACGAAGACAGGGCGACGCGACGCGACAAGAAACCCTTCTCTCTCGTGCTACTCTCTACATCTGTACTCCGCATTATGAGGCTGCCGTCGCTGCCCAGCAGGAGGTGTCCTCCCTACCCCTTACGCAGTACATACCTACATAGGTACTACGAAAATGAATCATTTGGATCTAATGCGAACGAGATAGTTGCGATTGAAGATAGGGTGCGCTACCTAGTACCTGCCTACCGTAATCATGTAATCTGCTGGCTTCCTGTCGTGGATTCTCTGTATCCCGCCAAGCATTACGAGTACACTAGTACTGCCAAGAATGCCAAGCCTTGTGCCTAGTAAACGTCATTCTTCAAGAGTGAGCCGCATCTGATTCAGGCCTAGACATACATCGAAGATCACGGCGCGATAACAAACGACGAACGACGAAGAGAACGCAAGGTTACGAGAAAATTTTGTGACTCTGCAGTTTTATTGAACTATGCGACATATATCACCCAAGACTCCAAGACTAGTCTGATCACAGAACTGATACCCAGAAGCAGCCCGACCATCTGTTGACAGCTCACAGCAGCTCTTCAACCAAACCCCAGTTGGCTTTTCCGATGCGGTAAAAAGCGTCAACCATGACAATAGGCTACTGAAGCATGGTCGAGTCCCGACGATGGGGAGCCCTGTGAGGTGCCATGTCGCTTAGCAGCAAGCACACTCCTCGCTGAAGCAGCAACAGGAGCACTCCTCCATGAAACCTCCGCGTATCGACATCTCGGGCTGGGGTTCGGCAGCCTAGGATCATCGCAGGTTAGCCCTTCGGTCATTTCTTAAGCTTCTTCTTCTAAACCGAGGAGGAACAGTGGTGCACACGATGATATTGCAAGAGCAAAGAAAACAGGCTCCAACGTACAGGCTGCTGGGAGACAACGTCCTGGGGGGAGGCCTCCATGGGCTGCTGCTGCTGAGGGGCTTCGACGGCAGGCATTTTGGAAACGAGAGCGATAGTGTCTCAGGGAAACAGGTCGACAATTTCGGCTCGAGAATGAGACACTGGTGGGTGGAATTGTGTACGCGTTTCTTGAAAGTCACAAGATCAAAGGCGACAATACTGAAGAAAATAGAGAGGGCGGGCCTGGGAGAAAAGCCCGGGTGACCCCGGGTTTTAAACCTACCTCGGTAGGTTTGACAGATGGTCAGCAGGGCTCCAAGTGGCTTCTCCTGTGCATGGTGTTGGGTTTCAATAATTCCGGCACCCCAGCCCATTCATTCACTGACTGGCTGACGCAGTAGGTGTTGCATTTGGCTGCGGCGGTTCTGACGCAGACGCAGGCACATAATGGCCTACAAGGTCGGCTTAGCACCGTGGCTTGGACTCCCTTACGCGTGGTGCTGTTCAAAATAATCCCGCAGGACTACGTTCTAGAGCCAAACACACCGGATATGCAGGCTGATCTGATGAAGCAACAAGTCGATCCAGCACAGCCATGGAGTTAATTTGACCCTGCACCGCCAGATGAGTATCCTCACCGCTATCTCAGGAACATCCTGAACTCACAGCTATAGTCTCGGGTGTATAGGCAGGTCATCATCACGGTTGACCAGGCAAGAGGGTGGAGACCATTGGCCAGCGGAAAATAAACGGGCCAGGCAAGGGTGGTGGAAACCGGCTTGAAGCGCATTTGAGTGGTGTACCCTGTTTTACTTCATCCTTGACAGTTGCTGACGACGCTGCCATGCCTGGAGAGCTACGAATCGTGGCACGAACTGTCAGATTTATTACCTAATGATACAGCCGGTACAGACATTTTGTCACTTTGCAGGGACGCCTCACTTGAGCCTCTTCTACACTAAGGATTCGTCTCCCGGATGTACTCTTGAGAGCTGGGGACTTGCGACGTTTCACACGCTTGGAAGGAACGTAGCTAAGACAAACTGTACGAGGCACTTGGGAACTTCTTCAATGGGCATCAGGTTATCAGCGACGATATATTTGGCCAATCCCGACACGTCGGGAGAAACGAGGCCTGTTTGCTTTCGGGGTCCCCCGCTAGCAATCCATCTCTAAACGTCACGGCGCGACCCTTGGCTAGCGCCGCTGCGGGCAAGATCGCTGTAATATGGCCATGTGTAATTCGTAGCTGAGGATCCCTCTGTTCAAGACAAAGAAGTTATCCCGAATATGCAATCTGATATGTTGACATCTCAAGCCACTGTCGGGCTGACACTTGAATGCCAAGACATCTCGGCGGTTGCCGACTGAGACAGTTTTGGACACCATACTTTTGGGTGAGCAAGCAAGCCGATGATTTAAGAACACTTCGGCCCTTTCAAACATCCAGACAGATACTACCTACCTTATTACCAGGTTGGTGTCAGGTTGGTAGGTAGCGAGCAGTCCTACCCGGTGAGGTGAGAGCTGGAGCGGACAAGTGTCCTTAATTAGTTTTTATCTTGGCATACTGTCCGTTCAAACTCAAGCTTCACCAGAATCATTCCGCACAAATTACAGCGGGAAAACGAGGTGTCTTCCAGAGGCGGAGATGGAAGCGGAATCTGGCAAATGCTAAATTCCTGTAATATGCCGACTATGTTATTAGCCTGGACTCCCTGAACGGCATCCAAACCCGGACTTGTTTTTATTGATGGGGGAGAAGTTCGGGCACGGGAAAGGGGGTCTCCCTTATCAAGTATCCCCATCCCTTCATCACAAAATAAGCGACCCCCCCACCTTGGATATGTTTCCAGTTTCGCGCAACAGGCCCTGGAGATTAGTTCGCACTAAACAGGACGATGATGACGATATCGATCGGATAATGATGAGTTAGCATGTGCAAGCGATACTTTTTCTCACGTTGGCCCTAAGCTATAGATAGAGCAAACGGCCGATGATCTTGCTGCTCAGGACTCTCTACCTCCATGAGGGGGAAGCTAGGGAGTGAGGCGAAGCCATTGGCTTGTTTCACCCGCGAGAAGAAAGAGCTCATACTCTGTACCCTAGGTATCTCGAGCGAGAAGTGTCCAATTTGCAGTTTGCAGTTAGAGGCGGGGTGCCGTCGCAACTCCCGGTCCCTGTTTGGTGCCATCCACAATAGATATGTACGCATGTAATCCGTACTGTATGTACCTGTGTAGCACGAAATGGCGCCTTGTGTGTCTATCCGTACCGTGCGCGTGCTGGAATCGAATCCGTCAGTGTAATACTCCGTACATTCTACAGTAAGAACCAATCCAAGAACCGAAGTGTGTAAGACCTCGAGTCGAGCAATGGGATACGAGTCGTCGTGGTGGTCACTAATTTGGGTAGCCTCTTGGAACTTCCACTTTGCTTATTCTGTTCTTTTCCTTCCTTTTCCCGCCCATTCGTGCCATTTTTCTCCATGTCAAACGCTTTGATCCAATTGGGCCTACCATCCATCCTATCAGGCAAGTCTTGGCGAATTGCGAATTATCAGGGGACCACTGGGAGCCAAACGGAGCCACCTACTGCGTGGACATTACATATGTACAGCTTCCTGGTGCGGATCCCGCACACGTGCAATCTCACTAACGCTCTGGTTTCCTGATCGAAATTCAGATCCGCTCCCGCTGCATTGTCAACAGGCGGCTCCTGCTGATCGGCCATTTTATTTGCTGGGTCTTGGCTCTTCGAGTGGGCCAAGAAAATAAAAGATTGCACTAGGCTGGACAGGGGGCCCTACCGTCTGTATTTTTCGTTGTTTGCGCCCAGGGGGACAGATAACAAAAGATTTTTAAAGACTTGCCTCAACCTCCACCTCCCGTCCCAGCTAAGACAGGAGATACGAACTTCGCCAGCCATCTCGACCGTTCTCGACCACTTGCCCGACACCCCCCTCCCCTCCCGTCGCCTCCCCTCGCCTCCCCCAACATCGAACACCGGACAATTCCACCGGTTCGAGGTTTACAGCTGCCAATTCCAGGTGGTCGAACAAACGGCCCGCAGCCGCCGCCCTAGATTTGGCAGCAGCAACCCGTCGCCTCTTTTGAGGTAGGACAGACTGGACAAACTCGCTAAGGGACACAGTCTGGAGGTGTCTCCTTCTTTGCTCCCACTCTGCTGGCTTTGCCTTCTCGGCAAATTCCAGACAAAGAATCCCCCCCTTTCCCCACCAAACGTCGTTTACCAGGGGGGCTCCAAGAGCGCCGTCTGGTGACATTTCGCAACTGCGAATCTGGCTTCCCACCAAACCTCCTCGGCCGCTTCGTCATCGTCCTTCGGCGACCGGCCATCGCGGTCCCACTATCGAAGGCGCTCTTCTATCGGTGGACTCGACCTCCGATTGGACAATCGGAAGGCGTCGCCGCACTCCCAGGGCCTTCAGCCCCCTATGCTATCCCCCGTTCCCGGTACGTGTCCCTCGTGTTCGCCAGGGCGTCAGCTGCTTTGCTTGCCGCTTGCTCGTGATCATTGCTGACGCCATCTCTTGGGGCTCCCTCAGGCACTCCTAATATAGCAGCAATGTCTATGTCTCGTACCCCTTCTCCTGCCCCTGGCGGCGCCTGGTCAAGTCCAGGTCTGAACATGACCTCGAGCGGCCGAACAACACCAATAAAAGGATACTCGTCGCCAAATGGTGCTCCTGGCATGTGGGAGTCGGCAAGAATAAAGAACTCTGGGGCCAGCGGTTATCCGTCCTTCTCAACCCAGAACCAGGGCTTCTTCACCCGCCATATGCGCCGTATATCGAGTAGTCTGCCACGGTTCAATGCCAATGCCCACTACGCCGAGAAGGAGAAGCTTGGTCGTGGCCGGTGGGCAGCTCAGGATGCCCCACTGCTTGGGAGATTGAAAGGCATAGTGGGACGGATGGGTAGGAAGTTGAAGCTCCGACTTCTTGTCGGCTTCCTCTTTCTATTCTCCCTCATAATATTCTATAATACCCGTGGGTCGCCCCGTCTCCCTTCTCTCCCCACTGCCCTCTGTTCCCATGCTAATATAGGAGGAACAGCTCTAATATATCACTGGAGGAGATCCCCATGGTTCGGAAGCGGCGAGAAGTACGTCATCATCCTCGCGGCCAATGTTGGCGGAGGCGTGATGGAGTGGAAAGGCGCGCGAGAGTGGGCTATCGAGAGAGACTCGGTTCGAAACAAGAAGAAATACGCGAACACCTGGGGATATAACCTGGAAATCGTGGACATGAGCACCAAGAAGCGATATGCGCACGAATGGCGGGAGAGTTGGGAGAAGGTTGACTTCATCCGGATGTGCATGAGGAAGTACCCAAAGGCTGAGTGGTAAGTCTGCCTTAGCTCGCCGCCACCCAGCGAGTAAGATTTCTAACACAACTATCTCATAGGTTTTGGTGGCTGGACCTCAACACTTTCGTCATGGAACCATCCTACTCTCTTCAGAACCATATCTTCAACAGCCTGGAGGAACATTCCTACCGCGACATCAACGAATACAACCCTCTCAACATCACCCACCCCCCAACCGACCCCTATCTTGACGCCGAGTCGCTCAGTGCGGTGGGTGACGGGAATGTCAACTCGGTCAACCTGCTCCTGTCACAAGATTGTTCGGGCTTTAACCTGGGTTCCTTCTTCGTCCGCCGTGGTGCGTGGACGGATCGGCTGCTGGATGTCTGGTGGGATCCCGTGGCATACGAACAGAGGCATATGGAATGGGCGCACAAGGAGCAAGATGCACTCGAACAGCTCTACATTGCCCAGCCGTGGATTCGGAAGCACACGGCTTTCCTGCCCCAACGCATGATTAACAGCTTCCCAGTGGGCGCCTGCTCCGAGAACGGCAATGACTCCCATATCCACTACAAGGAGGAGGACCGGGACTTCTTGGTCAACATGGCTGGGTGCGAATGGGGTCGTGACTGCTGGGGCGAGATGTACAAGTTCCGGGAACTGAGCTACCACCTCAACCGGAGCTTGTGGGAGCGCTTCAAGGAGGACTTATTGGCCGTGATCTGGTTCAAAATCACTGGCCAGAAGGTCAAGCTCTGATTCAGCTGCCCCTCCTTCCCATCATGATACCCACGACGATTCGCTTCTTCTCGGAGTGCCTATCGCCTCGATATTGCCCCAGCCTGGCCCCGCAACGCTTCGAGCAGCGCTTGAAACATGCTACTTAGTAGCATCGTGCGAGAGGGTCAAGGGCGCCCTTGTGTTACTATGCTTCCCCATCCATTACATAATGCCGTGACGAAGAGTAATCCGGCCGGAACAGTTCTTCATGATAGTCATGGTTACGAGCAACTTTCCCTCCCATTTTCTTGTCTGAAATCGGACGGTTTCAGTCTGCAACCTCAATTTCACTCAGCGTTGGACGCCCATGAGGATGCTTTAGCGCGAGTTTTCCGCAACACACCACTGGTTGGGAGTACTGGAATAGACACACATTCGATATCCCGCATTTGTACGGAGTACTTCGCTAGACCATTACCACACGCCAATTGTACGCTGTGCTCAAATGCCCGGCATGGGTGAATTCAGGCCATGAAAATAAAATAAAAGAGAGAGAGAGAGAGGTTGCCATAAAGCAAGCAGACAGAGTAGAAGTTGGTTGCTGCTGCAAAGATGAAGGTGATTTGGTACCAGTCTATTTGTTCCACGGCATCCCTGATCGTGCATCCATCTTAGCTCCGCTGTGCCGCACTCCGGCAGGAGCCGGCTGTGCCTGCCGAGATTTTATGCAGACCCGACAAACAGGATCACCTCTCGATCTGTCGAGTAGGTGCCTTGCCAAGAAGTCATCTACCGGAGCTTGACGAAGGATTGTTGGGGAGAATCAGGGAGTGAGAAGCTGGATTTATTGCTTGCCCGACCTCTCCTTGTGTCACTTGGGGAGAGCATAGGCATTTGAATCCATTATCACCAGTGGCCCCAAGTGCACCAGACTGTCGTTAGAATACGGGTCGTTGATCACAATGGAGCGGCCTGCTTCAGTGGACAGACAAGCAGGTGGCTGGCATGCCAAGGACGATAGTGACCATGAACTGAAGTCTTGAAGATACCCATATGTCCAGGGAATCCGCAGGCATTGGAGCTGAAGGCTAGGTACGTAATGGGGAACTCATGTGGAACTGGAGCCCTTCTCAGCCCGCGAGCGATGGACCAGCCACAAACTGCATGTTTCAAGTTCCGTACCCACTTTGACGTTGGGTTGGAGAGACATTGGGCCCCCGAAGTCTACAGAAGGAATGCGAGGCAGCGAGGAGATCCTGCTGTGCCTCTTTTGGAGGTGCCCCACCTACTTACTACGGCTGTTGCCGCGCTAGTTGACATCCCCCCTGTTGCAAGTGTTGGATTTTCGAAGCGCCAACATCTTCATTGGCTCTACAGTAATTTGACCTGTGGCAAAGGGAGGACTACGTCTCAGAACACCTCGAGTCCAGAGCCCCATATCGAATGGCTTCGAATCGCTAACAGCCAGCTTCTGGAATGCCCCTTCAAAAGGCTGGGATCTGAAAGGCCGCTCAGAGGCCCAGCTCCCTCATAGATGGTCACACCATGACCCAGGGACTGATCGAGACAAGGCCAGGATCTTGGCATGTCTACCTACCATTACTGTTGCAGGCGCGTGTGATGCTTCAATGGCTCTTCCAGGCTTATGGTGATGACAATTGCGGAGAACAATCAGACTTGCAAGCCGTGACTGGCCAGTCCGTCCCATCTTCTTCCCTCCTCTCAGCTAGGGTGCCTCGAGGACCCTAGACAAGCTTGCTTGCCGTGGGTGTTGTGTGGGCCAAACCTACATGATTATTGCCTAGGCCTTGTCTCCAAGGGCTGGTTTCTGTTAGTAGTCGCGAGTGCGGCTCGAGTGCATCCCACGAGATTCTACTTGAGTGGTATGCATTCTTCCTTGTGGCCAGCCAGGTTCATATCTTCCTCACTTATATGCGCACCCGTATCCTGGGTCAGCTGTTCGGCACGACGTTCTTCTCAGCTCTCTGCTTCTTATGCGTCTGCGACGTTGTTTCCGACTCGTACTTATTGTCCAGATACTGTCAAAGCTTCCTTGGCACACAATACACATTGTTTTTATTCTTATCCCCTCAGTAGTCGATAGAGTTCTTTATTGTCCGGCACAATAACTTTGTTAAGCAATACCTCATTTGCTTCCAACCTTGCTCTTCCTCGTTCGTCGGCCGAGAAACCCTGCCCAGTTCGGTATTTAAAGGGCCTTTGCCCGCCAGAGTCTACCTCCTTCCACAAGATCCCTTCTAAACCAGAAAACCTCGATATGTGAGAGTTCCTCAAAGTCAACTATTTCAACCACAACAGCTCTCAACTTCAACTACTGCGGGCAACACAAGACATGCTCGTCTCAAGGATAACTCTCGGGCTTGGTGCCCTTCTCTCTGCGGGCATCACTCATGCAGCCCAGTATGTGGAGATTGAATCATACGACCCAAGCAACTTCTTCGACAAATTTGGCTTCATGAGTGCGCCCGATCCGACCAACGGCTTCGTCGACTACGTAGACGCTGTGACTGCCAATCGGGATAGCCTCGCAGGGTACGCGAATGGTGGTGTCTATCTTGGCTCCGACTTCAAAGAGGTAACGACCACTGGCCGGCCCTCTGTCCGGGTGACCTCGAAGAGGGCTTATACCAGAGGCCTCTTCATTGCCGACATCGCCCACATGCCGGTAGGGACCGGAAAGGGCGGCTCATGCGGTCTCTGGCCGGCCTTCTGGATGTTCGGACCCAACTGGCCCTCCTCTGGCGAATTCGACATTATCGAAGGCGTCCACAACCAGGCCTCAAACGGTGTCACCCTGCACACAAGGGTCGGCTGCTCTATGACAAATACGGGATCGCTTGCCTCTACCAAGATGGTGAACATTGACTGTCAGGGGACTGCTGGTTGCAGCCAGGCCACCGCAGAGACAAACAATTATGGCCCGGGATTTAATGCCATTGGAGGCGGCATCTACGCCATGGAATGGACCAGTGAGGCCATCAGCGTCTGGTTCTTCCCTCGCAACGACCCGATGGTGGCCAGACTGAACGAGTTCAACATGTCGGCTCCTGATCCTTCGATCTTTGGCCAGCCCCTGGCCAGGTTCGTCGGTGACAGCTGCAACATCGATGAGCATTTCGTCAACAACAATATCGTCTTCAATATTGACTATTGCGGAGATTGTACGTATCCCACCACCCCCTCCTGCTTGAGAGTATCTGCTAACACTTCTTCTAGGGGCCGGAGAGGTCTGGAGTGAGGACCCAACCTGCAGCCACCTGGCGCCTACTTGCGACGAGTACGTCGGCCAGAACCCGGGTGCCTTCGCCGAGGCCTACTGGTTGATTAACTCGCTCAAGGTCTACTCGAAGGACGGGGTCGCGGCGAAGAAGGGCCGGCAGCTGCGGAGGTATCTTGCTTGAAGAATCTCTTGGTGGGGATGCCCTTGCCAGAGAGTGAAGCCCGTGAATAGGAGGGAATGCAGGGATTGGAGATACTCGGAATCTCCCTGTACATGGCAGGCCACATAAAAAGGGATGGACGCGCTGACGACGACTGATGCTTCAGAAACACGGCCATGATACTAACCCTCTAGATTTTTTAAAGGCGTTTGGGCGGCATGTATATATGCCCGCTTGAATTGGGGGCTAGCTAGCTCCATATTCCCCCTTGCATGAGCGGGTGTTTTTCTTTTATTTTCTTTATACCTCTCTCATACATAGCACATCACATACCACACATCACATAAACAAAGTGTGTAAATATATGCGAGGCTCTGCAGTTATACGCCAGAAAGACCTAAGCAGGTTCTCAAATTCGAGGAACCGACGAGGCAAGCGTGGACGTGATGAAGTTCTGATGTGCTACTCTTCCTAGCCGGCAAATCTGACCCTGATGTGCTGCTGCAAACCTAGTATCAATTACGTATCACATTCCAGCCACTTGCTTAGTGAGGCTTCGATCCACAAGGGCGGTATGCCGATGCTTCCACTAGGAATAAACAGTAATAATATTAAGGTGAACACAAGCTGCAGTGCGTCACCAATGCATATATAGACCCCTCCCCAACGCCCAGCCGCAAACAAACAAACTGTAGATCCCAACGCTCTCCAACCCCCTCCCCCCCAAATCACTGCCAGCTCCTCCCCAACAGGCTCTCCTCCCCGACGACCCCGCGCCTCTTCTCATCGGCCTCGATCCGCAAGATCAGCTCGCCAAACAGGCCGTTGGCCCACCCGAACCACGCCCGCGTCCAGTCGTCGGCGCTCCAGCTGCTGACTGTCTCGTGGACGACGCCCGTGCCGGCCGTCGAGTCGAGCACCATGCGCAGCTGCGCCGCCACCTCGTCGCGCGGGTCCGCGAGGCCCGAGGCCGGCTCGTACGCCGTCAGCGCCGCCACGATGGCCGCCATGGGCCACGCCTTTCCGGGCCCCAGGTGCGGGCCGCCCACGGCCGACATGGCCGGGCCCCAGGCGAAGTACGGGTTGGCCGAGCTGAGCACGAAGGCCCGCGTGTTGCGGTAGATGAGGTCGTAGTCGCGGGGCTTGTCGGTGCCCGCGCTTGCTGCTTCTGCTTCCGTTTCTCCGCCCGCTTCTCCTTCTCTTGTTGCTTCCTCTTCGCCGTTCTCGCCCGAGGAGGTGGTTGAGTTGCGCTTCGAAGCCCCCGTCCCGGCGGCGGCGACGGCGACGGCGGGCGGACTACTATCACTGTCGAACGCGGACCTGGAGTAGTTCCACAGCGGCATGGCCAGCAGGGAGGGGACGTTTGCGTCGTCCATCAGGTTCGCGCTCCCGAAGCCGTCGACCTCGTAGGCGAAGATGTCGCCAAAGTCGCGGTGCCGCACGACGGCGTCGCGGTCGATGCCCCGCCGGACGCCGGCGGCATGGGCGCGCATCTCCCCGGTGAGGTTGGCGGCGCGCGCGTCGTCGAGCCGCTCCATGATGACGGACGCCTCCTCGAGGTACTTGGCCCACATCATGTTGGCCGGGGTGAGGAACTGGAAGATGCAGGCGTCGTCCGACGGCCGGAAGGCGGTCCGGACCATGCCGTTCTCGCGGATCGGGTTGCCGAGCCCGTCGTTGGTCAGCGTCTCGCTGCCGCGGTTGGTGTAACCCGTGAACGTCCACGCCGAGGGCAGGACCTTGCCGTCCTTGTCGTACGTGCCGAGCCGCATGTCGCCGGCGGCCTTGAGGCCGGCCGCGACGGCGGAGACCCAGCTGTACTTGCCGAAGAATTCGAGGTCGCCCGTGGCCTGGTAGTAGGCCGAGGAGATCTGGAGGAACGATGCCAGGCTGTCTAGCTCCCACTTACAGTCGAACACCTTCTGGGGATCGTATGGCGGCTGCGGGTTGTTGTTTGCGTACGCACCGTTGGAAGATGGTTGGATGCCTGATTCGACGGGGGGCTGGAAGCTGTGGCAGTACGGAGAAATGTTGATGTATCGCGCGTGCGAATTGATCAGCCCGCGCCAGAGACTGGCGAGCGAGTCTGGGTCGGTGGATGGTTCCAGGAGCGGCAGGTACGAGTAGATCTGCGAGGCCGAATCGCGAAGCCACATGGCGTCGATGTCGCCCGTTATCACGTAGGTCAGCTCCTCGTCCGTCTGGACCGTCTTTTGCGTCTGCTCGTCCGTCCTGTTCGCATATCCCCGCCACTTGACCATTGTATCGAGCGTGATGGGGTAGCTATTCTCGAAGAGGCGGAACAGATCGGGGTCCTTTATCACGTCCTTCATCCTCTCGAGGAGCGCCTCGAGCGACGGCAGCTTGAAGGTCCGGCATTCGGGCAGAGGACGGACGTAGGGGAACTTGCGCCTGCCTTCGGATTCTGGTCCCGGCCTTGAACTCATCCATCGTATGAAGTCGACGCAATCAGTAACCGGGATATGACTCGCAGTATCATCTGCATAATCGGTTGTGGCATCATTTGCGGCCTCGTTCGCGGCTTCGTCAACAATACCGGGTGCAATGTCGTCGGGAGTATCGTCGGGGGTCTCGGCTGGAGTATCGTCCGCCGTATCGCCTGCCGTATCGCCTGCCGTATCTCCTGCAGTGACGTCTGGAGCATCGTTTTCGGCATCGTTTGCGGCATCGTTTACAGGGTCGGCTTTTGCATTATCGATCGCAGTATCGTAGGGGGTACCGTCCGCTGAAGGCACATACGGAGCGCCGGGACCCTGAGAGTCAACAATAGGCTTGTCCGAGCCGGCATGGTTCGGCTGGAAGAGATCCGGCTGCAGTGCACCGCTGTACTGGTAGGCCACATAGAAAAGGACGGTTGTCGTGACAAATGCGATGAATATCAGCCTCGCCCGCCGCTGGCCGTCGCCAAGCAATGAGGGAAGCATTGCCGTCGTGCTGGCCAGTGGCCACTCAACTGCCGAATAGAAGACACACACAAGAGGAGAAAACTGGATGTGAGAAGCTAAGTGGGCGACGGCAGCTTCAGGAGAAGAAGAGAAAGGGTCAAAAGCATGCAAGGAGTGGCCGAGGAGGAGGACGTGCCACTCGACACCGTCAAGAGAACATCTTACACTACGTGCCACAGTCCTACGCTGTCTCGGCCCCGGAACGAAGAATGTTCATTATAGGGCGCTCCAGCCATGGTGGCTGTCTTGGCGTTGACAACCGAAAAAGGTTACAACCATTGTCTGTCGCCGACTTGCATAAATTGGCTTGGCTATCAAAGTTAGAAGGAGGGGGGAGAGCTACTGTACATGTATGTTACATCCACGGGAAATATCCGTAAGTTTTCCGTTCCAGGGGTCCAGTTCGCCTAACTAGCAGCCGAACCCCACACTCCCATCATAAGGATCATTTCCCCGGTTCATTCTCCGCAAAAGCCGGGCTGTTTCCTGTCTGTATTGCATGTAGACAGTTCAAGGCCGACGCGCAGAATAGGTAGTGATCTTCTATCCCTACGATACGTAATGGTATATATAGGTAGTATGTATGATACATGGTAGGTATGGACGTGGATTATCTAGTACACAATATACATTTCTCTGGACCAACATGGTTTCCATTTCCTCCCCACTGCATGAACCAGCGCGCCGTATCATGACCCCGAGGCCAAGTCCTCGTTGCTGCTGCTTGACTGGCCTTGGTCATCATCAATCGCCCCTTCTGTATCCTTCTTCCTCGAGGGAGTCCACTGTGGCACATCCTCACAGTCTCGCGGCACCCGGCAAACGTCCCTAACGTCGCAGGTCTTCCAAAGAACCTCGCGAACCTCCTTGAAGACTTGATCGACGGCATCCATGGCCCAGACCACATCCAAGTGCTCGAAATTTGGAATGACCTTGCTGTGGACCACGTTGACGTGAGGTTCCCGACCGTTTTCGAACCTCCGTATCAACCTCTCCCCGTCGACGAGCTTGTCATTGCCACAGACCCAGAGGGCGAATGGGGGTACCTGCTCATTGTACCAGGCCGTGGAGCCCTTTGGCCTCCTCACATGCGCCTCTGGCTTATTCCTCTCGGCGCCGGCATCGCCTTGGGGACCCCGGCCCGCTTCGTCAATGACATCGCGCTCCCGGGTTCGTTCGTCGTCTTCGCGTTCCTCGGCACGCCATTCTTCTTTCGTGGACAAGATGCATTTGTGCCTGGCAAAGCATTCCCGCCCGAGCCACCAGCGCATTGACTCGGCGCTGACGTACACCGGAGCAAACTGGAACATGCGGTCCCGCAAGCCGCGATCCCACCTGTCGTCGGTCCAGCCGAAGAGAAACGAAAAGACCTTGTAGCCGAGCCAGCCGTAGACCCGTGGCGGTAAGATGGAATGCATCGTCATCATGAGCGGTATAAAGGCGTGGATGCCGAAAATGAGGCGGAACATGGACGGCGAGATCACCCGCATGAATTTGAAGTACATCTTGCCAATCAGGGGCCCGGCGTACGCCGCCGGGGCGAGGGCGCAAAAGACGGTCAGCTTCTCACCCAGCTCCGGGCGCTGCTCCTTGGCAAGGGCGACAAAGGCTTCCGTCGTGCCCTGGGAGTGGCACACCAGCCCGATCTTCTCGAAGCCCGTCTCGTAGAGGACCCGAGAAGTCAGCGCGCTGAGATCGAAAACGCCCATTTGCCGGATATTCCAACACCACATGCGCGGGTCCGAATACTTGAGAAGGACGTGCTTCGGCTTGAAACCGCACCTGTTGTTGCCCAGCCAAACGTCGTAGCCCGACTTGCAAAGGAAGAAGGCCAGCGAGTCGTCGTCGTTGACGCAGTATGCTCCAGCGCTCTGTAGGAGGCCGTGTACTAGCAGGACGGGGAACTTTTGCTTGTCACCTTGGCGACGATGTCTCTTCTCTGTGGTCGTGAAGGGATCGGGCCCCCGGTGTAAGCGCTCCTCATCGGGCAACTTGGTGTACTCGCAAGGGTCGAAGACATGCCATAGGTCTATGATGAATCCATCTTCGGTCTGGACTTGAAATTCCTCGACATCGAGCCCGACTCTGCGGGCATAGTATCCAACGTCGCACTTGATAGGGTCGGGTCCGCCCTCGGTCGGTACGTAAGTGTTAGAACCACACTGCTCCTCGGCCCGACAGACAGGGTCCCGTGAGCGCTGTCGCTTCCAAGCCCGCTGCGCACCTTCTCTTGTACGCTTTCGGCGTGATTCCTCCTCATAAAACGGGCGTGTGGAATAGGGGTCTCGACCCATCATCCTGTCCCAGGCACGACTGCACATCGGAGGAATGCTAGTGAAGAGAGAACCTAGCACAATGACCCCCAGGAATGACAAGCTCAGGAAGAACGACGAGACACGGAAAATCCTGCATTGGATATCTCGAAGTAGGGACGGAGGCCCGTACAACGGTAGCGGGGGGAACAAGGGGTTCGTGTGCGACGGCGGCATGGACTTCCGTAAGCCGCCCTCAGCCGAAGGGTGAGCGGACTTGCCCTTTAGACGATGCATGAGGCTGGTAGCCTTATGATGGCCGATGGTATGGCCTTCTCCCCGCCCAACGCCTCCCCGTGTGGCATCCCCATCGGCAAGATATGTGGGAACACTTGCGCCGCTCTCTAGCTCCTCTTTCAGGAGGTTTAGCTTGTGAGCCTCCGCCAAAGGTACTCCAGGGAGCCTGTCTCCATCTCCAGTGATAATAATGGGATCTTGAGGGGTGACGAATCGAGCCTCGACAGCGGCCGCGCTGAGATCTCCCTCTTCTGGCTTCTGGTAGGATAGTTTCTGAACTTGTTGGGCGAACTCAACAGCCGACGTCGCCAACGACGAGGCAGATTTCCGTCTTGTGGAAGAGGCTGGAGAATCACCACGCCCAGGCTGGCGGGTGTCGTCGTGCGGCATGATAGAATCTCTCGGGGTCGAGAGAATTCAATGCCTAACAAGCATAATAATCAGAAAAATGAACAGAAATTGGACAGAAATGTGTGTATACGGATAGCGGAGTCCGATACGATCGAAGATAGGGAGAGAAGACAGTATGAAAACAGAAGGACAGTATAGAGAGGATGGAAGGTGAAAAGAAGGATTTGAGAGACAATCACGACGACTGCCAGACTAGAAGCGGACTAGAGAGAGACGGCGGCGGGCACCAGAGCCAGGAACTATCCTGGCCCCGAGTTAATCGCGGAGGACTGCACGTCATTGGGCCAAGCAGGGTTTGAAGATCAGCACCCGAGACTGAACAAGGTTTGAACCAATGTCCCTCGAGATCGGAAAGGCGAAAAAAATCAACAGGTCCGGTCCTGACAAGCAACCCTCACTGGGGGTGTATCCAAGCCCATTGGCTTGCTGAATTACCTTTGAAGGCATGTATTGTATCATTGTGCATACATATGTGCATGGCAAGAAGGTCATTAATTCGGGTAGAGATATCCAGGTTTTCGTGGCTGACTGGCTGTGCATGATTCCAAGCATGTGAAAATTGGCCCAAGCACCCATCGACAATCACGCGCCCTGGCACGTGGTTTGCACCTCTCTGCTGCGGAGTTCTGCAACGCGGCGGAGTAGGAGACCGCGCAAAGCCGAGGCCTGAGTCCTGAGTAGCCGAATGGACTCTCGAGAGCCCCGGAGCAGCTTCCAATTCTCCGCAAGCCGGTAGAATCTATTCACACAAAGCCGTTTCTGTCGGCAACATATACGCGTAATACAACCTGACCTGTCTTACATGCCAAAACATTGCTTGCGCATTCGTATGCTACTTTCGTCCCTCCGACACCACTGAACGTTGAACATGTGCTATGCGCTCTAGCTCCAAGTCTGTGTGGGGCGGACATCTTCAACTTACCTACGGAATACTCGATCGCGACCTCTGTCTCCCGTTGCTCCGCTACACGAGAGTCAGCTCAGCGGAAAATCGGTATGGCCTCGTCGGATTTGGTCGCCGTGCCTCACAGGAAGTCGAGAGGCAGGAGGAGGCGCAGGCAAGACAAGCCGCCTGTCTCTGCACGCCTGGTGCTGGACGACCATGTAAAAAGCGACATTGGCATCCTCTCCGAGGATCTCTTTACCGAGCTCTTCCCTCAATTGCAAGGGCGTTAGTGTCTTCTTCTGCCCAAAGTCTCGCTTGTATAGTCTCTAACGTACCCTCCTGCTGCAGAGCCGACGTCTGAGGATTCGCATGCCGACATCCCCGACGTCGTCCATGTTGCCATTGCTCCCTGGGCCGCGGATCACACATCAGAGACGATTACGTGGACCATTGTCCCCGTTAGCAAGTCGTCCGCCCTCGCGCATTCGACCCTCCAGTTCTCGCCTTCTTCCTTGGCGCTTCAATCATTTGCCGCCATCCTCAAGCAGACCGCACCATCCAAGCTCTCGAGCCATAGCAGAAGTGGGATCGAGATTCTGGTCCTCGATGCTGTCGCCGTCCCGCTAGATACCGTCTTTGTGAGCTTGGAAGGGGAATTGGCCAAAAGGCTGGAGGCTGGAGAAGGCACATTCTTCCGGGAACACCCCCCGGCTGGCGGAAATGCGAATGGGATCGCAGCGGCGGCATCGGCCGAGGACCGCTTGACCACCGCTCTCAGGACCGCTCTCAGCACTCTAAAGGTTGTCCATTCTGGAGATTTGTTCCCGTTGCCTCTGGCACCACATCCGGTTACGCATATTCCCCCGAACCCAGGGAAGGTAACACTCTGTGAACCCGTCGCACAGGGAATTTTGGCGCCGAGTACCAGGATCATTGTGTCGCGGGGCCGTCTTCGTTCTAAGCATGACCGGCAGCCCGTGGCCATGACGCCGCGGACGCTCAATGGCGTTGCGGAGGATGATGAGGACACAGCCAACGACCAGTTTTATTCAGCGGCGGAGGAGCGTGACAAAGCGGACACACAAGCCGAAGATACAGAGTCCGTTACGGAAACCGAGGACGACGATATTGAGGCCGAAGAGGACGACCTATCCGACGATTCCATGGACGACGTGATATCTCTTCAGGCCCCAACCTTGCCGCCGACGGCGGCTAGCGGAGTGTCCACAATGCAGCCCGGCACGCCATTCACCATTGGGCGCGGGAGAAAGACAAACGGCATCAGCACTCCCGGATCAGTCTTTTCCACGTTTACTGCCACAACGGCCAGACCGGACCGGCCCCGAGGTCGGTTATTTAAAGCACAGGGGCTGATAAGACCTATACCTGCCGAACTTCTCCATCCAAGACCCGCTCCTGAGGATGACGAGGAGGCCAGAGTCTACGTTGATATAAGAGACCTCACAAGGGTGGGCTGCTTCTCGGGAGACTGGGTCCGGATGGAAGCATCTGAAGAGCCACCGACGAACGGCTTCGGTTCCTTCGGCCTAGGAAGTTTCGGGAGACCTGGTGCTGATGATGAACCTAATTGGAGGCCTGTCAGGATATACGGCTTGCCCGAGGGCTACTCTCAAAAGTCCATGACCAGAATACCGAGCTCAAGGCATGATGGGCGAAGGCTCTCCTTCTTCGAGTCGCAGATCCAGAAACCATCAAGTTCGACTGTCCATCTGTCACCAATTCTGCTATCAAACCTCGAAAGCCCACCGTATCTGCGGTTCTCGCCTTTGATGCCAACCACGAGCCATCTCAGAGGCTCACAGCCGAAGCCTGGCCCCAGATTGCAGCCCCCTTTCGCCCGCGAGGTGACCTTGCAGCAGTTGAGAACGCCGGTTTCGGCAGATCGGGAGGTGCAGACTGCTGTGATGGCCGGGCTGAAATGGCATTTTGAGAGTAAATTGCGCATCGTCAGGACCGGTGACCTCATTGCGATCCCGATAGACACGAAACTGGGCAAGACTCTCCAGGAGAACATTGCGGGCGGAGGCGATTCCGCTGTCGAAGATCTCCTGTCCTTAACGTCGTCCGGAAAAGCGCACAATGTCCACTGTGACGAAGTGGCCTGGTTCAAGGTCAGCCATGTCCAGCCGATGAGACAGGAGGCGGAAGAATCAGATGACGACGACATCTGGGACTCGGTCGTTTGCGTCGACATTTCGGTCGCGCGCCTCGAGCAGACCGGAACCGTCACGGGCCGGGTTGTGGGCACTATGGACAGCAGTTGGCGATACTATCTTGGAATCATGAAAGCTCCAACCCGGTCCCCAGAGACTGGGCCGCTGGTGATGATGGATCCTGGGCGGCGCCACGTCTCGTCTCTGCGGCGAAGATTGCGCGAGCTTCTGGCGGCTGCGACTAGCAAGCAGGCCATCCATTTCAAGATGCCGGCCTTGGCTATCTTGCTCGTGTCAACTCAACGCAACATCGGGAAGGCCACGACTGCGGTCGACGCCTGTCTCGACATTGGACTACACAGCTTCACCATTGATGCCTACGACATCCTCGACGAGGCCGGTGCTGGGGGCAGCGATGTGAAGACAGAAGGCCTGCTGAAAGTCCGAGCAGAGAGGGCCATGAGCTGCGGGCCGGAGTGCTGCGCCCTCCTGATCCGGCATATCGAGGCCCTCACTGCCGACCGGATGGTTTCGGCGATGAAGGAGATACTGGCGGACGCGAGGGTCCTGATAGCCACGACCACGGAGGTGGACAAGATCCCCGATGGCGTGAGGGGTCTCTTCACCCACGAGATCGAGATGCACGCGCCGGATGAGGGAGAACGAGAAGGCATCCTGAGAAGCATAATAGACGATCGCGGCATCGCACTGGATCCCGAGGTAGAGCTGGGCGGTGTCGCGCTGAAGACAGCCGCCCTGGTCGCCGGAGACCTGGTCGATGTCGTCGAGCGCGCCCTTGTCGCACGGCGTTCCCGCATGGAGCAGCTGTCAGCCAAGGCAACGAGGAGCGGCCAGGAGGTCACGGTAAAGGACATCGAAGTCGCGGGTGGTCCGGCAGCGTCCGGCCTCACAAAAGCCGACTTCGAAGTCGCCGTGGATGCGGCGCGGAAGAACTTCGCTGACGCCATCGGCGCGCCGAAGATACCCAATGTGACCTGGGACGACGTGGGCGGCTTAAACAACGTGAAGGACGCCGTTCGGGAGACCATCCAGCTCCCGCTTGAGCGACCTGAGCTCTTCGCCAAGGGCATGAAGAAGCGATCTGGCATCTTGTTCTACGGCCCTCCCGGGACCGGAAAGACGCTGCTGGCCAAGGCTATTGCCACCGAGTACAGCTTGAATTTCTTCAGTGTCAAGGGGCCGGAGCTGCTCAACATGTACATCGGCGAGTCCGAAGCGAACGTCAGGCGAGTCTTCCAGCGCGCCCGAGACGCGAGGCCCTGCGTCGTCTTCTTCGACGAGCTGGACTCGGTGGCCCCGAAGCGAGGGAACCAGGGCGATAGCGGGGGAGTCATGGACAGGATCGTGTCGCAGTTGCTGGCGGAGCTGGACGGCATGTCTGGCGGAGAGGACACTGCTGGTGGTGTCTTCGTGGTCGGCGCCACCAACAGACCCGATCTCCTGGACCCGGCTCTTCTGCGCCCTGGGCGTTTCGACAAGATGCTCTACTTGGGCGTCTCCGATACCCATGAAAAGCAGTTGAAGATCATGGAAGCCCTGACGAGGAAGTAAGTGAAATTCCCCTTCTCTGTTCCTTACAGTACTGTCTCTCGTAAGACCGAACCTGGTCGCTAACTCGCAACACCAAAAAAGGTTCTCCCTTCACCCATCTGTTTCGCTGCAGCGCGTCGCCGAGAGTCTGCCATTCACCTACACGGGCGCGGACTTCTACGCGCTTTGCAGCGACGCCATGCTCAAGGCCGTCACGCGGCAGGCCTCCCGCGTGGACGCCAAGATCAAGGCGATGAACTCGGCGGGGGCCGACGGCCACCACCACCACCAACACCAACACCTCCCGGTGTCGACGGCCGCCTTCTTCGACCACTACGCGACGCCCGACGACGTCGCCGTCACGGTCACGGAGCGCGATTTCGCCGACGCCCACGCCGAGCTGATCCCCAGCGTGAGCGCCGGCGAGCTGGCGCACTACGAGCACGTCAGGGCGACCTTTGAGGGCGTCAGGGATGGCCGGGGCTCCCGCGAGGCGGCGCCCCGCGGCCAGGGCGCGATGGCCGCGTCGTCTAGGGGGGGGCCCGCTAGGGGTACCAAGGGCAAGGGAGTCGTGGTGGCCGGGAAGGGCAAGGGGAAGGCGGTCGCGATGGGTAACGATGACGAGTTCAGCGACAACGATGGCAATGGCTCTGGAGACGAGCCGGTGGCGATGAACGGTAGGGCAAAGGGGAAGGGGAAGGCTGTTGCTGCTTTCCATGATGGGGCGCCGAGTGATGACGAGGGGCTGTATGAGTAGATAGTGAGAGATAGAGGCGCAGATTAAGGGACAAGGGGTCCCTAAACATGTATATCGCGTGTGCCGAATATAAAAAGATGAATTATCCAGTATCCAAATTTCACTTCGAATCTGGTGGTTTGCTGCCATAACCTCATCTAATTTATCTCTACCGGTAGCATTCACCAGCAATCATACAGTGATGCTGTCAGGCTCCTTCACTCCATTTCGCCTGCCCCCAGGGACCGACCATCCAAGCCGATAAAAAAAAGACACAAAACTCAATTCTTCGCCCCTGATGTCCCCCGAGCACGATCCCCCTCGTCCTCGTCCTCTTCCGGCTCGTCCTCCTCCTTGATCATCTCGGCCCTCTCGACCGCCTCGATCTCGTCGGCCGACGCGCTGGACACCACGGATCCCCTGTACGACGTGACGGGCGGTTCGACGTCGGTGGGGCGCCAGCTCGTCGTGGTCGGCGACTGCAGCGTCCGCAGCGGTACCCCGCCGGCGGCGCCGTCCGCCCAGGTCCCCGTCGTCGGCGACTGCAGGCCCGCCGCCCTCGAGGACAGGGACAGGGGCAGAGACGATGTCGACGCCGATGCTGATGCTGGCGCCGACGCGGGGGGGGGCGTCGACGGTGCTGCGGCGGTTGTGGCCTCCTCGCGGGGTTCTTTGTCTGCGCCGGCTTCTTCTTCTTTTCCTGCTCCTCCTTCCTCTCCCGCACCTCCTCCTGCGACCGTTGCCGCTACCACCCCCGCAACCGCAGCCACGGCAGCCGCCAGCGCCGGCTTGTCGTCCTGCGGCTTGTCGTCCTTATCCTTATCCGCATCAGCACCGTCAGTTTCCACCGCTTTGGTCGACGTCTCCCCCTCCCCCGGCCCCTCCCCGGGACCCTTGCCCTTGCCGTAGACCTTATTCCGCAGGCTCTGCAGGTGGACCTGCTTCGCCTTCGCGGCGGCCTCCTCGGCGATGCTGCGGATTGGCATAGTCACCTTGGCGGGGGCTTCGGGCTGCTGCTTGTTGGCCCCTTCACCCTGCTTCTGGGTGGAGGCCTTTTGCGCGGCTGCCGCGGCCACTGCCGCGGCGCCGGCGGGGGCTGCCGGTGCTGCTGGCGCTGCCGTGTTCGTGACCGAGGGGACGGTCGCGGGCTTGGCTGCGAATGGTGTGGGTAGTTTGGGGGCCTCGGTGATGGAAGGCTGGGTGAACTCGTCGTAGTAGATGGTTACGTGCTGCTTGAGCTCGCCGTACTCGTTCCAGTCTTCAATCTCAACGAGATCCTGCAAGGTGGTATGGTTAGTCCATGTGAAACCTTGTTGTCAGGTAGATAGATGCCCAAGCCAGCCCATCTACTATTCAGGAAAATAGTCCAGTGACGTCCCGCCGAGAAACCTTCCCGAGGCCTATTTTCCCAGTCGGAAAAGCAGAGAGAGAGAGAGACACCGGCTAGACTTACACCGAGGATCAACCCCATTTGCACCAGACCGGGCAGCTTCCTCACGCGGCCGGACTCGTCCTTGCCGGCGCGCCTGCCCCACAGCATGCGGGCCTTCTCATCGGTGGCGAGGTCGATGGCCTTGAAGGGCACGCGGTTGGCGCGCAGGATGGTCTCGAGACGCGACGTTGCCGTCACTATGTGCGACGACCCGGCCGTCAGCGATGTGTAGATGTAGAGTGCGGGGTCCGTCGAGTACGACTTGGACGAGGCGGGGTCGCTCGACGCCATGATGTCAGGGGAGGGAGAGAGAGATGGGCGGTTGGGGATGCTGGAGGCAGATGGGAGGTTTGGTGGTGATGAGATTTGAATTGGAAGAGATAGAGAGAGACCGCAGCCGAAGAGTTGCTGGAAAACGAGGGTTGACCAAGTGTTTGGTCGTGTGCTCGGCGATGGGCGGCTGGGGGGGAAAGTCAAAATCTTGGAGGGATGGTGAGGGGTCAGTGCTTGCTTGCTTGCTTAGGATTTGGGCGATCCGGGGTATCGCCGTGCGGGCCATGGTTTCATGACTCGTTTCCACGGGAGGAAATTCGTCACACATTTTGATCATTCTCTAGCATTCAGAATCGTCCTGGTAAGCTGCCTGATCCGAAAGGCACATTACTTTGATCTCGGGGTCTTGTCTTGTGTGTTTTGGTTCGCGGCTACGTCATTCCCAGGTATTGCAAGGTATGGCAAGGATTGATCTCTTGCAAGCCGCTGTTAGTATTGATACCTGTCTTCCCGATATACTCTGATATTGGGTAGCGAGGGGCTCCTATTGTGACATTGCTGTGATACTATGAGATCTACGTAGTAGATCTCGGAGCCGGGCCCAGATCTCGGCATTCGCACTTCAAATCATGATCAGCAAGGCTCGCAGCAACCATATATTCCCATTCACTCCAATATCACCATCAGCATCCCCGCCTATCACACCGGAGGCGACACGGACGCGCAAGAGAGATACGAAATATCGAGGAGTAGCGCCCTTGGGCCAAGCAATAAGCCGGCTTTAGGAATAATAAGGTAGGTAGATGGTTTCATCCAAGTAGCAGGAGAAATGGCTTTACATCTGCCGCCGCCAACAACCTAGGCAGTTGAGAATATGGGCCCTTCTACAAAAGACAAGGGACTTCTCATGTGGAAGGACGGCTGTCTAACTTCAAGAACACATATTCTGAGGATGAAGCGTAGGATTTCGGATGGCCACTCGGAGATGGAAAAATCAACGGCAAGGTCAAGAAAGCGTCGTGTAAGACTACTGTTCGCTTCCGGGGGAAGGACATTAACAATGGATACGTACTTGTACTTGTACATAGTAATTAAAACGGAAACGGACGTTGATGTTACCAATGACGAGGTTGCCAAGGGGCAACCAGGACACTGGAAGCGAAATTTCAGGAGAAGAGACGAAAGAAATAGCCCAGATAAGAGAGAGAACGTCGAAACATCTCGAACATGGACGTACAGAAGTCACGGAGAGTTCGTCCGTGACAAGGGTTGGTGGGAAGGATGGAAGTTGTTGCCGAGAAGTGCCACCATTTGGACGGGACAGGCCTCCGGGGAGATCCCTCGCCTTGGGGCAGTTTAGATACGGAGCGAATGTTTCGTGTGTAGGTACCTACGGAATGTGGATGCTCATCCGTCACCATCGCCGGCATGTTTATATCCTCTGCGGTTTCCATTACTTTCAAAGTTGCCTTCAGAGTCTAGACCGCCGAATCTACTGAGTAGGTGGTCCATCCACGTTGCTAGCGTCAAGGGCTTCCGATGCCCGATGGTGCTGACCTGCGGGCCGACCTCTTTTTTATTGCACTTGATTGCAGTGGGTCGAATCGTTAGGTCTTGATTGATCCTCGGGGACCGGGGGGTTCCACCTGTTCCAGGAGTCGGAGGAGGAAATTACGATTCTTGGGCTTGTGTGTCAATCCCATGGCAGACACCCGGCCGCCTGCACGGCGCCGCCACCAATATCCAGGAACTCCATTCCTACCTTCCATACTTCTGCCCAACCCGGGCAAAAATTGGGGTTGATAAGTTTGGGCAACATGAGATGATGAGCACGAGGGCCACAACGGTGACAGCGCAGCGAGAGAGAGGCAGAGAGACGTGGCACGCAGGCGCCTCCTCAGCCACCTGGTTGGCCGATTCGCTGCCTGCCAAATCTGGCAACAGGTGTGGGTTTTGCTGGCATCCGTCGAAACATATGGTTGGCTGTTCTGCACATCCTGGTTGTTGTTAGCTGATCCACTTGGCCTGGTTCCTGGTAGACTGACCAATTGCAAATTCCGGGCTCTGCAGCAGGTCCCTGTCACTGACCGCCTGGCGCTGCAAGGTACTCCCGTCGCATCCCCCACCACTTAGTACCCTCTACCCTGTAAGCTGCAGCAACGATTCCTCAAACCTGGTGGAATCGGGGCATGAGCATAGCACAGGATTGAAATGAAAGTACCTAGTACCTAGGGGTGTGCTAGTCTCGCTGATCCCATCAGCACTTGGAAGTTGGCGCAATTTGTCTTTTTTGCCTTCGTTTTTGGGTGCACGGTGCACCATATGAAAAGGAGAAATTCCACCCAACAACATCGCATCCTTCTCCTCTTTTCCCTTCCTTCCCTTCACACTGCGTCGTCCATATCCACACTCCTTAACTTGTTGCCGGTTCCGCTTCAGCCTTACAATCTTTCAGATAACTCACGAGATTCAGCCTCGAAGATCATTCCTTTTCTTCGACTTTTCTCGATTCATCGTCTTCCCGCTGATTTCATCTCGTCCCCACTCGTTACATTCCTCTGCCGCGCAGGAACCCAATCTGGTCAACGCGACCCACGATCATACCGACAACCAGTCACAAACCCTTCGCCCTCAGAACTCCCCAGTCCCCCGGACACGAAGAGCGATCAGAGAAACGCGGCTACCAATACCTCGCGACTTTTTCTGAACCACGCGCCTTGCGAAGCCCTCGTTCATTCTTGAAAGCAAGCACATCAACACCTCCAGTCAAAATGCAGCTCTCAAGCATCTTCACTCTGCTGGCCGCTGGCCTGGCTTTCGTCGCTGCCGAAGAGGGCACAACCACCTCGACCTCGACCATGACCAAGACCGTTACTATCACGCAATGCAACCCGACCTTGACCGACTGCCCTGCCCGAAGCACGTCGGCTCCCTCTTACAGCGCTTCCTCGATTCGCTCGTTCCCTCTGTCCAACTCTACCAGCACTGCCTACCCGACTGCCTACTACAACACCAGCAGCACCTACGTGGCCCCTTCTTCTTACCCTGTGGTTACCCAGACGTATGTTGTCGTTCCAACTGCGTCTGAGTCTGAGTCTGCGTCTGCTTCCTCCACCGCTACCACCGTTCCTCAAAGCGGAGCTGGTGGCCTCCTTGTCCAGTCTGGGCTCTTGCTGGGCGTTCTTGGAGCTGGTGTTGCCCTGTTGGCATAGACCGATTTTGTGGCCCAAGCCATGCATGGCCGCTTTTGATGCGCCGAACTCTTCTTTTCTCCGGCGTCTTTCACTTCTTGCTCTATGAGCTACTCTTCATTCTCAAGGGGAGGGGGGCGGTTTGGAGGGATTCGTATGGATGATGTTTGTGTGATACCTCGAAGTTCTGGGACATTTTCCGGCTACTGGCTGGCTTGTTGTTGAACGGGACATTTAAGGCAGGGAGGCGCGGATCGGGAACCGAGAAGCCATCTTGACCAGGAAAGTTAAGGGGCTTCATGTTGCATACCTAAGGACCTGCACATATCTGGCTCTCTGAATGAAATGCAACGATAAGGAACCTACCAGGTCCCAGGCCATCATCCTGCTGTTGATTGTTGAAGCTTTAACGCACTGTGACAATTACATTAAATCGCTCTGCCGAAGTTGGCTGCACCCGAGCCAAGACGGATGAATAGGTAGTACGTAGGAGGATATCCGGGTTCTGGACGGATGAGAAAGCGGTGGATTTGGTTCCTCGGGCCGTTCCGCTCTTGCCCTCGGAACGGCCGTAGATCATACATTACATTCTTTGTCTTCCATCCTACCGTATACGGAGTTCAATCTCCAAGCCGCCATCAACATCGCTTCCTGTTGTCAAAATCCGGCTTCCTTCACAGCATCTGGGATTGCTGTCATGGAGCGCCCAGGCCGGTTGATCTTGGTCGAAATCTCGCCCTTCCCATTGCCTTACTCCCAACCATCAATTAGTAACTGCCCATTAATACACACATAAAGAAGATTCGAGAATTGTGTAATAGTATCATCATCATTCTCAAACGTACTCGACGCCTTCCTCGAACTCGGCCTCTAGCTGCTTTCAAACTCTTTGAGATGAGAAAGAGGACTCCCAACGTAACCGGCAGCCTGTTTTTATTCCGGCGCACATACATGCTTCCTTGGGATAGTATGCGGATATCCTCCCGTAGGTAGCGTTTGCTTTGAACCCTGAACCCTGTCCAAGCTCCCAAGCCCCGAATCAAGCGTACAATGAGGCTCCTTTTTTTCCTAAACCATCGCCATTTCTCACATTACCGCTTCATTCAATGGTTTCACCTTAGTCGGACAAGGCCACAGAAATATGGCGGTCCTTTGGGATTTCCAAAGTTGGGCAAACCGACCACTTTCGTCCTGGTCAGGATCTCAATCCGTCCCCTTCGATCTCAGCCCGCCGCCGAGCGAGCGCAATAATATCTCTGCCCTCCCCCCTTCCCCCTCTCTCCCCTCCCCTCAAGTACAGACACCTTTTGTGCAGTTGTCGCAAAGTCTCCGGTTTGCCGGGACTAGATTCGTACAGCCGTGGGTGCTGTGATGATCGCAGTACTTATCGGCCATCAAGGCTTGGCCCTCGCAGCGCAAGTGCGTTATCTAGTAGGAACGATCTTGGGGGCTGCCCTACCTCTCATATTGTCAGCCATTTCGATACGCTGTGTAGTGCAAAGAGTCATTGGGAGGGGTCGTTACCTGTCTTGCTTTGCACAACAGGGGTGAATTGGATTGGGTCATGGAACCAGAGTTGGGAGTTGCCGCCGGAGAGAGGAGTGAGGACTTTTTCCTGGAACCTTGAAAATATACTATGACACTCCATAGCCGCTCTACCCACGGGGGTTCAATCCCTGTCCTGTGAGAGGGCTTGGGCCTTTATTGCATACACGAATTTTGAACCTTTTCCTGCCCCCTGTGGTGAAGCGCGACAAGTCAAGTTACTCATACTCATACTCAAACCTGGGCGCGTGGGCGAGGCTGGACCGGACACATCATTTTCCCTTTCTACATCGTCTCCTCCCAGAGCGGCACGTTCCTTTCTCGCATTGTAACCTCCCGGGCTATTGGGAACATTTGGCTATTTCCATATTCCAAGCCTTTGTGGGCACTCCCGGCCGTCTCTTCGTCCGCAATTGGACCCCGTCAATTTTCTAGATTTGGATACCCCCCCATCCAGGGTCATACTGCCACGCTGCTAGCAGTGACAGGGTGCCATGGGAAATACCGAGGCCTCTCGGAGACCGTATTTCCATGGGTTGAAGGTTCGGCAGATATGCTTCGACCCGGGTCCGAGACCTATATGTTCCTCCCACATGGCTCAAATACCAGGCTCAAGCCACTGAACTATTTGACTCGTCAGCTGAGCGATTCCCAAGACGGGCGTGTCATATTCTGAGTGGGAAGACAACCATCAATCAAGACACTTTAAGACTATATGGGGCTTGACAATCCATATCCCGTGGTAGCTACCTCGTGCTTCTATAGTCGGGCCAGCCATTAGCCCAATGGTGGGGGAGCTGCCACGCGTGTTGGCTCGATGGGGGGGGGGATATCTGGGATCTTTAACCCCTCCCAAGATGGTGACCCAATCTCCGTCATGGACGACCTAGTTTGCTATCTTTGCTTGCAGTTGGTGGGGTGGAGGCTAGACCAACGACTTCAACTAAAGACGTAACACCCGAGGCTCCCCCAATACCCAGCTTCTTAGTCCAGGATCTGGGACTGGGCGGCGCTTAAGCTTCCAACTTCCGTAGATCGTTACCTGGTGACACCACAACACCTCCGCTACAGTTGAAGAATGCTTACGCCTCTATGCGCCTACATGGCCTCGCCGAGTCCAAGGAGAGACCCAACTTGCGTGTCGCTGTTGGAGTTGACTGACGTGAATCATTGGAAAGGGCAGAACTAATGAAACGGAGTTGGGCCCCCACAAGTTCGTCACGCCATGTGAGTGGACAGCAGGAACCTTCATTTCCGGTCAGCCTTGGTTGGCATCCATCCACTCATTCATCAAGCCTTCGCGCCCGAATCCTTTGCATGGAGAACAAGTATAAGCCCGGCTTGGCCATCGTGCCGTATAGCTAGAGGAACACGAGGGATAAGGGGCTCCTCCAAGAGCATTCGAATATTATTAAGTTGTCGAGGTGTCCTAAGGACAGTCCTCACGTTCCGACGGCGAGAACGACTACTAGGTTTGACTAAATCATACGGCCCCTTTACGAGCCGGCTATGCCCACGCCCGTGCGCCCTCCTCCAATGGTATTTCCCATTTCCCTACCAAGGCAGTTCCTGCCAAATCCAAGTTTGTCCCTTCGCTGAGCCGGCTGGCCTAAAACCTCTCAGCATGGCTTTCCTTCTCGCCCGAACGACCAGGAAAGCGCTTCTTCTTCCGTCCCCAAAGCAAGATACAACAAGTGCATCATCAGCCCTTGAAGTCGACGCTCTGGCTAGCCTGGCCCTTGGCCCCGGTGTCGAGCTTGATGTTATTCTGCAGCTTTGTCTGCTCCTGCGTGATCTTGGCCGAGTTGTCCTTGCCGCCCTTGGCCTGGGCGATCTGCAGGGCCAGCACCTCGAGCTGCAGCTTCAGCACCTTGTTCTTGATCTTGCCCACCTGCAGGGCCTTGCCCGCCGCCGTCTTGGTGCCCCCCGCAGCGTCGATGGCGTCGTTGAAGCCGCCCGCGTCGGTCTCGGCCGCCTCGGCCGTCTTCCGGGCCGCGTTGATGATGTCCTCGTCGTTGTCGGAGACGTTGGCTAGGTCGGTTGCGTCGATCTAGGGTTTGGTTTGGTTAGTTTTTGTTTGTGGAGACATTCCCTTCAAGGCTGTATTGGGAGCCAGAGAGTTAAAGAGTATCGTAGTCGGGAGCAATACTCACGGGGAAGTTGGCATTGACTTCGGCGAGGGCGTTTCCAGCCACACCGTCTGAGACCTGGAAGTCGGCGTAACTCTGAGACTTGAGAACATCGGCTCTCTTGACCCTGCGGCTGTCGCTAGACGCAGGCAGAGCAAGGGCGGACACAGCCAGGGAGAAGATGAAGGCGGTCTTGAAGAACATCTTGGCTGGCGAGGAAGGTAAGAGGTGTTGTGAAGAAAGAATATATACTACAAGCTATATAGTGCAGGGAACAGAATGGAAGGCAGCACAGCTGTGAGATGAGAAGAGAAGATGGAAAGCCGAAGAAGGGAGAAGTACGGATACGATGGAGTCTCTGTTGAAGGTCGGACTACCACAACATCTTATACTTGGGGGCAGACAGCTCGAACGACCCTTCGTTTGAGACAGCTCCGCCTACCTGAGCAGCCATCCTCACACCAGGGACTCACACCAAGGAAAATCTCAAGGGCGCTCGCGTTGCAACCCGGTCCCTGGGACGAATCAAGGTTTGTGGGATCAAACAAGAACGCAACATGGGGCACCTTGTAGAGCGCCTGAACCTGGATTTCACGCAACCAGGGACCGGGGTGCAGGAGGCAGTAATGGTTTATTTTCCCAAACCAGGCCTTGGGATGCTCCGGGCGAGGAGCTGCCTCGATGGTGTCGCAGCTTGGCGATCGCCTTTGATCTGCCGCACACCCCTGTCCGACAAACCTCAAAACCAAATCCAGCCCCTGGGGGGGGAAGAGAGAGCTGCTAGTAGATTTTAGGAGCTTAACTCAGGTCACTACGCTATAAGTACAGGCGTAAATAAGAGCGCAGCGCCGAAGACGAGGTAAGACGACTGCTTGTCTTCTGTTGGACTTATCTAGTCGTTGGTATCCCAGTTGATGTCGTTTTGGATCAGAGAACGCTAAAATGATTAGGTCTAATGCGAAGGGCAAGAACAGCTCCAGTTAACCCCTATGCATCCCCAGGAAATCAGCGATCCACTGATTGTTTCGATGTTTGGTTGATCAAACCAAGATACAAAGCATAGCGGTGGGCAACATGGAACAAGCCGGTGGTGATTGTCCGGTGAGTGGGGAGAAGTGATGCTCTACACTGGTTACGTAAGTATTGGAATCTTCATGAGCTACCTATGAGGCAGTTATGCCGTTGAAAGCCGGTCTTCCCCAGGAATGTGACCTCACAAGCAAGGGGCAGCGGCAGCTAGCTTGGGGCCACCAGCGGGGTTGATCGCCCACTTACATGTGCCTAGGCTTGGGCTTAGACACCCTGATATCTCGACTGACTACCAACCTGGAAGTTGAATTGCTCAACGGCCATTACTCTCGTCCTCTCGTCCGTTAATAAGTATCATCGCGATGCCTTACCCTTCGTCCTTCCCTCCGGTGTCGATTCCGGACTTGGATCTCTGGACATTCCTCTTCGAGAGGAAAGACAAGCCCTTCCCAAGCAGCAAAGGTACGGAGGCTGGCGTGCACTCGGCTCGGATTTACCCGAATCGCTCAAGCTGACCATCCCCAAGAGATCTTGACCGATGCAGAAACAGGCCGGACTTACACGTTCTCCGGCCTCAAGCATGCCTCTCACGAGTTTGGGAAAGGACTGAAGGCGCGCTGGGGTTGGAAGAAAGGCGACGTCCTCGCCCTTTACACGCCGAACTCGATCGACTCGGCCGTCGTCACCCTGGGCGCCATCTGGGCCGGGGGCATAGTGTCACCGGCCAATCCGCTCTACACGGTGGATGAATTGGCCTTCCAGCTCAAGGACTCCAGTGCCAAGGGCCTCGTGACACAGAGGCCATTCCTGGAGACTGCCCGTAAAGCCGCCAAGAGTGCCGGCATCCCAGGGAACCGTATCATCCTTATCGGCGACCGTCGGGATGAGACTGGGAAGTTTAGGCACTTTTGCAGCATTCGGAGCACTAGCTACACTGGCTGGTACGCTAAAGCTAGGATTGATCCCAAGAAGGACCTTGCCCTCCTTGTCTACAGCTCCGGAACCACTGGTATTCCAAAGGGGGTGTGTCTTTCCCACCACAACATTGTGGCCAACCTCGTCCAATACTCCTACATGGATGGTCGACACTATCTCCCTTTCGGTGGTATAGACGGGAAAGGCGATAAGCAACTGGGCGCTATACCCCTATTTCACATCTACGTAAGTCACGCTGGCCCGAGTCTGCCTCGTTAAAGTGGAATATTGCTCAACTTGTTCGTCCAGGGCCTCGTGTGCTGCGTTCTCGGACCGATATTCTTCGGCTGGCAGGTTGTCCTGATGGAGAAATTTGATCTGGAGAAGGCGCTCCAGACCATTCAGAACTATGGGCTTACATTTATGTATATCCCTCCCCCGATCGTGCTTGCCTTTGGGAAACACCCGCTCGTAGACAAGTACGATCTCAGCACGCTGAAAGTGCTCCATTCAGCCGCAGCGCCTCTCACCAGGGAGCTCACGGAAGCCGTGTGGGAAAGGCTGAAGATTCCCGTCAAACAGGGCTTTGGGCTCTCGGAAACAAGCCCAATCTGCCACATACAAAGTCCGGATGAGTGGGCCAAGTATATAGGTTCGGTGGGGAAGCTGGTTCCGAACATGGAGGCAAAGATTGTGGATGAGGATGGAAACGAGGTTGCCGAGGGGGAACCCGGCGAACTGTGGCTAAAGGGGCCGAACGTCTTCCAAGGCTACCTCAACAACCCAGAGAGAACCAGGGAGGCTTTTTCGCCCTGCGGCTACTTCAAGACGGGAGACATCTTCTCGCGCGACAAATGGGGTAATTATTACTGCGTCGACCGGCTGAAGGAGTTGATCAAGTATAGTTCGTCATCCCCGTTCGCATCGTTCGTACCCCTGCGCTAGAGCTGACCACCTCGCCTCTAGAGGGATTCCCCGTCCCGCCTGCCGAGCTGGAGGGCCTCCTTATCACACACAAGGACGTCGCCGATGTCTGCGTGATCGGCGTCGAGGACAAGGAGCTGGCCACCGAGGTGCCACGAGCCTACGTAGTCCTGAGCCAGGGGGTAGAGGCCAGCGAGGAGAAGGCGAAGGAGTTGGCGGAATGGATGGCGAAGAAGGTTGCTCCCCACAAGAAGCTGCGCGGTGGAATTCGGTTTGTCGACCAGGTGCCCAAATCTCCCAGCGGCAAGATCCTGCGGAGAATCCTGAGGGACCAGGTGAGGAAAGAAGAGCGGGCTGCCGGGCCCAAGCTGTAATATCGGTGTTCTTCTTCTGCCCGTTGGTTGATGTAGGGGTCTTCTATTTTAAGTCTCAACACAGACGCGTTATCTGGATGGTCTCTATATGGGTGGGCAATTCTAGTCTAGTAAGAGTCCATCAATATATCACAAAAGACCTGGAATCTTTATATACAGGTGATGTACACTCGAGGCATCATAGCCATGCTCCAAACGGCGCTGTCTAAGCCAACTTCTCGGACTCCTCCAACAGCTTCTCGACGCTGAACCTCGCGTCGCCCTTCCCGAACCACTCCAACAGCTTCCTCCTCTCCTCAGCCCTCTCCCTCGAGATACCGGCCCCCTGCCCGTCCGCCTTCTCGCCGTCCCACCCGCCGTAGAACCTCTGCAGGCACATGACGAGCCACCTCGCGTCGTCGATCTCGGCGCCCCTCCCCTCCAGCACGGTCCCCTCCATCAGCACGACGCCCTTCTCGGCCGCCAGGTCGAGGTGGTGCGTCACGCTCGTGTGCGGCTGCGCGAACTCGCCGCGCGCCTTGTACTCGGCCAGCTGGGTGAACAGCACCGTGGACGTCTTGGACGACGACGATGTCGAGTCCTGCCCCGCCCCGTCCCCAAACGCCCACTGCAGGAAGTGAATCTCGGCGCCCTGGCCCGGGTGCGGCACCGGCAGGACGAACTGCGGGCTGCGCCGCGCCGCCGCCTCCATGGCGGCGTACGTGTGCGCGGGTATCACGGCGCACAGGCTGCGCGGCGAGGCCGCGTGCCGGAGCCGCCACACCGCCGTCAGCTCCGGGACGGGGAGGGTGCGCGCCTTGGCGAGGTCGAGGTATGAGGAGAGGGGCTTGACGGCTGGGGTGGTGCCGGGCCCGGAGGTGGCTTTCGTGGCGGAGGTGATCGCGTCGGCGGCGGCGGTGGTGCCGGGCGAGAGGGGTTGCGGTGGTGATTGATCTGGCGTGGGGGGATTTGTCGGTGCAGGTGATGTCGGGATGGGTATCGCGTCCTTTTTGCGCAGGCCGTGGATCTTGTCCGCGTAGGCCTTCTTCAGCGTGTCGATGTCGCCGTGGCCTTCCTCCCGGGCCTTTCGGTCGAGCTTGTCCCGGTACTTCTCCAGCACGCTTCGTGGCTGCTGCGTCGTCGCGAGGAAGCGGACATCGTGGACCTGGGCCCAGCGGCGCTGTTGCGAGGCCCGCAACGAGCGCGACTGGCAGCCGGCGAGGTGTCGTAGTACGGGGACTCGGATGGACGCCATGGTGCGTGACAATGTCTACTGGCTGCTTTGAAAGCGCACGAGGTTATGAGGTGCTCGCCAAACCCTTGCTGGAATGAGGAAAAAAGTTGATGTCAGGCAAGTCCCAGTAAAAAACCCTAACCCTGACTTCTCGCGACCCCGGAACTGACCTCCTCCGCCAACTTATCTCTCTTCCGGGTTGTTTCTACCATTCCGGCGACTTTCGAACGGGTCATAGGAAATTTGAAAGCCATTTCACCAAGCTAGGGAAGTCTCATTATGCAATGCCCAACTTGATTTGCAGACAGACTTTTAACAAGTCATCAGTGACCTGCATGGACTGGTGATTTGGATTTGCCGGCCAATTGCTCTACCTAGCTGTAACCACCGACATGCCGACATAATTACCAGTTACTGTGGAAGAGGACTGTGCAGCGGGAAGGGTTATCCGTAGTACATATGTGGTTGATTGAAATACAAAATGCCCAGAGTGATTCGGTTGTATGTTGCATCCCGCAAGATCCATCCACCAAATCGAGACCAGAAGCATCTTCAGCGGGTTCCGTTTGAATCACTGGCCCCTCTTGTTTGAATTACAGCATCTCCTCCTTTTGAGATGCATCACAAAAATGGACCTCGAGCCAATCACAGGACTCGGGGTTGTAACAAACGAGATGTTTGCAGCATCATTAGTGCGGGGAACCATGCTCGATGGCAAGGCGAGAGCAGGACCCCAGAGATCCATACCAGTCCCTTTTAAGACTGATCAGACCCCCCCTTCCCTAACGTCACGGTGACAAGTCCCCTCCATCTCCCCCAATCTTATTTCAACGTCCCCCCCTTCTCTCCTCATAGTCCACACTCTGTACCTTGCACAGGATGGCTGCTGGCAAGTCTCCCTTCAACAACGACGACAACCTTGGGCGATGACATTGAGCTGTTCCACATTCCCCCCGTGGAATACAACTGGCCATCGATGGAAAAGGAAGCAACAGAGGTATGTAACAGAAACAGGTATATCATCACACTAACATCCCAGATAGACAGGTGGAATACTGGAATACATTTGGGGGACGGGAAGAAGTCTTTCCGTCCTCCAACACCCCGCTTCGGAGGTCTATTTAGGATGCCTCTAACGCGCTGATGGGGAAAATTATCTAGATACAAGGGCTTGCACACAAGCCGGGGTACTCGAGTCACTGCTCTATCGTATAATTCTCATGTCCTTCCGTCCCAAGTCTATCGTTGCTCTGTCTATTGTTGCTGTCATCAGGTCCCCCCATGTTTAAGCATTGAGGGGCTTGAAGACCCATTTCTGGTTCTCAGTCCCTTCAGCGAAGGGAACGCCGAGCTCGAAGAGCTTGGTAACGGCGGCGGAAAAGTCCTTGAAGAAGGCGTCGTTGTCCTTGGCGTACCTCTCAACGTGCTGCCTGAACTTCTTGTCCTGAATGAGCGCATAATCGGCCGGCAGCATCATGAGAGACTTAGTGGTCTTGTCCTCGTACTGTACCAAGCTGCGTTAGTGGTGCGCGACCCTTAGCGACATGATGGGATTCTGCTTACCTGCTTGGGACCGTCCCACTTCTTCCATTGCCACTTCTCGTTCAGCAGAAGGGTGTAATAGTCGTTGGTCAGGACGGTGGGAGAGAAGGTCCACGGGCCCGAGAAGCCGCTGCGATCAGTGTGGCAGCGACCGAGGGCGTGGGCGCCCGACAAGGCGACGATCTCCTGGTCGTTGAAGCCCATCCGGTAGAAGATATCGCGGAGGTGGTCGTGAGTCTTGGCTCCATCCGGAAGACGGCCGTCAGGAGTGCAGGCAGAGACGTCCTTGTCGCTGCGGCCCGGTCGGTAAGGCATGTTGGGGCCCAGCATCTCCTGGATGGCGGTGACACCGCCGAGTATCCAGAGATCCGAATAAGTTATCCAGGGGAATTTCTCTATTGCCCTTTGTTAGCGCTCCCTTCATGAGATTGCTTTCGCATTTTTTTATTTTCGACCCGGCGGCCAGTCTAAGGCGCCAATGTGGCCGAGTTGTGTCGCGGGTTCTACTTACGCTTGACGGGCTCCAAGAAGTCCCGAGCCGCCTTCAAACCGGCATTGGCGCCATGGTCTGACTCGGGGGCAAAGCGCATAGTGGCGCCGTTGCTCCCACCGGTCCCAGTCTCCTTGTCATAAGTGCCACTGCAGTGCCATGCCAGTCTCAAGAGGACCGGGCCATAACTGCCATCGTCATATTCGTCATTCTCCTCCAGGCGACTGGCAATCTCGTTGTATACGGCTTGATAGTCCTCAAACTTGGGAGTGAAGACCTTCGGGGTTGCGTTGCTCGAGTTCTGCATATAGTACCAGCCGCCTGCACCGCCGGCAACCGCCAGACCACTCAGCCAGATCCAAGTTGAGCTGCCGGACTTGGAGGGCTCGGAAGAATAAAAGCGGCGGCCAGACTGGCGGAAGGCCATTCGAGGAGCGGCCACGGCAGCCGGCCGGGTGGCGGTGCGCATCGCCGCGCGGGCGAAAGTACGTGTCGCGGAGGCCATCTGTTTTGCGACGGATATCAGAATCGGGTCGCTCTCGGACTTTCTCGGAAAGCAAGGGTGGTTGTCTGGAACCGGGCTCACGACATACCTTTTGAGATAATTACACGATGATGAGGGAAAGAAAGAGAAAGGGTTCAAAAAGTGATTGTCGGTAATGACTCGGAAGTTTCCAGGGAGGTATCTCTTTACTAATAAATGTGCCTTCCTTGGGGGGGCAAAGAACAGAAGAGAAATGGGAGGACGATAACTGGCTAAGAGCAGGTCCCAGTGGCTCCACTTGGTAGAGGCCGATATCTGGGCAATATTTTATCAGACCACCAAGGTATGGGGTGTTACTGAGCCACTGCGGATCCAGGGATCCGCTCTCATCAAACGCCGCGCGAGCCCAAACCCCGTGAGGCTGCAAGGGACATGCCGAGGATGGTACTTAGCTTCTCACTGCGTCATGTGGTGATGGGTGGATGAAATTGCGAGACTCCGATAACGGCCGAGGTCGAGTTACAAGGCGTGTCGGTGGTCCAAGTGCCCCACACTCAATATTCCACGCTTTGAAAGCTATCAGACTTAGGTAGGTAGGCTGGTAGGGTAGGTATATATCTCAGTTGGCCGTTTCGTGGCAAGAAACTGATTCTCTTAGGTTGTCTCCGCGGTCAGGGGCATTCAGCTATTCGGGCAGGGGCGGTTAGGTATTCAGGCAGGGGCATTCAGCTATTCAGGCAGGGGTATTTAGCTATTAGGGTAGGATCATTTGGCTAGCCGGCGCTGTCGCTATTGCTAAAGCACTCTTGACGTCGCTGTCTCTGCTGCTGTTGCCATCGCCATTTTGTTCCGTGCTGGCAGCTGCTATTTTTCCATGCTCCAACTGTCCAAATATTTTTGGCGACCTGAGACCCCTGCCCAGCACAGACTCCTCTTGCAAAAACTGCCGAGCAAGTGCCCGCTTGTTCCTCTTGAGTCTTGGCGGAACCTCCGAAAAAATGCGACTGACTAATTAGCTCCCGGAATTGAAAGGTGCCGGGCGCAACACCACGGCCCCGCCCCCACCGCTAGTGACGGCCCAGGTATCCCGGCTCGGCTTGCATCAGCTTCACCGTACGGGTTTACGCGTGAGTACGGGATATTCCAGCTTATTAATCCACAAAGTCAGGTGCTCATCAAAAGAATGGTATGAGTAAGAGCACGTCGAAAGTTACCATGGCTTGTATCCGTGGAGTGGCCACTGCAAGCCGTCGCAATTGTCTCGGAGATTAGAACTTTCCATGTGCTTTTCATTAACTTCTAGTACCCGATAACTCCTCACCACTCTACATATAAAAGCCGGCCATCCCTCGAAGCATAGGGAGGCACCCCGGCATCCCGTCATTTTTTCAAGCTCCCTCATCTTCCTCCTCTGATAACGGGGAAGTAGAAAAGGAACCAAAGAGGCAAAAAGGAGAAAAAGGAGAAAAAGGAGAAAACAACCTAAACGTACATCCAACGCGGCTCATGACGCCGAAGGGCATAGAGTACACAAACTAAACCGTTGCCGTTACCATCGGCTGATTTTTTAAGCTATTCTAGGGCAGCCATCTAGTGGAAATCCGCCGAGCCCTGCGCGTCCTGGTCGGCATCCACGTAGAGTTGGTAATAGCTGAAGAACCTGCTCTCGGCCTTTTGTCGACTTGGCTCGTCCAGTTCTCCAAGGGGGGCGCCAGTATCTTTGGCTACTGCCGGCTTCGACAGCACAGAGATAGAGGCCGGGCTAATGCCCGGGTTAGTGACTGACGCCGTGCAAGTAAAAACAAACAAACAAATAAAGTCTCTACTTACCCAAACATCTCTCGGTCGACCGCGAGGAATTGCTTCATCGCATCTTTACCACCACGTTGTTGGAGGTATGTCAGGTACACCTGGCAGAGCTCCTTCTTGGCTGCCGCCGACAATCGGCTCTTATCTCGCAAATCACTGAAGATGCTCTTGATCCGCTCTGTATGCTGGGACTCGAGGTCTGCACTCGTTGGCTGCTCCAGCTCAAACTCGAGCCATTTCTGCCAGAAATGCCGGCTATCCGAATACCACTGCATGTTCTTGACGAAGACAGTCCGTGACTCGTCGATAGAGCCCTTAACCTTCCAGAGCAGGAAGGCCCACTCCGTGACAAGTGCGGCTTTGGTGAAAATATCGACATGAGGCGAGTCGATCTGTGCCTTGTAGACTTCGATGGCTGCATCGAGTCCGGCCTGGCGTCGTTGGAGATTGGCCCAAGAGACGATGACCTCGACACAGTCTGGCAGCTTCATGAGTATCGCCTCGTGGATGTCTCGGGCAACGTCAATCCGTTCACACTCTTCCTCGAAATACGCAAACTGCAGGCGGATGCCGGGTCTACTGATCGGGACGAACAAGGTTGCCGCGCGCAGATAGATATTGCGAACCTCCTCCTCCTTGCCCTCCTGCGCAGACATCCAACGGGCATATCGGAACCAGAGCTCGTCGTAGAAAGCACAGGCGACCAGGCATCGTTCATACAGAGCAGTGATTCTCGCGAAATCGCCCTCGGCCTCCTCGAAATCCAAATACTTCCGCCAGTTAATCAACTGCTGGTGCTCCAGCTCTGTGACGTGGAAGTAGGGTCTCTTGATCTCGGATTCGTAGGTCCAACGCTTGGTAGTCTCCGCCTGGGTCTGTGTGAATATCTCGTAGAATGACTGGTCAATCTTTGCGCGTATCTCGCGTTCCAGCTCGAGCTCCGTCTTGGCAACTCCATACTGCGCGTTCTCGGCCTCAACCTCGGCACGGTACCGAGCCAGCAATTCGGGAGACACGAGCTCGGTCATAGGGCGGTTATGGGAGAGCTGGCGGAAGCTGTCAAAGTAGCGGGCATACTGGTGCATCGGGATACGAATCACCCGGAGGAGGATGGCGAAGACCTTGTCGTGGGCCTCCTGGCGCTGCTCGTACTCAATATACTTGTCCCAGAAGGGATGCGCGTGGAAGTCCAGGCCAATGTAGCTAGCGCCCCGCTCGAACAGTCTGAATAAAGTGTCAGCAAGGAACAGGAAGGGGGAGTAAAAGGGTAGATGGGATGGAAAGGGAGCGCATATACAGGAAGGGGGGCTTGGTGCAAACGACAGTCCACGGCCAAAGGAGCCAAACAGTTTCTCAAGGTGAGGTGCGACGGAGGGGTAACGGATTGGGGGGTGTCAAAGTGAGGTAGAAGTATCTCAGGGGCAGTAGCAGAGCCTGGTAGATAGTTGTGAGAGAGCAATCCCAGCGGGTACAGCTGCCTGTTTGAAGATTCTCACCGATGACGACAGCTGGTTAAGGTGTCCCACTTCGGTCTAGCCAACCGGCCGGAATGGCTGCCGAGTTTTGCTGTGATTGTTGAGGAGGTTAAGGGGTTGGGAAGGAAATGGTCCATCTACACTTACTCTCTCACGAGATGGGGTGTGTGGGTGGTTTCCATTTTGAAAGCACAGTAGTCGGTCCACAAGTCAACCGAGTTGGTAATGCTGGCGACACCACGCTCGTAGAGCTAAGGATAAAAGAAGCCCATGTTAGCAACGCAACGGCCAACCCCAAGCAGCAACAAGTTTGGCACTTACAATTTCGGCAGACTCTGGGCCCGAGATGTTGAACTCGAGACTGGCGTACTTCTTCCAATAGCCGAAGAAAAGGGGGAACTTCAGCAGGAAGCGGTCGTAGGCATCGCGGAGTGTGGCAAGGGCATGTGGACTTGAGTTTCGATTGAGGCCACCTTCAAGACCCTCGCATGCGCGGATCAGCTTCTCCCAGAGGTCGTAGTTGTCCGGATCGGCTTCCTGCTTGGCGCAACGTATTGATTAACAATTAGGCCTAGACATAGATCGCAAAATCGCAAGATCAGGCGAGCAGGGGCCGGATGGGGGCTATAAAACGTACCACTTCAGCATTGAGGCGCTTGATCTCCACGTTCTCCTCGTCATGGCCGCCAAAGGTTCCAAGGTCAGTCATTATTCAGGTAATGGAGCAGGCTGTGCCGTCGGTGGGCTGGGCAATAATTAGAGGGGTGGATTGAAGTATGGCAAGGTGCGGTCTGCAATCAGTGTTGGGATAGAAGCGGGTGGCTGCCGCAACAATGGAAATGCAGTGCTTCTTGGAGATGCCGAAAGGGAGAAAGGGTGGTGGCTGGCGAGGAAAAGCTAGGTGTGGATTCCATCACGCTGCGCGTCACTTGGGGGATGAGCATCATGATTGGCAACCTAGATTGGTACGGGTACCTAGATACCTCCAAAACTAAGTGGTATTATGTAAGCCAAATGGGCATAAAAGTAAGAGCCTCAATTTTCGCAAAATTTCCCTTTTTTTCCTCAAGGCTTATGATGATTATTTACAAAATTCAATGATAGGAAGAGGATGACTTCCCATTTATGGGAAGCATGATCTCACATATTGTTATTAAATCTGAAGCCTGATTGGCACCTTGTGCTACTGATATTCTTTGTCAAGCCATGTTTTTGGGCCCTTTTCCTCGTTGTTTGTGTTGTTTGTGTTTCGACGACCGCAATCTGGAGAGACTTTGGAACACCCGACGGTTGCACTGCAAGTTTACAAGGACCCGCGATGGCCGCGACACAAGCTCGACAAATAGTTTCCCAGGCTTGACAGTGTCAAGAGGTAGACCTTACCAGTGGTGACAACGCCCGATTGCTTTCCAAATTCTTTCTACGCACCCATGGCTTTTCTGGTGGGAATGTCACTTCGATATGACAGAGCAGGCATGATGGCTGCCGGTCCATATTGCTCTCTACTTAGTATAGCTACCTCCCTAGCTAGCTAGCTAGCCATGGCATAGACAGATGATTCAAAGAACGCAAGCTTGGAATGTGCGCTGTTGTCTCTCGGTCTGATTTTTCTGCCAGACGCCAAACAAGTAGGTACCAAATACATCAGCTACCTTACATTAGCTGGGCGCATGTCATGTCCCCTGCAACTTTGTCCCCCACCAAGTCTGCTGTGCTGTTAAGCCCAGGCTGTCGAGTGGGGCACTGTTGTCATCGCCAAAACTCCAACACGGCTGAAAACCGGAGGCGGCCTTGTCAGGCCTAAGAAATCAAGCAAATGCCAGCAGGAATCTGCGATTCCGATACCACATGGCGCCAGAGACTCGATGATTCCCAAACTCGTCAATAAAGTAGATTGCCCCTGCCAGATCTCGGGTCTGGCGAGAGAAAGAGGCATACACATCCCCACAGACAAGAACAGCAGGCGATGTGCTTGTCCTCATCCTATCCCTGTTGCGACTTCCAGGTGAACCACCAGCATGGACCACACTTCATCTGCAGCCTTGTGGAGTGGCCACGCGCCGTCACCCGAGAAGTCTAGTCAAATCCTGATCCGCGAGTACCCTCACCGAGCTATCGCCATCGTTTCATCCACCCATGCCCTCATCCTCCGACACACCTCAACCACTGGCGAAGCAATTGGCAATGGCTTCCTTGCATCCGTACCTTCGGCTCGACCCCGTGCTGGCAGCACCAGCAACAGCTCCACTGCCAAGTGCATGGTCGAATTCTCTCCCGCGTCGCAACAGATGCTTGCCGATTATCGCCCACTGATGGCTCGGCCCATATACGGAACATTGGGACTGATATCTGTTGGCGGGGATGTCTTCCTGTGCGTTGCTACTCAAGCATCAAGAGTCGCAACTGTTCGTCCCGGGGAGACAGTTGAGAGAATCCTCAGCGTCCAATTCTTCTGCCTGAATTCTCCCGATTACGACGATGTCTTCTCTATCGACCCATATGACCTCGAGCCAGATGCTGCCTCGGTGTATGGGCAGAACCTCAACCGGAGGGATGTTCCTGTGGAGCACCCGTGCCAGGAGTTGCAGAAGCTGTTGAGCAACGGAACCTTTTATTACAGCACCGACTTCGATCTTACAAACAGGTTACAGGACAGGTTCGTTGGCCACAAAATCCCATCTGACAGTTGGCTATGCCGATATATTGATACACAAGGTAGATCTGCCGATGCCATGACCTTCGACATCGACAACTTCGACGAGTCCTTCCTCTGGAACTCATATATGATTAGCCCCCTGGTTCAGTTCCGGTCAAGGTTGCAGGAGCAGGATCGAGATGTGCTGGATGCCTCGAGGATTCTGACGTCGGCCATCCGCGGATTCTGCCTCACCATCACAATTCCACAGAGTTCCGCGCCGCTCCGCTCCACACAATCCGGCTTACCGTCCTACCTCACCGTGGTATCTCGGCTGTCTTGCATGAGAGCTGGGACACGATTCAACTCCCGGGGCATTGACGATGATGGGAATGTTGCCAACTTTGTGGAGACGGAGACGATCTACTGGAGCCCCTCGGGTGTGATCTTCTCTTACGCCCAGGTGCGGGGGTCGGTGCCAGTGTTCTGGGAACAGACTGCCGGGCTGATCCCGGGCCAACAGAAAATCACAATCACCCGGTCATCGGATGGAACCCAGCCGGCATTTGACAAGCACTTTGACGACCTGGAACGGGCATATGGGGCAGTCCATGTGATAAACCTCCTCAGCGCTTCGAAACCAGGAGAGGCAGAGCTGAGTGCTCTCTATCGCAGTGCCATCCGGCACTGCCCCATGAGTCAGCCGGGAGGGAAGCAATCTCTAGATCACGCCCTCCTAAGGGCCACCGAGTATGATTTTCACGCCGAGACGAAAGGTCCGACTGGGTATGAGGCTGCACGAGAAATCCGTCACCACCTTGAGGACTCGGCCGATGGGTTTGCCTACTACCTGGCAGAGGAAGCCGACGATGCTGGCGTGGGGAACAATGGTACCGCTCCCCGTCACCGACGTTCCGTCGTTGTCCTACAGCAGGATGGGGTGTTCCGGACAAATTGCCTCGATTGCCTAGACAGAACGAACCTGATTCAAACGATGATCTCGCAGATGGCAGTCGAGGCATTCTTGGGTCACCGCGGAGAATTCGCGACTCAGGATTTCTGGATGCGGCATTCGAGTCTCTGGGCCGACAATGGGGATTCCTTGTCGAGGATATACGCGGGCACTGGAGCGCTGAAGTCATCCTTCACACGGCATGGCAAGATGTCTCTCGCCGGTGCCATTGCGGACGCTCGGAAGTCCGCTACCAGGCTTTATATTAACAACTTTGCGGATAAGTCGAGGCAGAACACTATCGACATGCTTCTTGGACGTTTAGTCGGGCAGACCCCCGTCATCCTATATGATCCAATCAGCGACTATGTGGCAATGGAGCTTCAGAAACGTGGCTCGGAATTCTCCTCCACCGAGAAGATAACCCTGTAAGTGCTCCAGGCACCCTCCAACCAAACCTTGGCTGACGCTTTCATAGCTGGGTTGGTACTTTTAATCTCAACGGCCGCACCACTGGAATCAATGAAGACCTGTCGTCTTGGATTTGCCCCCCGGAGATTGGATCTAAGCAGCCAGAGATCATTGCAGTAGGATTCCAGGAGATCGTCGAACTGAGTCCGCAGCAAATCATGAACAGTGATCCGTCCAGGAAGCAGCTCTGGGAAAAGGCCGTGAAGAGGACACTAGACCTTCATGCTCAGAAAACCGGTGGGGAGAAATATCTCTTGTTGCGGAGCGGTCAACTGGTTGGGGCAGCTTTGTGCATTTTCGTCAAAACCTCGGTGTTGCATAATATCAGGAACGTCGAGGGTAGCGTCAAGAAAACCGGTCTTTCTGGAATGGCCGGAAACAAGGGTGCTGTCGCAATCAGGTTCGACTACGCAAATACCCCTATCTGCTTCGTCACGGCGCATTTGGCGGCTGGCTTCGCCAACTATGACGAACGAAATAAAGATTACGCGACCATCTATCGCGGTTTACGGTTTCAGAGAAACAGGGGCATCGAGGACCACGGTCAGTCCAAGCTGCTTGGCCTTTCCCTTTCCCTCTTGCTCGTTGACCAGGGCCGCTAACAGCTTCCAGAGTCTGTGATTTGGTTTGGGGATTTTAACTACAGGATTGGCTTGGGCCACGAGAAAGTCATGGGTCTCATTCGCCAGCGGGATATAGAAAGGCTCTACGAAAACGACCAGGTATGCTGCAGTTGCCCTCCTCTATCTCCTTGCCCGACATTAATCTCGTTCCACAGTTGAACCTCCAAATGGTTGCTGGCCTTGCCTTCAACTTCTATTCCGAGGCTCGGATAACATTTATGCCAACGTATAAGTTTGACGTCGGGACGGATGTATATGACACCTCGTTAGTTGAGTCCTGTTTGCCTCTCTGCCTTTTTCCACGATACTAACCTAGCGAAAAGCGAGAAAGCGCGAATTCCGGCATGGACGGATCGTATTCTCCGAAAAGGCACGAACCTTCGCCAGTTGTCCTACAACTCTGCGTCACTGCGCTTCTCGGATCATCGACCGGTATATGCCACGTTTGACTGCGCAGTCAGCATTATAAACGAGTCACTTCGAGACAAGATCAGCCGGGAGGTTTACCTGCGGAGAAAGGCCGAGGTAGGGGATGGCACTGCCAACCTGACCACGGAGGACACCGATGATGAAGACCTCATCGGCTACGACTCGATAGAGCCGGGCCTTCCACCAGCAAGCTCGGATCGGCAAAAGTGGTGGTTAGAAAACGGCAAAATGGCTCGGTCAACAGTCACAGCCCCCAAGGCTATGAGTTCGTCTCAGCAAACTATTCTCAACCCAAAACGGCCATCAAATCCCTTCAGCCCAACAGAAGAGCCGGACTGGGTGAGTGTTCCACGGTCTGAATCCCGCCTGTCGTCCTTCTCAAGCATGTCTACCTCCCCCTACGAGCATATCAACCACTCTAGCATATTGTCGACCTCAGCATCGACCCCAATGCCGCGAAAACTGCCGCCGCCGTATGACCCATCATCTCTACCCGCTAAAGTTGGTAGACTGAATCTCGAAGTGGACGTGGACCAGGGGAAATCCGACACCCCGCCTCCACCGCCTCCAAGGAGACAAGCCGGGGCCGGGGCTCCGGCCACCGCGACCTCTCGGTCCCAGACAATGCCCATAAACATGCCGCCTCGGCCAGCCAGGAAGCCAGTTGATAAGCCTAGCCCTACACCACCTCCAAGGCGACCAGAGTCTGTGGCCTCTCAACACTCGTCGAAGAGTAAATATGCTCCGCCGGTGGCAAGAAAACCGGCGCACTTGACGACGGTATCCCCAGCAAGCAGCTCGTCTAAGATGCTAAGCTCAGAAACCCATCTGCCTATGAATGAAGCCGGTGAAACACCGAATCCTAAGCTACTACGCTCGTCGTCGGCAGGTGCACAGAGCTTTCCATCGAGTTACGATAGGAGCTCCAATTTTGAAGGGGGTCGAGTTCCTACTGGTCATCCTGGAGGCCCAGTTTCTTCTCTTGGCAAGGAAATGATGCCACCCCTCAAACCTTCAAGGCCGCCCGGCGGCAACATTGTAACGCCGGGGAGAATCACTCCGACAGCGGGCATTGGACTAGTCGGGTTGTCCGACAGACACGAGATTCCGAAACAAGCAGCCCGCAAACCGGCTGTGGCAGCTAAGCCGAACATGCTGGCGTCGAGTAGTTCACGGACACCTGATTTGCTTGGAGATGACTCGAATATGGAAATGAGTGGGTGGGAGGCGCTGAAGCCGTCCTGAACGGATCGTAACTAGAGTACATATCCCACTTCGGTGACGGCCAACCCAAATGCAATACGAAAGCAATGGAATCGCCGAGTTGGGCAGGGCAGAAACCCGTGTTGACCTGCGCAGACCAGTGTCAAACCTTATTCTACTTTTACCCCCTAGATTCCTCTTACGGTTGCGGTATGGTTGAACCGCAACACAGTCCAAAGGCAGCAATTGCGTACTGTGTGACCACCGACGTCATTACCTTCCCTTCCAACCTCACGGCCCTGTCATGTGTCCAAAATCACACAGTACTGCGGACTAGGCAGGTACCGCCGTTTGCCTTGGGGTGTCTTAGTGGACGATCCGAAATTGTCTCTTCTTTGGCCAGAAATGTCCGGATCCTCAAAAGTCGACTTGAGAAAAAAAAAATTGTTTTAAAAAACATGGCTTTACCCAAAGCGTTCGTTCTCCAAGAATCTTGTCGCCCAAGAATCTGTCACCCAGCGAAGTAGGTGGTTATTTATATACCTACCTACCACCGATGGGCGGCGGCCTTGCTGCTCCCTCCGTTCTCTCGGAAGGTGCACTTCTGTCGTGCGTTCTTACCTATCGGGGGAATCCTGGAGCTTATACGGCTCGCAATCCTGTCTCTTGGTATCCTCCAAGTTGATAGGTATCTAGGAGCACACTTCGCAAACCGCAAGCCTTCAAATTCCGTCGCCGAGTCACCTGTCGCATTCGTCAAGAAATACATAACAGGCGGGCACAAGAACAATTACTAGACCAAGTCAAGGCCGGCCACGATTGCCCTGGCGCGAAGTCACATCCAGGTCTCTCTGTCTTATCGATGGTGAAATTAGACAGTGCCGCCCCACCGATACAACTGCGAGTTCAACGAATCGCGAATACTTGGGTTCATCTCATTATCAAAGCATACAGCAAAGCTGACGGGCCGTCTTCCGAAACCTAAAACCGGGCAGAGACTATGGATCTTTGCAAAGAGAGGTCGCTGTTCGAGCCACCGTCAACGTCGCCCCTCGCCTTGCACGAGTTCCTCCAAGGCCACAAGGCACACTCATTCATCGTCACCTCCAGTTGTACCTATGAAGTAACCTGTCCGTCCATGGAAGAGGAGGGACTTGGACGCTCCCTGTCATGTCAGGCATCCGGCGAGGCGCAAGCCGCCTCTCGCTCCGAGCAGCACGCCCGATCATCCCACCCCGACCCTATCCCTCTCGGCTCGCAGTCGAGCTCCCAGCGGGATATCCGGGGCTCCCTGCCGAGGCCGGCGGAAGACGACCACGAGCATCACCAGCGCAGAGGCTCGCCGGAGCAAGCCCTCCAGGATCCGTCGCCTTACCTGTCCGCTCGTGCTCCTCCTCGGGAGCTGTTACCCGACTGGCGTGGCACTCGCAGGCCACTCCTCCCCATTATCGGTGGCGGCAGTAATGATAAGGCCGACTATATCCGCAGCTGGTCGATGGGCATCACCGAGCACGGCGACGAGGCCTACTGCGGGTGCGGCGACGCGCCAGCCCCGCCCGAGCCGACCCCGGCACCACCGGGCTCGATCCTACCCGCAAAGGAGAAGTCGCATGTCCGGATGATCAGGGGACGGTCCCGGGTTGGCGAGTCCAAGGGAAGCGGAACCCACAACGGCCAGGGCCACCAGCAGCAGGGAGAGGCCGCCGCGGTCACAACGGCGGCGACGGCTCCCCATGAGGCCCCGGTCCTGCCTCCGGCAAGGGTGCTGTGCCCGTATTGTGGCAGGCCACTCGCACCCGCGATAGCGCCGGGGGACAGGGACGAGCACGTCTGGGGAATGTCGAAGCTCGCCGTCCGGGTGAAGGGCGCGTTCAAGCGCCTCCTTGGCCACAGTCAAAGGGGCGACGGCGGCAGCAGCCACGGCCAATACAGGGGGCCAGGAACAGGCGGCCTGTGGCAGGAGCAAGCCGCCAGGCCAGAACATAAGGAGAACGTCGAGGGAGGCAAGGAGAACAATGCGGTCGAACGACCAGCGCCAGGGCCAAGCCAACCAACGCCATATAACGGAGGCCATCGTCCGCACCAAACGGAACAACCAGCCTTTGACGAGGAAGACGGAGACGTGGACCCCGACGAGCTGAGCATCGAGAGCGGGCCGGATGGGAGGCCTGGCGGCGGCATCGAGGAGAGGGAGGCTAGGCTGCGTAGGGCGCGGGACCTCCACGAGAGATCGCACCGTACGATCGCTGTGGGGACCGGCGCGGCCGCGGGCGCGGCGGATGGGTAGCAACAACCCGTCGTCGCTCCCGGCCGACCCAGCGTTGCGCGCCACTGGGCTCGCCTCCGTCGGCTTCTCGACCGGCGGAGGCTGCTGAAGAGGGGGAGGTCATCTCGAAAATAAGGTGGTTATGGTTCTGAGTATGTGGCTATAAGGTCTCGGATATCAGTATCTGAGGGCTATTCTTTGTATTTTATCGGTCTCGGGGGCCACAGACGAGCGACTAAGGGGCGTTTGTCTGGCTGTTCACGTGTACGGTTAATCCAGTAAGAGGTGTTGGGTATATTGTCTCGTTCTCGGTATGGGAGGTTTATTTATACCCTGTCATCAAGACGAACCCCGGATTAGCATAGGATAGATGGAACTTTGGCTTCGGCGCATGGCTAGCGATGCTGAAATGGCTTCAATTCAGAGTCCGGAGCAATAGAGAGACTGTTTCATTACGTTCGAGCACTTGTTGGTAGCCCCTGGAGTGGCAGGGAGTGACCCTCGTCCTCTATAGCGGGATAGGTATTCCTGCCGGACTTTTACATCTTCAAAATTGTTGGGGGATCGCCCTGATGAACACGAGGAAGGGGAAAACCCGGGGATGGGGTAGGGTAGGATTCCTCTCACGGAGCCAAGGGTGGAATTAAGCAACGACATATCAAGCATCAAAGAGTAGGAAACCAATGTAATAGACATGATCCTCAAAAGGTTCGGGACTGGATAGAAAACTTTGGTATTCATTTTCCGAAAAGCACCAGACGCACGGGACCGAAGTCAGTTTGTGTATTTGGTGGCGATTGGATTTTTGTTTGGTTTTGTTGTTTTTTCTCTTTCGTCGGCCCTCTTCCCCAAAAAGAGGGGGGGGATGGCCAAGGGAAAAAAGAAGATAAAGGGAAAAGAAAAGTTAAAGAGAAGACAGACGCGTGCCCTGCATTTTCATTCCCACGGCAACCAACTCCGATTTCAGAACCGCCCCTTGTAAACCAATGCCGCGTATGTCACCTCACCCGCCGGTCACCGAAGAGGTTAGCCTGACTGAACGCAAATCCAGGAGATCAACCCTGTAGAGACCAGCTGCGATAATGAGTGTCTCGGGACTAGGCCGAGACGCGCGATACTGACGAAAGACCGAGGCATCTAGGACTCGGCCGCGGGAGCGGCCGCAGGCTCCTCAGCCTTAGCCTCATCCTCCTTCTCGGGAGCCTTCTCAGCAGCATCAGCCTTGGGGGCATCAGCCTGGGCAGCAGCCTGAGCATCAGCCTCACCGCTGTCGGACGAGGTCCAGAGGGTGAGGTTGTCCCGCAGGAGCTGCATGATGAGGGTGCTGTCGCGGTATGACTCCTCGGAGAGAGAGTCGAGCTCGGCAATGGCATCATCAAAGGCCTGCTTGGCCAGGTGGCAGGCACGGTCGGGAGAGTTGAGGATCTCGTAGTAGAAGACGGAGAAGTTGAGGGCCAAGCCGAGGCGGATGGGGTGAGTCGGGGTCAGCTCTGTCTGAGCGACGTCGGTAGCGCTCTGTTTGTAGAAACCTCTGTATTAGTGACTGTTCCGAAGAGAGAGAAAAAGATCAACGAGAGTTGGATCTTGGAATTACATACCTTGTAAGCCTCGTGGGCAGCAGTAGCAGCTCCCTTGCGCTTCTCACCAGAGGCGAACTCGGCGAGGTAGCGGTGGTAATCACCCTTCCTATAAGCACAGTGTTAAGGACATGGCACCTACAGACAAAACCAACAGTAGCAGTAAACAAACATACATCTTGTGGTAGAAGACCTTGGACTCGCCAGTGGCAGCATTGGGGATGAGGGACTCATCCAGAACATCAAGGACATCTTGGCAGACCTTCTCGAGCTCACTCTCGATCTTGTGACGGTACTCGCGGATAGTGCCGACATGCTTATCGGAACCCTTGGACTCCTCCTTCTGCTCGATGGAGGAGATGATGCGCCAGGATGCACGGCGGGTGCCGACAACGTTCTTGTAGGCGACAGAGAGCAGGTTGCGCTCGTCGACAGTGAGCTCACCGCCTAGCTTGGCCACCTCCTTCATGTAGGTGACCATCTCATCGTAGCGCTCAGCCTGCTCACAGAGGCGTGCGAGGAAGGTCTTGCTGTAAAGTGAGAAAAATTGGGCACGTCAGTTTGGAGCCGGAGAGCGGGGATGCGGGTATCAACAGGACCAAACTGACCTTTCGCGCTAGAAAGGGAGCATCAGGTTAGCATGTGTCTATTATTCCATTGCCAGCAGCAAGAAAAGCCACAGGTATGCAGATGGCATGGCGGGGAGGAAGTGGGAGGAGAAGCCGAGAATGCGGCTCAGATTGTGACGCCGGCGTGCCGGGATGTAGGATCAAGGCCAAGCCACGAATACCAAGGGCAGAGAGGACTTACTTCGTTTGCCATTTTGAAGCTGGCTTGCTAGGGTATCTTGTGCGGAAATTGTGGTGATTTAGGAATAGGAGAGGTGATGGAGGGCGGGGTGGTTTTTTCCGGGAAGGGATGTGGTGTTGTTTATTTGGGGTGTTTGGAGGCAGAAATCAGGTTCACTGTAGGTTGGCAAAGGGGAGAGGCCGTGAGGGACGTTGAAGTCTTTTCCCACTTTTGAGAGGGACTGGGGGAGCAGGGGTTGCAATGGTCCGGGCCTCAGCGAAACACTGGGTAAGGTACCTAGGGTGGTAGAAGGTGCAGTACCTTTGCCCACGTTGGGCGCCGGCTGAGTACAACTAGGTAGGTAGCGCTTTCTCATTAATTTTCAGCCCATGCCCGGGCGCAGTCAACTTAAATGGCATCCCAAAGCTCGGACTACGGTTAGGTAGCCAGCCATTCATGACATCAAATGCCCCTCACTGGACCTCATAAGAATTTCGCCTTCGGTTTGGGTTCGTGGTCTTGGTCATACGCACACCAGATTACTACACTAGAGATGCTGCCAACGGCTGTCCAAAGCCTTATCTGTCCCCAATTTTGGTGGCCTCCTCCTTCCAGTGTACATACAATACAATGCCCGGGCCTTACCTACCTAGGTAGGTTCCTTACATATCCACGTATTTCTGTATCTTTCTATGCCCGATGCTGATGCGGCTGTGTCATTATTGCGCGTTCAATATAAAATCTGCCGCTGGAGCGGATATATATCCATGCCATGCCACAGCCTTATTTACCCAGCAAAAGTGACTTCCTCTGACATTTACTATGGGGAGTGGCACGCGATGGATAACACGCAGGGTGCTCACGCCAGTGGCACGAGGCAATGGAAAGGGTGGGGGACACATTCCGAAGATCATGTGTTCCTGCCAGCCTAGTTCCAGACCAACGGGTGCTCCAAACTCACACCAGAGCCCATCTGCCCAGCACTTGGTGGACCAATCACCAACCAGGTGGCATTTCGGGGGGTTTCCATGCTTCGCGCCTACCTAGGTTCCCACTTGGGTTAGTACGCATAGCCGCTCTGGTGAGCTCTCAGGTCGCGTCACCCTTGCTTGGCGATGCTGGATTTAAATCAGCTCGACTACCCCGCCAACTCCCCTCGAACTTATTAACCTAAACATCGGTCGCAATGTCGGCCGAGCCACCTGAGGACGGTATACACTTCACTAAGGAATTTCTTGTAAATATGTCTCCTCGTTTTCAAAAGCGACTTGTCGAGCTCTATCGCCAACAACTCCGACAATCCAAGAACCAAGACCCTCGAAACAAGGCGGTCTCTTCGCCCTCTCCAATGGAGGTCTTGCGACAAGATAAGATTCCACACAAGACTCAACGCGCTAGAAGATACGCCCGCCAGTTCTCCAAGACGCTACAAAAAGCTCGCCGAGCTCTCGACGGTGCCACAAGCCCAACCGGCTGAGTCACAGCAATCCCGTTCTCAGCGTACAACCCAGAAGAAAGCGCCTTCCTGGGAAGACGTCGTCAGCAACCTTGTCAGCAAGATTGATGAACTTAAAGCAGAGTCTCAAGGTCTCAAGGCGGAAGCTAAGTCGAGTGGGAATACAATCCGGATGCTAGTCGTCCGATCGGGCAGGAGCCGGCCGGGGAACCCCCGCAGGGACCGAGAGGTACGAAGGCCAGGCCGGCGGAGGAGGAGCTCGCAAAACGGCAGACCGAGGCAGCCCTAGCTTCTCAGCCGACCGAAGGCAAGCAGCTGCCGCCTGCTGCACCAGAGGGACAAGAGAGCGCAGCCGAGGCAGCCGAGCATGGTCCGAACCATCACCTAGCCTCAACCGAAGACAAGCAGCTGCCTGCGAACGGTGCCCCTAAGGATGGAAACAGCCAAAGCCCCGAGCCCTACTGCTGGCTATGCCAACAACTCACTGGGCCCACCAGGGCTCGGCTCAGCTCGATCAGCTGGTCCGATTTGCCAAGAGGAACTGGGCAGAGAAGAACCCCGGCCAATTCCAACCTAAGGAGTTTATACAGCGCGTGGGTTTAGACGAGCTCTTGGGGCTGCTCGGGATTGGCAAGTACGCCCTGGGGGTTCCTCCTGGAAGGATAACAAGTTAGGGAATCGTTTGACGGTATTATTATGCCCTGCTACGTCAATAATTTGTACCAGCTCTCGGAGGTCGAAGACAAGAAGAACCACTACGTCACTGCCATCGTCAACTGGAGAGAAAAAAATATACATGACTTGGAGAATGAGCAACGGGATGTACGAAAATTCGAAGGCCGAGTACGAGAAGGTACTGGGGTTTACTCTTGACGGAACTCAGAATAAAGTGAGAAATCCGAACGGACCTATTAGGTATCCTACTAATTGCTTCAGCTCGGAAACTAGGTACGCATAGGTTTCTCGGTGAGTCACGCGGGAAAGTATTTGCCTTTGTATTGATACCTTGCCATCTCACCCTCGACGGTGTATTCCCCTCTCCTTTCTTCTGCTCCAACACCAAACACTAATTCTTTCCCATGCCGCGTGCAAGACGTCCAAAAAGATCACCATGGCGACGCCACAGGAGCGAAAAGACTCAGTCGGTGGCAACGACGCGTATCCCACCCCGACTTCGCCCAACCTCAAAGTACCACCCATCCTTGAAACCAAGCCATTCCAACACCCGCCCGGCGGCAGGATAGTCGTCCTGAACGGCTTTTCTGGCACGGGCAAGTTCACCATTCTCAAGCAGGCCCAAGAGCTCCTGCCCGCCGACACGACCTGCCTCCTGGATAACCACCTGCTCATCGACCCCGTGGTGACAGTCATCCCCGGCCGAAGCGACGAACACCACGAGCTACGCCGAATGGTCCGGGTGCCCATCTTTGAGCAGCTTGGAAAACGCGCGCAGGAGGGCCACGTCATCCTCATGACGGCATGCCTGGCTGAGGATAAAAAGAGGGACGCCGCATTCCTCCAGGAGCACCTCGACATGGCGCGCAGGACCGGCGTGCCCATCTTCTGGGTAAACGCGCACTGCGACCATGCGGCCCTGGAGCAGCGCGTCGGGAGCCCCGAGCGCTGCCAGGGGGCCAAGACGAAGCTGACTGATGTGCGCGTCCTCCGGGACCTGGTGCGTGAGCACCGCCTCATTGAGCCACGCACGAGCGGCGACGGGTCGAAAAGGCTGGTTGTCGAGACCTTGGATGTGAGCGGGCCGGTGGAACTCTCTGTCAGCCGTCTGATGAGCATGATCGGTTTCCCACATAGTGTCGAGGCGGTGTAAAGCTGCGCACCAGAATGGGTTATTTTGTCACCTAAGGTGTTCATCCTCTGGATCCCCGAGTCGCAGTACTGCTATCGAGTGCTGATGACGGCAGCATTCGAACACGTCCATCCGCTCTCGCTTAACTTCCACCTGTCCAAGAGGACCGGCGATGTCCCTTGTCGTGAACAAGGGCGAGTCTGTCAACCAGTTCCTGGAGCAGGTCATACTCCGGCATATTCTACAGGACCATGCAGCAGGCCACGATCTCAGGGGACCGGCTGCTCCAGCTGTTCAGGGTCAGCCAGACGGTGGTAGACCCCCCGCGGCGTACCCGCCCCCACGCCGTGCCGGCAGTAATCATGAGTCCTCACCTGGGAACAGCTGTCTATTCCCTACCGACCCTCACGACGAATCTATGTAATCGTGTTTGTCTTTGACAGCTCAGAGCTCGATCCCCGCACTGAAGGTCCACTAGGTAGGTACCTTAGTTTGGGCCGGGAAACTGGAAAGGTAGGCGGTGGAGGCTGGTTGATCAGCGTCGCGCACCCGTAGCCTGGAGTCATCCATACCTCCGATTTCACTCGTGGCAAGTTTACCCGGGTGGTTGACACTATACTAAGTGCTGGCTTAGGCTGATCACCCTGTGCTCACCCTCTGCTTAGCACTTACATACCTAGGTAGCTGCCAAAAGGTAGGGTTAAGCTTAACAAACAATGAAGTTGTTGCAGAGCTACCTTGCCTGCAAAGCCCCCTTTTCTCTCCTTGTCCGTAAGCACCTGGACCTTAATCAAGGGTCGTCTTCCAAGTTGCAGCCCGTAAAATCCAAAACGCAGAATAAAAATCCAAAAACGCATTGCTCCAAGGCTAATCTCAAGTAGGTATACCCATGCCCAATGGATGCATGTATGTACAGTACGAATGGTGCAGGCGGCCTATATCATGTGCCATTCTCAGAGCTCATCGCCAAAGGATGAGACGTCGTATCGGTCCCTTCCCCAGTCCCAAGGATCCCCTCCCCGAATACAGAGTCCTAATCTCCAGAAGTAGTCGCGGTGCGCGAAGAGCAGCTCCCAGAGTCTCAGCCGCGCGGGGAGCCCCCTAAACTTCCCTGTCCAGCCCACGGTAGCCCCATCGTTGTCTTCTCCCGTGGCCGGGCTGCCTATCACCTCCCGGTAAGCGCCGCTGGCGCTACCGTCAGCCCCGGCAATGCACCTTGGATCTCTATCGCCCCGGCATAACCGGACGTCTTTGGCCGCAGGCTGAAGACTAGATTTAGTGATGTAGATTTCGCCGGCGTGTGGCCGGAATCCCCACTCTTCCAGCGGCAGCGACGGCACCGGGTCGCCGGCGTGCGTCACCCGTCGGTACGGCCGCTGCTCCAGGTCCGGGTCGTAGCCATCGTCCTTGTCAAGGTCAAACGCCGCGTCGAGGTACGCGACGAACCCACTGTTCCCCACCAGTGGCTCTCCAAACGTCGTGACGGTGACGTCCTCCCAGCCCAGGGACAGCCTCAGCTCCAGGGCCGCGAGGGCTGCCACGGCGCCGCCAAGGCTGTGCCCGATGATGTGGACGGGGTAGGACGGGTGCTTGTCGCGAACGGCTTTCAGGTGGGGCAGGACAAGCTCGCGGGCGTTGCGCCACGAGGCAAGGAAGCCCGCATGGACGGTGCAATTGGCGCATCTGTGCTCTGGCTTGTCCTTTCCGTCGCTGTCGCCGTCGCCGTCGTCAGGCGCCGGATACGGTACGTACTCCTGCGGTATAGTGCTCAAGTCCACGACGGTGTTTGTGATACTGTAAGTCCCGCGGAACGCCAGCACAATGGTAGGTTCGTGGGGTCGGTCGCCGTCCCTTTCCCGCTCCAGGCCGTGATCCACGGCTAAGTAGCCGCAGCTATCGCCCAGGAACACCCCCGTATTCCACGTCGAGACGAGGTGCAGCGTCGGAAAGTCTTTACATCGGGAGGCACACGCGAAGGGCGGATATACGCCCGTCGTTCCCACGCAGTAGGCTATATCCACCAGGCGCGCCGTGCGCTCAAGCGAGCCGAAGAGCGAGACGGATACGCTCTCTGCGGTGAGTTCATCTCGGGCTCGGGGAGGGTGGGCTTCGGCAGCGGACTGATCCGGTATCGCGAGACTGGCAGTGGAAGCAAGAAGGGAGCCCAAGAGGGCAGACGAGAGTGGGCGCATTTTCTCTGAACCTTAGGGCATGCCCTGTTTATACCACCCAGAGTCGAGGCTTGACTCGTGGCAGATTCATTGTTCGAGAGAGCGCTCGTCTTGTCCGGGCTTGAAATACCGAACGACTAGGAACTATCGGAAGTCGGAGAGGAACTCGTGAGTTTCGCTACGGTACTTGCCAAGTCGAAACAGAAGGGCATATTTCGTGGCTAAATGCGGGCACGTGGTCATTGGAGGTGAGATGCGACTCCGAGATGGCTTCCTAGAGAGCACATGATGTGGAAACGAGGAAGCGGCAGGTGGTTTGTTGAAACAAGCAAGCCACATGCACGAATGTTGAGAAGAGGCGAAGGTTAAGTCCCATGCCAAGGGAGGGGCCGCTGCGGCTGGGATGTAACACCCCGCAAAATGCATTACCCATTAAAGCAAGCCTCATTCCGAACAACACTGATAACGGGATTGCCTGTCATTATGCGCCCAGTGCGGGAGTTACTCGAATATTACTGCGTTGCCAGGAAAGAGAAATCTATGTATGGTCCCTTCCAAAAGACTGTCCCAGGACATTGCTCGCCTCCCGCCGCGATTCCCGAACCCCTTCTTCACCTTTACGGCGGGGATGGCTGCAAGCTAGTGAAGTTCCCTTGTATGACGGTATTGACTGCCAAGCACTCAGTTCCATCACCAGATGGATAATCGCAGCTCGTAGCGGAGCACTGGGTTTCTGGCTTGACAGACCCGGAGGCCTCGTATTGAAGGGACCTTTTGCAATCTGTCAGTGGGACTGGGCCTCAACTCAGGCCACAAGATGTTCAACTTACTCGGTTGCCCCTGGGCAGGCCGTCTCGATCATGGTCAAGATTTCATTCTGCCAGATGAACTGGGCAAGAGGATCATCGCAGGCGTATCTTGGAGCAAGGTCGGGCTTGCCAACATTCTTCGAGGTCGAGTTGTGCTGGCATGATGTATTTATGCCAGTGCTGTTATCGACGTAGCCAAACTGGACAACCAGAGACTCGTCGTTCCCCTCAACTGGAGTCCACGTCTGAAAATTATGAATCTCGAAACCCTCCGGAAGTGAACAGCTTGCCTGCACCAGGAATGACTTGGTGAATGCCTTTGGAATCGCGTAGGTCGGGAAGGACGCTGCCAACGGGATGGCAGTTGCCAAAAGGGAGGCAATCCAAAGCATCATCTCGGCGAGAAAAAGAGGGAATGTGGGAAGCGAGAATGACAGAATAGAAATGATCAAGAGGCGAATCCAGTATTAAATAGGTAGCTTCTTAAACTGTGGATGTGGGATGCTTTGAGGACTCAGCGAGAAACACTGGGTCTTCGATCCAGCGGTTGCCTTGCCTTTTTAAAACATTGTGTGTTGTTCCCGGTCCTAGATCTAGGCAGTGGATATTAGAGCTGTTTCCCTTGCAGGCGCTTGCCACCTCCACTGCTGGCCGATTGGATTGGGTGAGACCTCGCGAAAGGGAAGGAGTTTCGCAGATCTGGAGGCAATCAGCCGGATCGCCTGAAGCCGTGCCTGACCCAGGCCCGGTGCAAATAGGTACCAACTGCCACCGTCGCACGGAATACAAGGAAAGGGGAGCCGGAGCCCAATGTCTCAGAGGACTACTCTCATAAAACCCAAATTCGATTGGTCCTATGGACTTCGTTGTTGCGTAGCACCATTTACCCAGAATTTACCGCCAATGTAGGTATCTGGTTCTGTCGCTCGGAGGGCCAATCGAGGGGAAGACCAGGGATCCGTTGTTCAACCACCCGTACCTTTGTAACACATTGGCGAGTGCTGAGCCACCATGAAAATTATCCTGTTTAGTAGTGGGGGGCCCATAGTGAGTCGCTACCTACGTATGGAGATCAAAAACCTTGCAAGGCCACCCATGATCCAACGGTTCGGGAATCTCGTGCAACTGGTGTCAGTGACTCGCGGTGTTTGCGATGAGTCGAGACTCGAAGGCCGAGGCTCGCCTCGTGTAGGCGACTTGCTGCCGGGAAGTCCGAAAAATGCGAACCTGATAGACGAATTGAGTAACTCAGTACAGTCGTGATACGGGCGAACTTCATGTAGAGGAACCATGCTGGTCATCGTACAGAGCCTCATCATCGGGGCTCCTAGTCCCACGCCGGCAGTGGTGAGGTTACCTAGGTACCTAGGTACCTTCTTAGGGTTATTGCCAAGACTAATTCTGTGGCTGTATCTTTGCACTAGCCACATGAGCATGGGCCAGTTTTTCAAGCCCCACTCCCCTCGGCTGCCCTCTCGAAAACCCACAAACCCAGAATTTCATCCGACTTCAACGTATCGACGCCAAAACCACCGACCAGCAACCAGCAAAAATCGGAAAAGATGGCCAAGGAAGCACCTGCCCGGACCGGCCTCGCCGTCGGCGTCAACAGCGGTCATGTACGTCTCACCTCGTGGAGGATCTCTGCCTGCCTTCCAATTCAGGGCATTTCGCGGACGATGGACGCTGACTGAAAATGTTTTTTTCGCCGTTACAGAAAACCACCCCCCGCGTCTCCAAGCCTAGAATCTCCAGGTCCAAGGGACGCCTGAGCAAGCGCACTGCCTTCGTCCGTGAAATCGTCAAGGAGGTCGCTGGGTAAGTTCACTCCCCAGATCTATCCTCAGCACTTGTACCTTTGGGGCCCGAGGGACAATAGTCGGGAGAGGAGGGTTGTTACACATGGAGGCCACCGCAATCGTGGGAAAAGAAGGACTCCAATCCCGACCGTGTTCGCTCAATGGGCTGCCAAAAGGAAAAAGATTTTCGCTTGCCAGAACTCCATGCTAACACATTTGCTTCAGTCTTGCCCCTTACGAGCGCCGAGTCATCGAATTGCTTCGCAACAGCAGGGACAAGCGGGCACGGAAGCTGGCCAAGAAGAGGGTATGTCATATACTTGTCGAATCTGCGTCTTCATCTATAGCAGAAACTAACCTTAATCCAGCTCGGAACTTTCGGTCGTGCGAAGGCGAAGGTCGACGAGCTCCAGCGTGTCATCGCTGAGTCCCGCAGGGCAGGCCACTAAATGTTCCGGGATCGGTGTTGATTGCTTCGGTCAGGCATTCTTCGGCGCGGTACATTATATCTCGTCATGGCTTGAGGATGGGGGAAAATCGCGGGTTTCTGCCTAGTTGTCTCATAACCAAAAATTCTGAACCAAATGAGAAAATACCATCCTACAAAGCTCCCACTAGCTATGATCTTTTGGTCTGTCTCATGTCCTGAAGCCAACCAAGTATCAACGACTTCCTAGGAGTGTCGCCATGGTTCTTGTCCTCTACTGCCCTGGGACCCTCTAAGTCAGCTCTTGGCAGGAAATTGGCACGTAACCTGCCCCTGAGACCAGTAACTCATTGCCTTGCCCAGCTGTACAGATGAAGCCCATTATCAGAACCTTGCAACATGTCTCTTGAGGCGCCGTGATGGGTAGGTATCACGGGATGACGGGTAAGGTTTGACTACTATAGCGATGCAAACTTCTGTTTGAGAGGGAGGTGATCCATTGCTTGACGGTTGAACTAGCTATAACTTGAGATCCCTCATCGACTTCAAATGCAGTCCTTGACCTCTCGGATCTGCTGATATGCTCACCAAAACTTCACAAAAAGTGCCTGTCTTGGGGCTTGCCCTTGCCCCTAGCCTCCTCATGACGTGCGTACAACAGAGCCCTCGCCTCTTTGTTCATAAGGCAGCACAGTTCCGAGAGTGTATCTGGAACCGGGGTCCCATGTGGAATGGGAGGGGGTTGGCGCCTAGGATAGTAACCAACATGAGAGAATAGTGTAACTAGCGGTTCGGGTTTATCCGATGTCTTTTCGAGCTGGTAAAACATCCTGTATGCTAGGTGACGACTAGGACAGTTCATGCAAGGGACTCTTTCAAACGCACGGATGCTAGAGAAGTTGCTTTGTTAGGCTGATATATTGATAACTGAATAAGAGGTGCTTACCAAAACGCATTATTAAAAGATATCAGGTTTCCCACATTCACACCCCGTAGCCATTCGCGGCTGTCGCTCCATAAGTAGGCAACAACAAGCCAGCGTCCTATTAGCCATCGAGGCTCATCTCTGGTTTGTTCCGAGAAGACAATCCGCCGGCCCCACTTCAGTTGTGGACAGTTCCAACGACCCCAATCCCGAGGAAGGAATTTCGTCCCGCCTGTATCTTCTACTTCATAATCTCGCCATGAAGTGCTGAGTCCGTTCTCAAGTTGCTCGAGAAGATCGATCAGCATACATCGAAGTAATAAATACCAGGGCGATTGCCCCTGTGTACTTTTAGCTTGGTATTCTTCTGGGAGGTAATAAGAAGAAATCATCCACTGAAAGGGTCGTATTTGTGGTGCAGCAAGGTTTGCTGGTAGTGCAATGCGTCGATTTTTGCGTTTTATTTCTTTGGCCACAGATATGTTGTCATCGTCGTCAACTATCATTCGCCGGTTGAAATAGGGGTGGCTCTCAGAAGGGGCGAAGGACATAATGACAAAAGTTGTAAAGAGTAAGTGAATGCCAGAAGCACTGCGCTCTTGGAAAGGTTAAAGGTACGTGTAAAAAGAGGTGATCGATTGATCAGTTGTGACTAGTCTTTGGGTGGAAAAGACTCTCTATTTATGCCCTTCCATTTGGCCTCTGTCCTTTCAAACTGTGATAAGAGACTTGCGTCTGCAGAGAGTTTTGAAACACAGTTCAAGATATATGCATTACGGTGATTGCATTGGCAATCCGCGGCTCGCAACTGCAGCTCAACAAACCTAGATTTGAAGGGCTACCCTATAAGTGGGCAAATTTGCTGGACTCCCCGGAGAAGTCAGCCAGGCTTCAATGCAATTTTTCAGGCATGCCTACCCTTGCACTCTTCATCTTGCCCGTCAGAGGACCGCTCTTCTTGCCAGCTACAGCGCACCCTGCGTTACAGTCTCCCTACCAGACCCCCCTTTCCCCTAACACCTGCCAGCTAGCTGTCACATCTGACAGTAGATAAGATGACAAGAGAAATCTATATAATGGTAAGAGAATATTTTCTATTGTTGAGCAAAGAAATTAGAGTTGGGGGGTTGAGATTTACAAACCTTGTACGTCAGAACCATCCGGCCATTGAGGATGGGTTGGTGATTACAGTGGCGAGGTCGACTTGTCTCCTCAGTCTTTTTCTCAAGAAGGTTTTGCCGATGGCGTGATTGGTACTGCACGTCGGATCAGGCCCCAAGTATTACGTCCTCAAGGGGAACCAAGCTGCACCCTCGGTACACTGACCAACTCCGACCTGAGTCGTCGACGGCGACACGCCGGACCAAGACGGTCTAAAGGTAGGCGATTACTTTAAACGGAGTAAGGATACAAGCCGGAAACAAGAAGCTCGGTTCTGAGAGCTCTTGGCTGTGGTCTACCGTTGGTCTGCTCTTTTAACTTCTGATAGTACTTATGACTACCACCATTTCTGCTCCCCTTCCGGATATAGTAATACGATTCTCGCATTGAAGGAGATGGGGCCCCTGCTCTTTTGGCCGTGTGTGGAGAAGCTGATGAGCCATGATAGCGATGACGGCAAGGAACCTAACTTGACAAGGCTGGGATTAGACCAGAGGTCTGGAGATTTGAGCTGTTCCGGCGGTTAGGAACCTATAGAGCACACCTGCTGCAAGTGACCGTAGACGAAAACGGTCGCACTACTGGCTTCACCAAGAGATACGACGAGGGAGAGATCTGCGAACTGGTTGATATTTTCATCGACCAAACACACTTTGTCGTTGTCCAAGCTACGGCGTTGTATTCGGAAGCATCGAAGAAGCTGACGTCCTGCGGCTGCAGACCTCGTTCCACAATGGCTTGAGGGAAAGGAGAAGTTGTCCTACATCTGCACCGCGCTGACTTGCGCTGGCTGGCCTGGGACGATGGGCTGGCACCCAGCATTTAATATAAGTCAAGTAATCTGAAGTCAAGTTCAAGTAAGGCAAGTATGCCAAATCAAGTTAGACTAGCTGTAAGTCAAGTAGAAGGCCGTCATACTTGTAATTTCAGCGTTCATTCATTGTGGGTTATATATAGCATAGTGTGCTTAGTAATGCCTTCCTTGCAAGTAGAGGTTGTCTCTGTAGGTAGGGGAATTTAACTGTTAGGGTTGGGTTGGGGCATTTGGCTAGCTGTTGCTGTCGCTATTGCTAAAGCACTCTTGCCGAGAAATAGCCAAGGAGGGCAAGTTGGATAAAGGCTGGATCTCGACAAGCGCCCTGTATGTAACGTAGATATGCCTCGAGTGTTACGGGGAGACCTGGGTAGGTATGTCTATGGTGAGGCATTGCTTCTGCTTCATGGCCGGGGTTTGTCTCTCCTTTTGTTCTCCCATGCTCGGGAACCAGTGAAGCAGGACGACGTTCACGGTTCAAATGATTGTGCAGCAGTGAAAACGATCTCTGGAGAAGTGCACGTGTTCGGCACCAACCCCACTACACCCAGCCACCTGAGTGGGCTGAGCCGTAGGAAACTTTTTGGGACTCTGCTAGCCTAGGTAGCTTGCACCTTGGCGGGTAGCTTCCATTGCCGTGCCATGGAATCCTTGCAAACCAGGCCCTGCGTGAGAGTAACAACAATTTTGCCCAAAGTACGGATTACCGTTCCCGCAATCACCATGTCAGTAGAAGCTGAGATATGGACCTTCCCCACGAATCCGGAGGAATTCGACCACGACGACAGAATATCGTTCTCCAAGCTCGATAACAAGTACATTGCCGTCCAGGATGATGGGGCTGAATTCGAATTCGACTCGGACCTGAAGCGATGGGTGCCCATAGTGGACGAGGCGTTGATCCAGGAGCATCAGAGCGGATACGGAGTCCCGGATGATGCCGACAGCAGCCGGCCGGGACCTAGCCAGGGCAAGAAGAGGAAGAAGGACGAGTCGAACGACCGCGAGGTAAGCTGCGCTCGTATGCGCGTCGGCAGCTCTTCGTCTCGCTGCAGCCATCCAATTACCCTTCCAGACCTGCCATTATGAAACCAAGAACAGTTCGGATGCTCTCCACGAGACTTTCGAGGCACTGACCAGACGTTTTTCTATTCTTCCCCCCTTGACAGGACAGTCAAGGTCGCTCCAAGAACGGCAAGAGACAGGCGGCTAGGCAGCCACCGCAGCCCAGGCAGAACACGGCCGTGTACGTCACCGGCCTACCGCTGGACGCAACGGTCGACGAGGTCCACGAGCTGTTCTCCCGCAAATGCGGTGTCGTCGCCGAGGAGATCGACAGCGGGCGGCCGCGGATCAAGCTCTACACGGGCGCCGACGGCAGCTTCAAGGGCGACGCCCTCGTCGTCTTCTTCAAGCCGCAGTCGGTGGACATGGCCATCATGCTCCTCGACGACACCGACTTCCGCTTCGCCCCCTCGGGCGCCACGACGGGCAAGATGCGCGTCCAGGCCGCCGACCTGAGTTACAAGAAGACCAACTACGACGACAACGGCGAGGCCGCTGCCGCCGCCGCCGCGGTAGGGTCGAAGAACGGCAGCGAGCAGCCCGGCGTGGGGAGCAACGGCGACAAGAACAAGGCGGGCGCACATAGGCGCAATGATCAGGACAAGAAGAAGATCATCAGGAAGACCCAGAAGCTCGACGCCAAGTTGGCAGACTGGGACGACGAGCCGTCCTCGCTGTATCCTGAGAGTAAGGGGTCGAGGTGGGAGAAGGTGGTCATCCTGTCGCACATGTTCACCCTGCGGGAGCTCGAGGAGGACCCGACGGCCATCCTCGACATCAAGGAGGACATCCGGGAGGAGTGCGAGAAGCTCGGGCCGGTAACCAACGTGGTGCTGTTCGACCTGGAGGAGGAGGGCATCGTTAGCGTCAAGTTCCAGACCGCCGAGGCGGCCGAGGCGTGCGTAAACCTCATGCACGGCCGGGCCTTCGACGGCAGGACCGTCGAGGCTTACTTTGCGACCGGGCAGGAACGCTTCAGGAAGTCCAAGGAGAAGGGCGACGAGGAAGACGACGAGTGAGGCTGACTTGCAGTCCGGCCCAAAGTTACCCACCCACCCCCTTAATAGAGTCGTAAGGGATGCTGATGTTGGAACTTGTGTGTATTTTATCAGACCATGCTCTGTGCAAGGTGACCCGACTAGATGAGGATAGATATTATACGAGACTCTTTATGAATGGATTCACTCAATTCGCAGGCTTGATGCTGAGTAGCAAGGTGTAGTGATCAACGATAACACTCTTGACATCCTCTACAAGCAAAAATGGGCCGACGCAAAGGCAAGAGGCCAGACTTATAATTGAGTTGAGCAGAAAACAAAAGTGGTATCAATTTGTATTTTTGTAGACGAACTCCCAGCCAGACCACTAGCTTCTAAACTTCCAATCGAGGTGAGCACTCCCAAGGGAAAAGATATAGTCAGATCCGCTCCCAAAGAGAACAGCTGCAAACCTTAGTTACTAACCGATGCAACGCTGGGATATCGTATCCAACGTTCCCCAGGCTATCCCCGGGTGAAGCCATCCCGCCTTAAGCAGCAGGCCCTCATTCTAACAGTACCTTACGATTCGGAAGGACCCTCCAAGTCTACCTTTTCCGACGTTGTGTACCAGACCGCAGCCTCGATTATCCTGAGAACGATGCGGAGGTCATTGTCATCTACAGGCCAGGGGGGCTGTCGTTAACTCAAGCCTGTCACACGCCCGAGCAACGCAGGCGGAGGTGAAAGATAGAAACGGGGAACTTACCCCTCGGTGCATAAATCATGACGAAGGTACTCGGCACAGGGGTATGCACCCAGCCCGTCCAGGCCATGGGATGCCTCTGGCCCCAGCCCTTCTCCAGGACCTCCTTGATGTCGTCGGGGTGGAGGTTCATGTGCATCGACTTGTCCGAGGTGTGGATGTGGCAGACCTCGCCGTTGCCGCAGACGTTGAGCGGGTGCCGCGCAAACAGGGCGAAGCCGTGCTTCTCCAGGCACGACGTCGCCGTGATGAACTTCTTGGGACTGAGGGCGCTGAGGTCGCTGAGCGCGAGCTTCAGCGCCTGGTATATCTTCTGGTTACCGGGCTGGTTCAGCTGCCTCTGCGGCGCGAGGCCCGCAACCACGGGCCGAGGGCCCGGCCGGTAGGGGAGTGGCTGCTGTCGGAGGATGCCGGCGGCCGGCAGCTGGGAGGGGTCCCGGGGCGGGGGGCTGAAGGGGTCCCGGAGGGCGAAGAGGCGGTACCAGGTTAGCCTCGCGTAGCCGGCCGGTGTTGCGGGGGTCCCGCCCGGGCCGAGATTGAGGAAGTTGTGGTAGTCGTTCCGGATCAGGAGCATGATGGGGATGGCCAGGATCATGCACTCGAGGTAGAGGTGCTCGACGGTGTTCATACCAATGATGAGTAGAATGGCCACGGCAAGGAGGGCCGAGGCATCGAGACTGATCGAGAAGGGATCCTGGCGTATGACCATGTTGATTGCGAGCCGGTCAGGCTCTTTCTCGGCAGACGACTCCATACCGAGGTGCTGGTGAAGATCGGTCCCTGAAGTTAAGGTGAGAGCCATGACGGTAGCAGACATGGGAGCAGTCCACTACTGTCACGGTGATGAGGCAACAACAAACAGAAGAGGAATCGTTCTGGAATTGGAAGGTTAGAGTCTCTAAATAGATACAACTATGGTTGAAACAGAGTAGGGGGAGCAATGTTTAGGTACTGGCTAAGGATGACGGGGAGATTTGTGCGAACAATACGTGGTTATTTGCCCTGGCCGCCGTGAAGTAGACGAGGGTCCTACGTTGGTCAACGCTAATAACTGAATGCATGCAGGCGTGAGCGGGAACTAAGGAGAGGCAGCATGTGTACTGGTAGTAACGCCCACCGTGTGACGAACTGGTCCTTCTTGGTCTTGAACGTGTCCCAGGTGACACAAGAGAAGGCCCTAAAGGTGTTTCCACAGTAAGAGTTGCAGATCCAAGCAAACAGCGGCTTGGCTGAGAGAGACCGGAAAGAGACCACGTGAGGGTCGCCACATCACCTTTCATCGAACGATTCCGCCAGTGGCAAGTCGAGAAGAGGAGAGGTTCACCTAGGGCTGAGTGGTCTGAGTGGTCAGCTGTTACTCTGCACTTGCACACCGCTAGTGCCTTAAGACAAGAGTACGAGGAGCGGCGCTCAATGATGTAGGTATGTGTCTGGTTGTAAGTGCATCTCGCCACGATCGACCAGGGTTTGTGTGCCCAGAGACAGCCTGAATTGTGCCGTGTCCTCTCATTGCCCCCTCATTCAGCGTTCCAGTTTCAAGTCTTGCACTGACATTCCCTGGCTGGTGATGGGGGGTGTTAAGCAGATATGACGTCGTAGGGCTGAGGCTGGACTCGAAACTCTCGAAACTTCCCACCTCCTAGGTAAGCTCGTAAGGTACTGTACCTACTTCAGTCATTCCAAGGACTTCATCCATGGATTGGACCTAACAAACGCAGCGTCTGTGAGCCACGTCGCACCTCAAATTTGGGGCCGACTATGGAAGTATCCCGGTTGGACAACATGTCGCAAGTGTCCGTTTTCGCCCGTCCAGACTCATCGTCGGGAACGTGTTGAACTCGCAATACAGTATTCCGCACAGTACGTTGGGCTCGGCGGAGATCGGCGACATCGCTGGACACCGCAGCAAGCACTTCCTGCAGTGCTACATGGCATTCTTTTTAGTCTCGCAAGTACACATCTAGAGTAGAGTGTCAGTTTGCCGTGTCTGACCTCAGAGATTTCTCTGAGATCGAAAGAGAAGACATCAACTGTGGTAAACTTGATGAAACCTAAAGAAATACCGTGCCCTGACTGACTGTTTAGAGGTACGGATCCGTACTCGTACTTTCGAACTAGGCAGATAGGTACCTAGGATGGGAATTTTCGAAGTATGGACGGCCCCACAACCTCAAATAATCCCCTCTGTAGGCACATAAGCACATAAGGTATTGAATGTCTAAGACCCCTTCTAGGAAACATATGGATTAAGTTTCAGCCTCGAGTCTTGCCCTTTGTCGTCCTCCCGTTTCTTTCCCGTCCTCTTTGGTGATGGGGGTACGATTCCATTGACCCGGTAGCTTTAATTGGCGGGCTAAACTTATGGCGCAGTCATCCCTGTTCGTTGCTCTGGCAACGCCTACTGCCAACATTGAAATCGTGGGGGCGAATGGTGTGCGCTGGAGCTGCTAGGATGCTCGACGACGAATCGTTGGGATGCATTGTACCAAACACATGCTTCGCTCGACTAATGTGTTGAGAACAAACCAGAGTCCAGTCCCTTCTTCTAGTAATCTTCTCAATTAAACAGTTGACTCTTCCTGTTTGCACCAACACCCCAAACGCATGAAATAAAGTCAACCCGCGTTCAGTCAGGTAGATGCAACATCCGGCTTGTCTGCTTCTTTGACCATGTACTGACTCTTCCGTCTTCAGCAATGGGTCTCCTCCCACGCAGCCTCCGTCGCCTGCGGGCGTCGCGTCCGGCGCGTCTGCCTCTCTATGAAGAACCGGGTTCGCCCGTTTCAACGAAGGAACGATATTCCACTACAGATGATTCCTCAGAAACCGATACCGATGAAGACGACAACCTCCCCGACTGCTCATTACTATCACCCGCCGAGACCGGCTCAAGACAGAGCTCCTCGTCCCAATCCTCGACGAGCCACATGCTCCCCAGAAAACCCATCGCTCGGCCGAGGCGTCCTCCTGGGCGTTATCTTTCTAGGCTGCGGAACAAGATCGTACGCTACCTATGCATTGGCCTGATAACAACCATTGTGCTTTTCATCTTCAGCCTTGTCCGCGCAAGCCAGGTTGAGAACCGAAGGATAGCAGCCGGGATGGTCGAGAAGAAACCTCCCCCACCCCCAGCGTGGGAGTCGTTCGATTTCCTCACAAGGTATTACGGTGGGATCAGGACTCTGGTACCGTTGTCGGAGAATATCCCGGAATATCCCAGACTTGAGGACGAACAACCCTACAATGCTAGCACGAGCGCGAGGTCGAGCAAGAGAGGCAACGATGCCAACGAACTTGGCCCTGCCTACCGAGCACTGGCCCCAAGCAAGACGTTCAGTGACCATCCGCAGTCCTTTACCAGGGACGGCGCCAAGGAGATCAGGGAATGTTTCTTAGACCCTCAAAACACCGTGAGGGTGCCACCTATCCGGTATTACGACGGCCGACCTAAAGGATTTCCGAACAATGTTCTTGGCTCTTATGATCTCCTATCGATCCCCGAGGATATTTGCTTCGAGAGATACGGGCGATACGGCCCTTACGGATTCGGGTATCCCATCCGAAGTGGCGGTCTCGGCCTCGGCGCACACGGCGAAAATGAAGGCTCCGGTGACGTCTGGCAGGCTGTCCCTCGGGTCGACTGGAGTAAACTGGACTGGGCGGACATACAGCGGAGATGCTACGAGGTAAACGCACAGCGGTACAGCCCCGTCGTAACCCGACCAACACTCTCCCGCGGCTTTTATGTTGGAGAGGAGTCGGGGGCTGCGGAGTTAAAGACTCGAGAGGGTGCCCCTCCCCAAATGGTCAAGGCAAGTCGACCCGTTGCCTCTTCCACTGCGTCTGCAGAGGCTCCGGCGAAGACGAACGGGACGATGCCTCGTACAGCTTTCGTGGTTCGATGCTGGGATGAGTTCGAGTGGAATGAGGACGACATAATGAACCTGAGATCGCTCATCGCCGAAATCGCGCTCGCCTCGGGAGGCCGCTACGATATCCATCTTCTGGTGGAAGTAAAGAACGATGCGAAGTACCCAATCTGGGCAGATGACGAAGCGTATCGCAACAGGATCAAGGAGTCCGTCCCAGAAGAGTTCCAGGGGCTGGTTACTCTCTGGGCCCAGACACAGATGCTCGCTCTCTACCAAGGCATTCACGACCTTTACTCCACCGGTCCAGACAATCCGGTCCACGGAGCATACCGTGGCTTGCAGATGGCCATGCAGCACTTCGCCTACGGGCATCCCGAGTACGACTACTTCTGGCAATGGGAGATGGATGTCCGCTACACCGGGCACTACTACGATCTGATCTCCAAGCTCGAGGGCTGGGCCAAAGAGCAGCCTAGAAAGGGCCTTTGGGAGCGCAATGCTCGGTTTTACATGCCCGACGTCCACGGCACCTGGGAAGACTTCAAGCAAATGGCCCGGGTACAATCCGATCTCGGCACCGTTGGTGCAGGTAATGTCTGGGGTGGCGTCCCCGGTTCAGCGAAGGAACCACCAGTAAAGAAAGCAGATGAAAATGTGTGGGGCCCAGTAAGGCCAGTGGACGAGGAGGACTGGTACGAGACCGACAACGACCCTCAGCCACCGACCACACAAGAGCGGGATAAATATTCCTGGGGTGTTGGCGAAGAGGCGGACTTCATCACGCTCAACCCCCTGTTCGACCCCGAGGGTACGACCTGGGGTCTCGCCAACGACATCACGGGCTACAACGAGACCGAAGGCATCGCCAAGCCCCCGCGGCGGGCCCAGATCATCACCGCATCCCGCATGTCGCGCCAGCTGCTCATGACGATGCACCGGGAGACGGCATTCAAGAAGCACCACGCCTTCCCCGAGATGTGGCCGGCGACGGTGTCGCTGCACCACGGGTACAAGGCCGTCTTCGCGCCGCACCCGGTCTACGTCGACCGCGAGTGGCCGGTCGAGTACATGGCCCGCGTCCTCAATGGCGGCCGCAACGGCGCGTCGGGCGGCTCCAGGGCGTCCGTCTTTGGCGAGCGCGAGCACAACCTGCGCGGCCTGACGTGGTTCTACAACTCGGGCTTCGGCGGCAACCTGTACCGCCGGTGGCTGGGCCTCCGCGTCAACAACGACGGCGGCGAGGGGTTCGAGACCACGGCCGACCTGAGCAAGAACGACTCGGCTGTCCCGTTCATGCGCGGCGGCGAGGGCCGCATGTGCCTGCCCCCCATGCTCCTCCACCCCGTCAAGGGTGTCGTGCTGCCGGTCGAGGGTACTCCAGACGATGGCGAGATACCCGAGTCGGATCCTGCCGCGTAGCGCAAGCCGGGTGGCTTGGGTTATTCTTCCTTTTTCGTCGTTGATGAAGTGGTCTGGGGCTGGCATACTCTGGTTGGCTCTGGTCTGGTAGATACGGGCTGCACGGTTTTTGGCATTCTTGTAAGGCGTTTAGCCCGGATTAACGGCGTTGGTTGAGCATGTGACATATGGTGCTGCTGCCTTTGACGGAACAAATTATGACAATGCAGGCAGCCATTTAGAACATTGCGTTTTTAGCATGACCGCGTTTATAGAACACATTGGCAGATACGGATGATGGACTTTGGGCCATCGATTACATAAAGACACGTTGGATTCTGAAATCATTGGTCTCCGGCATGACTGGACTCGACTCGGCCATCCCCCTAGCTTGTTGTGAGTTACTAGCTAGCCCCTTAGAGGATGAATGGCGGCAACACCGACCGCTGCCATTGCCGATAGAGTACAGGAAGGATTAACAGGCTTCAAGCGACCAAGCAACCGGACCATTTTTGCATTCCACCCTCCAGCGCCATGTTTAAAATTATGCCTTGAACAAGACGGGTATTGAAAATCAGTGGCAGCAGGACTAGACCACTCGCTTCACCTATATGCCTGTTAGACTGCCGTCCCCAGCTTGCAGGGACCTCATGGGACTTACCTCGAAGAATCTCCTGAGCCACCAGACTTGGAAGACAGACTCGCCAAAAACGACGCCCATAACAAACAAGTTCCACCACTTGACCCGGCCGTTTGTGCTCTCAGCCGTGTTCCGGTGGGTCCTCTCGCGAATCACAATGTAGGACTGCTCGTCCTTGACCTGGCTGAGCAGCTCGGACAGCTTGCGGACCTCGACCTCGAGGGGGTCCTGTGGCGCATCCGACTCGGAGACATAGACGATGCCGTGAACGTTGAAGGAGACCTCCTTGCTCGACGCGCCCCAGTGCTCGTTGCCGAAGCAGTAGACGTATTTGCCGTCGTGCTTGGCCTCAAAGGAGTAGTCGCCGTTCGATATCGACTTCTCGAAGACCTCGTATTGACCCATTGGGTTGGTGATCTTTACGAGGGTGGTTGTTAGCAATTGGGTTTGCCTAGTCGGGCAATTGAAGAATATGATCATTTCATCCTTACCCAGAAATCGACATCCAGGTTTCCTGCACTACCAAACTCGCGGTCGCCGACCTGGAACGTCACTGTCATGGTGTCATCGCGATGCAGATTCTCGTGGAAGCATTCCCGTCCATGGGCAGGGAGCTGGATGTGGTGGGCGGCGGCTGCACTGAATAAGCTAGCTGAGAGCAGCAGCTTTGCTGCCTTGAGGAGGTACATGGTGATCGCAGCCAGTTGGGCGAAGTCTAAGAGAGAAAAAGAGTGGTTTTGGGATTCCGTTTCGCGATGAGCTAGGAATAGGAGGACAACTTGGCGATTAGCCTTGAGGCTCTCAGGCCCTAGCACGTACCAGGTCTTGGCTTGTGAGGCCCCAGAAATAAAGGGGACCCGGTCCAACATTGTTCCAGAGCTATACAAAACAGATACACAAAAAACAGAGCTAGTCAACAAAGAACTAAAGGTAGTCAAAGGGTACTAGGCACGGACCTCGGTCAGACCATTGCGGCCCCAATCCAGGCCTCTCCCTCCTCCGGCTCGCACTGCCCAGCCTAGGACACTTTTCAAAAACTGGCCTAAGTTGACTTGCGCAGCGATACTCCTTCCACACCGACACTCATATCGAGCAGCAATCAGGGACAGCCAAATCCCATCACCATCTTCACCGAGACCTCAAGAGACAGCAGGATAGTGAGTCAATTCCTTCATTGCCCGATCCCGGTCTCAGCCCAATGCCCATTTGCCTGTGAAGAATCTGGCGCGTCCCCCCAACCCAAATTCTTGTCTGCCTGGCGGCTGTGCTCCTGGATGGAGGAGAAGAAGATGGCTAGCAAATAGCGCCACTTGCTCCTCTCACCATCACAGATCTGTCCTCTCCTGATCGCCATTACAAAAAGGGCTATCACGAAGCACATTCTGGGCTGCCTTGTTGCAGAACTCATTGCTTTTTGTCCTCTCTTGACAGTGCTTGTTTGCATGTGCTCTTGCTTACCAGAGATCAGATCCTCGTCTCTTATCTAGCATCCCGCTTCGCCCTCAAAATCCTACCTTGTCCGGAACCCAGTCGCAATCATGGGTCTCACATTTTCCAAGATTTTCGATAAGCTATGGGGGAAGAAGGAGATGAGAATCCTCATGGTCGGTTTGGACGCTGCTGGAAAGACCACCATCCTCTACAAGCTGAAACTCGGCGAGATCGTCACGACCATCCCCACCATTGGTATGACCCAAGATGCAGCCACTGTGACATCATCCGAGAAGTTGCTGTTGCTGTTGCTGACCAGTGGACTGAAGGCTTCAACGTTGAGACTGTCGAGTACAAGAACATCCAGTTCACCGTGTGGGACGTCGGTGGACAGGACAAGATCCGACCTCTGTGGAGACATTACTTCCAAAACACCCAGGGCATCATCTTCGTCGTTGATAGCAACGATCGCGATCGTATTGTCGAGGCCCGGGAGGAACTCCAGCGCATGCTGAACGAGGACGAGCTCCGGGATGCCATCCTCCTGGTCTTCGCCAACAAGCAGGATTTGCCTGTAAGCTGGGAGAAACCTTGGCAGAAGTGCGGTATTTGTTTGCTAACGTCACTGCCATAGAATGCCATGAACGCCGCCGAGATCACAGACAAGCTTGGTCTTCACAGCTTGAGACAGCGTGCTTGGGTATGCATAATCCCCCTCCTTCCTCCCCACCTCGCGAGCCGCGAGACCTCCTCGTGTCTGGCAAAAATACAACTAACACGCCACCTTAGTACATCCAATCAACTTGCGCTACCTCTGGTGACGGTCTGTACGAGGGTCTCGAGTGGCTTGCCAGCACCCTCCGTAAGGCGGGTCATCAGTAAATACATCCACGGGGATCCTTTTTTTTTGCACCGTCTCCCCTCTCTCCCTCGGTCAATCATGGTTCGGTTGTAATTCGCCAGGTATCCCTCATGAGCAATCGAATAGTCCATAACCATCACACATCGGGCGGTGGTCTCGCACAGTGAAAACTCCACCCCCCCTTTCATATCAGAAGACGAAAATGGGCTCTTGTTTTTGCACTCTTGGTCACTTTTCGGAAAGACGGGGGGCGCACAGGGTTGGAATCTTGTACAGTTTGAAATCCGGGCGGGGGAACTAGCTATACTTCCTCTCCCCGAGTACGTCGTCCGCTCGTGGCCAGAAAACAGAAAGGGGGGGAAGCATGTCTTACTTAAAGAGTTGCTAATACTTCTACTCTCTGTTTCTTCCTACCTGTTCTGTTCTCTCCCTGGGCTTTGGCACCCCTGTGGGGATGGTGATGGTGATGTGTTCTTGCAATGCCTGTTGTGTCTTCGTTGAAAATCTTTCTAATAAGCAAACTTGCTGTTGCCCGACTATCCCAATATCCGTGGGGAGGCAAGTGCACTTGCGTCCTGGTTGGTGTCTCCTCCACGTTGCCCCTGTTGGTCTTGCTGATGTATCCTGGTGCATGTAACAACAGGCAGTCAAGTACCTAGATGCCTGCCTAATGTAGGTAGTTCATAGGCAACGTGTCTCGTGACATTCTAGGTTGAAGACGTGTCCGTTCCAGTACGCAAAGTATACGCTTTTTTGACTTTGAGCGATTATCAAATAATAGAATATGGTTGGTGAAAACTGTGTCGATCATTGTTGAGTTTGGATGGAGTGTGCGGCCTCTCCGAGTCTGACCTTTCCACTTAGCCTTGAAACCAAGTTATGAATGAGTGGCTTGGGTGAAGGGCGGCGCTTCATGCAGCGTGTGATGCAACATGTATGTGTATATATATATTTATTGAGTGTAGACAAAGATTTCTGTTTATATGTCTTGGTATGCTTGTACATTTACATGTGGTGGTATTGACCAAACTTGATCCAATTTTGGTTGGAAACTCTCAGTGTATGTGGTGGTCTCGCCCTGAGCAGCGGGCTTATTCATGTACGGGGTAGACAGAAAAATAAGACGACGGGGAACAAGCCAAAGCGCAGGTATTCGCTAGCCAGCCATGGTCAAGACGTACGACGTGATGACGCTCATCCGCTCCGTGGTAAGCTTGAGCGAGATGCGCAGCAGCTCCTGGGCCACGTCGGGCTCCTCCTTCTGCAGCCTGTCCCAGCCGCGCTTGTCGATCATCCAGACCACGCAGTCGCGTTCGACCACGGCCGTAGCCGTCCTGTCCGTTTCGGAGAAGAAAGGCAGCTCGCCGCAGGTCGTCCCCGCGAGGACACTCTCGCAGAGCCACCCCTGCGGGAGGTTGTACTCAGCCCTTAGGATCCCGCTCTCGATGAGGTAGAACGCCTCGGCCGGCTCGCCGCGCCGGAAGAGGACCGTGCCGGCCGCGCATTCCTTGCGCGCAAAGTATCCCACGGCCCGGAACCAGAAGTCCTCGTTCTTCTCGCTCAGGTCCTGGAAGATCTGCAGCATCAGCCTCAGGGGTTCCTTGAAACTCTGCCACCGCGAAGACAAGGCGGTGTCGATCTGGTTCAGCGACTTTGTCGCCGCCTCGTGGAGGTGCGTCCGCCGTGGCGAGCTGCCGAGTACTTCCATTGACGGGGATGCTGCGCTCCTCCCGGGAACATCAAGGCTCGACGTCGGGGCACTACGAGATGCCCTCGCACCTTGACTGGCGTAGAAAATCTTCAGAAGCTCGTTCTCGCAGCACTCCAGCGCCGAGTTGAGGTCTGGAAGAAACATGACTTCTGTGCCATCCTCGACGAGCCCAATTGCCCGGAGGTTATGGCCGAGCTCGCTCTGGGCATCTACTCCACTGAGTACCAGGGCAACTCCTCTGCCGTTCAACAATCGGTTGATTGTGTTGAACGCCTCCCCGGCCGAATAGTCAAGCCCCGTAACCTGCCACATGTCAAGGACCAGGAACCTGATCGGCTGCTTCCCAAAGGCGTCGTCCGAGATCAACTCGCGGATCTTCTCCTCCACGCTGACGATGGTTCCGAAGAAGAGATAGCCAGATAGCTTGACGATGAATATCTGGCGGCCCACTTGCTGGAGGTAATGCTGCTGTGTTGGGTTCCGCCTGACAGTGGATCCTACCACGTCTCCCGAATAGGTTGCGCGTATGGCGGACACTCTAGAGGTTTGGAATATGAGCGAGATGAAGGCCAGTAAAATGCCGACCCCGATCCCCACGACGAAATCGTAAATGCCCATGATGAGTACGATGACAATCACCGTCATGTACTCGAGTGATTTCAACTTTCTCCTGGGCTGCCAAACCGCCTCATGTAATAGTTCGAAGCCGAGATCGAAGATGAGAACACCGACCATCATCACCGGGATGAGCCCGATGAGAGAGGGTCCGATTATCATGACACAGAAGGTGAAAATTGCCAGGAGAAAGCCCGCCAAACGGCTGTCTCCCCCAGACCGCATGAAAAACAGCGTGTTTGCGTATACAAGGTAGTTCTGAATGCTTCCCAACGCACCGGAGAAGAAGTTGGAGTATCCATGCAATTTGAGCTCATGGTCAATATTCGCATGGTCCTCTCCCGTATTGAGAGCCAGGGCGGGAACATTGATGGGAACATGCAGGATTCCAAAGAATGTCAGAGCAAACATGGCCGGGACGCACTGGACAATCGCATCCCAGTGAACCTTGTCGAACTCTGCAAATCGAGCATTAGTCTGACCGAACGGTGAGTTGGTGGGCGGAGGGTTACTCACGGTACAGCGTATAAAAGTACCACCAAGGCTCGCCAGGGGGTGGGCCTTCGAATATCCAGCCACGATCCCTCAGGTCACCAGTATCCAGGGCATCCAAGGATAGGACGAAAAAGTAAAAGACAATGGGAATAGCAAGGATATAAAGTGGGAGGAAGTACTTGGACGGGATCCTTGCGTGACTGTAGAACAGTATAATGGCGAGGACAAGCGGTATCAACCAAAGAGAGACCGTATCGGCCTGAAACAGCTTCTGGAGTGTAGCCAGGTCATAGTTGAGATTGCCGTTGATTCGGGCAGTCACCTCGAACCCAGTAACAACGAGGAACCAGCCCACGCCGCCTATGCATCCGATGAGGATGTGACGAGGGATGAAACCTATGATGTAGCCGAACTTGAATTTTCCCATGAGATAGAACACGGCGCCGGTCAGCATCGAACTCAGTGCATATGAGGTTATCGTAGTGGCAATGACGGCCTCGGGGCTATCTTCCCCAACAATGCCGGTAATCGTCACAGCCATGCTATGGAAGAATGGAACGACTTCGATCTGAAGAGGGTAAGCAACGCCATGCAGGCCATGACAGTGGTGATGTGGTGACACTAACCAACTCGGACCCCACGCCACCCTTGAAGATGCTCCCAAAAGAGAATGTCAACTGCGAGACGATGGTGCTGACATAGAAAATAGATATGCCAGCCGACCCGAGGCTCGAGAAAATAGGGTTACCGAGGGGAAAGAGAATCATGCCTGTAGTTCTGTCTTAGCAAACATGTTCGCGAGGGAAGGGACCGGGAAGACACCGACCGTATGATAATGCATCCAATATGTTCAGGAGGAGGCCCACAATCACGGCAGGCATGCAAGCTACCGGCCTTACGATAATGTTCTCCCAAAACGTCCTACGATTCCAACGCTTCGGGTTTCCAACCACTCCCACTTCAGACAAGAAGTCAGACTTGGCATTAGCCCCATATCCGGCGACTCTGGCAAGCCATCGTCTAGGGCTCTGGCTCTTTTGGCTCTCGGGATCGACATTTCTGGCGGCACCGCTGCTCGTGCTACTTAAATACGACGTTTCGCGCGACGACGTCTGTTGGAGTAGCGGGGTGGTCTCTCCGTGGCCCTCGCCTTCGCCGCCGTAAGCTGGTGAAGGCAATGCCTCGATAGGTTGTCCCTCGGGCAAGCTCTGTTCGTCTTGTTCTCCTGTCTGCCCTCCGAAGCGGGCGCCTCGTGATTCTTCCCACCGGTCTATTTCGGCGGGCGGTCTTCTGAGCAAGCTCGCCAGTATAGATGGCCCTTCAGCATGGGATGGTTCATCTGGCTCCCCAGGTGAGGATGGTTCCGAGACTTCTAAAATAGGCTCGGACGCTGTCGTTATACTAGCATCGGCACCCTCGTGGTCTTCGTATGAGGCCGAGATATCACGTCCAATCTGGGAGGGGCGAGGGTGCGTTCGAGACAAGAACGATGGGCCCTGACCGGGCTTCTTATCGGACAATATGTATGTGGCCAGCTCTGCTGTATCTTCGCGGACAGATCGAGCATGCTGGGCGGTATCCAGTGGAGCTATAGTCTAGTAAGAGACTGTCATCGGACGAAAAAGGGTTAGAACCGGGAAGTTTACCCAGGTGATCCCGTCCAGAGCCGTTAATAAAAGACCTCGTCCGCTGCCTATGGCTTCCAGAATTGACCGAGGAAGAGAGCACTCGGGAGTCGGCAGGGGGGTAATGCGACGACGAACGAGGAAGGCTGCCGGCATTGTCGAGAGGATCATCCTGGATATCCTGGGAGCTCAGAGACGGCGCCCTCCGTCTCATCCAAGAAGAGAATGGGGAAGACATTTCCGTATGGGAATCGCAAGGAAGACAGCGAGGAAGCAAGCAGTGCTTGGAGGTGTAGCTGTAGCCAAGCTGCTGCAGTAAGTGGGCGTGCCTATAATGCGACAGGCATTGCGACTCCACAGCAACAGTTCTTTCTGGCCGACGTCAGAGGATAGGAGGAGCAGGATAGGAAGGAAGTACGAGGCCTAGAACCAGGGCAAAAATGCTAAGTATGGAATGATCCCATCCGGGAGGATGCCAATGCGAAGAAATCCAACTGGGTGTCATATGAAGGACATGATGCGCCTGGCAGATAAGGTAAAGCACTATGTAGTTGCAATTGGCCCCGCCATGCCAACTTCAAGTCTCCGACTGCATGATAAGGACCTAAGCTTTTTACAGGGGTCGCTGTGGGGTGGGGGCGCATCAAATTTGGTTCACTGCGACTCCAGCTGGGTGTGGATGGTGTCGGCAACAGCCGCCTCACGAATGGATTCGAAACTCTCAGCTTGTCCAAATCCATAGATATTTCCCTATTATTTCATGGAAGGTATGTACATACCTAACCTTACATGCATTGCGGCGACTCTGCCTGCTGCCAGTCTTGTATAGGTGGTAGAACTGGGGGCTCGATCTCAGCCAAAGATAAACAAGGTTACCCCTCCATGCACGCCCCCCACCAGCTCCATTGGTGTCTTGCCTGGAACTTGCATTGCAGCTCGCGCCCCCAATCCACCTTGATGAACTGAGCATCCAAACATGCAACATCCCGTCTCCGCCTCTGTGGCTGGGATGGCAAAGGTTTTGCCAACCATGCCAACTTCATCTCGTATGAGATGTAAAGTACTTGCAAGGCCGTTCCCTTTTCCCTTTCCAAGTACCATGTAGCTGGAGTCTGACCTGCAGGATACCTGGTGCTCGTCACAACTTTGCGACCAAATTTGCGACCAAATTTGCGATCCCTGAGAGCCTGTTGGCTCAAGCATCACATATGCCATGCGTGTATGGTGGGAGCGGGCGGGTTGGGCAAATATCTCTTGTTGTCGTCTGGGAGGTATTCTCCTCTCAGCTGAGCTTTTGGAGATATCCTTGGGCAATCAGCCGCTCAACGTCACCCTGTCGGACGTAGAACTGACTATTCTTGGTCAAATTGATCGCCCTGGAAGCATACGTTAGCGCCCCACATCACCCAACGTGGGAGAGGACGATGAGTTCCAAAACACACCCGTATTCGGTTTGGATCTCCCCGGCGTCTTTCAGCACCCTGACGTCGATAAACAGATCCCTTGGAGGCTCCAGGCTTCCAGTGAGGTCGATATCGGTCCATTGGCCTTTATATGCGGCTAGGAGATCTCCGTACTGCCGGACATATTCTTCCTCTTGCGGACTAAGACTGCTTGATGCTGCCTCGCCGTTTGCGCCCGCGCTTCCAGATGTGTTTCTCGACTGCTGGCCAGAGAGGTCCAGCACGTCGGACCCATTCCAAACCAGTTCTTCGAGCTTATCTGTCCTAGTCCGGTGGTAGGCGAGCAGGCAGCGTTTATTCCGTCGCATTGAGAGGTGGTTTACGAGGAGCGTGCAGGCTGTAGCTGGATCTGCGTTCGGGTCGAAAGAACCGTGGAACGGCTCGAGCATGTTGGTAACATCCTTGTTAAGGTCTCGAACTTCCCGAGTTACCACCCGGACCATCTCTGTCTGGTACGGGGGAAGGTGAACCAGGTTCTGTGTCCGTTTGGCATGCTGGACCTGAAAGAGAGGGTGAGGAACTTGGTCTTGTCATGGGGAGCAGTGAGCGGATTGCAAACCAGCTTGTTACCCAAATCGCCGTACATCTGCGCGATCTCCCGTTATCCTTGACTTGTCTTGGTTCTGCGATATATGGTGTTGACGTGGCCGTGCTCGTGAGCTCGACTCGATAAGTTTGGTTGCTGACCCACGTAATTGGTAATTGGGCGACGCGCTTTGGAACTGACAGCATCCAAGGCCCAAGCATTGAAAAGCAAAGCCACATCCAGTGGGGAAGCTACGCTGCTAATGTGTTCCGGTCCACGTACGATCGCGCGCAAGCCACCGCTGCGGGGCAACCCTGCCGATGCGCGGCAAAAAATCCTTGCCCCGCTGCCCCTCCAAGAGTGCACATTTTCTCCCCCCTTCCATTAACTAACGAAGGTAATGTCGTGATTGATCGTGTGTTAGTCGCTCACAAACTTTGTACCTCAGTTGGAATTTGACCGGAAGGGAGCTTCCTATCAGTACGGTCCTTATCTGTCAGGAGAGGGCACTTGGCAGAGCTGAGCAGTCAGTAGCTCAAATACCTACTTGAACAACACATCCATCCATCCATCCGTCGCCCCGAACTTCTCCGTCTTATAATTTTCTCTCGGCTGAAGCTCTTCACGATGGCCTCCAACCAACGCATTGCCATTGTCTCCGTCTACGACAAGACAGGCTTGCTGGACCTTGCCAAAGGCCTTGTCCAGCGCAATGTCCGAATCCTCGCCTCTGGCGGGACCGCCAATATGATCCGGGAGTCTGGATTTCCAGTCGAGTAAGAAGAGCACGGGTTACCCAGGCGGACAAGGCTAACTCAAACCTCTACAACAGGGACATCTCTGCCATCACCAAAGCCCCCGAAATGCTAGCAGGTAGAGTCAAGACCCTACATCCCGCCGTGCACGCCGGCATACTAGCCCGGAACCTGGCCTCGGACGAGAAAGACCTCGCCGAACAGAACATTGATAAGGTCGACTACGTCATCTGCAACCTGTACCCCTTCAAGGACACAGTTGCTAAGATCAATGTCACCGTTCCCGAGGCCGTTGAGGAGGTTGATATTGGCGGCGTTACACTGATCAGGGCGGCCGCGAAGAACCATGCTCGGGTTACAATCTTGAGCGATCCGAATGATTATGCCGAGTTCTTGAAAGAACTGGAGACCGGGGAGATAAAGGAGTCGAGCCGGAAGTTGTACGCGCTGAAGGCGTTCGAACACACTGCCGACTACGACGCTGCTATTTCCGACTTCTTCCGTAAACAGTATGCAGAGGGCCTCCAGTACCTTCCCCTGCGGTACGGCGCCAACCCACACCAGAAACCCGCAGCTGCCTACGTGAAGGAAGGAAATCTACCTTTCAAGGTCTTGGGCGGCTCTCCCGGTTATATCAACCTGCTCGATGCCTTGAACAGCTGGCCCTTGGTCAAGGAGCTGAGGTTGGCCTTGGGCAAGCCCGCTGCCGCCAGCTTCAAGCATGTATCACCTGCAGGAGCCGCTATTGGCACCCCCCTCAGTGCCGATGAGCGGAAGGTCTACTTTGTCGATGACATTCCGGGCATTGAGACCTCTGGTCTAGCACAAGCCTATGCTCGGGCTCGTGGGGCTGATCGGATGAGCAGCTTCGGCGACATGATCGCCCTTAGCGACATTGTAGATGTTCCGACGGCGAGCATTATCTCGAAGGAGGTTTCGGATGGTGTCATCGCACCCGGCTACGAGGATGCGGCGCTAGAGATCCTCAAGAAGAAGAAGGGCGGAAAGTACTTGGTCTTGCAGATGGACCCTGAGTACAACCCGGGCAAGAAGGAGACCAGGACAGTGTACGGCGTAACCCTCGCTCAGCACCGAAATGATGTCGTGATTTCGCCCAAGTCCTTCGGCACGGTCATCACGCCCAAGGACTCCGGCACGCTGCCTGAGGGCGCGCTGAGAGACCTGACGGTCGCTACCATCGCCCTGAAATACACCCAGAGCAACTCTGTATGCTACGCCCTCAACGGCCAAGTGATTGGACTCGGCGCTGGGCAGCAGTCCAGAATCCACTGTACCAGGTTGGCCGGTGACAAGGCCGACAACTGGTGGCTGCGCTTCCACCCTCGCGTCCTGGGCATCAGGTGGAAGAAGGGCACGAAGCGACCCGACAAGAGCAACGCCATCGATCTTCTTGTCAGCGGCCAGCTCCCCAAGTCTGGCGCTGAGCGTGACCTTTTCGAGGCTGTTTTCGAGGAGATCCCTGCACCCTTCACCTCCGAGGAGAGGGAGGAATGGCTCGGCAAGCTGACCAATGTCGCTGTGTCAAGTGATGCCTTTGTAAGTGTTTATTTGTTTGGCTTCCATCCATCGTCTGCCAACTCCCGACTAACAGGCTTGCAAGTTCCCCTTCATCGACAACGTCTTTCGTGCGAGCCGCTCCGGGGCCAAGTATATTGCCGCGCCAGGAGGCAGCCAGAACGACGGCCCCGTCTTCGAAACGGCCGAGAAGCTGGGCATCACGTTCGTGGAGCAGAACATCCGGCTCTTCCACCATTAAGTGCACCGCTCTCAAGGACCCTCCTGCACCTGCTGGCGGGCCAGTTTTGGAGATACCCCATATTTTACGGAAGGGCAGGTATTTCTTGTTTGTAGGAATAAGTTGCCTTACTTGAAGGGCATGCACTCCTAGATGACTTGTAGAGGGAGGGGTTGGGATAGTTCAACACTTATGAGGGGCTCTAAAAAAGTTTGATTCCACAAAGTAATTTTTTTATTTATTTCCTCGTTCTGTAGTTCCGCCTGTCGGAAGCTGACGAGCAAGTCCAAGTTGGGAGGGGCCTCGTAGACCCCGGCCCCGAGGTCCCTTGAGCCCTCCTAGACATCATGACCCTATCATAACTCATAACATCATGACACAAGAGGGATCCGTAACCTAAACCAGCATCCCCGCGCTCGACTCTGGCGTCTAGAGCTTCTGCATGGCAACGACATCCGAAGACTGGACGTAGTCCTCGATCTCGGCGATCTCCTCCTGGAGCTCATCCACACTGATCTTCTCGTCCTCGATGACGATGTTGACCTGCAGCTTCCGGATGCCGTACCCAATGGGGACGAGCTTGGAAGCACCCCAAACAAGGCCATCCTTTTCAATGGCGCGAACTGAAGACTCGAGAGCAGCCATGTCGGTCTCGTCATCTGTTGGAAGATCGGTTAGCCGGATTGCAATCTGTCACTATGTTTGGTAAATACGCACCCCAAGGCTTGATATCTATCGTCACAATCGACTTAGCAGCAGGCTTCGGCTTGCCTCCCTCCTTCTTCTTCCGGTACTCGGCAAGGCGCTCCTCTCGGGCCTTCGCCGCCTCCGGATCCTCATCCTCGCTGTCGCTGCCAAACAGGTCCTCATCGTCATCGTCACCGGCCTTCTCCTCGGCCTTCGCCGGGTTGAGAGTGGCAGTGACAACCTCAGGGCCGTAGGTCGTGTAGGCCTTGGTGGCGTCGCCGGGGAGAGTGGCAAAGTCATCCTCGTAGCTGGCAATGTGCTTGTACCACCGCGCAGCGTTAGGGTACTTGTCCTCGGCAGGAGCCGAGCTCAGGGCCTTGAAGACGGCAACATCAGCCTGGGAGGGGGCCTGGCTGAGCTTTTTGTCAGTTTTGATACATATCAAGCTGGCCGTTGTATCAAAAGGAACAGGAAAGCAAGTTGGGAAATCAGAGGTGCACAGAATGCTCTTGGAGGTCGTCATATGCAGGTCTTGAGTCTGCTAGGAAATACGGACCAAGTTCAAAGTCATCATTGAAAGGAGAATTGCTTGAAGGAAAAGAGAGAGAGGCGTTGTACGTACCCGACGATGTAGGAGCGAGTGGCCAAGAAGCTGTTGAGGACTTCGTAAGGGTCAGCCATGCTTCAGGCTCAACGTGGCATGCCCAAAAATTCTGCCTTTGCAAGAAGTACGCAAGGAGGCGGCAACATACCGGTAAGACCGGCGTCGGACAGAAGATCGGTGAAACCCATGGTGACGAATTGAAGGGTGGAATGAAGTAAATGCTGCTTGGGTATCAAGAATAAAAGGAGGGAGTAGTGGTGGGAAAAGGAAAATAGAACTGGAAGTAAGGAGGGGAAATAAATGAGAGGCGGGTTCTGAAGATTTTTACGAATTTAACGCCTCCACTTTTTGCTGCAAAATCGAGGGCGGGGCATGAACAAGCTATGCTGTGGGTCACTTTGCTTGCACGTGCAGATAGGACTAGCTGTAGAGAGATAAGCTATATGCAGCCACACTGTGGGCAGTCGAGGAGCTCCAGAAGCTCCTGGAAGGAGGTGGTCTCCGCGGGCAGGGGCATTTAGCTATTCAGGCAGGGGCGGTTAAGTATTCGGGCAGGGACATTCAGCTATTCAGGCAGGGCACTCTTGCCGTCGTCGCCGTATCTGCTGCTGTTGCCATCGGCATTTTGTTCCGTGCTGGCGGCTGGTCTTTGTCATGCTCCAACTGTCCAAATATTTTTGGCGGCCCGGAACCCCTGCCCAGCACAGACCCCTTGCCTGAATAGCCAAATGCCCTCCCCGCGAAGACCACCTTCTTCCAGGAGCTTCTGGAGCTCCCGTGTACCAGCTATAGCTCGTGATACTGACATCACAGCAGGATTTTACGTGTAGGTGACTTTCTATTGCAGCCACCAACTTTCTCTTATTATTTTATCTATTCTATCCTACCGATAGATTCTATCCTGCCTGTCGTGTTGGTTTCACAACCACGCAATAATACCCTTGCATTTCTAGGACAACAACTTAGATCATGCTAATACTACAGATTGATCTGTGGTGAGGTTCTTGCTCAAATAATCTCGCAAAATGCAGGCAAGACGACACATCCTCTTGGCCGCTCGTCGGGCCTCCAATACCTCAACCACAGGTTCTCTCCGGCGGCCACAACAGTTGTCTTGTTTGAGTGGCGCATTAGCATCAAGAGTCGCCGCATTGCCAGCCTCCCCTCGCTTGCTACCCATCACTTTAACTCGAGTATACTCGAATGGCCGACCCCATCCTCCAGGCGGAACGCATCGCATGAACCTTGGTGGCGAGGAGGAAAAGCCAGCACTCGAACAATACGGGATTGACTTGACGAAAAGGGCAAAGGACGGAAAGCTTGACCCCGTCATCGGCAGGGACGCGGAAATCCAGCGTACGATCCAGGTGCTTTCTCGAAGGACGAAGAACAACCCCGTCTTGATTGGAAATGCTGGAACTGGCAAGACAGCAATCCTTGAGGGTCTCGCGCTCAGGATTGTGCGTGGAGATGTTCCGGAGAGTATAAAGAAGAAGAGGGTTATCAGCTTGGACCTCGGTTCGCTCATTGCAGGAGCCAAGTTCAGGGGCGATTTCGAAGAGCGTCTGAAGAAGGTTCTGACCGAGGTCGAGCAAGCACACGGGGAAGTTATTCTTTTCATCGACGAACTGCACACGCTTTTGGGGCTTGGAAAGGCTGAGGGCTCTATTGATGCGTCGAATCTCCTCAAGCCGGCCCTGTCGCGAGGCGACCTCCAGTGCTGCGGTGCCACCACCCTTGCTGAATACCGTCTGATCGAGAAAGATGTGGCACTGGCCCGGCGATTCCAACCGATCCTTGTCAACGAACCCACAGTTCAGGACACAATCAGCATCCTCCGTGGAATCAAGGAGAAGTACGAGGTTCATCACGGCGTTCGCATTACTGATGGCGCCCTAGTAGCAGCTGCTACTCTCTCGAATCGATATGTCACCGACCGCTTCCTTCCTGACAAGGCGATCGATCTTATGGATGAGGCGGCTAGCTCGCTTCGCCTGCAGCAGGAAAGCAAACCAGAGGACATCATGGGCCTTGATCAGAGGATCATGACAATACAAATCGAGCTCGAAAGCCTACGGAATGAAAAGGACATTGCGAGCCGAGAGCGCCGCGAAAAGCTCGAGCAGGATCTGAAGGCATGCCAGGAAGAGGCCAAGACGCTCACGGAGAGGTGGGAGAAAGAGAGGACGGAGATCGCCGCCATCAAAATGGCGCAGGCCGAACTTGACAAGGCTCGCGTCGAACTCGATCGAGCACAAAGGGAGGGTAACTTTGCACGGGCCTCGGAGCTGAGGTTCGGAGTGATCCCTTCTCTCGAACAAAAGGTGCCCAAGGAAGACGAGAAACCAGCTGCGGACGGCACTCTCATACACGACTCGGTGACTGCAGATGATATTGCGACAGTCGTGTCGAGGATTACAGGCATCCCGGTGGCCAAGCTTACTTCGGGTCACATCGAGAAGCTTATCAACATGGAAGATATATTGAGGCAATCCGTACGAGGCCAGGACGAGGCTCTCAAGGCTGTTGCAGACGCCGTCAGAATGCAGCGAGCGGGCTTGAGTGGCGAGAATCGACCCCTGGCCTCATTTTTCTTTCTCGGCCCTACGGGTGTCGGCAAGACGGAGCTCTGCAAGAAACTGGCCGCCTTCCTTTTCTCGACCGAGTCTGCCGTTGTACGGTTCGATATGAGCGAATTCCAGGAGAAACACACAATCTCCCGGCTTATCGGTGCGCCTTCTGGCTACGTCGGCTACGACGATGCCGGACAGCTGACCGAAGCGGTTCGCCGGAAACCGTACGCCGTGCTACTCTTTGACGAATTTGAGAAGGCTCACCGTGACATTTCGGCGCTGCTCCTGCAGGTGCTGGACGAAGGCTACCTCACCGACGCTCAGGGACACAAGGTGGACTTCAAGAACACCATCATTGTTCTCACCTCGAATCTCGGGGCAGAGATCCTGGTCGGCGCCGACAAGATTCATCCATACCACGAAGGCCCCGAAGGCGAAATCCCCCAGGACGTGAAGAAGGCAGTGATGGACGTGGTCGCTGCCAACTACCCGCCCGAATTTCTGAACAGGATAGACTCCTTCATCGTCTTTAAGAGGCTCTCCCTGCAGGCACTCCGAGACATTGTCGACATCCGGCTGCGGGAGCTTCAGGGGCGTTTGGATGACCGCCGCATTACCCTGGTCGTCGACGACGAAGTACGCCAGTGGTTGGCGGAACGGGGCTATGACCCCAAGTTCGGTGCCAGGCCGCTGAATCGACTCATCACGACCGAGATAGGAAACAATCTCGCCGATAAGATCATTCGGGGGCAGATCAAGACGGGTGATACCGCTGTCGTTAAGATCAACGAGGACAAGACCAGTCTCGCAGTCTATCTAGAGGCTGCTTCATGAGATACGAGGTGCCGCCATTGTTTGTTATAATGTTAATGAAAATGTACTTGTAGTCTATTTGTATAGCAATGTCTCTATATGCGGCTGGGGGCTGTATGTTGTGCTACAAGAGACATTCCCCTGTGTATATACCTAGGTAGTGTAGCATACCTAATTACTCCTCTCATATGATACCGCATAATAAACCAAACCGGGTCTCCGTGAGGAGTTCCCCTTCCACCAACATTTATTGTCGAGATCATGGCGACCAAGAAATGGTGAATCCCATCTAAGGTTCAGTGGCTTGGATCCTATCGCAGGAAGGCTTTCTCCCACTTTCTATTACCCAAACGTGCGTCATACCCGTATCACTTTCTCGTTACACCAAACATTGACGATGGGAGATCAATTCCGGTTATCTCCAGGCGTTCTAGAATATCTGTTGTGGAACGACACAGCTCGGTTTGCCACCTCACTGGAATGTAAGCCACGTGCCGCCAATGTGGGGCAGGCCTGTGGAATAAGCCCGCTCAGTGCTCGGGAGGCAAAGAACCAGCAGAACCAACGACATTCACCACCGACATGAATCTGCGATCCATCCTGGGCGGATCCCGCGTCAAGAAGAAGTCATCCGCAAAACCGCGCAGCACCAGCTACTCATCATCCTCATCTCCCGCCTCGAGCTCCTCCCTCGCCTCATGGCCGCGCACAAGACCGGGCGTCGCCAGCAGCGGAGCCAGGAAGGGACCGGCCGCCACCTGGCACAGCAGCAGCAGCAACAGCCGCCGTCATGACGAAGATGACGGGGCCGGCGACTACGACTACTTCCAAGATGACAGACTCCCCGACCACGGCCTCGTCCGCGCTCTAGCCGACGACCCCAACCTCCGCGACGTGCCGCAGGCGATGCGCCACGCGCGCGCGCACATGTTCGACCCGCTGCCGGCGGGCGGGGTGGGCATGGGCATGGGCAGCGAGCGCGCGTCGGCGTCGCTCCGCTACCGCGCCTCCCTCCCGCCCGTCGTGACGGCCGCGCACGTGCAGGCCCTCCTCCTGGCGGCGGGCCCGACGGCCGTGGAGCGCGAGACGGCCGAGCTGGCGCGCGCCGGCGCGCTGCGCCGCATCGTCGTGCCGCGCCGGCGCGGCGTCGGGGAGGCCTTCGTCCTCGCCACAGACCTCGAGGCCATGGTCCGCCGCGCGGGTCCCGCGCTCGACGACGCCGCCAGGGACGCCTTTGTTGCCTTCCTCGCGCGGAATCCGGCTGCCGTGCGTGTGCCCCGTGTGGTTGCCGCGGCGGAGGGTCGTCGTCGTCGTTGCGGTGACGGCGAGGGAGAGGGGGAGGCGCCGGTGCCGGGGCTGTCGCGCGCGCAGACGGATCAGCTCGTCCGGGCGGGGTTTCTTACCGCGCAGCACACGGGCCACGATGCCGGGAATGCTACGGGGGCTTTCTCGCGGCCGGAGGATCGGTATTCCCTCATGAGCCTCGAGGCCGTGTCGCAGGCCGCGTCCGGGTCCATGGGCGCTGTCGGCGGGGAGGGGGCTCTGCACGCCGCGGGCGGAAGCGGGGCTGGCAGGGGAGGCGGACCGTCCGTCGATCTGGTTTCCGGGACCGGAGATCTCAGCCTGGCCGTGCCCGGACACGGGGCGTACCTGAAGCTCGTCTCCTCGGCTCTGGAGCACCTGTCGTCCCTGCTCGAGAAGTCGCAGTACCGGGAAGCGCCTGAGACGGCGCTGCGGGAGAGGTGGGATGGGGGCGTCGCCAGCGATGAGGCCGCCCTGGCGAAGAGGTCGCGAGGCGAGTTCGTCGGGATCCTCCCCGGCCGGACGAAAAAGTGGAAGGAGTTCCACGGTCTCTCCTTCGACTGGATACTGCAGGAGGCCGTCGGTGCCGGGCTGGTCGAGGTCTTTGAGACCCGGAGCGTGGGCCGAGGCGTGCGGTTGGTCTGAGGAGGGCTACGAATTTGGATGGAGCGATCGCCCGCCCTCTCTGCGCCGGATATCCCTTGCGAGGCGGTCGATACTTGGGCGTGTTGTCCGGATGAGATGCGCTTCAGTCCAGTCCTCGAAGCGTCACTGGGCCCCAAGTCGTTCGCCGTGCGACAAGGTTTCGAAACCTCGGCCAGTCAGCAAATCAAGAATCACTCGTCTACAGTATCCACACTGTACATAATAATGCTGGAAGGCGTGTTTCTTCACCGGAGTATTATTGCGGCCTACGATTCCGGCGTGGTCCGTGTTTCGTACGCCGCCTCATAACCGGGCGGCCACGACACCGTGGTGTACGAATAGGTGTGAATGTTTCTCAGAGTTGAGCAAGACAAGGACATCCACGCTCAGGGGAAGATCCGACATGTTTATGTCCTATATTCCTGTTGCAACCGGGGTTCCTCTGGAGGCGGGATGCTGGCCGCGATGTGTTTCGCGGTGCTCCTCCATGCTCTATTGACTCAAAGGAGCGACTGGCTGGTTAAGGCCCTGTCGACGAGCTGACTCGTGTGATGGCCCAGGATGCTTAAAGTTTGAATAGCAATATGCGTATTCGATCTTCGGATGTATGTCCTCATTCGAACAGCAAGACATCCGAGCCCTTTTGTGCTACTCGTCAATAATTCGTAGCTGAGCAAGTGACAGTGTCAGGGTTCCCCGAGATAAGAAGTTCCGGATAGGTTTGGTTAGGACCATGCCTGTCTTTGAGGTCCCAACGTTTGGCTCTTACAGGACCGGGATAGCCTTGCAAATCCTGGCAAGGTACTGTTTTACCTGGCCAGGCAGCCCGTGATGGCCTATCCATGGTATGTAGGTTAATAAACTTCAGTGCTTCTTTCCTTGTGTGATGTTCTGCTGTGTCACCGTTATCCCTGAATTTGCAAAACGCAAGCACAACCTTCCGGAAGGGATGCAGTGCCTAAACAATTTAAGCTTGAACACTGATCAAACGAGCGACAGTATCCCTGGTGAAAATAAAAACAAAAACATCCCGGTTTAAATCACAGTTTCATCTCTCAGGAGCGGCAGAAACGCATTGGCGTTGGCTTATAAGCAGGTTATTTAAAAAGTCCTAATATCCATATTAACTGCGGCGAGATCAGTCAAAGGGATGATTCAGCCTTTTTTCAAGCATCATATATCCCTCACTCATCGGAAACCAACGGCCTCCCTGCGTTCGGAGAAAGCCAGCCTGGAGCAGGTGAATCCAAGGCCGATGATCCCTATCTTGTTGCGTATTATCTCATGATTGTAATGGACGGCAGCCTCAATTGTCTTATCATGGTCGATCTCGGGCATTTTGCACAGCGCGGGATGGATACTCGGCAACAGCCAACGGGGGATCTCGCATTTTGACGTGGTTGGCTACCACAAGCCCACCCCAGTAACTATTCATAACTGCTTGAAGACACTGAAGGTTAACAAGATTGCCAGGGCAATGCCACGCTACTTCGGAATGGGCGAAGCCTCGACGCAACCAAGCACACCAATCATGGAAAACCCTGGTCGATATGCGCACGGACACGAATCGAAAAAAAGTCCCTTGACTCCTCGAGGTTGGGGGTCTCGAGGGGGGAAATTGCGCTGCGATGGTGGACTCCGGGGTCGGCTCCCCTGATTCGCGAGCGGAAGTTTGATTAAACAAAGAGTGGCTTTGAATAGGGCCGGTCTGAGCTCGCGATTCGAGATGCATGGCGTACAAGATGGCGTACGAAATGGTTGGTTGGTCACGGCTCCCGTGTATTGTCCAGAAGTATTCGAGACCGGGGGGGAAGGACCATGAAAAAGTAAATTATAAAGAGGCCCCGGCAGTAGCCTAGCGTAGGACGGATGAGGCGCATGGGATGGAAACAAAAGGATGCGAAAAAAAAAGGAGACTGAAATCAAGGAATTGCGTCCCGTCCTTACTGTAGGTATTCAATAGTGGTGATATTGCATGCAAAATGGCAGGTCGGCTACCAAATATGGACCTGCATCTGCGTATGCACGTGTCTGCATAACAGAATTTGAACAATTTTTAGGGTCCCATCCCCGAGAATGATGCGAGAAAAAGGGAGTGTGAACTGTGCTGTGAAGTGATCAGGTGTCATCCGTCCAATCGACAGCGAAAGTCAATCTCGTACCTGACCTGCTGAACTCGGAAGGTACCCAACCAGAACGTGGACTGCAGACAGACCATTCCTTCCCCGCCCTCGGCTAGTCCCACTTGTCACGGCATCTTTTGGCGTGCATGGTTCGGCAATGCACGGGCCACGCAGAACTCAAGAGGAATGGAAGGCACCCGGAATTTGGAACGGTTGAAATTTCGCTCCCGACGCTCTGTAGGCTGTGAACCGAACAGGAGGTACCCCCGTAAATCATGGTAGATTGTTCATGCCGGGTCGTGCGCTTCCTCTGCGTCTACCCTTGCTTTCCCATGGTAAACTGTAAACAGTCCTAGTCCGCAGGCGGCGCAGGGGAATAACAGGGATGTTTGATGGAAAGGGATTAGTGGATATGCACTAGGCTTGACGGGGCACTCGGGGTACTCAAAAAGTCGCAACGGAGTACCTCCAGGGTACGTACCATCTATGATAGCATGTACATACACCCAGCGAATTGGGAAAGGGGAAAGACGAGAGGAAAAGCCTTGTGTTGCTTGGCCCCCCTTATGAGAGCTACCTTGGTTAGGTAGAGTAGGTATACAGAATTATCCAACTCCTTGATCAACTTCATACCACAAAACATCCACTCCAGAATCCGGTCCTAACGTGCTTTGCTGCGTGCGGTATCGCGATTGGGGAAGACAATAGAGATCCGTTGGTCTTTGCGTTTTTCGTTCCATTGGGCTGGGCTTTGCTGGGCCAATCGTTCAAGAGGCAAATCCTCACTCCTTCACAAGCTGCGCTTCCCGCGCATCTGTCCTGGCCGTAATCTCCAACAACTTCCTCAGCACCTTTGGGCAACTATCTCCCTCCCTCCACTTGTTGTTTCGTTCTGCCCTTCGCTCAGGGACGAAATAATCATTATACCATCCCGTCTTTATCTCTCTCCCTTCCGAGACTTCCCTCCCAAGCTCCGGATTCACCACAGCCTGGAAAACCCACGCACTCTGGACCCACTGCCGGCTCGCAATTATTTCTTTCTTTTGCCTTGCCTTGTCTCACGACATTCATTCTCGATCCAGATCGACCTCGCTTCTCTTTCCCCGTCGTCGACTGTATTGAGAACGGCCAGTCTATCGGGCGTACAATACAGCCCCTTGCCTTGGGTATAGAGAGCAAAGCCAACCTCTCTTTGCGGACTCGAGTTGCTTATCCGCCCCAACCTGTGCTCCTGGTATGCATCCATGTTTGGTTCCTGTTTCCCTAAAGTTTCCCAAGACCCTAGTCGAGGATCAAGTCAATCAGCCACACTGACACAAACCTTGGTACAGCACTTCTAATCCGATGAGAAAGGCTCGCTGCGCCATCGCATAACGTTTCACCACCCCAGCTAGTATACTGGAGAGCCTGGTCCCAGCCGCGATCCTATTTCTGGGCCTCTGTTAACAGACGATCATCGCCGGGAAACGATTTATAGACCGCCAATATAGCGAGCGCAGACCCTGCGACTTTGATGGACTTGGTCAACTACGTACACGACCTGTAACTGGCAGCTATCCCAACAAGCAAGTTGGTGACTGCTTGGTGGTCGCTTCGAGAATATTTTCCAGCTACCCGGACGCAGCCTCATCATGTCGGCTACCCTCCCAAGACCTTCGCGCCCATCGAATGGGCCGCCGACCATGGCACTTCCCGCCTTACCTGTGGGCAAGACCCGCAAGAGCACCGGGGGGATACAGACGCCTACGAGCAAACTGACGCCGAGTACTCCGAGAACCGGTCTTCGCGCCCCGTCAACCACCCTGCTTCCAGCAACACCGCCGCCGACTACCGCACTTCCCCAGCCCCGCAGTCTATCTGGAATCAATGGGGCCGGCAAGACGTTACGGAAGACTGTCAGCATCAACTCTTTCCCTCAGCCGCCCCGCGGCGATAACCGAGTGACAAGTCTACCACCGAGCCCTCTCTCAGGCGGCCTGTCTCACAAATCCAAAACACCGTCCGCTCCAAACTATCACGTCTCGTCGGGGACGCCCAGCTTGCTGAACGGAACCGGCGAAGGCAAGGCTGTAGCTCGCGGGAGTACGAGGAATTCGGACGGGCTCGTTAGTGTGTCGTCACCACCGCATAGCCGGAGCTCGTCGGCCCAGGATTCCTACTCGACCTCGGCCACCCAATACGAGGATATGATTGATGTGGCCCAGCAGAAGCTCGACTCGAGTAGCAAACGGGCTTCAAAGACGGACGGCAAGGGAAATGTAATCGTCAGTGTCAGAGTACGACCAGATGCCCCTGGCCAGGAGCAGGGCAAGGCGGACGGCGAATGGATGGTAGATGGGAGGAAGTCGTTGATAGCCAACCGGGGCAAGGAAGGAGGCGATTACTATTACGGTGAGCAGGCCTTCAATCCCGCCATGACGTTAACACTGCTATTGACACTCGCGACACAGATAATGTTTTCGCAACCCACGACGATAACTCGAGGGTGTACGATCACATCGCAAAGCGCTTGGTCCGAAGAGTAATGGAAGGCTACCACGGCACCGTATTTGCTTATGGCATGACTGGCACGGGAAAGACCTTCTCCATGCAGGGAACGGCCTCATCCCCTGGTGTGATCCCACTGGCGATTACCGACATCTTCTCCTATATCCGGGAAACGCCCTCAAGGGAATTTCTGCTGCGCGTCAGCTACCTGGAAATCTACAACGAGAAGATCCATGATCTCTTGAGCATGCCGACTGGGAATGCAGTTGGCGGCAACATGGCGCAGGAGGAGATCAAGCTGCGCGAGGACAGCAAGCGCGGCGTCTATGCCAGCCCACTCAAGGAGGAGATTGTTCAGAGTCCGACACAGCTCCTGCGCGTTATTGCTCGTGGCGACCAGGCTCGTAGGACGGCAAGCACCCAGTTCAACGCCAGGAGCTCAAGAAGTCATGCCGTAGTGCAGATTGTTGTTGAGAGCCGAGAACGAATCCCCGGGAATCCCGCCGGCGATAACAAACGATCAGGCCTTTTACCTGGAGGAGTCAGGGTTTCGACTCTGAGCCTCATCGACCTGGCAGGTTCGGAAAAGGCCGCCGAGACGAAGGAGCGTCGGACCGAGGGCTCTCACATCAACAAGAGTCTGCTGACCCTGGGGACTGTCATCGCCAAGCTTTCCGACACTAAGGATAAGGACGGAAAGGCGAGCGATAAAGACGGGAAGCACCTGCCATACAGGGACAGCAAATTGACCAGGCTTCTCCAAGGCGCGCTGTCGGGAAATTCGCTCGTTAGCATTCTTTGCACAATCCAGATCGGTGCTGCGGCGAGCATGGCATTGGGGAACACCCATACCGCGGAGACGATCAATACCCTCAAATTTGCCTCGAGAGCAAAGAACAATATTGTGAGCCACGCTAAGCGGGCAGAGGAGGCTCTCGGTAGCGGCGGCGACGGTGGTGCGAGAGTGCTGTTGGAACGCTACCGCATGGAGATCGTCGAGCTGAGGAAGGAGCTCGAGACCCAGGCCAAGAACAATAGCAAGAAAGACGACGAGGAGGAGAAGGTCCGAGATGCCGAGGAGGAACGCGCCCGTGAGAAGGAGGCTGAGCACCGGCACGAAGAACAGATGCTGGAGATGCAGCTTGCCCGAACAGCGCTCAAGGAGCGGATCGACCACCTCAACCGACTGATTCTGAGTTCGAAGTCGATCGGAGTGAACGCAAGTGGTTCGTACAGCTCACTCGGCATGCACCCACGATATTCCCAGGGATCCATCAGATCTTCCGTGATGACAACCAACGGGGGGAGACCATTGCTGGAGAGGACGTCATCGATGACATCGACGTCGACAATTGGGCGAGGGTCGAGCGGACAGCGAAACTCGAGTGGCGCCGAGCAACCTTCAGCAGACGACGAGGACAGCCTCGGCGAGTTTGGAGACGGGACAGCTTCGTTGGCGGCGCAAAATCGTGCGTTGCAGGCCGACGTGGCAGACAAGAACCGGTACATCCAGACTCTGGAGAAGAGGCTCTTGCAGGCTCGTCGTGCTAGCCATTCTAGGACATCGGTCGGATTGTCGTCGACTGGCAAGGCCATCATGGTGGGTGAAGACCACAGCGTTTCAGCTCTTCTGAAGGACAAGGATGCAGAGATCGCAGAACTCCGGGCACGGCTTGATGACAAGGACCGAATGCTGGGGGCGCTCCGGAGTGCGGCTCGCTCGCGAGATACTGCAGATCGTGTAGAATCGCGGTCCGAGATCCGCGCATCACAAGTACTGGGTCAGCCACCGAACTCGGCCGGACCGACGAGCCCTTCCAAGGCACCTCTGGCGAAGCAGGTGTCAGAACTTCGGAAGCGGACGAAGAGCGTAGACGAGATGAGCAAGATGCTAGACGAGATGATCCAGGACAGGGTCGAAAGCGGCGAAATAGTTCGAGGGAGCCGCGGCAGTGTCAGGGTTGCCCCCATTGACCGCCCTGCGGAATCGTCAAGCGACCCTCCAATCCAACTCCAGCTTTTGTCAAAGCAGCGGCCATCGTTGCTGAACGAGGCAAATCCGGTGGCATTGGAGGCGTGAAGGCCTGGATATCTGCTGACGTGTTTCGAGTTGAAGGGGGACTTAGGTATGAGATGATGTTGACGCTGACGCTGTCCGAGCCCAAGTAAAGTGATGGGTCGAGGTTGGAGTTCATCGGAGCATTTCTTTGGTTCTATTATTTGACTTATACCCTTGGCCTGCCTTCCATTTTTTTTCCCATTTCGCTTTTTCTTCCGCAGTTTGATATTTGAGCCGACTCGTCGTTTACGGGCTTTCAGGGTCGGACAGAGTCGGTTTGTACCATTATCTCGAGAAAGGGGGGCAAGAATTTGACAGAAGACTCCCGAGAGTCCTCGCGGACTCGGTCGATGGGCATGTCTCATACATTGGGCACCTTGGCATGCCGCGATTTTTTAATACTTCGATTGGTGGGGATTTATTTCTTACAGGAAAAGGTTCGGGCAGGGCTGGGCTGGGCTGGGCTGGGGTTCTTCTTGTACAATAACAGCGGCTACAGATGCCCAGCGTGGAGACGCGGTTGCGAGGCGAGTTTACGAAGAGACTATGTATGATCCAATATTTCATGCAAATACCCTCCCGGTCCTGCCAGTCTTGGCCAGGACAGCGCGTTTAGACTGGCTAGCTGTAGAATACATATCCTTACTGACAACGGCCGATGGAACAATCAAATGCAAGCTCCTGGGTGGAATGCGGAAAGATGCTGAAGTCAGTTTGGCAAACATTGACCGTCGAGTTTGTGTCGCACTTCGAACTTACTCCTCTCGTCTCCTCAGCTCACTTTTCTTTTTCTTGTCAATTTTTTATGTAAAAGATTAACTTTTTTTCTTTTTCCCCCAATTCTTTCCCCCCCAATTCTTGCACATCCGGCCGGCAGAGGAAGCTGGAGGTTCGAAAAGAGCGGGAGAAAGGGGGCAACCTGAATTATTTTTGTCACTTGGCAGTTTCCTGGATTACTCCCCCCAAGAGGTGATGATCCATCGCAACCGAGGTAGGTAAGATTGTAGACACTTTATTTCTGGCGAACAACCGGGTTTCAATGTGACCCTAGCGACTGGTAACTGAGCCCCCTTCCTCAAATTTAGCTTGGTATATGTACATGTACAAAGGAGAAAACCTCCACCCCCGTGGACGGGGTGAGAGCCGGCTGAAAACCCCGTGGTGGCAGTAAATCTACTTTTACCAGACAGGCTACATGTTTGTGTGCGACCTATCGCTGGAATGGAATTGCGAAAGGGCCGCCTGAGTTACATGAAAAGGTCGTTGGACGTCCTTGTATATACAGGGAGGTTTCTATCCTTGATACAGGCCCGTACTCATAACTTTCAGAGCTGGGAAGGAACACCTGTGAGTTCCCCAGGAATCGGGTAAAGCGAAGGTTCCCTAATATGCTGTCCAACGAGAGCCGCAGAACGCGATTGTGCGGGAACCAAGGCGGGATGGGCGGGGGTGGCTGAATTTTCGCTGTTCTGATTGGCCGTCCCGTGGCAGTGATCCGTACCCTAGGGCGTTTCAGATTGTCCAGGGACCGAATGGCGATCACTTTGGGAAAACGTCACTTCGCGTTTGTGGTGGAGCTGGTCTCCTTTACCAAAAATTCTTTTTCCAACTACCAGGGCTCACAACGCCTGCGTTTGAGTGATCTGACCAATAGCCTTACCCATCGGACGGCAATGGAGGGGCGAAATGCACCGTATGCAGTAGTCAAGACCCGTCAAACCCCTGAAAGATCACCAAAGCTTGTGGCAAGGTCACCCGGGCTATCTATCCCTGAGCAGGAAGCGAGCAGGAAGATGTTGGATCGTCATGGGGCCAATGCCCCTTGGATCAGGAATGTAGACAAATTTTCTCGGTGTTGCTCATCATGTGCAACCGCTCGTAGGTTTTTTGGCCTGATCGAAAGGTACAGTACATACACATGTGCTTCTTTCTACGATCGCATGTGAGGGACATCCATCTGCCACGTATTTGACGACAGTTTCAGTCCGCCCTACAGCTATCGAAGCTGCGTCGTTTTTTTCGTACCTCATTCTCTTCTTTTGAGTAGAAAGTGCACTCTTCAAAATCGGCAAGAGCTCGTCGGGCCAGTGCCATGATTCATATAACGTGGCACATGACTGGGCACTCACGACTTGTGTATCTTTCCAAAACCCGAGGCACAACTGCTCTTGATAGCTCCGTGAGCGACAAGAAGAAGTCGCCAAAACGCCTCCCCAGTGTTTGAACAATTACTGCGTATCCAGCGGAAACCGGCACCGGGTCCCAAAAGAAGCGATTTGGGAGCCACAGCACCACCCGAGGTCCACGACTCCAAGTTCTCGAGCCCCCTTGCAGGATCGTCGCCAAGGTTGCCCGACTTCTTAGACTGTGGACAATAAGCAAATACTGGCGGCGAGCTCATCGTGCCCCGTGCCCCACGAGCCCAACCACAGATCCCCGCGACCATTCCCGCTGATTGGAACGTTTTGGAGGGGTCGGCCCTACCTGTATGACGTTGTTCGGCTCCAATCCGGACAAGATCTGGTGGTTTCCTTTCTGGTCCGCCTAATCAAGAGAGATTGGGATACGCAGACTTGAGCTACCTGCCAGCAATGATCCACTGACCGACTCAACTCCCTCAGACTCGGATGGCCGGACTGCCTCGCCAGCCACCTTCTGATTCCGACATATCAAGACCTCCTTTCAGGTCACTTTGTGACCTCCGACCTGTCGTTCCGAACCACCTTCTCTCCCTACACTTTCCTTTCTCTTGTCACTCCTTTTAATCCATTTTCGGACGGTCAAGATGCCGCCAACCCTCGACCTCAGTCGGACGAGACATTCAAAAATGACCGTGTCGCGGCCTCGCATAAACCTCCGCAGGGCGGCTTCATACAATCATGACAAAGGCCCAATGTCGTCGACCTCTTCCAGCTTCAGTTTTAACCACCTCCTCTTCTCACCTCCGCCCTCACCGGGACTCCCGGCGCTGACTCCCCGGTTTCGGAAATCGCCCACCGGCCTGACCGGCTTTGTCCGTCCAAGTCGCGTGCTGCGGCTCATCGGATGGATTCTTGGCGCCGTATGCCTATTTTATCTCGCCACCTCGGCCGTCCGCCATGCGCCCGCCATCCCGATACTCAGTTGGTCTTCTCGACCACACGATCGGCGTGACGTTGCAACCCAGGACAACCTCCCCGACTTTCCGACTCCTGTCATGGTCGCCGACAAGCGAGGCAGGACGAAATGGACCGTCTCGATCCCTTCCAGCTATGACTTCCCTTTAAGCATAAGTCAGTATGCCGACATGTGTGCCAAATGCAGGGAGGTGTCAGGTAGAGTCCAGACACTGCGCTCTCAAAGCCATGGTCTCCCCCACACGATTCTCGCCTTTGGCTCGTCCGGCTCCGAGCCACGTGACCCCCACTTTGTTGATGTCCACGAGGCCGAGAAGCATGGGTTCCTTCCAGGGTTGGCAGACGAGAGCAGTAAGCTGAACAAGCAAGCCTACGAGAGCGACCTGGTTGGGGAGAGCAAAGGAGGCCTGGCAGACATGCCAGTCTGCCAGACCAGCATGACCTTCGTGCTGGAATCTGCCGAGGCCGGCCTAGGAAAGACTTTGATGATGCTGTGGACAGCTTACGGGGTGGCCCGGAGGGAGGGGCGGGCCTTCTTCATCGACGACACACGATGGGCGTACGGCAGATACACTGATATCTTCCAGGCCCCTTCAGACCAGGGATGTCGTGACCCCCGCCGCCACGAAATGCTCCCCTGTCCCCGTCAGGCGCGCCACTTGGTGGTGTCGGTAGCAACTGCGATGGATATCCTTGGAGACTCTAATAGTGGTCCGTCAGACGCGGAACCCGCGGATACACCTAGTCAGGAGGCCATGTTCAGTCTTGCCAGGCAGGGCTATGATGCTCTCTTCAAGCTCAACAAGGAGGACAGCGAGTATGTTGATGACAGGGTGCGCGAGTTGATGACCAAGCGCGTCGTGCCCAAATCGAAAGGGAGACAAAACGGCATGGCTATCGGCGTCCACGTTCGCCGTGGCGATCTGCACCCGTTAGAGTACCAGTACCGATACTCCTATATGCCGTTGAATGTCTACGCAGAGGCGGCCCGTCGGCTGCAGGAGGACAGGTATAACGACACCGGACCCGATAGACGGGAGGATAGGGCTGCCAAGGAGCATTCGTTCCTCGTGCTGGCGTCCGATGACCCAATGGTCTATGAAGCGGACGAGTTCGCGGCGGCAAACAGGGCACAGGAGCGGATCAAGCTAGCCAGCAAGACTGCCAGCCAGAATTCGAACCCGGACAGGCGCGTGATGCGCAAGTTCGTCGACGAGTCGTTTGGCTGGGAAGGAGGATTCTTCGCGCCAATGTTCTGGAACCTGGGGCTGGTGTCGCCGACGGCAACACAAGCGGACCCATCTGCTGAGACAATTCGGCTTAGGAGTCTGATTGGGAGGGCATATATGATGGATCTGGCCGTGTTGGCGGACGTGAGCGACGTCGTCATCTGCACAGTCAGCGCGACTGGCTGCCGGTTGCTGGCGGTTATGATGGGCTGGGAGAGCGCCATGGAGAAGGGCAACTGGGTCAACGTCGATGGCCGCTACGAGTGGACAGGCATCTCGTAACGAGGTCTTCCGTTCTCGTCTGACTTCGGCGTCTCTGTTGTCTCTCTCCCTTGAGGTTTCAGGGTTCACTTCATAGCATGGTAGCATCGGGATGGCGTTTAAGGCTCCGGGATGAGGGCAAGGGTTTTTGTTTTTCTTTTTTCCCCAAGGGGTCTGATACCATCGCATCGAGAGATTTCACTATGTAACAAAGGCAAATTGCATGTAAGATAGCAACAACTACGCGCTCGCAAGAGGAAGCACTAATATTTTGTTCAAAGACGCAGCCCGCGTCCCGGTTACTTCCACGTCATCATCGCCATATTAGCCTGCATTAGTCCCCAGGATCTCGAAGCTGGATTATCCCACCCAACCCATTTCTCAGGATAAATACCATCAAGGCAACCCGGCGTGCCCGGCTACAGTGTTAAAAGAGGGTTACCTCCGCCTGAGGATTCAACTCAGGCTACAAAGATATCTCATAGTCCCCTAAACGAATACGCGACCCCTGAACTTGAACCCTCGAGGCAACCCAATGCAGGCCTTCGTATTCGGGTTGACAAAGTGGCTTGGTACCTCGCGCCAGCATCGTGCCACGAAGAAATTGGAGATTGCAAAAGCTTATCATGTGGGACCACCAACGTGAAAGCGCTTTCCTGGAAGCGCGTGTAAGCGACGTCTGTGTGGACGTAGACGCAAGCAAAGCCAAAGACGTCAAGACGCTTGAGAAGCTGGATTCGCTCAGCTGTTGTCAATTGGTCATTGTGCTCTCCTGCTTTCTTGTAAAGCAATATCTGGGACAGAAAAACAGATCACAGCTTTACTCATGTCGAATGCATAGACGTGATGTCAGTCAGTTCCTTGATAGAGAGGTCTGTTAGTAGAGTGGTAGACGACCCAATCAATGTTGGTCCCTTGGGTACCTACTTAGTTGTAGACAGCCGTTTTCGCCCCTGCCCCGAACCAAGTTATACATAGTTGTAGGTACCTAGTTTGATTGCCAAGTTTTGCAAAATTCAATCACCTTCCACACCCTACGTAGGTAATCCTACTGGCATATTCAACCCCCTCACCGCTGCGCAGTACTCTTACTGTCTGGAGCATTTATTGAGAACAGTTGACATCTCCCTTAGGGTTGAGGAGTGGTACGTTGTGGTCCACAGCAGTTGACATCTGGGATTGGGAGTGGTACATTGCGGTCCACAGCCAAGGAGCATGGAATGATTTCTTTCCAGGGCAGGGGTTATGATTGGAGGGCAAGGCACATCACGTGCAAGTTTTAGAGCAATTTCAACGAATGGCCCGCGTCAATTGTCATCGTTCCCATGCAGGAGACCCTGAATCTTCTTCGCTCCCGCGATCTATTAAAGTCCCTTCACGTCTCCTCGTTCCCTCGTTCACTGGAGACACTGTCGGTTCCTGTGCTCTTTACAACATCGGCTTCTTGTGCCTTGTCAGGCCAAGCCTAATTCTCTCCTTCTAACCATGGGTATCGCTCAAGATTTCCTGGCACCGCTGTCCCAGCGGTTCCTCCAACTGGGAACTGCATCGCAGGTCGGCGTCGTGATCGCCAGTGTTATCGGCCTCTCAGTCTTCTTTAACGTCCTCAACCAACTCTTTTTCAAGAACCCCAATGAGCCCCCTATGGTCTTCCATTGGTTCCCCATCATTGGGAGCACTATAACCTACGGCATGGACCCTCCCAGCTTCTTCTGGGCGAACAGGGCGAAGGTAACTATGGCCGCCCCGACCACGGGGGCCAGCATTCAGCTGACATATAGCCTGTAGTACGGAGATGTCTTTACCTTTATCCTTCTCGGCAAGAAGACTACGGTCTGCCTTGGCACGCAGGGCAACGAGTTCATTCTGAATGGAAAGATCCGCGATGTTTGTGCCGAGGAGATCTACACCGCCTTGACCACCCCCGTCTTCGGCAAGGACGTCGTCTACGACTGCCCCAACTCAAAACTCATGGAACAGAAGAAGGTTCGTTCTCGAGGCCGGGACCTATACGACGATTAGGAGCTAATGATGCATTGGCGCAGTTCATGAAGGTTGCCCTTACGACCGAAGCCTTCCGATCCTACGTCCCGATCATTGCCGACGAAGTTTCGTCCTACTTCAAGAAGAGTGCTGATTTCAAGGGCCAATCGGGCACCGTCAGCATTCCCCCCAAACTGGCTCAGATTACCATCTTCACTGCGTCGCATGCCCTCCAGGGCAAAGAGATCCGCGACAAGTTCGACGAATCGCTGGCTGACCTCTACCATGACCTTGACATGGGTTTCTCGCCCATCAACTTCATGCTGCACTGGGCCCCGCTTCCATGGAACAAACGGCGTGACCATGCGCAGAGAACGGTCGCCAAGATCTACATGGACACGATCAAGTCTCGTCGGGAGAAAGGCGAGTCGGGCTCCAAAGACATCATGTACCACCTGATGAACTCGTCCTACAAGAACGGCACTCCTGTCCCAGATCATGAAGTTGCGCACATGATGATCGCTCTCCTGATGGCTGGCCAGCACTCGTCATCGTCCACGAGCTCTTGGATCATGCTCCGATTGGCGTCGAGGCCGGATATAATGGAGGAGCTCTACCAGGAGCAGGTCAAGGCCCTCGGTGCTGATCTGCCGCCTCTGAAGTACGAGGATCTTGCCAAGCTACCTCTGAACCAGGCCATCATCAAGGAGACGCTCAGGATGCATGCGCCAATCCACTCCATCATGCGAGCCGTCAAATCGCCCATGCCTGTCCCTGGCACGAAATACGTCATCCCTACCGACCACGTCCTGCTCTCTGCACCAGGCGTTGCTTCTTCCGACCCGCAGTACTTCCCCAAACCCGAGCTGTGGGAACCGCACCGGTGGGAGAGTGACTCACCCATTGCGCCGACCATCGTGCGGAATGAGCAGGAAGAGGAAGAGAAGATCGACTACGGCTATGGCTTGGTCAGCAAGGGTGCGGCGTCTCCTTACCTGCCATTCGGTGCCGGTCGGCATAGGTGTATCGGCGAGCATTTCGCCAACGTCCAGTTGCAGACCATCGTCGCCATGACGGTGCGCCAGTTCATGTTCAGGAATGTCGATGGGAGCGACAAGGTTATCGGCACCGATTATGCCTCCCTTTTCTCGCGGCCCCTTGAGCCCGCAGTCGTGTGTTGGGAAAGGCGTGACAAGGCATGATGAGGAACTACCGGTATAGGAGTTTGTGGTCTCCTTTTTTTCAAAATTGGGGTTTTTTTTTTTTTTTTTTTCCATGTTCCTGTTCATAGAATTTGAATCCGGTGCTGAAAATCCGGCCGTTAATAGAATGTTCGAGACAGCGAAGGGGTCTGGCGAGGGTTGAGGACTGTAATAATATTTTAATAGACGACTTGGATAAGAGGAATGAGTTGATAATCTGCATAAGCAGAGCTGCCAAGCATTGAAACCCACTCGTGATATTATCTGGGATGAGGCTCTTGCAGGCTGAGTCTAAAGTGTCACCTGTTCGGAGCGGAAGGACCATGGTGTCAGAACCTATTGGTGGGCATGGATGACGCGGCCAGTCTGAAGCGTAGATCTGGATCTTCGCAAGCATCGCCGCCAGCATAACCACTCCGTCGCGAAAGGCAAGCCACCCTTCGGTTTGATGCCTGCAACTATAAGAACTGTCTCAAGCCTGCTAGCAGGTAGTTTTCATGTTGACGAGACTCCACGGAAAAGTGGTTGGACTACATCTCTTCATCGAATCAGCCCACCTCCCGATACAACCAAGGTCCGTGCGTAGCGTTTTCACATGGTTGTAAGAAGGGAGCGAGAGGCAGTTGTATATCTTTCCCCTGTTCTCCTTCTCGATTCTTACAAAAAAGAAGCGAGACACGACACTAGCAGCCCGAAGCTGCCAAAACCTTGCGAGAAACCCATTTAGCCACCCGCTCCCCCTTTTAGAAAACAACAACAACAATAACAACAACAACAACAGCCATGAGCGACGACGACCTGGGGCCCCTCATCCGCCTCTGGGGCCTGACAACAGCGGAGCTCCCGGATCCGTCGGACACGCCCGACAAGCTCGCCCCCTTCCTCATCTCCATCCTGCAGGAGGCCGTCCCCTTCATCGACTCGGCGGCCCCCAAATCCGCCTCGTCCGCCTCGGCCCACCCGGCCGTCGACCCGGGCGCCGCCGCCAGCCGGCTCTGGAAGCCCAAGGGCCCCTCCTCGGGCGCCGGCAAGCGCTACCCCGAGTCCGCCGCCGCCGTGCACCTCTCGGAGCGCACGGTGCGGCCCGCCGAGCTGGAGCGCGTCGCTCGCCGGTCCGGGGGCCGGTCCGGACACCGGCGCGTGACGTCGGGCGAGACGTGGGCGTGCCGGCGCAGCGTGCACGCCGACACCGCCGCGCCCGGCGCGCGGTCCGCCTCGTGGGCCGAGTTCCGCGACGCCATGGGCGGGGAGCGGCACGCCGAGAGCGAGGCGGCGTTCGCGCCGACCGTCGTGGCCAGCAGGCCGGCCATCGTGTGGGACTGCGGCGGCGTCGAGGCCGTCGAGGCCGGGGATACGTGGGGCCGGTTCGCGCTGCGGGTCGAGGAGATCAAGCACCGTGTCGGGGGCCCCCTCGTCAAGGATCGCGTGTTCCCCGTGCTGCAGATGGTGTGCTCGGCCATGGAGAGCGGCGGCAGCGGCAGCAGCAGCAGCGAGGAGAGCGAGGAAAGGACCCAACAACAACAACAACAGCTTGACGACGCCGCGGCGGTCAGCCGGAGGGAGAAGCCCGAGCTCCTCATCGTGAGCATCGCCGTCTCCGACTTCGCGACGGCGGCGCCGCAGGCCGAGCTATCGCGCTCCAAGGGCGTCGTCGTCGGCGCCTACACGAGCGTCGAGCGCATCCGCAAGCTGCCGGGTTCGGGCGACATCGAGTGGGTCATGGCCACCGCCTCGAACGCCCGCGGCGCCCTGCCCGCGTGGGTGCAGGCCCTGGCCGTGCCGGGTCAGATCGCCAGGGACGTGCCCCTGTTCCTGGGCTGGGTCGCCAAGGAGAGGCAACGGGCATCGGATCCGGCCGGTCGACCGCCGGCGGAGGCGGAGGAGGGGAAGGGAAAGGCAGCAGCAGCTGGAGGTACGGAGGCGCCGCCTGCTACTTCTGAGGAGACAGCGGCGAAGGATGCAGGTGCTCCTGCGGAGGGAGAACCCCTGTCACCCGCAAAGGACGAACCCAGCGATGAGCTTGCTCCCGCTTCCTCAACTCTTGCGGGCGAGGCACTGGAATCTCCAGGCACCGAGTGGCCGGCCAGCGGTCATGATAAGACTGAGGAAGCGGCATCTGAAAACCCAGCTCCGGTATTGGGGGAACCCAAATGAGCCGGAATGCGAGGTCCATGAGGATCTAATATCGCGTTAATAGGATGATAGGTGTGCGTTAATAATAGGATAGGTGTGAGTTTGGATAGGTGTGAGTTTTTAACCATCATGTTTGTATGTTATTTCACGGCAGGATGTCATGTTTGAAAGTCGATACTTGAATAGAATGGCACCACCGCGCTTCAAAAAGATACTATTCTTATCTTATGCAGCGCCCAATGCTTCTGCTTCTCCTTGCCTGGGAGAAACTGAACCAAGGAGAGGACCCCCTTGTTTCGAAACCAGCATTCCAAATGCTTGGTGCCTTCACAGCTTCCTCTCCACCCAGCTCTGGATCATGCCCTCCAGTGTTGGTTCATACTGTTTGCAGGTAACCTTGCCTGTAGCCTCGTCAAGGAAGGTATTGGCCTGAACGAACACCTTCCTTGGTTGCTTGTTCTTGAGCACAACGTTCCGGACCTTGGTGCCCCAATACTCAAGTCCCACATTCGACATATTGAGGAAGAACTCCGAACCAGCCTCGACATCAGCCGTCGACTTGTAGATATGGATCTTTTGAAGGAAATTCCCGACCGCTGTTCCCACAAGTTAGATCCAGGCGCTACAGTTTCGATAACTTTAAAGCGGGAAATCTCTCACCTTCACGACCAGCTGTGAGGATCTTTGAACGGTCTAGCTTGATCTTCAGATCAGACAAGTCTTCGTTACTGTACTCCAACGTGCAAAAGTTGTCCTTCGCCTCGAGGAAACACTGTGATCCGATCAGTTTTTGTCGAAAGGATTAGGAACACATGACGAACCTTGAGGATTGCAAATCGCGCCTGACAATGAGGCTGACCCCATTTCTGGCTCTTAGGGTCCCACATCTCGATAGATACCAGACCGGCCCGGGCCATGGTCAGATACGATGCGTAGAGAACATCTCCAGCCTCACCGTCCATATCTACTGTACCATCCCCGTACCCGAAGATCTTGAGGACAGGGAAATCGCAACTGCAAAAGGTTAGAACCGCCCAGTCGTACAAAATCGTAAGACATACCCCAAGTACATGGCAACCAGCTCCGCGCGACATTCCTAGTTCAGTGTAAGCCAGACACGTTAGAAAAAAGACACGAGAAAGGGAGGATGAGGGGCGGACAGGCGGGGGAGAGAGTTTGTCGGGGTGGATGTACTTCATATGCGCCGGCCAATCCCCCAAAGACTGAGCCCCAGGTTTGACCAGGCTTGTACCATGTTGTTACAGGCTTGTTGGTCAGAGGGCTCACGGGAGGGTTCTCCTTGTCGAAATTGAAGACACCAGGTGAGGTTTCCTGGAGAAGCTTTCCACACCCATGACCTGCACTCTGGTTTAGCAAATATCGGCGGCAGGAGTTGAGATTGGAACATGCCTGTGAGTTCGTGGAGCCCGACTTGTATCTCGAAGGAGGGATCGCGGAACTTCTTGAAGATATCCATGTCCTCATCTGCAATGAACGGAATCTTCTCGTCGGGAGCTTTGGCGCTCAAGACGTTCCCTATAGAAAAATATTAGACCCCTAGAATTCATAAGATCACTGGTTAGGTAGCAAGCTTACCCAGGCTCACATTCTTGAAGCCTGTTCATGTCGGTTAATACAGCTTCTATAAGTATCATTGAGGACAGCAACGGACCTTCGCTTTGCCGGATATCATCATAATTGGGGCTGGTGCGGTCAGTATTGTGAGGGAGTATGTCCCACCCGGACAAAATAGGCTGCAGAAGACTTACATGTTGATTCCAGCGGGAATACCAGAACCTGACAAGGAAAATCGTCAGCTATCTTTCATCATTAATCCACCATGGGCCCTGTAACTTACCAGCGAACGAGAGCACTTCCAGAGAGGTAAAATCTGGCGAGAGGAACTTATCCTTCTCAAACTCTTTGCCCCAGGGCAGCAACGGGATCAAGGAGGGGGCAGATTGAACAAGATCTCCGAACGCCCGGGTCCTCTCGACTGCAGAAGGAATAATGAGCATTCACCATACCATGAGAGATTGTGTTCTTATGACTGGGGAAACGTACGATTCACAACTGTGGGCGAGGCAAGTTAGCAACCGGAAACAGGTTGAGGCGGAACGACTCACCAGCTGCAAAGCCCTCCCATTCTCCCCTGACACCTGCGGGGTCGCGGTAGGTCTCGATAAAGCCGATGTTGCATTCAACCATCGGCCCTTGGTCGCGGATCCAGAACCTCTGGCTGTCCTTAAACGCCAACAGCGATCCATTATCAAACGACTGGGCGTATGCGAGATGCATCTTCTGCTGGGTTTGGTTCTCGGCGTTCTCCGCCGCCTTGATGATGTATGACGCAATGGCGCTCATCTCCTTGGCATAATCTCCGTATACCAACGTGATGGTTTTCCCTGTCAGCGGTCCATCCTCAAGTTTATACTGGGTCTCCTTGCCGATATCTCCACCTTCATTTGGCGCGCTGGACCTGGCAGAGGCGATTATGAGCTCGAAATTCCCATCCTTGGTCTTCCGGAGTCTCGTGTTTTCCGGGAGGAGGCCCGTCTTCTGCATCCACGATGCCACGGCGGCAATCTCCCCCTGAGTGATATCGGGGGAATCGGGGTAGTAGGTCGTCATGTGTCCCTCGTCTGTGAATCCGAGGTGCATGAGCCCGGGTTTGTCCGTGGAAAAGATGGCACCGCCTGTAGCCAGATAGTGACGCTGGGCTTCCGGTGATGTTGCGGCTAGAGCTGCAAAGACATTTTCCTCGCATCTTGGGATGAACTTGGAGTCACCGAAGCTTTTGTAGTTGCCGCCATTGCCTAGAAACTGGGCAGCATACTGGAGGAAAGCCGTAAGATCAGCTTCGCCCACGCCTGCGTTCACGGCAAGAGCCTTCCAATCCCCTCCGCTTCCATTGTGGAGGGCAATGATGAAGTCGTAGATAGGCTCCGACTCAGGAGACACCTGCCGTAGGACAATGCGATTACCAGCAAAGGAGGCTCTGAACCATGGAATTAGCGGGGTTGAACCTCAGCGGTACCTTGCGCAACCTCCTGAGCTTTCAGGGGAAGCAAACGGGTATTCCTAGACCGGAGATGCTATCATGAGATGAGGACAGTCCTACTTGCTGATGAAATGAGCGTAGCGCTTTTGTTTGTCTGTCAAGGCATCAAAGTGCTTTGCAATCTCAAGTCTCACGACACTTGGCGGTGCATCAGCGTGGTAATTGCTAAGCTCTTGGGCATCCATGTTGATCTGACGACGAATCGATCGGCTACCGAGGTGGAATAAGTTGGGATTGCGAAGGATGGGATGACGGAAACTAGACCTCAGACTTCTGAGCGCAGGAACTCGAAGGAGAGGGAAAAGGGACATTGAAGTTGAAGAGGGTAGCTTGGAAGAAGGCCCCTTCTGTCTGTGGTTGGCCGAATAGGTGCTTGCTTGTTCAAGTCGGCTCTTCACATTGTGACTGGCCGGAATGCTGCTGCTAGCACATACTCAGCAGGTAAACTCCAAGCAGCACGCACAGATCACTAGCGCGGCCGTAACCCCATGGCAGCTTCCTAAAAGAGGAGGCCGTAAGACTCAGGGTAAGCTCGGGCCTGGGTTAGGGTTGGTGAAGCTTTTTCCCCCGGAATTCCCTGAAAGTTGGAGCTCACGTGGAGATTTAACACCGGCCGAATCATAGGGGAACTGTCCACTGAGTTGCTTTTTAACCGTTTCTTCGTTCTGGCCTTCGTCCAAAAGTGGCCCGGCGCCTTACTGCGTAATAACGGCTCAAGAATTCGGTGTACCTACGCCGTAGTTTGATGGGGACATTACGTACACAGGCACCGCCCGCGGCCACCTACAGCCCGCTTTAGCGGAAGCACAGTATTAGAACTGTCCGGGAAACTGTGCCTGGCCTCAACCGGGCGCTGTTTACGGCAAGTATTTCGGCAGGTTGTCATGTTGTATTCCAGTAAGTAGGTGTTCTATACAAGGTGTTCTCCGTGGTCAGGCAGGAATCGAGGAGAGTGGTGGGAGCAACGTGAGCCTGTGAGGTCGGTATGCGCGGGGATATTAACATTCATTGTGCCAAATTTACCCAAGCATTTCGCAACAAGGCAAAATAGCTGACCGAACTGACCGGTTGCAGGGTTAGCAACTCTTGGAGGGACGGGAGACCGGATTGTAGAGATGTACATTTGCTTTCCGATCCTAATAAGGGTCTGTTAGCTCAACACATACGTACCTAAGGTACTCCTCATGGTTGAGCATTAGATCTACCTCTACCCCTACATGGATAGTACTTGTTGTAGGAGTGATATGAGGGGTTGATTATTTGCCCGTAGGATCACTGGTCATGGAATTCGTTGGCCTCAATGCGAATGTGCTAGCGTAGAGCTTTCAGTGGTCTGGTGACTTTGGCCGGCACCGGCAATGTAGGCGTGCATGTAGGTGTGCGCCCCCACGCGCCCCCTGGTTGTGTCTTGCATTTTGAACCTGGCCACGCTGCCTTTAGCTTGAGCATTGACTGCCTAAGGGATTGGTTTTGCAAGGGGCCTGGGCCGACTAAACCCAATTCGAGAAGCGCACAATCTACAGCTTGGATTCCCAGTTTGTTCTTTGCTTCTTCTTTCCTCGCCTCGGCCTTCTTCCCGCCCACACCGGAAGGGGCCATGGAGGCTCGTACGGGGTTTCAATGACGGATGTAGGTATCCATTTCTAACAGCCTGTACTACCTAGGTACCTGTTTTCCTGTGGTTATCCCTCACCTAGAGTCACCTCGGATGATGGTTTCAGTCCTCCCCTTTTAATTCTTCCCCACAACAGAATGAGAAACTGGAATCATCCCACGCGCCTTGACAGGCCCCCCCGGTCTTCCCCAGGTGCCATGTACTTCTGGGATACATCTCTTGGGTCTGGGTGGAGTCTCCTGTCATATTTGCCCGTTGATGGTGCCGCACGCCAATAGGATCATTCTCACCCGTACCCGCTGCGGCGGGTGAACCAAGTTTCCTTCTACCGCACGCTAAATGTATGTACGGATTACTATTACATACTGCGTAGTACAGCCTTTCCCGGCCCATCAGGTACAACTGGATCTCGCTGAAACTTCTAGTCGCCCCACGAATCCAATCCGGATAGCTCACGCCAGCCCGCCTCCTGGGGACGCTGGGAAGTTTTTAGGCCATCCATCCCAGTTAGTACCACCTACAGAGAGGTATATATAGACTAGGTAATGAGCCCTTTGTTCGACTTCTCGTGGAATCGACGTTGGTCTTCTACTGTGTTTCTGTTGCTGCTATCCTGTCCCGTTTGATCTGAATCTGGCTCCCATCTTACCCACCTACCTCAACACCCACCTTCGAGCAAGACGTGCAATAGCATCCTAGTCGCCTGGCCTTTCCATTGAATGACCTCCTTTACCCTGCTTGCTTGCCGTCACCTACGGACCCAACACACATTCTGCCTCCTACCATATAGCCTCGACCATGCTCTCCTGTGACCCCCTCGCGCCCGTCAACGGACAAGCGCCCCCGTCCTCCAACAATATCTCGAACGGAACTCAAGCTATCCCTTCGTCTTCGAATACGGCCTACCTTTCCATGCCCGTGGTTTCTGGTGATACCAAGTCCACTGGCGTTGTGTCGACTGCAACTGACCTGAATGGTCACGGACAGCATGCCGAACACCATATATGGCTAGTAACAGGCCCTGCTGGCTGTGGGAAGAGCACTGTTGCAGAATACCTTGCCGAAGCGTTGAGCCTGCCTTATATTGAGGGCGATGAGGTTGGTTCTTGAACCCTCCCCCCCGGGGGCTTTGCTGGTCTGACGGTGAGATAGTTCCACACCCCGGCAAACATTGAGAAGATGGGCAATGGCATCCCTCTCACGGATGCTGATCGCTGGGACTGGTTGGTTGCGCTCCGCGAAGAGTCTATCCGCAAGCTCGATGCTGGCTATGCCGGCGCAGTAGTTACCTGCTCCGCCCTGAAGCGGAAATACCGGGACGTCATCCGGGTCGCCCCCTACTTCGTGCCGAACCTTCACCTTCACTTCATCTATCTCCACGCCCCCGCGGAAGTCCTCCTTAAGCGGGTGTTTAGCCGTCAGAACCATTACATGGGCGCCAACATGGTGCACAGCCAGCTCGACATCCTCGAGCCGCCAGCCCCGGACGAGACCGACGTCGTAAGGGTCGACGTGAGCCGATCGGCCGAGGAGGTGAAGGCAGATGTGTTGGACAATGTCCTCAAGGTGATGGACGCAAATCGATCATAGGGAGGTTATGTGACGACGGACACCGAATCGACGGATCTCATCGGGCTAATCTTTCCGCTCCTTCTTAATCGTCAGGGAATAGGGGGCTCTTTGGATCACTTTTGTCATCTGGATGCACTTGGGCGCAAATATGGATCTGGGACATGCAGAGTCATGGGTGTAAGGGATGATTTATATGATATGGATATTGCATTTGACGGTGGACTTCTGGTTCAGCCCTGTCAGGGCGTTCAAAAGGTTGTCATATTCACCTGCCTGTACAGCCTTTGGTGTTGATGCTCAGGGACGAGCGGCGACGAGAGTCGCGAGAGAGAACGTAAGAGAGAACGTAAACATAGCATCCACAGCTACGGACGATAGCACAAGCATGGGTTTTCACGTTTCTGGCGCTTACTGTCGAACCTGAGCTCCCTTTCGCAAATAAAGGTTCTACGTCATCCGCACTTCCTTCCCATCGGGCCAATTTTGTCAACTCGGGTCAGGGTCGCGTTGGGCACCAATGTAACGGCACGTTCCTCCCGAAAGGAGTCGCCTGCAGGCTGCATCATGCTCTACAGCCCTGGATTGTTGGCAATTGATTACTCTAATCGAAACAATTGGTTCGGCCCGCCATGCTTTTCTTTAATTGACAGCCAAACGTCCCATGATCCAAGTCATGCGGCCCCGTTCCCTTTCGAGGGACCATACATGAAGAACACACCGGTTCCCTTTTCAACCCTCACCCCGTACCATCTACCCCCTACCTCCTACCCCTCCCCAAGGGCACCGTTCGTACGCCACCAGCCAAGGGACGGCCCCTCCTGACACCCCCGCAGAGAAAAACCCTACCGCAGATGCAACACCATGACGTCCGGCTCCTCGACGATGCGGCGCACCACCTCGGCCGCGCGGGCCATTGTCGCGCCGTCGACGACCCTGTGGTCGGCGCTCCAGCTGAAGTTGCAGACGCGCTTCCTGACCACGCGGTCCGAGCCGCCGTCGAAGGCGGGCACGTCGCGCATCCTGCCGACGCCCAGGATCGCCACCTCGCGCTCCACAATCACCGGCGACAGGTACGTGCCGCCGATGTTGCCGATGTTGCTGACCGTTATCGTGCCGCCCGACATGTCCTGTGGCGACAGCCTGCCCGCCATAGCGAGCATCTGGAGGCGCACGAGCTCCGACGCGATGGTGAGGACGTTGAGGGACCCGACGTTCTTGATCACCGGCACCAGCAACCCCGACGGCGTGTCCATCGCCACCCCTATGTTGTGCTGGCTGCGATGGACCAGGCCGGGCTTGGAGGTCGCCGCGTCGATCTCCACGCGCGCGTTGAGGATCGGGTATTTGTACAGCGCCATCGACACGGCCTTGATGATGAAGGGTAGGTAGGACAGCTTCCCCACGTCGCCCGACCCCTCGGGCGAGTTGGCGAGGACCTTGTTCAGCCGGCCGCGGAGCTCGACCAGGCTCGTGAAGTCCACCTCGTCGGCGTAGAGGAAGTGCGGGATGTTGAGCGACCGCGTCATCGCCTTGAACATTTGCTCTTGGGTCTTGGTCAACGGCACCGGTGTCTCCGTCTGCGGGCCGGCAGCTGCCTCTGGCGCTGAACGTGCCACCTGCGGGCTTGTAGGCCCGCCTTTCGATTCCACACGCCCGCCCTCGACGAACTTGTAGATATCCTCCTTCAATACCCTGCCACCCTTCCCAGTTCCAGGTATTTTTGAGATGTCCACTTTCAGTTCCCTTGATAGATGCCTGACCGCAGGGGTTGCCAATGTAGCATGTTCTCCCTGCTGCTGTTGGGATTGCCATTGACCCCTATTGACCTCTTCCCTGGCGGTGCCTTTGTTTTCTGGGGTAGTGCCTGGGCTTGCACCGGGCTGTGAGCTCTGTTTAGCCGCTGCCGGTGCCTCCTGCTTCGGCTCGGCCGGCGTGAGCGCCTCGAGAACTTCCGGGTTTGCATCGCCCTGAATGTCAATGTCGACAAACGGCTTGCCAACTTTCGCCATCTCCCCGGCATCGTAGTAGAGCTTCTTGACGACGCCGGCAAAGCGGCTTGTGATCTCCACGGAGGCCTTGTCGCTCTGGACCTCGCACAGCGGCGAGAACTCCTCGACCCGTGCCTCGGCCTCGACGAACCATTGGATGATTTCGCATTCAACGATGCCTGAACGACGGGTTTAGCTCTTGATAATGGGCCGCCTGAGGCGCAGGAGGTATCTAACCTTCACCAATGTCGGCCAGCAACACGGGCTTCACGACCCGGAACTGTTGGGTTGAATGGAATCCCCTAGCGGGGTACCGTCCGGACCCTGCGGCGGTCGCCACCAGCTTCAGACCATTGTAGAGGCGCCATTGTTGTCGGATAGCGTGAGAGCCTCGTTGGAGAAACATCGTTTGTGCGATTGATCGTGAATGTCTCCCACATTTCCAGTTCAATGGAGAGTTCTTCTACTCGAAGGTCAAAGGATTGTTCCTCGCGGGAGCGAGTCGTTGCAAGAGTCGGCTTTCAGCGGCTTATCGTGTAAGTCACTAGTATGACGTTAGGCCGAGCCAGGCACCCCCCGTAGATAACCGAAGAAACGTGGCGCTAGAACAATTTTTGGCCCGTCGTGGAGCCGCCTCCAGCACCGCGATCCCGAAATATTGGAGGTTGGAGGGCACATGATACGTACAATGCTTAGGACCCGGGTCGTCAATCGCATTCTTTGTCAGCGGAGGCCATTCGCTACGTCGTATGGCCTCCTCGCGGCACAGCCGACGCCCCCCAAGGAGACCCCGGCCCAGCCAGTAGCGGACGCGCCCGCGGAGAACCGCCCGTTGGCGGACGTCCCCCGAGCCTACGGCAAGCGCGTCGAGGAGTTCACCCCGACGACCCTCTCTCGCCCGATCGGCTTCCATCAAGCACCTAGACCAGGCGAGAACACGGGTGTCGACCGGCGTTCACTACAGCAACGGCGGGATGACTTTGTCAACTACGAGAAGCACCTCGCGAGGCGAGCGGAGCTGTATGCATTGCAACCCCCGATCCCCCACGATGACCCCCTTGTTAAGACCATTCGCTGACCGCACAACTCCAGGAAGCAGAAACTGGCGAAGCCGTACTTCCGGGAATGGAGCAACATAAAGTGGCACAAGGGCAAGTCCTTCCTCGCGCCGCCGCGGCTCTTCAAGGCGGCCCTGTCGCTGTACTTCCCGAACCTGCACGGCCGGACGCTCGCCAAGGGTGACCGGAGGCCGCAGGACACGACGCCGGTGCTGGAGGGGCGGGCGTCGGTCGTGGCCGTGTTCAGCGGCATGTGGGCCGAGAACCAGATCAAGTCCTTCATCTCGCCCGAGGCAAACCCGGGGCTCCAGGCCGTCCTGGACCAGAGCGGCGGCCTCGCCCAGCTGGTGAGGGTCAACGTCGAGGAGAACACCCTGAAGGCGTGGATCATCCGGCTCTTCGTCGGGTCGCTGAGGAAACAGATCGGGAAGCCGAACTGGAACAGATACTTCATCGTGCGGAGGGGCATATCAGACGAGATACGGGAGACCATCGGGCTGCTGAATAGCAAGGTGGGCTATGTGTATCTGGTGGACAAGGACTGCCGAATCCGCTGGGCCGCGAGTGGGCAGAGCGAGCCGGATGAGCGCCAAGGCTTGGTCAAGGGAGTCCAGCGGCTGTTAGATGAGATGAGCAAGGCGGGCACGCGCCCTGGAACATTATTGAGGAAGCCAGCGGAGCCAGCCGCGAGCCTCGGGCCGTAGCTGACCTGCATCTTTCTTTTTTGCATTATTACTGTTTTTGTACCATCTGTGTTATTGCACCTGAAGAGATACCCCTTTCCCACGAAATGCCTTGACAGAAGAAAGCCAATGTCAGCTCTGCCGTAAAGAAAACCGTCCCAACGCCAGTGCCAATGCTGGATGCGCCACCATAACGAATCCGCGTAAAGAATGTACAAGCGGTCCCCACTCTTCTTTCCTTGAAGTCCCATAGGTCACATAAAGAACCAGAAGACCAGGAAGCACAGGGCGATAAACGAGCCCATGATGATGCCATCCCTCCTCTTCTTGGCCGATATCCTCCCGATCAGCGAGTTGATGCCCGGCACCTGGCTGGCCGCGAGGGTGATGCGGCGGTTGATGCTGGAGAGGGTCTCGCGCTGCAGCGTGAAGCCGTCGCGGACGGCGTACGCCTGGCTCAGCACGCTGTCGGCCGCCTCGTGGCTGCGGTCGATCCGCCCGCTCTCCTCCAGCATGTAATCGGACTCGGCCGCCTCCGGGTTGCTGGACCGGTACGCGTCGATGTCGTCCCGCACCGACGACAGCAGGTTGGCCCGGTCGCGTGCCTCGCCGAGCGACCCCCGGAGCCGTGCCAGGTCCCGCCGGTGCTCCGCTAGCTTGTCGCGGAGTAGCGATAGGTTGTTTTGCTTTAGCGCCGACGAGGTTAGCGCCGCCTCCGAGTCGAGGAGCCGCGTGAGCTGCCCGACAACTTTGTCTCTCTGTGGTTGTGTTTTAGCCTCTCATTCACCCGTACACGGAGAGGGCAGACTGGAGGGTGGGTGCGCTGTGCCGACTGGTCCGGCGGGTACACTTGTCCATTGCTCATACCTTCTCGAGAAGATCCTGGAGTTTTGATTCCGTGTTCTTCTCATCTTCGGTCGGTTTCGGAGGGATGTTGGGCGCAGTCGAGAACTGGGAGTAAGTATGGAGGGCTGTCTCGGTCTGGGTCGATGGATGTCAGTATATCAGGTGGACTTAACCTACATTCAGCATCTCGCAACGGCATCATACCTGAGCTTCTAATGTCCTAGCCTGCTGGCGCAGCTGCGCCCAGCCCGTACTTGATGCGGTCGCCATGTGTGATTGGAGAAGGGTCGAACGAGTCGTCTCACAGAATCCTCGTTTGTCCAGGTCAATGGTGTTGAGTACCAAGCTGTCCCTGGCGAATGTGGCGTACGAGTATGTGGCGCAGCTTACATACAATATAGGCTTGGGGCTGGCATTTGACACCTGGTACCGGCCCGAATTCACATGTTTTGTCTCAGCAGCGACATCCATGGAAGAACGCATGAGGATTGGAAGCTTCCAGCCCAGATACATTCTGATATGGTTGTACTCCGTACGAATGGCAACAATTTATTGTTTATCACCAGGCTCATCTTGCAGAGTGGATAATTCACACAGAGAATGCGGCCCTCAAGGAGGAGAAGCTGACCTTTACATGCTCACTATCAGGGCGTTTGTCGAGCGTTCCCTTCTAGACTTCTCATTCTCCAGGTGACACTGAAACCCGTTCTTAAAACCATGATCCGTTGTGAAGCCTTGTTTTATGCTCTTTGATGATGACTGTAAAACCTCATTACAGACGCCGTAATGGACCGAGAACCGTCAACGTCGAAACGCAAATTGGCCGAGCCATCCCAACCCTCCGAACCACGCCCCTTTAGCCATCTCCATGCAACATCTCCCAACGTCTACCACTTCATCTCGTGGGGCTTGTCACCCTTGCGGAGGCTGAAAGAGGAGGCGAGGTAGCTCGCGAGCATATCGACCTTCTTGATGCTGGCCAACAGAGCCTTGTCGATCGCCTTCTGGTCCGCTGCCCGGCTGCTGGAGATAACCTTCTTCTGTTGGGGCATTTGTTAGCTCTCGTCTGGAAGGGCACTGGGGACTGGGGCAGGCCCAATGCAACAGCTCTCGTACCTGTGGCTTCTCTCCCTGCTTGAAGAACGCCTCCTCGCCAGCCTTCTCCTTGGCCTTTTCGGCGGTGAAGTACTTGGGTTGCGCAATCTCCTCGATCTTCTTCTGGTCTACGCCAGAGACGTCGACCTTCTGTGATGTCGCGATGACATATCGCGCGTTTACTCTGCGCAGAGGAACGCCGTTGATCTTGAATGGGCCGGTAACGAGGAGAACACCTTGGTCGAGAGCCTTAAGGAGGACGACGCGCTTGCCCCGGAATCGACCAGCGAGGAGGATCAGGACGGTACCGGGCTGGAGCGAGTTTCGGGGAGCCCAGGGGCGGAGGGTCTTGCGGACCTGCAGTGACTGTATTAGCATACCGTGGTGTTTCTCAGGCCTAGGCAGTCGAGCGCCATGAATTGCGAGCCTCCTCTCCGTCTGGGACCGCCCCTCGCAGCGACTTGGTTGTTCACGGCTCCGGTGTACCACGGAGCTCGCGTCCCAATCCGTCGGCAACCTCATCCTCCGCAAAAGGTGGTGCCCGGAGTCCGGTACAACTCGCTCCAATGCTCCAGATCTGCAGCAAAGTTGCCTTTCAATGTGTGCATCGCTCACGTACCTTCTTGGGCTTGGACTCGTCGACGGCAGGGTACCACTTCTGGGCCTTGTCCGAGGCCTGAGGGACCGTCCGGGTGGACTTGCCAAACGTCTTGGCCGCTGGCTGCGCCTTGGACGACATGGTGATCTGGTTGTTGTTTGGGCCGGGAAAGGAAACGGAAGTTGTCGTCGTTATCGAATTCGCTGGCCTGAGAATTGAAATTCGTGTGAGGCCCAGCGCAAGGTAGAGATTGTGCGTTTAGCGAAGGAAAGCCCTCCGAGCTAACCCCAATGAGGAAACGCGTTGGGTGGCAGAAAGAGGCAGAAAATGGTCATCGGTTGCCTCAGGCAAATTGGGCACACAAAGCGGCACGTGCTTTAGCAGCAAGGCCTGGCTGTAGGGTTTTCCACCCTAACGGGAACTTTTTGGTGTCCCCCCTCAATTGCAATTTTACCTCGACCTCAAAGCCTTGTCGCGGCGTACGATCACGATCTTTCTAGTAGACCTTTGACTGGACAGCATCCTTCACAATGGTAAGCATGATCCATCCGATCGTATAATCTATCTCTTCCGATGTCGTCAAACGGTTCGATTCGCACTCTTGCGGCAACCGCCCAACCTGCCCCGTCCAGGACTTGCATCTTCATCTGAAGTACAGCAGCTTACAATGTCGCAGTCTAGCGGTAAAGTCAAGGCCGGCCAGCTATGGTCCAAGAACAAGGACGATTTGACGAAGCAGCTCGGTGAGCTGAAGACGGAGCTCGGCCAGCTGAGGATCCAGAAGATCGCTTCGTCCGGTAGCAAGCTTAACAAGATGTACGTCCAGCTCGACAAGGATGCGATGGCAGGGTCATTTGGGGGGATATGATGATGTTGGGAATAATTTGAAGGGACTATGGTGCTGACTGCTGTTCTTCCCACGATTGCAGCCACGATATCCGGAAGTCGATCGCTCGCGTTCTCACCGTCATCAACGCCAAGCAAAGGGCCCAGCTTCGTCTCTTCTACAAGGGCAAGAAGTACCTTCCTCTCGATCTCCGACCCAAGCAGACTCGTGCCATCCGCCGCAGACTCTCCAAGGAGGACGCCTCAAGGGTGCTAGAGAAGACCAAGAAGCGCCAGTCACACTTCCCCCAGCGAAAATTCGCCGTTAAGGTATGCCGACTCACCATTTGAGGGACCATTTGCGAATGAGGATATTTGGCTGACTATGACGACCTGCAGGCGTAAAGGAATTTTCGAGTCCAGAGGAGGGCGGGGTCTGTGATATCAACGGCACCGGCGGCGTGGGTTTCCAAAAAAGATTTCACTACATTGCATGGCATCCAGGGGAATCTGTTTTCACACGGGTTAAGGGTGTTATTACGAGGCCAAACGAACTCGGTTGTTGCCAGCAAAATAGCTGCCAAAATGAGAGCCTTGAGCTGACACACGAGTGTCTGAGAAACCCCTTCCCACACAAGACCTTATGACAGGAAACGAGTTATTGTGATTTGAGTTGTCGCACTCGCCCGACCCAAATGGAGCCAGCCATGAACACTCGCGGAATTTTGAACTGCAATTTTTTATTTATTATGATTCATCTTCAAGCTATGACTGATATGCACCTAGTAGGGTAGCTTTTACGACGCCTCTGCATCTAGAATCAGCCCGATATATCTAACACCTCCAAGCCAAAACAGATTGCCGCCCCCTGTCCCAATGAAGAGTCAGTTTCCCTTTGCGCCTGCCATCGCCCAGCCAAGCCAACTGTAGAGCCACCAGCCCATACATCCATCCCCTGGGGTATATTACTGTATGTTTCGAGTCATCCCTCCGTCCGCTGAACCAGCCACTGCCGACGATAAACAACACCGCGGAGAGTAAGAGGTAGATAATCGAAGCGTGGACAAGCAGCATAGAAAATAAAATGGAAACAACTCTAACGCTGAACTCTAGAAACCATCCATCAACGACTCCGTTTCTTGCGACGCGGCTGGCCCCCTTGGTCAGCAGCCGGTGGCGTGTGGGTCATTAGCCTCAGGAGCTTCGCGCTGAGTGCCGGATCGTCGTGGGCATGAGACGAGTCGTCTTCCTCCCCCGTCTCTTCGTTATTTACCTCGTCAGGTATATCCACGCCGTTCTTCTCCGCGTGCAACTTCATGTGACGCCGAAGCTGATCTTGGCGGTGGAAGTCCCTATGGCAACCAGGGTGAGGGCACGTAAACCGACCCTTGATCTCGTGGGTCCTCTTGTGTTTGGAGAGGTTTGACGATTCACTAAAGGTCCTGCCGCATATGTCGCATTTTAGGGGTTTCTCCCCCGTATGGACCCTTTTATGCATAGCTAGGAAAGAAAGGGCAGTCAGCGACCAGATTCCGCTGGCTGAAATGAGGAGGGAGCTGAATGGCAATTCAACTTACTTAAGGCGCTCTGTTGCCTGAACGTCTTGCCACATCCTGGCCAGTCACATACCAACGGCTTCTCGTTTGAATGGATGAGAAGATGTTGGTTCAAGGCCTGTTTGGCAGAGAACTTCTTCCCGCAATGGTCGCAGCTGTATGGCTTGTCTGCGGCCGATTAGCCTTTTGGCTCTGAATGATTGGAGCAGGTTTACCAAACTTACGCTCGATGTGGGTTTGCATATGCCTCTCAATCTTGCTTCGTTGGGGAAACCCGTCCTTGCCGTCGTCCTCTCTCCTGCAGTTCTCCCAGCCGCAGCGAAAGCCCCTTGGGCCTTTGACTAGATGTTTTATGTGTGCTGCATTTACATGCGCGAACAGCTCGCCAGGATCGCTGAACGTCTTTGCACACATCTCAGAACCCGGGTCATCACACCAGAGGCATTTGTTCTCCCAGTCAGGAGCCATGCGGCCATGATTGCCTTCGGAGAGAGAAAGGTGTGATGGCGAGCGGCGGCGTGTCGGGTCTGTCAACTCTATCTCGGCAGCTGTAAGGGGGGTTGAAAGAGGCGTCATTGGAGAAGGCTCCTTGAGGGAAGTTTGTGATGACATAAGAGCCATGTCGAAGGGATTTGCAGAGGAGCTTGTTGACGGCACGGCAGACGGTAAGTTGTACTCTCCTCCGAGCTTCATTGACATGACGTTTGATAATTCATGCCGGTGCTCCGTGTTGAAGTGATGGATGAACTGTTCAGGGCTCATGATCTCGGCACCGCATTCTTCCAGTTCCATGCCTACCCCAGTCCTGAATGAGGGGTTGACAAAGTCGTATGGATACATGGGCATAGAATTGGGCATCTGGGTGTAGTCATTCAGGAAAGCATAGGGGAAGTGGCAGTGGCCGTAGACATGAGGGTCATCGATGGGGCAAGGTCTTGTGCAACTGGACGAATCTGGATCGCTGTGAGCCCAGAGAAGGTGTGTCGTTATCCCCTTAAGGCTATCTGGCAAGAGGGATGGCGGCAGGCCATTGTCGAAGGAAGGAGTATGAGAGGTGGGTGGACCCATGGGAAGGAGACCAACTGCTTTTTGTGTGTAAGCCAAGGACATTATATGACCAGCACAAGTCAAAACCTAAGCTTACCTGATGTAGGAACAAGGCAGCCAAGTTGCTGAGGCCCAGGAGCACCGCCGATAGAGGTTAGAGCTGCTGCTGCATTGGCTACCTCGCATGGTATTGTGCATGGTATGCTGGCAGATAGATCCGGGCAGTTCCTGTCGTTGCAAGCATCATCGGTGTCGGCACAGGCAACTCCAGTGCACCGGTTACCAAGATTGCACGCACTGTCACAGGTAGTCGAGCTCGGGGCCAAAGAGTGGTTGTCCTCATCTCTCCCGGGAAACGCCGCCTCGGGGAAGGCGGGAAGCGGCTGGTCAAACACAAAACCCCATTCTCCATTGTCTTGGAATTGTTCGCTCGCGGAAGGGTCGATGGTGTCTTTGTAATCCATCCGTGGGGCTGATCCAGGCATATCGAAGTGCAAAGATTGTGGATGGAGGCAGGAATAATCCAAATTCGAAACGCTATGGCGAATACGCGGCTGGAAGGAAGCGGGAACTCCCCTAGAGTTCATCGCTTGAGACGTGTTGTAGTGCACGAGCGGCGAACAGCCATCGACACAAGCATCTTCATGGGCAGAACCATCGACGATTCTAGAGCCATCGAGGCTCAAGTAGTTATTACTGCCACTTCGATCTACCGACTGGTTTAAGAAACCGTAAGGAATTTCGAAGTTCTCGCCCTCGATAAGCCTCGACACGCCTTCAAGAGCCAGGTGGTCGACGCCTTGGTAGTTGCCCGTTGTCCTGACCATTCTGCCCGAGTTCAAGAGAGAAGGTCCTGAGAAGTCGGAACATGGATATGGGCGAAAGAATGCTGAAGTTCTCGGTGCTAGGACAAGAAAAAACCCGAAGTCATAGGGTCGTCTCCCACAACAGGGCGTGAGCGTGGGGTGGTGTTTTTTTCCGAGGTGAGAGTGAGAACCTTGATGGTCAGATAATTGTGCGGCGGTCCTCAATCGCGACCCTGCCCCCCACAGTTATTGTCGACAAGTTACTGTGTATAGGCTGCTACCTCATCGCCATTGGAGGCATCCGACATTGATCAGAGCTGGAAGGTAATTAATTCCAAGGGACGTGGATTCCTCAAACCAAGGCAACTTTCGAACGTGAATTTCGTGCTTGCTCACCGGCTGTCGTTTTATTTCTAGTCGACAGGCCGTGACTCAGCAAGTCGGCGGGCTAGCCCGGCCAGATGTGTGAGCCAAGAATTACCTCGTCATTTGCGTTCCAGGTTTGTGGCAGGTGCATCCGTTCAATGTTTCTTCCCGCTGGGGGGCGAATTTCGCCAACAATACCTTCCTTTTCCGTTTCGGGTTTTTCTTCTATGACATCTCTGATTGACGGTCAGAGAAAGGAGAGGCAGGGAATGTGCCCCTCGCTAACCCCATGCAAATACATGCAATTACCCCGCCGGCATGACGGGTTTAATGTGCCTGGACAACAGTGGGCTGAAGAGCCTCAAAAAGCCTTGGCTGGACTACCAAAGTACCCAGCCCCCGTAGAACCTCAATATGGCAAACCCCCATTCGAGACGGGGCAACTTTTAAAAGTCAGCTCATAGTAACATGACATCTAACCCCTGGTTCACCTGTCCTGACGACCCAACACCTGGCACCCCCGATTGGTCCAAGTCACCCGCACAATAAGGACTTGTACTCCGTAGTAGCTATTGTGGGAACCAACCACAACCCCGCCTCCCCCCGACGAATCCAGCAATTCTTCAAACCATGGGCAACATCTGCGGCAAACAAGAGGCCGACCCCTTCGCCCAGCCGGGCCGCCGACTGGGCGAAGCGCCGCCCCCGGCCGCGACGAGGTCCTCCGTCCCCGCCTCCGCCACCTCCAGAAAGACCGTCGTCGGCGGTCCACCGCGCACCCTCGGGGGCAGTGGCGGGGGCGCGGGAACCTCCGCCGCCGCGGAGGGCGCCCGCGCAAAGGCCGCGGCCGCTGCTGAGGTAGGCACTGTTTGATTTCTCTGCGCCACCCCTTTTATTCATAGAAGTACCCGGAGAGCTTGAAAAGATAAACCTGGCTCCCAACTCCTCCCTCAATCCCCTCCCACCCCCTCCGTTTAAAAGGAAGGAAGGCGGGAGGAAGTCATGAAGTTCCGTATGAGACGAATCCAAAACCTCGCCCAAATTTTTAACTCACCGTGCGTGTTTCCCCAGGCTCGCGCGCAGGGGTCAGGAAAGGGCGGCAAGCTCCACACCCAGCTGCAGGCGCAGAAGAAGCAGACCATGGCGGCGACGCTCAAGGAGGCCGGAGAGGCGGAGCGGAGGAGGCGGGATGTCGACGCCAGCGTCGAGGCCATGGCCCACAACTAGGCCCATCGGCGGGCTGCATCGCAGAGGGGGTTTCCGGATCGTGAATGCAACTGCTTTATCTTCTCCTATATTTAAGCTTATCTTTTATGGATATTTGGTCATTTCGTATCAGCAACGAGCTATGTTATTGTGGCTAGGCCGGGAAGTTCCCTGGGCCGAGACTTGGGAAGTTGACTCGGGGTATCTATTGTCACGCAAATCACGCCGGGAGGATGGAAGACACGACATTTTCGAATCATCATTTGGGAATGCCCTGTTTGATTACCCCTGTACAATGATGCACTTTTGCGATATTGTACATACATACACCCTAGACGCCAAAGGGAGAACCGACCGCCCTGCCAATGTAACCATGAGTGACCCGGAGCCATGTCCTTGGCTGAAGTAGCGGGTAGGCAAGCAAGAAAATGGAACGAAAAGAAGAAGCAATGACAAGCAACCGCCATCAGGTGATGGTATACCTGCCGCTGGCAGGAGCACGACTCTCGGCATCCGCAGCGGCCATCGTCCCCTCCTTGAGCAGGCGCGTGAGTTCCGTCAGAGCGTTGCCGACCACCACCTCCGTATCACCCTCGATCAGGATGTACAGCTTAGGCTCGGAGCCCGAGGGGGGCTCCTTACCAGGAGGGTAGAAGTTACCCTTGGTCGTGATGGAGGTGCCAGTTGCCTCCAGGATCTTGGCCACGTTGGTTCGGTTCGTGACCGCCCATCTGGCCTTCTGGGGGAAGTCGTTGATCTCCAGCGTGGCGTGGAAGGCGCCGGCATCGGGGCCTTTGTTATCAATCGGCTGGCCAGGACGAAGCTGGCCAGCGCGGGCAAGCCGGGCGTTGATCTCGCTAATGGCCGAAGCGGCCTTGTCCAAGGCTCCGGCGGTCTTGGCAGCTACTGCGGGAGAGGCTTCTGCCGCTGGTTTGGCGGCGGCAGCCTTCGATTCCGGCTCAGCCTTTGAAGAATCGCGCGAGACAATGGCGGAAATAGCAGACTGGATAGCAGTGGCTGCTTTCTTCTTCTTCTCGTCTTCCGCCGTATCCTCCTCCTTGACGTCGTCCTCTTCCCCTTCCGTCTTGTGAGTCTTGCGCTCTCTCAACCGGGCGGCCTCCCGTTCCTTGTCGAGCTTCTCTAGACCCTTTCCACCGAAGCCGGAGTTATCCTTCGCCTTCCCAGACTTGACCTTCTCCCTGAAGGCCTTCCGCATCTCGATGAGACGCTCAGGGACTGGCTGGCCGCTCTGCTCGAGAGCCTTCGCAATGCCAGGGGCGCAGTTTTCCTGTTCTTCGGTGATGAACGTGACTGCGGTACCGGTATTGCCGGCGCGCCCGGTGCGGCCCGCACGATGGACGTAGTCTTCAAGATGGTTGGGAGCGTCGTAGTTGACGACCAGTTTGAGCTGCTTGACATCGAGGCCACGAGCGGCAATGGAGGTCGCAATCAAGATCGGGCAGATGCCGGCCTTGAAATCCGAGATAGTTGAGTCTCGGTCGAGTTGATCTTTCCCTCCATGGATAGACATACACCCGTATCCTCTTCGCAAGAGCTCCCTTAGCAAATCGTCCGCTTTCTCTTGACGCTCGACAAAGATCAGGGCACGGACGTCGTCGTCGTCCGCATAGAGCTCACCGAGGAGCTCTAGCAGGCGGACGAACTTCTCCTTCTCATCTCGGATTTCGACTATCTGAGTGATCTCCGGCGCAACGACACTTCTGCCTCCAACCGTGATCTCGACCGGGTCTTTCAGGACCTTTTTGGTCAGAGCATCGATGATACGAGGCATGGTTGCCGAGAAGAGAATGGTCTGTCTATCGGGTCTAACATTGTTGAAGATCTTCATGACTTGGGGCTCAAAACCCATGTCGAACATGCGGTCGGCCTCGTCCAGGACCAAGTACGTCGCACGCTTGAGGTTGGTAACGCGTCCCTGATTAGCGGCCAGGAGATCAATCATGCGGCCAGGCGTTGCGACAACGATCTCGGCCCCTCTCTTCAGTTCAGCTATCTGGTCCTTGATCGGGGCGCCGCCGTAAGCAGCCACCGCGCGCAGGTTCAGAGCCTTCAGGAAGGGCTTGCAGTCACGGTGGATCTGCACAGCGAGTTCGCGGGTCGGAGTCATGATGAGGCCAATGGGCCCATCCGTGTCTCTCACCGGCTCCTGATCCTTGATGTGGCGGAACATGGGTAACAGAAACGCCATGGTCTTGCCAGATCCAGTCTTAGCAACGCCAATAACGTCACGGCCGGACATGATGACCGGCAAGGCCTGCATCTGGATAGGAGTCGGCTTGTCATAGCCCAACTTGTCGACGGCATCCAGGATAGGGCGGGTCAGGCCACATTGAGACCATTTCTGCACAGGCTTGGGAATGTCCTTGCCAGATACCTTGATACCGTCCAGCTCCAGGCGAAGGTCGATCACTTCCTCTTCGGTAAGCTGGCTGAGTTCCAGCGGTTCAAACCAGAAATTCTTCCGAATGCGATTCAGCTCGATCTTGCTGTAGTCGATGGTGGGAATGTCCTTCTTCTTGCGCTTGGCTGCCATGGCGAGAATTGAGGATGGATCAGTACGATCAACCCCGTATCCGTAGTCATCGTCATCACTGAAATACGCCTCGGGTTCAAAGGATGGCTTCCCGGTCGGCTGTTCCTTCTTGAACGACTTGGGCTTGCTCGCAGAGCTCGATTCCTCGAGCCCAGCCATGAAGGCGTCCAGGGGGTCAATTTCGTCATCGACGTCCATTTTCTCGGCCTCGGGTTCCGAGGCAGGGGTAGCCTTGGTATTGGGATCGGATGTTTCCTGATCTGTTTGCATGGCCATGCTGTCTTGGAGGATTCGCTCCTCACGTCGCTCATGAGCCGCTCGTGCAGCAGCAGCTTCTTCTTCTTCGGTTCTGGCGAAGTCATCCACGCCGAAGCCATCGTCTTCGTCATCCTGAGGGGCATATGGGGTCTTGTCGGTCTCCTCGAGGGGCATCTCCGGAAGCTTGAGAAGCTTTCTCTTAATCGTCTCCTCGTCATCCAGGTCGAGCTTTCGCTTTGAAGCAAGCTTGTCGGAAGCAGCGGTGGCTTTGTGGAAGCCGAAGCCGCTGATAGCCCTCTTTTCCGGCAAGGCAGACCCTAGGCAGAGACGGTTAGCAAGGGGTCGCGGGCAGAAGGGGCGTCGAATGAGCTCACCCTTTGGGATGCTTGGAAAAGTGGCATTCTTCAGCGTAGATGGTGTGCCCTTAATCTCTCCCAATTTCGTGGGAGACTGAGTCCGACCTACTGAGGACTTCTTGGCGATGGCCTTGGGATCGAACTTCCCAGCATAGGGTGCAGGTGACGCGGGCTGTGGGCTGCCGGCTACGTCGTTGGCAGGACTGCCGGCAGACGGAGAAGCAGCTACAGGGGTTCCGCTAGCTTTCTGATCCATCTCAGCAAGTAGCTTTCGTGTGCTGCCAGCAGTGGCACTGGCGTCCTTGGCTTCTTTCATTGCGTGCTTTTCTTTCCAAGCTTGCAATTTTCGAAGCCGTTCGGCCTTCTTCTCAGCCTCTGATTGCGCCTGGGCTTGTGCGGACTTAGCTGACTGGGAGCTCAGGTTAGCGACAGGGGTCAGGTGTGTGTCGGGTTCGGGAAAACCAACCTCAGTTTCCAGGCTCCCAACCCCATCGGCTGATTTCTGTCCGCGTGGGCGACCATCATCGCCTCTGCTGCGGGGGCGAGAGTCAGCAGTACCTTCGCGACGACCTCTGGCCTTCTCGCGGGAGTCGTCTCGCCTGTTCCGATAATCCCTATCTCCGTCTTTACTTCGGGGTGGGCGTCTACCCGGCGAGCGGGCTCGGTCTGCGGCTCTATCTCCGACTCTGTCGCGCGATCGTCGACGCTCGCGATTAGCACCACCGTCTCGTCTGCCACCACGATGGTAACCATCGTCGCGTCGATCTATGGAACGGTCTCGCCGGCGATATGATTCGTTATCCCGGCCACGGTCGCGGTTTCGGCGCTGCCCATGGGTGTTAGGAGAGCTAGAGAAAGCATAACGGTCAGGGACTTCTCTTACCTCTGCGGGGCTGCGAGAGCGGCTGGGGCGACGGTGATCGCGGGGATCATCCCGGCGGGCTCGGTCACGTCTCTCGTCATCTTTGCGATGTTTTCGAGAGGAGTGCTGGCTTCCTGCTGGAGATGGTGAGCGCGAGTCTCTGGGCCGAGCCATCTTGTTGGTAACGACGGCTCAGCAGATCTGTACGTTGGTGAGAAGTACTCTTGACGATTGAAGGATGTGATGACGGCAAGGAACTCGTCGCCGTGGAGAGGAGAGGCGACCGCGGCAGGGGCACGATAGATCAACTGTCACGAAGAACAGAAGATCGCCCAACAGCGGCTTCCTATGAACGGATATGGTGGGTTGAGAGGCGAAGATAAAGTATTTCCTCGAGACGGAGATGGAGATGGAGAGGGAGGTGGAGAGAATATGAGGTCCTTCGAACCGCCACTTTGAGCCTCCATTTCCACGCTAAAGCTTTGAAGCTCTGGTCCGTGCGCTCTGTCCGTGCATCTTCTTGACCCATTCAAGCCATTCCCATTTCATAGTTCATACACTTCAGTCAAGCCACAGGGAGGACCGTGCACAGCTTGTTGTCCTGACACCCACAAGGGAGGGAGCTCATGCAACGCAAGCCTCTGAGTCTCAAAGCACCTGTGAGCCATTGAGGCAACTTACCTCAAGACTCCCGGCCGCGAAGACAACTCCCTCTGCCTGCGAGATCATTTTCCATTCGCCTCCATCGATTACGAACTATTCAACATGTGGTCGACCATCAGAATCGCGGCTGCGAGGCAGCTACGCGTCGGTGGAGCTCTGTCCGTAAGCAGACTTGCCTCACGTGTCGCAACCAAGCAATCGTCCTTCGCCATCCCGAGCCGCTATCGCTTCCAACTTGGCCGACGAGGGTTCGCAGATGTAGCTGGACAACCTGCCAAGGCGACTACGACGAAGAAAGCAGCTGCGAAGAAGCCCGCGAAGGGAGCCAAGAAGGTCGCATCCAAGAAGGCAGCCTCCAAGAAGACAGCAGCCAAGAAGGCGGCGCCGAAGAAGCGAGTGAGGAAGGTCCTGAGCGAGGAAGACGCGAAGAAGCAGAAGGTCCGCGAATTGAAGAGGGTGGCTCTATTGAAGGAACCTGTCAGGCTGCCGGACAAGTCGTGGTTGGTGTATGTTAGCCAGCATACAAAAGGGACCCATACGGAAGGCGAGGCCCTCGGTGACCGGGCGAAGCAGCTGAGCGAGTCCTACAAGCAGTTGCCATCTTCCGAGGTTGAGGTATGCCCCGTATCCCCGAGAAATTGCAAACCCTCATCTAACAGAGTGTCTCCCAGCATTTGCAAGCAACAGCCAACCAGAACAAGCTGGCCAATGACGCTGCGTACAAGTCTTGGGTCGAGAGCCACAGCCCCGAGGAAATCGCCGACGCCAATCGGGCCCGAAAGCGGCTCAAGCGGGACTTCAAGGCGACTTCTAAGGGATTGATCAAGGATGAGCGCCAGCCGAAACGGTCTCTCTCCTCTTATCTGCTATTCGTAAAGTCCAGGTGGCAGTCTGGGGACCTTACCGGGCAACATCCCGTGGAGGCCTCCAAGTCCATGTCCGGCGAGTGGAAGGCATTGAGCGACGCAGAGCGCCAGGTATGTCCAGACACTTCCCCGACCAAACAATTCAACGATAGCTGACCAGAGTTTCTATATAGCCTTTCATCGACGGTGCCCTTCTGGACATGAACCGCTATGTTAGAGAGAAGAAGTCGGTGCTCAACCAAGACGTGCAGCGCCGTAATAGTGCCTAGATCTCGGAATGCCCGGGTTAAGACTCCTTCACTCCTTTACCTGTTGGTATGTTTGTATACTACTTAGGTGACAACGGCTGCTGGTCTGTCCAGTTGATCTAGGGCGTCTGTGGGGCTCTGACAGAGGACGTGAGGGAGGTTTAGGAGGTTTATGGTAATTTCCAGAGCAAGGGTTTGTTAGGCACCCATGTCTTTTGCTCCTATTATTTGTTTGCTTGTGGAGGGAATACCTTAGTTACCTGTAGTGCGAAGTTTCCATGTAGTCTAGCTGCTCACAAGGTGTGCGTTCAGGGACGCCTCGAGAAAACAGGCAACTGTGATTCATGCAAGATCAATGCTAACGCCACTTGTGCCATCCCCAATGCGAGAGTACTATCCTATAAACCAGACCATAGAGCCGAAACGCCGAAGATCCCAAGTGCTCATGCAGTTCTGGTGGGCTTTGCGCCCATGACAATGGCCACTTGACCGTTTCCTCCTACCCAAGTGCTGCCGGTATATAAGATCCTCCTTTGACTTGCAAGATACAGTACCAGATGCATATGCCCAACCACAGAACCCCAGCAATACAAGCGAATCCACCTAAACTCCCTGTCCCGGCAGCACCAGATGCCCCATCCTGCCACCCCGTTACCCACGTAGTTGGTCAAGAAACCCCAGGCCTTATCCTTCAGCTGCTCCGTCCAGGTCGTGCAGTCTACCAGCCAGTGGCCGCGTTCAAAGGGCCGTATGTCCCGGTATTGTTCTTTCGGCTGATACCTCTTCTCAATATCCAGGTCCTTGGCCAGCTTTGCCAGGGTCCCAGTCACAAATGTGGATTGGTCTACTGCATCGCATGACACGGGGGGCGCTGGGGAGTAGATGTGTAGCCCGTCAAGGCTCTGGTGTGCTCTCTGAAGTCCATCCAGCCGTCGCACCTTTGCCTGCTCCTGCCTCGGGCCGATATCACTGGAGCTTCTTGCCAATGCTTTGGCATTCTCCTTGGCTGGAGATCCTTTCTGGCGTTTGCTGGGCGGCGGCTCCGAATCTGCCCGTGGCGGGTGGGCTGCTAGGTCCTGCGATGCAGGGATTGGGCTGTTCCGCTCAGCTGCTTCAGACGATGAGATAACGGCCTCTGTCCCTGAGGAGACTGGAGTTGGAGTAGCAAGTCTCCCTCGTTTCCGGCAAGTCATGAGAGGGGATTGCGGGATAACCGCCACTCTGGGCATGTCGTTGGTGCCATATTGTAAGATTCGCGAGTCATTAAAGGCAGAGTGCGAGAATGACGTCTCCCTGGTGTCTTCAGATTGAGAGCATACCGGGCCTACCACACCCCCCACACCCCCTGGCTGCCCAGGCTGCCCAGGGGAAGGCGAAGGTTCGGACTGGCTAATCTCATGGTCTTGCAAGTAGTGTTCGAGAATCCTTGTTGGCGAGCAATACCGAGGAATGGCAATATTGTTCTCTGGGTTGGAGTCGGCAATGACGCTTGGGGGGGTCTGCCATGAAGATTGAACTTCAACACCTGGTCTGTTGCTTCCACGAGCCCCGCGCAGGTCGGGAGAGCTAAGGTTGTCTGCGGCACCTCTAAAGGAGATATCGGGTGACTCCAGTGTTGCCCTCTGACTCGACAGAAGGAAATCGGTAGTATTCTGGGTTGCGGGGAGTCCGCTTCGGTCTGCATCGACAGCATCGAGAGAAGAATCAGGGTCGTCTAGGAAGGGGACGGCGGTCTTCGTTATGGGTGCAAAAGCCAGATATGCAGCGGCCAAAGCCCTGTAGTTGGTGTCATCGGCCGCTCTGCTTGGGGCAGTAATGTGGACAAGGATCTCTGTCTTCGGCATGCTCGTTGCGCCAGCAAGGAGGGACGGGAGCGCCGGCCATAGAAATATAGGTTATTTGTCAGGGCATTATTACTGCGAGAGCTTTTGCTAGAGGAAGCACTAAAGAAAAGCTAAACAGCTGAAGCCAGAGTGAAGCCAGAATGAAGTTAGCTATTAAGAAAGAAAGGCATGGTTGCCTGCTCTGGTGAAGTGTTCACATCACTGGTGTCCACATGTTGTGGACAAAGACAAGACGCGCCGCGTTGCTAGGCTCCCCGCCATTGATTGACCTGTGGGCCTGCGGGGCACCGCTTGCCGAGTGGACCCGCTATAAAAGGTACCCACATAAGTACCTAAATCTGCAGGAGCCATTTAGGCGGAAAGCAGCAATCCTCCAGATAGGTGCATAAAGGAATTGGTATTGGAGACTCCTTTCTCAATCTCCATTTCTCCAATATCGGCCACTCAACTGCAAACCCTATCACCACAGCTGAAGCTCCAGAGACCATGGCGTCTGAAAAGAATTATCAGCTAGGCAACGTCCTTGTAATCGGTGGTTGCGGCTTCCTGGGCCACCACGTCGTCAATCTCCTGTTGCGATCCTACTCATGCTCCGTTTCCGTTGTCGACCTGCGATGCACTCGGAACCGGAGGCCCGACTCGGACGGCGTCAAGTACTTCGAGGCCGACATCACCGACTCTGCTAGGCTCCAGTCCATCTTCGAGGAGGTGAAGCCCGATGTCGTGATCCATACCGCATCGCCGGCCGCCCAGGGGGATGACAAGGTTTCCCACGCGCTGTTCCAGAAGGTCAATGTCGACGGCACGAGGGCCGTGATTGAGGCTTGCCAGGAGACCAATGTCAAGGCCCTGGTCTACACGAGCTCGGCCAGTGTCATAAGCGACAATGAAAGCGATCTCATCAACGCCGACGAGCGGTGGCCGGTGATCAGGGGCAAGGACCAGACCAACTACTATTCTGAGACCAAGGTACGTTACGCCAGTTTTCAGTGGCGTAGCACATATAGCCAAAGGCATGTTTACCTAACAATACTAGGCCGAGGCCGAAGAACTCGTCCTCGCGGCCAACAGGGCCGACTCCTCGAACCTCCTCACGGCCGCGATCCGGCCGTCTGGCATCATGGGCGAGGGCGACACGATGCTGCTCTTCAACCTGATCCGGATCTACCAGCAGGGCCGCACGGGCGTCCAGATCGGCGACAACAACAACCTGTTCGACTTCACCTACGCCGAGAACGTGGCGCACGCCCACCTCCTCGCCGCCCGCGCCCTCCTGCAGACCGCCGCCGCCGCCACCGCCCCGCTCGACCACGAGCGCGTCGATGGCGAGGCCTTCTTCGTCACAAACGACAGCCCGGTGTACTTCTGGGACTTTTGCCGCGCCGTCTGGGCCGCCGCCGGCTCCGACAAGGGCACCGACCACGTCTGGACCCTGCCCAGCGGCCTCGGCCTCGTCCTCGGCCTGCTGAGCGAGGTCTTCTTCGCCGTCATCCGCAAGCCCCCGACCTTCAACCGCCAGCGCATCATCTACAGCTCCATGACCCGGTACTACGACATCAGCAAGGCCAAGAAGCGGCTCGGGTACAGGCCCCTGGTCAGCCTCGAGGACGGGATCAAGAAGTCGGTGAGGTGGTTCATGGAGCAGGAGAAGAATGAGAAGAGCGAGAAGTCCGGTTAGTACGGCGAAGTGTGTCTGTGGGGTGGGGAGAGATGGGGAAGGAGGCGTTGGGAAAGCAGGCGCTTATTATGCTTGGGCTTTGGAGAGAAAGAAACCGAGCTGTGGGCATTATTGTAATATCGTCGTTGGGAGATCTTTGAGCTGCTGTAATGTACATATACCCGAAAAAAGGCATATTAATACTGACGACGACGAGAGCCCGTGGCTGGGCTCATGTAATTACGCTGGCCAGGTGTGACGCCATTCAATTGACTCCCTTGATCGAGGTTGTGTAGCAAAAGGGGGGGGAGTGAAAGTGGTGTGTTCTGCACCGCCGGTTTGCAGAAACAAGCGTATGCACTGTACGATATTTCACGAGCGAAAGAATAAGGGAATCATGTCCATGCATTCCATAGCCTCTCTTGGATTGCCATTATAGATGACTGGCTAACCTGGTTCTTCATCAATAAAACACAAACCACGTCCTGCGCAATGCCACTCCAAGGTCTAGGCACATCCAGGGGCCAAATCCGTCACCGACCTATTTCCATCCCCCGTCTTCTGCTCCATCGGGCCAAGAAGGGTCGAAAAAGGGTGGTACGGGGGAAAACAAAGAAAGAAAATCCCAGAAGACCATGGCTCCCTTAAGGATGCCGAGACGAAAATATAGGTCAGATATGCACACTACTCCAAACAAAAACAGCCTCGGGTTTCGACTTTTATTCGAGGGAGGGGGCACCCCAATGGAAAGAAACCAGGCAAGAGGCAAGAAACCCCATTTTTCATCCCGCCTTGGGAAGCGCATCAAGTCATCAGAAGATAAAAGCGGGCAAAGGGGGGGAAAGTGAATACCCGTCGGTTCGTGAAGAGGTCGTGGGAGAGAATAAAGCAAACGCCGTCCAACTATGCTTGCAAATGCATCTAACTCGCAGAGTTCGTGAAAGGTGGTTTCATCATATGGTCCCAGCTGCGAGTCCGCTATTCTGCCTTCCCCAGCCCGAGTTCCGCCATTCTCGACGCTGTTGGCTACGGTCCACATTATCTGAGGAATTCGTAGGCGCATCGAACTGCTGCTTCGCAAAGGGAGACTGACGACCTTCTTCGGCGTTACGCCAGTTTGGAGGCGGGGACCCTTTGGGGACATTGGTGAAGGGTATGGTAGGTTCATGTATGGGCCTCACACTGCTCTCGTGCTGCCACGCCGATGGATCTGTTTCCATTCTTCGAGGAGGCGGCCGGGTTGGATTCTCGTGTTTGCCGACGAACTCGTTGGCCTCGGGCACTTGGCGCTGGGCCCCGGTCATATTGCGGTCGCCGAACCTCTTCAGGATCTCCTTGGTTGTGGGCTCGCCACTGGAGCTGAAGAGGGCGGGGTCGTTGAGATAGTCGATCAAGTTATCAGGGACCTGGCGTTCAAGTTAGCATGGAAGAATACCCCAAACCTTGAAGGACGACCCAAGTCTTACCAGGCACATCACTTCAATGTGTGTGATCAGCATCTCCACGGCCTCGATGGCATACATGGGATCGCTATCAAGAGACGCCGCCTTGGCATTACTATAGAGGACGTTTGGCGCGATGACAGTGGAAAGATTCTTGATGTCCATCTTGGACCCCGCTTCGTCGTCGACCTGGTGGAAGGATCCAGCCCATTTTAGGAAGCAGAAGACGATCTCTAGGAGGTCTCGATGGCACTTTGGCAGCAGGCAGCAGGCCAGGTGGAGGCAAAACCGCCTCTTTTCGTCGTCCGGAATCTTTGCAGCGACCAACCAGAGCCGGTAGAGCTTGTGCGTCATCAACGGATCCGGTAGGTCCCTGAGGTAGCGCTTTAGGAGAGCAGCAAGCTGGACGACATGGTTTCCGCTGAGATCGGCCACGCCTTCCCGGTCAATCTTCTCGCAGAGCTCTGTCAGTTTCTTGATGTTGCCGTTCTTCCGGAATACGCCTTCAACCGAAAGGTCCATCTTCCGCATCGTGGAGACCACGTCGTCGACAATCGCCGGTATCCTGAGTGTTCCAGGCCCGACGCCATCCGTTGATTCAGCGCCGTCCCGCTCGATTATGGCCTCTAGCGGGACGCCAAATACGCCCTTCTTCTTCACATTCTTCTTCCCATCATTCTTAAACGCCTTGCCAATGTTCTTCCAGAACGGGGGCGGCTTCCGTGTCTCGATCAATCCAAGAAGCTCCTCCAAGCTGAACTCGGACTCGACTAGCGGGTGCATAGTGAGGACGGCGAGATGCCGGACGATGAAGTATTCAAGGCCCGAGAGCTCCGAGAAATACCTCCGACCTCGTTGGGCCTCCCCGGGGAACCTTGGGTCGGCTTCTCTGCCAGAAGAATGCGACCTTTGACGCTCTGTACCGAGAGCAGGCTCGGTGGCGGGCGACCGGAACAGCTCTTGGCGGCCGGGCTGATAGGGGCGCTGCTCCCTGGCTTGCTCGGCGGCGACGATGCGCGGGATGTCATCTAGAGTGAGGGCGTCCTGGTTGCCGAACATCATGTCCGTTGTACCTTCGTCGATGGGGCCTCGTTCTTCAACGATCTGGAATCCCGGCTTGCCCGCCAGACCCCCGTCTCCGTCCGCGCTCCCGGGTCTCACGCTACTCCCTTCGGGCCCGTCCATTATCCGGGATGTCCGCGCTTTCCTAAAGCTAGAGGACAGGTGCTTATCCAAGCGAGTGCTTCTTAAGCGTCGAACATCATTCAACGTGCTCTCGTACGACGATTCTCGATGGTGTTCCCGTTCGCCGGCGGTGTGGGATTTGGATCGGTTCTCTGACCGTAGATGCGGCGGCTCTCCCGATGCCCCCTGGCCATCAACCGAGTCGAGGCCATTGGCGTTCGGGTCCTCGGAGCTGCGAGCGAGGGTGCCATTGATGCGGAGGATCTCCAGCAGCCGAGCCAGCGCTACTCTGAGTAAGAACATGTATTGCTGCAGCTTAGAGACGCGTTCGAAGGTGGGGCCATTGTCCGAGCCCTGTGGCTCGCAATTGTTGCAAAGGACCTTGGAATCGTAACGGTTTAATCGGGCATCCCTGAGATTCCGACCGAGCTCCCTGCCGCAGTGAGAGCAGTTCGCGCAGGCAACATGCCACCGCTTATCCCCGCTCTTGACACACTCGTCCTCAATGGGCTTCCGACAGAGCAGACACTGATCCGAGTCATTGGCCGACAATCGGGACATGCCGGTTGTGAGCTGGACGGTGGTGGTCGAGTTGTCCTCGCCCTTGAGCGCCTCAAGGTCATCGAGGCCATGGAGGAATTCGTAAAGACCATCGGAAGTGTTGCGCTCCCTCTCGATACGGAGAGCTCCCTGAAGACATATACGGATGAGGAGCTTGAGATAATGGGCGAGGCCGGTGACGAGGGTCAGGAGCTCCTGGGTGACGCCGAGTTTGTGGGCGCCTTTGCCCTGGGCCTTGGACAATAATGAGAAGAAGGCGACAATTTTCTTGCAAAGAAGCTTCGCCTCGCGCCCATAGGACAAACCTGGAGACAAAGTGTTAGTAGCTGAGGCAGTACTCCTCACAAAGGTCGGCCTTACGATTCATTTCCAGTGCGGTCATGTTCCCATCCAACCGATCAGCCGACTGGAATAGGATATCGACATGCCAGATGAACTTCTTTGCTACCATGACACCGTCGAGATAGACCCCATTGCTCACGTGCAGAAGCATATCTGAGATGCAGGCTGCCGAGGATTCCTCAAAGGTCGACAGGACGCTCCAGATCCGGTAGACCTTCTCTTCCATGCCTTCCTCTTGCTTCCTCATAACCTCACGACTCTCCGGGTCATCTTGCACCTCCTTGGCAGTGCCTTGTGGGGGGTTTAACCGGACATTCCAGAATTTGTGTATCATATAGCACTCAGGATGCCAGTGTTGGTTCTGACCATTGCGGAAGATCTCAACGAACTGCTTCAGAATGGAGGTCTGGCAGCCATTGCACCGTTGGGCGAACTGTGTTGAGTAGTGATAGTGGCAGTAGACGTGGCCGTCGTGCTCATAGTAGCTGTCTTGGGCGCCAAAGACGGTTGGGCATAGGGAGCAGGTAAAGTGGTCGACATGGTACTTCCGCTCCAGTGCTGTGATATAGGACCCTCTCAGAGCTCCTCCGCACTGGTGGCACAAGAGTCCGAGCCGACGGAAGTAGTCTGTCTCGCATAGGGGATACTGCCCCTGACCATCTTCGTCATCGGCGGGGAAGAATTTGGAGGCCACTATCTGACCACAGTCCTGTTGGCATGGGATTTAGCACCGATTCCCACCTTGGAACGAAACGGAGAGAGGGAGAGAGGGAAGGCCTGCACTAACCCGACACCTGAAGCAATCCAGGTGGAACGTGCCATCCAAAGCACGCACGAATTGCCCAGTCAGGGCCTCTCCACACTTCTTGCACATGCGCTGCCCAGTTGCCTGACCATTCCTTGGTCTTGACCGGTTCCATTCGTTGCTCCGTTTGGACTCGTTGTCGGTTTCACGATCACCACCACTCCATGCGGGGGATGCTGGATGTGGGCCAAGTTGGCTTCCATATCCACTGCCCTGTCCGCTCCCTTGTCCACTGCCCTGCCCACTACCTTGTCCACTGTTCTGTCGTGCCATCTCTCTCCCCATCTGGTGTGAAGCATCCCCGCTGGACGGGTAGCCATGGGGTCTATCGCCTGGCTGGCCACTGCCACTGCCACTGTTGCTGCTACTGCCGCCGTAGACAGGTCCCATCATGGTGGGCTGCGGCGAAATATGCAGCGGGCTTCCTCAGTGCAAACCAGTCGGTCCCTTCAATAAATGATCTCGGTGTGGGTGGGGGGGGGGGGGGGGGGGGGGGGTTTGGGGGGGGGGTTTTTAATATTTTTTGGGCGGGACGGGGGGTTTTTAGAACGATTTTTTGGGGGGTGTTTTTTCAAAAAAAAACGCGGGGGGAACATTTT